GAGTTTTTTTTCTAACCTCATCATCCAAGGAGTTGTTTTCTATGGGCGCACAATCATGTACATAATAGCATAGTTTAGCACGTCCCAATACCCCAAGGGAGGTGGCTGGAGTAACGGCCTTGCCCATACTCCCCCGGACGTTAATTAATACAAGTCATCTACACTTGAGAGTTTGCTTTTGCATCTGAATCTGCTTTCTGGCTGCTGGATCTGTGTGGCAAGCACAAGACCGACGGAGGGTGCACATGGCTCACTTGGTAGATCGAGCTACCTGACCGCGAGAATTTATTTCCATCGCTGCAGGCAGAAACACACAATATCAGAACCATGTATACGAAGCGGCATGTCTAGAGTCTGGTCCAGATATCGATTTCTGCATGTGCCAAAAGATGCACTTGCGGAGGTCTGAGTTGTGGGTGAAGAGATTGTTGTATCAAAATGAACACCGGTGGAAACCTGCATCTAGCGTTGGGCGCACGATCCAGCTTCTAGTAGTTGATACCTGTGGAAGTAACATCGTCGCGACTAGATAGACTTAGATGGCTAGAAGTGCCTGGAAGGAGGTGATATCGTATCCAGATGGAAAAATCCATAGCAATGAGATGATGCTGGTCGGAGATTAGCTGGTTGGTTCGGCTAGTAGATCTAGATCTGGCACTGACAGGTTGCCAAGATCAAACACGCATTGCAAGATGGTTGTCCAACATGCACGGAGTACTTCGGCGATCAATGCAGGGTCCTTGCGTCTGGTTGGGTTGCCGCTTTTGGCGAGATGAGTCTGCAGCGTTTCCTCTGCTGTTGGTATGTGGTATTTGGATGAGTCTAGACCATCTTAGTCGTTGAAGTAAGTACTAGTATACCAAAAAGAAGACCCTAGGATAGTCAAGAAGATTGGTAGTTCTGTGTCTGACAATGTCACAGGGTGAAGTGACAAAGTAAAAAAAAACCCGCAATAGCACACAGGCCTTATTTAGCAGACTATCCTGCGGTCAGGGTTGTTAGCAGCCACAAGGTATATAGCATCTCGCCTAAAAAAGTCAGATATACTTGTATGAATCTTAAGGTCTTCGGAAATCTCGATGAAGCAAATAGGCGGTCATCCCATTGATTGTCTGGCGCTGCTCTCCTCAAGAGAACAAACACAAGGAAGAGCCTTTCCCTGAGGAATGTGGAAATCTATCGAATACTCGGATCGAGTGCATCGCAACAAGAGCAAAAATTTCACAGATCCCTCCCAGCCGAAAAAAAAGAAAGAATTAAAGAATCGAATAAATGAAGATGGTGAAAAGGTGTCAGAGGGACCACGCCTGGCGCCTAGAATAGTAGAAAGACTTTTACCGATCCCAATATCGCTGGATCAATCCCCACAGAATACCCACTGAGCCCAATCCGAGCAAAAGAGGTACAGAGAAATAGACGCATACTAGGGAAACCCCGGAAAAGACATGGAAAAAAAAAAATCCGAATGTCATACCGCATTCACTAAACACCAAGAAGGTGACTGCCTAAGAACAAACTTTTCGAACCGAGGGAGGATATCAGGATCAGAGAGGGAGATGTAGGGGGAGAAAGGGTAAATGGAAACAAATAATGATAGAGAAAGGAAAAGTCGTCAAAAACGTGCGTCCAAAGATTTCCGAGAAGACAAGAGTGAACACATCAATTAAGACTTGTTCTCCTCAACGGGAGCCTCCTTGGCGGCTTCCTGGGGCTTGGCCTCGGTGGTCTCGCCATCACCCTTGTTCTTCATGTACTCATCATAGACGTTAAGGGCCTCATCGACCTTGCCGCGGAGAGCCTCCTCATCATCGAGCCTGACGGGAAAAGAGAAATTAGCAAATGGCACAAAGGAGCAAAAGACTCGGAGAGAATGTAACTTACAGGCCAAGCAACTCAGCGTTATCCATCTCAAGCAGCATACCAGTAATCTTGCCAGCAAGCTCGGGCTGCTGAGCCTGGATCTTGGGGTAGAGGGCCTCGCCGAGCATCTGCTTCTGCTGGGCAGGGGGAGCGGAGAGGAGAGCCTGGTTGGCAGAGGCGGGCTCGCCAGCGGGCTGAGCGCCAGGGGCGGGCTGGCCACGACCACCACCGCGACCCATCTGGGGACCACCACGACCGAATCCGGGACCGCCACGCATGTTCATGGGCATACCACCAACCTGGCCACGGCCACCACCGCCACGTCCGAAAGCCTGAGCCATGGGGTAACCCATGCCGTTAGGAATGCCACCGGGGCCCTGCATGCCCATGGGCATACCCTGGAAGTTGGGAGGAAGCTGCTGGTTGGGGGGCATACCACGGCCACCCTGGGGGAAGGGACCGGGGTATTGGGGACGTCCAGCGGGCATACCGGGCATGGGCATACCGGGCTGGGGAGCGAAGGGCATACCGCCACGCTGTCCAGGGGGCATGAAGCCCTGCTGGCCAGGACCGTAGAAGACGGCGGGCTGCATGTACTGATCGAATTATTAGTGACTGAACATCTTATGTCAGGAATATTGAAACTTACAGGCTGGGGCATGCCGGCGGCGGCGGCGGCCTGCTGCTGGCGGATGGTGTTGCGGGCCTGGATGCTGGCCTCGAGCTGGCTGCGGCGGACATCCTTGCGCTGAGCGAGAGCAACGTAGAGGGGCTTGGCGTTGACCATACGCTGGTTCATCTCGGTGACGGCCTTGGAGGCCTCATCGGGGCTGCTGAAGCAAACGAAGCCGAAGCCCTTGCTCTTGCCGAAGGCCTTCTTCTCGGTCTTCTTTTCCTCGGACTCCTCGGTAGTCTCCTCGGTCTTCTTCTCTTCGGTGGTCTCTTCGGTCTTCTCCTCGGTCTTCTCCTCGGATTCCTTGGTCTCCTTCTCGGCCTCCTTGGCCTCGGCATCGGGGGAAGGAGAGCGCTCAGCAGCATCACGCATAACCTTGGCGGAAGTGATGGTACCGTAAGGAGCGAAGAGGTCACGAAGCTTCTCATCATCAATATCGTCGGTCAAGTTCTTGACGTAAAGGTTGACACCCTGGTACTTGGAGGCCTTCTCCATACGGGCAGCCTCGTACTGCTTGCGCAGCTCCTCCTCACGCTCGTGCTTCTTCTGGGCACGGCCAACGTAAAGCTTCTGGGTCTTGACCTCCTTCTCGTTCATCTCAGCAACGGCGGCCTCGGCGCTCTCGTGGTTGGCGTAGTTGACGAAACCGAAGCCACGGCTCTTACCATCCTGGTCGTGGCTGAGGGTGGCGGAGGTGATCTCACCGAACTGCTCGAACATGACGCGGAACTCATCGTCAGTGATCTCGAGATCGATGTTCTTGATGTAGATGTTGGTGAAGTTGGCCTTCATCTCCTCGAATTTGCTCTGACGGTCCTTCTTGGAGATGTGGTGGCCAACAAAGACCTTCTTGTCGTTCAGAAGCATGCCGTTAACGTGCTTGATAGCGTTGTTGGCAGCCTCGGCAGTCTCGTAGTGGACGAAACCGTAGCCCTTGGAGTTGGCAAACTCATCCTGAGCAACCTTGCAGCTGAGAATGTTACCGAAGGCAGCAAAGGTGTCGTGAAGAGCCTTGTTGTCAATGGCGTTGTCGAGGTTCTTGATGAAGACGTTGCCCTGGCCAGTCTTGCGCAGAGCGGGGTCACGCTGGGACCACATGATACGGCAAGGCTTGCCCTTGATGAGAGTGTAGTTCAGGTCCTCAAGAGCACGCTCACCATCAGCGGTGTTGTTGTAGTTAACGTAGGCATAGCCGAGGGAGCGGCGGGTGACGGCATCACGGCAGACACGGATAGAAGCGACCTGACCGATGGAAGAGAAGAGCTCGTAGAGCATAGCCTCAGTCACAGAAGGGTCAAGCTCGCCGACGTAGAGAGAAGCCGAGTGGGGCTGGTTGTTAGCAGCCTCGCCGGTGGCCTCGGGAGCGGCCTCAGCGGGAGAAGCAGCGGCCTCGGGAGTGCCGTTGACAACAGTGTCAACGACAGGGGCGGTGGTAGGAGCCTCAGCAGACATGATGGCGGCTGTTTTCACTGAAGAACGAAAATTTGTTTTAGCATATGCAAGTCGAGCCTATCGCAGAGAGGGGGAGGGGAATCAAGGAGGCATATGAGATAAGGTTACACCGCAGTTGATGCAGTCTCTTTGACAAGTCGCCAAGGGACCAAGAAGAGATGAGGAAATGAGGCGGAAATCAATGGAATAGGAGAGTCATACAGCAAAGTATCCACGAAACAGAGAGTTTAGAGAAATTTCACTTGAGCAAAAAGCACTGGGAAGAGTTAGTGGGGAGTTGAAGTGTGTCGCATGTGCCGAAGGGAGAGAAACAGAGAGACAGGGATGAGATGATCTTGAAAGAGTCGAATGGAAGACAAAAGCCAAAATGACTGACCAGGTGAAAATGAGGACGATGGAGGAGGCGTTGAAAGAAAATCTTCCACACACACCGCACAATCGGGGATGAGATAAGATAACTGGAAAAAATTTTCTGGGGGTTTTTCGTGTTTTTTTGAGATTTTGTATCTTTCGATAAGGATTCGAAAAGAAAAAGGAAGAATTCCCTAAAGAAAGAGAGAACACGGAGATGGAGGGGAGGTTGGAGGAAGGGAAAAAAAGTTGAATCAAAGCAATTGGTTCTGGAAAACTCAGAGGCACCACGAGATGGGCACGCTAGGCCGCTTTGGGGAGGGGGCACGCCGCTTTAAGGGCTTACTATACCCGCGGAAGTATGGAAGTACATATCGCCACAATTTTTATATATACATATGGGTATGTCTCTTCAATATGTTATTAATATCGGCTTAATCCGAGACAAAAGACTCTTGCGTTCTCTAATCTCGAAGCACAACTACTCTACATGTCACTTTAACAAACCCCAGTCATTATAATCTACTCCGTACTAACAGCCCATAGTTATGTACCAATAAGACCCTTTGTATTCCATCGACGCCCATACTATGCATGCAAAACTAATCCACGGCAGGCGGAAGACCCTGAGAATATACACAAACTAAATATCTGGCTCCGCTCATCAACTCAAATCAAACCCAGCCCCCGAGCTCACTGCGTACAAGAGTTTGCTCCTCAATGTGGCTGCGTCGGAGTACCGTGGTAGCTTGAGAAGGTTCACGCAAGTACTGGTACTTGGCAACCGTTCTTGGTCCTCACTAGAGTCTCGGATGCTGAAATTGGGGCGAAGATGACTAAATCCCAATAATGGGGCTCGCGGGGTGGACGTCACAAATCGGATGACCTTTTGCCGCTCTTCATTGTTCATCTCGTGCATGACCTGCCAGAACAGCGCGATGGTCGGATGTTCCAGATTATCATCACCGATCACATACACGCCTCCGTAAAGAGTGTTCCGTCGGAGATCTTCCACGTCAATATCGGCCTTGTCTCCGCTGACCAATGTTTGCAATTCGGATTGGTTGAACATGGATAGCCAGGCGGGTTGGATGATCTGACCAAGACCTTGCAAAAAGGCATTTGTCTGGAGGGCAGGTTGCAATTGTAGACGATAACGAGCCATGTAGGAAATATAGACCAATCGGTTCTTGTTGGTCACAGCAGTCTGTGACCCGTTTGGCTTCAACTCCGCCGTGACAGTGCGATTTTTCCCACTAGGCATCCGGATGACATTGTTAATCGTGAAGTCAAGAGAGAAATCTTCTACATTGCCGGGGTAATTCTTCAGTTGCAACTAACAGGATGGATCGGTTAGCTAGGTTCAAACGCAATTACCCCCAACGTTGCCGGGCAATACTACTTACCAAACCCTGGTACAATCCCTCATCAAGGTCCTTGAGGTCATTCAAGTTCGCACGATAGGATGATTCCTTTACTGCAGATCTGGAGCCACCTGTCAAGGCCCATTTCAACAGGAAAAATGGTGCAAAGTTGACATCCACCAGGATACCCTCATAAAGACACTTGCCAATAACCCGACCGAGGAATTCATAGCGTCGAAGAAGACCACGCACATCATCCTGCCACTCGGAACTTGAACTCGTGAGTCCAGCCTCGCCGAGGACTGTTTTGAGTTGGTCGACCGCCGTCGGGCTGGGATATAGCAGATGGTGATCGTTTTCTGCAAACATGCTCTCATAGTCATCGGTCTTGAAAGCCTGCGTAGTGATACTGGTCAAGAATTCCTTAGTTACGCCGCCGCCATCAATACCAGCTTCCATTGCCCCAAACTGGTCGATGAAACTGATCTGAATCGGCTCCTTGAGACCATCACCCAGGCCGTAAAATTGAGAGAATGCATCTTCAAATACACTCTCTCGCCGGATATCGGCGTGATGTCGGGCCAAGATATCTGCTGCGCCCTCGGGAGGTCCACTTATCATGGCATGTTGGGCCACAGACAAGCGCCAGGACTCGGGATCAACAAAGCCTTTGCGGCGACGTTGTTGATCTCTAAAGATAAATTGACGGAAAATCTGCACGCGTGTAGCGAATGGAATGAAAAAAGGCATGTTCCGAAGGATCTCCAGCCTGGGCGCAATTGCGGCTAGAGCATTCTTGTGGGCTTGTCTTCGTTGACTATTTCGCATGGCCTGGATGTGGATCAGTCGTCGCGCATGGCTATTGCCGACAAGGTGGGAGGGTTCCGGAGTTTCATCGTCGAGAAGATCGGGTTCAGCATCTTCATCATCGTCCTGGAATTCATGGCGCTTCTCCTCTTCTGCCACGACGGCTGGGATAAAGCCTTCCATATCGAATCGATCTGTCATTAGCCAATGATTTTGGGGCAAGAACTTTCGTCGAGAACTAAAATGTGTCAGCTATGAGCCCCTAAGGTTTTATTCAGTAAGACTCATCAACTTACTCTCGCTCATGCAGCATTCTCAACAAACCCGTAACTAAACCTTTGAAGTAGTCAAGTGGAATACCTGTCACACCGGGAAGATCGTTAGACTCATCCTTAGCTTCCATTTCCGAACGCTCCATCGGCCCAGGGGATTGAGCCGTGTTGGTAAAGTAACTTCGGAGATCCACAGTGGATGATGGGACTGGTCCTTTCTTAGTCAAGTCGGCAACATTCCAGTAGAGTGTGAAGGCGAGGTTCTTGAGGAAAATGGTCATGTCCTTGATGTCCTCGAGGGGCAGAGCACTCTCTTTCGTCCACGAAGACTGAACATTTGCTGAGGCCGTAAATGGTGACGCGCTTGAGAAGAACTCTTCATCGTCCATGACTTTCAAAAGGAATGTATAGAGCTCGAAAAAGAGGAGAATAATAGTCCATTCCTGATCTTGATCCCCTCGGTTCCCATGCTCCGGTAGCTGCAGCAATTGAAGAACCTCGGTCGAGTCTTTGCTTATGGTTTTGAAGATCCGACTGGATTTGGATGCCTGCCAGAAATATTTGATTGCGGGTATCTTCGCACCTGGCTGACCAGAGACTGCTGCAGGAGCCGAGCCAAGGTATAGCCACATACGGATGTCATCACCGCGCCGAGGAAACACCCTCAACAAGTTTAGAGCATATGTGGCAAGAATTTTGGCTTCTCTCGAGGCTTCTGCTTCGTTGTTGGATGTCTCTGTCTGGCCAAAGTGGGATGCTTTGATGCGGGAAAGCAGCCCTGTGATGCTGCTTTGGTTGACCAGGCTACTAACTTGGTCTTTGACGAACGGATGCAAAGAAGAACCACCGATTGTATCGGGCTCATTAGATTCTTCTGCCTCCAAACACCTTGTGAGATGGCTGGATGTTGAATTTAGCAACTCAGAGACCACATGCAAAAATCCGAGGTCAGGTGCTTGCTGGTTGGCCTGACCTGGAAGAGCATATCGGTGAAAGAAGATCATGTATGCAAGCAACCATTGTCGAGCCTCGACATCCTCAGTGGAGGAGCGTTGTGTGACCGAAGCAATGCATGATTCAATCGCCGGTGCCAGTAGTTTGTAGTTGATTTGATGTGCCAATTGATCAAGCCCCCCAAGATAAGCAAGCAAATCGGGAACAGTGAGATATGACATAGCAAGCGCTTCGTAGGCTGTCATGGTTTCGGATGTGATTGGCCGGAGAAGGGCCAGAACAGCATTTGTGACATGTTCTGATGACAGATTTTCACCCAAGAGCATGATGTTCTTTGTCAAGTAAGCCATCGTCTGATAATAGAGTTTCGCAATTGCTGCCATCCTCTTTGGTATCAAGTCAACGAGGAAAGTTATTGTGCGAAGGAGAGGCAGGACCGCTGCTCCGTGAGTCGGGGTGTTGGTTGCCGAGCTGAGAGCATGAAGAATAGCAATTGCAAGCCGTTTCAAGAGCTCAGTCCATTCACCTTCAGTGGCGATTGTGGGAAGAGCATGGAAAGTCTGCTCAAACACATTGCAGAAGTATACCAGGCGTAGGACATCTTCCTGCCTCCTTGCGGATCCTACAAATTGCACGAGAAGTCTGAGTTGGCCTAGACATTGCTCTGCTGTAGGATATGGAGGCGCAGAAAGGCGTGCTAGACACTCCAGACGCCCAACATCTGTCCTAGGTTCTCCATTATCATCAAGCCTCAAGGAATGATGTACCCTTTCCCACTCAATATTATCCCACTCAGACTTCCAACTCTTATATGTTGCATTCCTGCTATGATGACCCCGCCAAACCCGCTGAACGGTGCGGCATGCGGTCTGTCGATCTCTTTCGCGTTGTCGAAGAGCCCGCTCCCGCTGAGCAATGGCGACTGCGCTCTCAGGATTTGCAGCATGAGGAGTTTGTCGAGTAGGCGAGTTTCCAGGGAATGCAGCAAATGGATTAGTAGCCCGGCCACTGAGGTTGACCTGCCGCGGGCGGCGAGAGTTGCCCGTGAAGGATTGGAACATGACTGCAGCAGAAGCTGCTCTGTGAAAAAAGAAGCAAAAAAACAAAGACTGTCCGCAGGCTAATTAGAATGCAGGTTCTAGATGCATGAAGAGCAAGGATGACAAGCCCGCATCACTGGGTTCAGATGAAAGGTCAAGAACTATGACATCGCCGTCACTGTCCGCTCACTCGGGCGCCGATAGGGAGAGCGTGGCGGGCTTATCGGGCCTGTACGCACAGACCATGCACATATCAGAGGAGAGGCTTGCGATTTTACGTCTCTGGAACATTCTAGTTGAGGAGTGACCAAGCAAAGTCTGTACCTTTGCCGAGTATATGCACCTAGGGAATCACTTTTGTTTGTTGATCCAGACGGTCGAAGTACCTAGATACGTATACGGAGGTTATGTACACTATAGGTACACTATGGGTACACTATAGGCACCACAAAGGTATAGGTACATATAGATAGACTATAGAATATAATCCGAAGGAACCAACAGACTATCGACGCTTGTTGTAGTCTAAAATATGGAATTTGCCAAAATAATACAAAGTTGGGCTCCTGTTCTGATGCCAGAGTTCCAAGCCTCGACAAGAGAGTGTGTAAAGGATGATACACGTTCACCGATGGCTCAAGATTTTCGGTGATCGGATTCAAGGTGATGTTGTAAAGACTATAATACATGGGATATATTCGATCGGCCAGCGGAGAGAAGGTTGATCAACGAAGTTGTTGAGTGTTGCCCAGCGGAGATGCTTGTGGATGGGTTATACTTGGACCACTAGCGCCAGAATTAGAAAGTACTCTTGCGCGCCTGGGCTGCTGAATACTCACATTCAGTCGAAAACAGATGGACAATACCCGCCGTGCAGTTTCAGGGTTTGAGACTTTCTAGGAAAGGCTCGTCTCGGTTTCATGCTTTATCAGTGATCGGTGCATCCCCTTCTGTGCTGCGAGCCACTTCATCTGCCTGTTCTCTGTGCTTCGGCTTACGCTTTGAAACAACCTCTTTATCCTCATTCAGCTTGGCTTGAGATTGTGCTAGTCGGACCTCTTCGGCTTCAGCGGTCTCGGCCCACTTCTCCAAATAGTCGGCACCTTCGAATCCTCTGATCACAGAGAACTTCCGGCCGTTTCTCTCAATGTCTTGAACGTAGTTTGATGGTGTCTTGCGCATGTGTTTTGTGATGAAGGGAGCGAGCTAGAGCAATGTTAGCGGATCCATTATTTCCTCAATGGATCTCAAATCAGTCTCAATGCTCACCTCAAATGGTTCCTTGGAGTTCTTCGTAGAATAGATCTTTCCAGGCACTTCGAGTTTCTCTGGAGAAATATAGACACGGTGCTTTGTCGCATCAGGCCTGTACGTGCCTCTCTTGTCGAAGTGACCCATGGAGCCGGTCCGGTTTCCCTTGTAGTAGCCACCATTGACTTGCTTGGTGGTCAAGCGCAAGCGCGCCATCATTGGCTGCGTAGGATTGAACATTATGACGGTGGTTCTGAGGCCTTGGAGTTGAAACGGAGGGGATAGAGCGAGTCGAGTGTCCCGGAGGGAGTTGGGAGACAAAACTCGGCGAATGAACGGGTCGCGCTAATCTCCGCGCCGAGAACTTTTTTCTGCCGGGAAAAAAGTTCAACACCATCTACACCCCTCTTGAAAGCAGCCATCAGGTCATTTAGTACTTTTTTGGTGCTGATCTGAAGCTTCTTTCTGGTTCAAGAATTTGATTTCTTGATTCACCCACTACTATGCCTCGCACCCAGAGCCAGAAGCATGGTCCGAAAGACCGCTCAGCGCAGAAACCAGCGCAGAAGCGGAAAAGCACTCGGTCGCTGAATGCACTGGCAATTGCAGAGAAGCAGATTCCGACTAGATTGGGTGTCAGACGCAGTCGTTTAGGAGCCTACGATGATGGCTCCAGCCGCAAGAGAAACACCGGCGGCGATGATGACGAGAACGACGATGAGGAAACTCCCCACTACAAACGCCGCAGAACCGAGGATACCGGAAGCCTCGATGGCGGTAGCGACAGCGAAGGACACGAATGGACACTTGGACAAGTGAACAGCGATGACGACAGCGAAGTGGACAGTGACGAAGCTCTCGGTGAGAGTGACGAAGAGCGGTTCGAGGGCTTCACTTTCCGCGCATCCAACTCCAAATCTCAACCAAAGAAGGCTGCTGCAGCCAAGCCGAAGAAACCTACCGAAATCAGCCTGGACGAGGACGATGACGAGTCGGATGAAGAATCTGACGGCGAAGACTACGACGAGGACGATGACCTGGGAGAAGACGCCGTTGACCTCGCAACTGCCTGGGATATGAACGCAGCAGCAGACGAGGAGGAGGCCAAGGAAGCAGCTGCCAAATCTCGGCGGGCTGCGAGAGACGATAGCGACGAAGACTCTGGATCGGAAGGGGACAGCGAAAGCGATGCCAGTGACGACGGACTTTCTATCTCAGACGACGAGGCCGATGTGGATCCACACGGACTATCGAAGCTACAAGACTTCGTTCAGTCTATGGAGACCGGGAAATCTACAAAACGCACTCAAAAGTCACAGGAGCAAGGCAAGCCCTCAGAATACGGATTGACTTCGTCCCACAAATTGACTGTCGCGGATCTCCTGCCTTCAATCACGGATACTCGTCTGAAGAACTCGCTCAAACATATTGATTCTGTCGTTCAGGCATCAAAATCTGGCATTCCGGGCAAGCTAGATGCTCCTCTAGCAAAGCGCCAACAAGACCGACTTGACCGAACTGCTGCCTACGAGAAGAGCAAAGAGACTTTGAACCGCTGGCTCGAGACGGTTAAGGCCAACCGCAGAGCTGAACATCTTTCATTCCCCCTACGTGATCCCGATGCCGAGCAGACTCATCGCTTAGAAGCTGCCAAGCCGCAGACAGACCTAGAAAGCGCTATCCAAAACATTCTTGTAGAGAGTGGACTGGCTGAGGCCGAAGGCAAGTCAGCGGAGGACCAGATCCAGAGTTTCGAAGAACTACAAGCCCGTAACATTCCTATTGAGGAGATTCAAGCACGCCGAGCAGAACTACGCAAGCGCCGTGATCTTCTTTTCCGAGAGGAAGTACGCGCCAAGCGCATCAAGAAGATTAAGAGCAAGTCTTATCGCCGTGTTCACCGCAAGGAGCGTGAGAAGTTGGAGCAACAGGAGCGCGCGGCCCTTTTGGAAGCCGGCGTGGATATGGACGACATGGAACAGGAGAAGAACGAGCGCATGAGAGCCGAAGCTCGCATGGGCTCCAAGCATCGTGAGAGCAAATGGGCCAAGGGTTTGAAACAGACCGGTCGCACTGCCTGGGATGAAGAAGCTCGCAACAGTGCAGCCGATTTGGCACAAAGGGAGGAGGAGCTACGGAAAAGAATCGAGGGCAAGCATGTTTCCAATAGAGACGATGACTACTTGGGCTCTTCTAGCTCTGAATCGGAAGATGAAGATCCTTGGAACGAGGAGGCTTCCGATGTGGAAAGACAGAAGATTCAGAAGAAGCTCGCTGCCCTTGGGAATGTTGGCGATTCTTCGGGTGCCGTTAAGGGCCCCCATGCCGACCTTTTCGAAATGAAATTCATGAGAAATGCCGATGCTGCCCGCAAAGAACAGAACGATGCGGAGCTTCGTCAACTCAATCGTGAACTCCATGGAGAGGAGTCTCAGTCTGATGCAGAGTCGGAAGTTGGTCGACGCAAGTTCGGTCAATCAAAGAAGACCGATTCGAAATCTCAAGCAAAGCCATTGCCCAAGAATGAATTCGAGGAGAAGCTGGATTCTGATGACGAAGATGCGCTACGCGCCGGATCAGACAATGATATGAATATCATCGTCAACGGCCCCACTAAGTCTAAGTCAGGAGCTTCTAGTAACAAGAAGGTTTCACAGCCCTCGCGTGACTCTTCCGCTCAACGAAAGGACAGCCCTGCAGAGGAGGAGAACCCTTGGCTAGTTCAAACTGAACGTACCAACCGTCGCCGAACTGGTCCAGATGCGCAAGAGAGCATTGACATCTCGCTCGATGCTACTCCTCAAGTGGCTCCTGCGCAGCAACAAAGCAAGAAGCAGAAGAACGCCAAGGCCGCCCTTGCGAAACGGCAATTCGATGCTGATAATGACAGCGATGATGAGGATAATGTCCCCGTCCTGCTCAAGAACCATGACCTCGTGAAGAGAGCCTTTGCCGGCGATGAAGTTGTCCAGGACTTCGAACAAGACAAGATGGACACTATTGAAGATGAAGGCGATAAGGTTATTGATAACACACTCGCAGGCTGGGGAAGCTGGGCCGGCGAAGGTGTCAGCAAGAGACAACAAAAGAGGCAAAAGCGAGACATTACTACTGTGGCGGGTGTGAAGCCCCAACAGCGCAAGGACGCCAAGCTTGACCGGGTCATTATCAACCAGAAGCGAATCCAGAAGGTAAGATCGATCTCATCTCTATACCTGACGATGCAGCCCACTAACTCTTTTGCTTTAGAACAAGAAGTATATGGCTAGTCAGCTGCCGCATGAATTCGAAACCAAACAGCAGTACGAACGATCCCTCCGGCTGCCCCTGGGCCCCGAATGGTCTACAAAGGAAACCTTCCAGAGTGGTACCAAGCCTCGTGTCATGATCAAGCAGGGCATCATCAAACCCATGTCGAGGCCCATGCAATGAATGTAACTATTTGGGATCACGGGCATATCATCTACCTCCTTGTCCTCCAATGTCAGCACTTAATGCCATTTTCCGGCGCATTTTTTGAATCAAAAGCATTTCTATTACCTGTAAATTATATTTTCCAAGATTTCGGTGTCATAACTTTGCCCTCTGCCACCATATTTCCACATGGTCTCATTGACATCACGCTGTCCTTTCAGTCCACATAGATGACCCGCTGAGGGTCTTGGACTGGAATGTCAGTTCACTGCACCTTGGGTGCTGGGCGACCGAACCACTGATCAGACCCTGTCCCATGATTGCACAGATTCTTGGGTTATCGGGTGATTCAGAGTCGAGTCATCTTTTCTCAGTCAACAGTCTTAAATAGAGTCATGTTGTGTATCGTCTGGATGGCTTTTATTATACTCCATGGGTGATCCCTTGGCATCCGTGCTGCTTGGATCTTGACATCCTCATGCGACTAGTTTGGAATTCACGTCAAGGATTTACCAAACTCCCATCTACGGAGTTACCGTTTCAAGTCTAGACCAAGTGACTGTGGTTGCTGTGTTGCCCGCATTCTTGGGGGTCGGGGCAACCTACCCGGCCTCGTTGTGTTGCCTCGGACACCCTACATTGCTGGGCTAAACACACTACTGACTCCTCGGATCACTGCTTGATCGAGACTGTGCACTGCTAGCTGCCATGAAGATCGACAATCTACGGAATGTGTCTACAGGCCATTCACAACACACGGCCCGCGTGTTGTCCCAATTTAGACCTCAGGGCTTGAGCGCCGAGGGGCTTTAGTGCGTCTCTAGGAATCCATATCACATACTTGTAAGTCCGCTGCCTTCGATTAAAAGTAGCCTGTACCCTTTTCAGTTCCTTGCCCAGTGTCAGTTACAGAAGTCACCTTGCCCCTCTTGTGATTCCTCTCCAGTTGGATTGGATTGAGGATTAGCACGGACTTCATAGCCCATCTCATCCTTGTGATAAGTTCTGGCTTTGCATCATGGGCGTGATCTTAAGATCGAAGGCAACAGCCTTGCTGACTTCGTTGCTCGCTGCAGACATAGCTCACTGTCTCCCACATGTGGGAAATGCGGAAAAGGGCACTCCAGACAGCACAGGCACTAACACTGCAAGTGCTTTTGAGACCCAATATCCACCTTCAAACGAAGGAAGCAGGCTTTTGATCCCTGCATCCCAACCAGTACGTTCCATCAATGTGCACCGCATGGCACCAAGCAAGTAATTGACCTTTTGGGCCAGGTGTATCGAGTAGCTTTGGAGGCCGACGGTCATCCACCGGAGCAGCCTTTCCCGTCATTCGACATCATCCAATTCATAAACGGCTTGGGAGGTTTGTTGGGTTCAGAAGATACAACTGCTACTTCATTGCCTACTGCCCCTGCTGGATCTGTGGCGGGTACAACACCGGCTCAACAAACCACTAGTGCAGTGAAAAGTAGGGTCAAGCACAAGCCCAGTGCAGTGCTTTTGAGAAATACTAATGGCTCCCAGGACCCGTTCCCACAAATATCTCGTTGCCGAACAAACCACGCCCTTTCACCACCATGAACGGCCAGGATATCTTTCAGCCGGTTGGCACGGGCCCCGTTCCAGCCCATATCGAGTCTCGAAGTGACCACCCAGTGCAAAACGAACACGTAAGATGAGGTTGAATGCGGATATATAACAGGTCTAAAATACTAACTCTATGATATAGGCAGATACCACCAACCCCGTTGCGACGAATAAGTTCTACGCCAGTCTGTTCCTAGGCTCGCAGACTAATGCTACCTTCACCCAGCCCTACTCTTTGGCATGGTCCAAGGGAAGTGGCTCTCTGAAAAGCTGGGGTATGGGTGTCTCCCATGTCCCCTTCAACATGCTCGCGTTTGGTCCTGAAAACGACAAGCTTCCTGGAAATCCACCGCAGTACTACATTAATCCAGTCGGTCTTCAACAACTAGTTTTCTCTGCAACAGAGTTTGACCAGTCCACCATCCTGAACACCGAACAGCCAACAGCCTTCTCGGCCCACGCTGTTCTTAAGCGTTCCAAAGGGTCAGCTCAGCAAATTACTTTCCCTGTTGTTCAAGGTATGGGCTACATAACAGCGGTTTATAAGGATTTGGAGCCACTGATCGAAAGTGGCGTTTTCTTCCGCAAGGTTGTCAATGCCGGTTCGCCGAGACCCGGAATCTTCAAGTACAAGGTTGATCTTGAGGATGACACTACCTGGCTTCTATATGCCACTCCGGCTGATGGCCAGGACCCGGAGTTCAAGCTCGTCTCTAAGGTCAACCTTCGCGGTCCTCGTGGCTTTTCTGGTACTATCCAAATCGCTAAGAACCCTGCCGGCACATCTGGCGAGAAGTTCTATGACAACTCGTCCGGTGTTTACCCTGTAGCAGGAAATATCACTGGCTCTGTGACTGGTAATACCGGAACCTACAGCCTCTCTTGGACCAAGGCTGGAAAAGATGTCAAAGACACTCCTCTGATCATGTTTGCCCTGCCTCATCACATCCAGTCTTTCGACCATCCCACCAAGGGCCGTATCACCGATATTAACCTTCGCACCACCACGAAGGGAAATGCCACTGCCGTTATTGGAGAAAGTTGGACTATGGTTGAGCCTAACTTGCCCGTCGATATGGGATTTGCTCCATGGTCAACCACCCATGGCAGTGCCCACCGACTCCCGCCTGCTGCCCATCATGCCATTCTCGAGGCTGCTCCACACGAGCTTAAGCAGAACATCTCTGACCAGACAGACCTCAATAGCATGTACTACAGTGGCAAGGCGTTGAGCAAGTTCGCAACCCTGATACACACCGTCACACGGCTCAGCAACAACGACGAGCTGACAACCGGTGCCTTCCAGGAGTTGAAGAAGTCCTTCGCTCGCTTCGTAGAAAATAAGCAGCAATTCCCACTTGCCTACGATACTGTGTGGAGGGGCGTTGTCTCAACCGCCGGATACAATGGTGACTTGAACCAAGACTTTGGAAACACCGCGTACAACGACCATCATTTCCATTACGGCTACTTCATCCAAGCAGCCGCCATAATTGGCTCCCTCGATCACCGCTGGCTGGCTGAGAACAAGGATTGGGTCAACATGCTTGTTCGTGACGCAGGTAATTCCGTTCCAAATGATCCCCTCTTCCCCTTCTCCCGCTCGTTCGATTGGTACAACGGTCACTCATGGGCCAAGGGCCTATTCGAGTCCTACGATGGCAAGGATCAGGAATCCACCTCGGAGGATACCATGTTCGCCTATGCGATCAAGATGTGGGGACAGACAACCCGCGATGCCAGCATGGAAGCTCGTGGCAACATGATGCTAGGCATCTTGGGTCGATCCCTCAACAACTACTTCTTGATGGAGGATGACAATGTCAACCAGCCGCGTAGCTTTATCGCAAACAAGGTCACTGGAATTGTAAGTATCATCGCCTGGGTTCCAAGCCCTATACTAACAGATCAAATAGCTATTTGAGAACAAGGTCGACCACGCTACTTACTTCGGTGGTAATCTCGAGTTCGTCCAAGGGTAAATAAACCTCCTACCTTCTTCACTCTGCTTTCAATCTTTACTAACCACCACAGTATCCACATGCTGCCACTTATGCCTCACAGTCCCTTCACACGGCGAAAGGAGTTCGTGCGACAGGAATGGCAGGCCATTTTTGCCGAGAATGCATCAACTCCCGCCTCAAAGGTCGAAGACGGATGGAAGGGCGTGCTTTACGCCAATCTTGCTCTCATCGATCCTAAATCGTCGTGGGAGTTCTTTGCCCAGCCAAACTTCAATTATAGCTGGATTGATGGTGGTGCAACCCGTACTTGGTACCTTGCTTTTGCCGCTGGTGAGTCTTCTAAGGAAACGTCAAGATTTTGCAAATGCTAACAGACATACTAGGTCTCGGTGGCGCTCTTCAAGGATGATTTTCTGCGATGTTTATCTTTTTTCATCTTGCTGAATTTGCTCTTTAGTCCTCTCGGCCTTGCGACTTCGGTTTTGACTATTATTGTTTGTTGTCATCTTATCTTTTTTTTAGTAGCTAATTTTATTTGGGTAGGTACTTACGTGGTACTGCGTATATATAGAACGAAATGAAGATTATCAGCCAGAATTTACCCTTCGATTTTCAGAGGTGGTGCTTAATATAGAACTAGCCTCATTTGTTACCTACATAGTTGGTTCACTATATGGTATATTATAATTATCTTTCCTATACCTTCATTGATATATTCATGGCCGTCTTTACTCACTCTTATCATCTTGTTACTCGTCTTTTCCTCGCTTACCTCTCGCTCTTCTTTCACTTATCGCTCAACTATACCCCCATCCCATGATAGACTCTAAAGGCCATAGTCATACGGAGTATATATTCTATAGTCTTAAGATTGCTAAAAACCGTAAACATAGGCCCAGGACCACAACTATCGGCAGTAAGCCTTAGAGAAACATTTACTCGAGTTCAAACTCCCATATCGCTCTATCCCCGAGTCCTCTGTGTAGATTCCAGTACATAACCTCTCAGTGACGACCAAAATCTATCTATCAGCAACAGGTAACTCCAAATCCACAACCCAAGGCGCATTCCTCGCCTCATACGCTACCGTATTAACACTACCATTAACAAAAAGCGTTTCCTGCCCGACCTGCAACGGCCGATCCGACAACGCGCTAACATCATAGAACGCACCCCGATTCTCCAGCATCTCCTCTGGGTCCGTCGGCACAGTCTCAAGCTTTACACCACCATCGGCCGTACTATCCCATACTCCGCGCTGCGCACCCCAGCCTTCATGGATATGACCGAAGAGATGGATGCGCGGCTTTGCGCGCTGCGCAGCTCGGAGAAGGTGCTTACAGCCGGCGTTCAGGTCTGGCGGAACCTGATCAAGAATTCCAGCCGGCGGGCCGTGGGTTAACAATATGTCGACAGCTGGATAATCCGGGATCGGGTTTTGGGGCTGTGGATGTGTGCTAGGCGCGGGATTATACCTGTCTTCATCGAGCTGGTATGCAAAGGCCCAATTATAGAATTCTGGTTGGTAAGGAGAGGCGTAGACAGTGAAGGTTGCGCCTGTGGAGAGGGTAAAGGAGTGGATGCCTTCGTCGAGGTAGATGATACCTGCGTTACGTGCGGCCTCGTTTGTCCAGAGATCTTTGATAGAGCGAACGTAGGCTTTCAATGCTTCTTTGTTTGGATGGGGGGTTGAGAGCTCGCTTTGGAGGTTGTCTGAGAGGAGGATGGATTCGTTGCCTAGTTGCTCTGGTCGTTGGTGGCGGGTGTAGCCGAAGCTTGTGAAGTACTCTTCGTCGAGGCTTATGTCGTGGTTGCCGGCTATTACGAGCTTGAGCTCGGCGTCGGCGTCTTTGAGCATGGCGAGCATTTTTTCGTGCTCGATACGGTACCCCACTTTTGTGAGGTCACCGGCGTGGAGGAGGATGTCGGCTTTGGGGAGGGGGTAGCGGTAGGCATTGTCGGTTCTCTGAGGTGGGTTTGGTGTGATTGTGTGGGTGTCTGATATCATGCAGATGCGAGTTTTGACGCTGGCCATGTTGAGTTGATGGTTGGAAATGCTGGAAGGTCCTAAGTTGAGTTGTGGGGGAGATGAGCTGATAAGGGTTCTGATAGTTGGAGGTTGGCACGATCGAAAAACAGCTGTTATTGATAGATGCTGTGATCAAGAGAAGAATGAATAAGTATATTTGCGTATACATCAGTCACATAGTACAAGGTATTCTTCCCATGAACTACATTCGTTTAATCCCAAATCAGCGGTCTACTTAGGTAGGTATACACTGCCGAGGTATGTATATGGTTTCCAAATACAACCATAACAGAGCATGGACTCTCTCTACTATACTACGAGACTCCACAAGGCTGTTACAAGCCAAGTCCCTTAGACAACATGTGGTAGACAGTGTTGTCGACAAGAGGCCTAGGTAAGAACTCGATGTCCTCCCACTACACAATGCGAAAAGGAAGCTGGTTACCCAAAAAACAGATGAAACTAGGAAAACGTTTCCCATGGATTTGACGGCTCAGAGCTCTACAGACAATTTGCATCTCGTGGATGCTCCGATCATGACATAGCTGAAACTCCGATCCACCCGTTGCAACAACCGAATATTTTATTTTATCGTTTACTTGCGGATAGCCTTCTGGTAGAAAGCAAGCTCCTCACCCTCCAGAATGTAACCATCACAGCGGCCGGACTGGCCGGGGCGGGAGGCAACAACGGCGAACAGACGACCGGACTCGAACTGGCGCTCGATGGCGGACTCGGCCTTGCCAGAGTCAGCGAAGCGGGCAGCCTGCTTCTTGGCAACGGAGGCGGACTTCTTCTCCTCAGTAGCCTCGGTCTTCTGCTGGCGTCTGCGGCCAATGGGCTGACCGTAGTGAGCCTCGTACCACTGACGGAAGGGAGCAGCGTCAATCTGGACAACGGCGGACTTGGTCAGGGTGTTTGTGCGGACCAGCTCGTTGTTGGAGGGGTGGAAGGACACTCCAATGACACGGGTCTTGCGGGAGATACCCTCAGAGCCCCAGGAGAAGTTACCGGAGTCGAGACGGAGACCACGGAACTTCTGGTTGCCACCACGAGTGCGGACAAGGTGGATGCGCTTGGCGCCAATACGGGTGTTGGCGGGCTGGCGACCCTTCTCGAAGGCTCTGTAGGACGAAAACATGTAAGAATTCTGAAACGAATATATAGAATCCTTCTTTCTCCACCAAGAAGAAAAACTTTCGATCTCATGCTGGGTTGATATAATCGTACCTCTTCTTGCGGTAGGTAGCGCGCTTAGCACCGGTAGCGCTGCGCTTGTGGCGAGAATCCCGAGAAATACCCATGTTTGCGGTTGATGGAGGGGTCTAGGTTGATAGACAGGTTAGATATTGATATTGATATTGTCGATTGTGGACCCTGCAATGTTTTTTCCCAGTCCTTTCTGTTTCGTCGCAAGCGCCGCACAAAATCAATTTTCAAATATCGAATGCGTAGGCGACAGTATTGGCGAGTGATCGAAGACTGTTGAAGGCGAGACAAAGATCGAAGTTTGACGATGTCGAGGAATTGAACGGATACCGATGATCGAAATTGTTGGGCGCAGCGAGCGAAACAGAATTTTTCGAAAGAAAACCTTGCAGGGTTTGAGATAGCCCGATAACTCACCTCTGAATGTGCAGCCCTTCACCAGAAACACGGATTAGTTGTCGTAGGGTTGTCGTGGGAGTTTGAGGTCGTGGAGTCGCTGAATTTCGCAGGGCGCACTGTGTCGCTCGCTTGTGTAGTGCCCTAACTGACACTAGGCCCAACTGGGACTAGTGGATCCAGTCACTGGATAAGTCAGGTGATCGGCGATGCTTTGATCCTGACTCAGCATATTGTCACGTGAGTCTAGGTTTCGATCTGAGATCTGGAAGGGGCCATGCGACATGAACCTGATAGAACCTGCGTTGTACCTAATATTCGGGCTATTTACAAGGCACTTCGCACATCGTACAACACTGAACCCCTCCAGGGCCTTGATGTTCTAATTTTGCTTTCTTGGACGGTCATGTTCAATGACAGACTCCTCTAAAGTAGTCGATCCGCTCGTCACCATCGGCTTTCCCACCCCCTACTGGCTCTTCGCCATCGCCTTCGCTTTCTCCTTCTTCACAATCTGCTTAATGCGCACGAATGTACCGAATCCCTCAATGAGACACGACGCAGTCCACTTGCACCATAAACCGGACAAAAACGGCACACCCAATGGCTTCAACTGTGTCACCGCGAGCACCACGGTCTCAGTAATATGAATGGCCAAGAATGGAGGAAGCAGGTAGGGCTGGATATTGTAGACAAAATGGGCGAAATTGGGGACGTATTTGTACCCAAAGTACTCGTAGACAGCGGAGCCGGGCAGAACATTGCTACGGTTCCAGCAGCTGATGTAGGTGAACAGGCACAACCCAAAGATCACTGCCTGGTAACCGCGCGGGGGGCGGTATTCTTTGAGTGTGATTTCGCTGCGTCCTATACGCTTCAGGCTGTCCTTGTGCATGGCCACCATACGGACGCGCGCCTCCGAGTAGTCTTTCATCGGGGGATCGATAGGAACGCTGTACCGGGTACCGTGGGCAGTCACGATCAGGTTCGAGAGACTGATGTCTTCCAGTTGCGCAGCTTTGGCTTGTTTGGCTGTGATACCGCAGTAGGCTTGCAGGAACAGTTCCACGGAGTCTTGGTGATCAGCATTCATGTGCTTGATGATGAAGTCTTTGGGCGCCATGGCGGGTTTATTGGTGGCGGTGGCGGGAGCAGAGTCCGCAATCGTCAATTGGTGAATGGTCCGAGGTTGTGCAAGAGCAATTGGGATTTGAACCAAGTGTCATGGAACCTTGTAATGCCAGGAGGGGAAATGTGTTGAGCAACGTTTAGAACTCAGTGCCAAGGCCCGGGCCTCGGCTTCACATTTCCGTTCTCTGTGATAGGGTCCACTTACACTCCGATACTCTCACTCTCATTTTAGCCATTCGTGGGTGTTTACAACCTCGGGGGATTTATGAAGGGAAAATTATACTTCATTCGAGTGATTTCCAAGGAATATACATAGCAGTATATACTCCGGTGTATTGCATCCCCTTGGTCCTGCACGCCGACCAGGAAAAACCATGGCTAAAACAAAACAAACGGATCCCAAACTGACAGATATTAAATCAAAACATGGCTCTATGAAACAAGCAGTGAAGCATTGAAAAAGGGATCACTCGTGACGACATCGGATCTTCGTGATAGTGTTGGCAATGGAACCAGAATGGGTGATCAAGCCCTGTTGTTGGTAAAAACGCGATCAACTCCTAATTCGGTCTTTGAGCAGACATCCTTGATAGGGGGATAGGATTGGAGGAGGAACTGCGTGCCTCAAAAGGGTACTTACATGAGGGCTAAGGTGAGATCTCCGTGAATACGTGCCTTCAGCTCAACCTCGATCTCCAAATTCAATTCCAATCTCAGCTTCATGCCCTCTTCGTCCAGCATCGACTTCTCCTCCTTATGAAGGACGTCCATGCCACCATGAGGTTTGAAGTTGGAGTTTTCGTTTGAGTAGGGCTGCATGGCTTCGTCATCGTCGGAGTATTCGTATACGTCTGAGCCATAGTCATCTTCATCCGTATACTCGTCCTCGTCTTGTTGCACTGGTTGTTTCCGTCGCAGTTGCAGTTTCTTTTGGTTTTTGGTCTGCGGTACTTCCTCCTCATATTCCTCGTCGGTGTAATCGTCAGCGCTGTCATAGTCTTCGCCGTCGGAGAGGTCCTCTTGCACGGGGAGCTTCTTAGGCTGCTCTTTGGTCTTTTCAACGGTTGCCATGATGGACTAGATTATGGAGTATAGAGGAAGAAGGTATCGGAAAATAAGAAAAGGGAAATTGTACAAAAGTTGGAGAATACCGTAAAGATAAACTAAAGAGCAGGGAAAAGGAAAGACAACGATATGATATCCAAAATGGAAGGACGGCGTCACGAGCATCATATCGCAGAACATGACGTTGGCGGGCTCCCCCCCAACCTCTTCCCACATCCCACCCGCGTCATTGTCCCAAGTTGAACAATAGACCCTGACACAAGGCCGTGTCCACAATGGAAAACTCTCTGGAGTCTCCCATGTGGCCAACGAGACATCCACCTCGTCTCGTTACGAGCCGTGGAAACACACGCAGGCTCGTGGCTCGAGCCAGTCATGTCAAACCAGGAACCAGGCAAGTATATTGCCCCTGCGATTGTCATATGTACCCATGTCATCTGTGGCTGAAATTGACTAAAATAGTTTAGGTGTCTATAGATGTATCGTTGTATGATGCAGACGATTTTACGCTTGAATATGAAGCCAGGATCGTGGAACAGATCCTGGCCGATTTGACGTCGAGTGGCGTCATAGCCTCTATTCCACTTTCCGCGAGACGCCAACCTGCAACGGTCTTACGTCCTACTTAATCTATTTATGTGGAGAACGTCAGTGCGCCAAATTCACCGAAATCCAATCTGATTGGCGCGTGGAACCCAGTTGCATATATCTATTTTTTCCCTCGCCGATCAACTGCTTTGGTCCTACACATGGTCGCCATTATTTCCGATCTAGCGCAACGCTGATCCCGGACACGTTATACCAATTCAGTCCGAAGGGGGCCGTTGCTCCATACGGAGGTCTTCCAGGCCGTGGCCCTGGTCCGGGCCAGACGTCATATTGCTTCTCTTCTCGCCCAATATCTGGAGGCCTGGGTCGCGCGGGTCCTAGAGCTCCCTAGCCCGTCATTTCTGCAGAGTCCTTCCCAACCAAGTAAAAAAGTATATTGTCACTATTTGGTTCCCAGTCCGATGTCTGGCGCTGATGGACCCAAGCCACAGCCGCATCCCATCTGACGTCGGAGGCGGCTGGGATTCGTTCATCAGGTCCTGTTTTGACCCAGTCCGGTGGCTCCTCTGACGATATAAACGGTTGAACAAGTGGTAGTGTTTCAATTTAGTATCTGCATCATTACAATATACGCGCAATTACATAGTTGCTTCCTCTTGCCCAGCCTCTCGTGACGCTTTGTCCCTCTCCATATCTCGTGCTCGAACCAGTTCATATTCCTCTCATTCCCCCTCTTGACAACCTTCCTCTTCTCTTTCTTTTCTTTTCACCATGGCCGATCAGGAACAATCTAACAATCCTAATCCCGACTCGAACCCCACAACCCCCAATAAGCCTAGACGTGCTCCTCCCAAGCTCGGCAAGAAGTCCCCCGGCAAACAAGAACAAACCCCTCCTCCCTCGGAACAGGACCAGGAGCAGGAGCAAAAGAAAGACCCAGAGGAAAAGCCCGAAGAAGAGTCCAAGCCCGAAGAGTCTGTTAAACAAGAACCGGACTCAGACCACGAAGAAGAACAAGAACCCGAGCAAAAGGAAGAACCCAACGAACCAGAACCAGAACCAGAACCTCAACCCAAGCCTGAACGTCGTCGTCGCAGACCTCGTCCCCGTCCACAAGAATCAGACACCGAGTCCATCCAGCGCAGCGAAATGGACGCAGATCCCAAGCCCCAGCGCCGTGTCCGCCGGCAACGCCAGCCCCAACAGCAGCAACAAAACGGCAGTCCACTCGGCGCGCTTCCAGGTGTTGGCGGCGTTGACCAGGCCGGCCAACTGGTGCAGAACACAGCAGGCAATGCACTAAACGGTGTAACTGGCAGTGCCGGAAAAGCCGTTGGCGGCATTCTCGGCGGCGGCGACAAGAAAGAAGAAGACGATGGCGGCCGCGATGAGCAGCTCCGTCTACGCTTGGACCTGAATCTGGATATTGAGGTCCAGCTCAAGGCCAAGATCCACGGTGATTTGACGATTGGTCTGCTGTTAGTATCCCCGTTTTATTTCTCCCATTCTCTTATATGCTTATCTTGTCTTGACGAGCCCTCTCTTGTCATCTTAACTCCATCTACTTCACGCAATCATTCTCTGTTGGTGCATTTCACTGACTGACGATCTAGTAATTAATCTTCCGGCTCTCCAGCAAATAGAAAAGAGTATCCACATACTTCAGTTCTATATATGCTTTTGTCTTATCTCGTCTCGATGAATACCAAGCCCCGTTGCACGGGTGTTGGCCTTCAATGACTTGTTTATGGGTTACGTCATGGTGATGCACGATGCATGGGTTGATTCTTATTTTATTTTATTTCTTTTTGGTGCTTTCTTTCTCGCCTTTACTACAACCAGGGCCTAGATCTGGCCTGGACTATGTCTTGTTTGCGGTGTACAGTACCTTTAGCCTTATAAAGTATCTGGGTCTGGAGAAATGGTTTAATGAAATAGGCTTTTGTGTTAGCATATATTTGCAATATGTCTGTAAATATCCAATGTAGATTGATTAAAGTAAATACATCTACTCTAGAGGTAATGATATAAGAGGAGGAAAGAGAGTGTGAGAAATCTAAACTTGTATAAAACATTACAGCAGGAGCCAGAGATACAAGTGGAGTTACCGATTCGCTTGTTATAGGCAAATGACCTGCAGAACCTCTTTGCTATTAACAAATGACATGATCACAAAGTAGTGACTGGAAACAAATCAAGAGGCTAGAGGGTGACAATGTAATTGCCAGGATCTACAGGCATGTACACGTGATACCTACATATCCACCTTCCATTGTGGGAAGTATACGGTCCTCACTGCCCAGGAGATTCCCATAAAAAGACAACACCTTGCCTGTCAATAGACCTGACCAGTGGCTGTATGGTCAAATCGAGTAAATTGCCTCAAAAGGGCCCAGGGACCGGTTTGATTCATGCAGTCATTGAACAGAAAAGGGCTGGAAGGCGCTTATCACTCATCTCTTTTGTTATTTTGATTTATAATTCATAATAATATCCATAATATCTGCATTGAGGTTATGTTTGATATCTCCTGTTGTAGAGATGAGCTTTTATAGAGGCTAGGTCAAAGACTGGAGGGATCTTGTTGTTGGAGCAGCCGGGGGTATAGGTACATGTAGTGTCTCCCATGACTGATATCCCTACTCCAGGACGTCATTTATACTCCCTCTCTTCCAGGATTGGATCAAATCAGTTCTAGGGAGATGCATGATTCAATGTGGGACAGGTGTCACGGTACCCATCCTTGTGGTCAGTGCCATAGCTCTAGATTGCTCCGAGGCAATAAGCGAGCCTAGGACTATCGAAACACCACAATACTCATAATTCCTTGCTACGAGCATTTCAACAACATATACCTCAGAGCAAAAGCCAGTCCATCCATCTATATCTGACATTCACGCGAGGCATGCAAATCTCAGACTACGCAAAGAAAGCGCCACAACCAAAAGAACGCTCGAGACAAAGAACTAACACATCAAAGAAAAAAAAAATCGATTCATACATTTCATATACATATACTCTTTGTCTGTGCCAAGTGTATGTGAGTCCCATCTAACCACCATGCTTTTTGAAGATGAAATAAAAGGTCACAAGATCATTCCAACATGACATACCCTTACAATCCCGCGACGTACATCAGTCCATATCCGAGTGTGACGATGACAACAAAGGCCATCAGACTGGATGGGATGCCGCGAGTGAGGAAATGGCGGACTTGGAGGTATCGCTGGCCTGTCTGGGGTACCTCGGTCATGATAGCAGCTAGGAATGAGTTAGCAGGGGGTTCGATTTTTTTATCAATACTTGGGGTAAACATACTCATGTTAGGGAATCCACTGGTGGGCAAAGCCATGGCAACAGAGCACATCAGGGCGCTGGCCATGACCAACAGGTTGGGGTGAGGGTCCTCCATGTTGACGCCGATTTGACGGACGAGCGGCAGGATGATAAGAGCAGCGACGGTGTGAGAGATGAACGTCGCCATGACAAGGATGAGAGCGGAGAATACCAAGAGCACGCTGTACAGACTGAGATTCTCGACGCGCTCGGTGATTCCCGAGGCAATTGTGTGCAGTAGGCCCGATGAGGTGACAGCTTTGCCGAGACACAGGCCGCCCGCAGCGAGGATGATGATCGTCCATAGGAAATTGTTGAAATCCTCTTTGTTGAGGATACCGGTGCCGAAGAAGAGGACGAGAGGGATGATGGCGATAACTCCCATGTCGCCGAAGATGTGCTCGAGCTGGTGACTGGTGCACCAGAGGACGATGGTGAGGAGAGTCACGAAGCTGATGAAATATTGCATGCTGGTCCATTGGTCCTTGACTGGGCGGATGGGAATCACGGTTGCGTTGCGGCCAGGGCGGAATGTCACCAGCAAGAGGACCCAGATGAGGAGAATGGAGATGATGCAGACGGGTAGCGCAATGAAAAACCATGTTCCCCAACTGACGTTCGGGTCCATGTTCTGGAGGGCAATGATGTTCTGAGGGGAGGCAATTGGAGACGCCGCACCCCCGACATTGGCCGCCAGTGCGATACCCAGCACGAGTGCCTTGGCAAAATCGGACTCAGGAGGCATGTTGCGCAGCAGAGGCTGAATGATCGAGTAGCAGAGCACGGGCGACGCAACATTACTGATCCACATACTCAGGAACATGCTCACAAACATGTTGGTCAGCAGCACCACGGATGGCTTCGATCCAGCTTTGCTTAGCACGAACATAGCCATGCGCCGTGCGATATCGTACTTGGACAGCGCCGCTGCGATAGTGAAGCCACCGAGGAGAAGCATGATCACAGGCGTCCACATTGCTGAGAACACCATCCCGACCGATTCTTTAGGTCCCATTCGGTGGTAAGGCTCCTCTGGTGACCGCATGATGCCTAGGGTGACAACTAGGAACGGAATAAGGAGCGAAGTCACAAACAGCGGAATAGCCTGTTACTCAATGTTAGCATTCAACATAAGGAAAGACAGAGTTATTAGATCATACCTCAGTGGCCCACAGAATACTGACAAGGACCAACATAGCCAAGCAGTTCTGTTCCTCGGGAGTTTCCATCACTTTTATGGAAAGCATTGCACCGAAGACGGCGATACTAAAGACCAGCGTGCCAAAGCTCAAGCTGCAGAACCACATTGGGAACTTGAACCTACCAAACGGCGTCGATACCTCCTGGGTGGGAATCTCGCTCTTATCACCCTGGCGCCGGGCAGTGGCCGGATCCTCATCGCCGCCCAGCAGAGTTCGGCGAATACCAACGTTCGCGGCCTGCGCACGGCGCTCGATCTCGATCATCTCGCGCCACACAGTGTTTCGCTCCCAAACAACATGTTCACGCAGATGCAAACGCAGCTCGCGTCGGGCAAGCTGCCTATTACCCTTTGTAATGATGCCCGCGTACACACCCTCCACATTCTCGATATGTCTATCAACAGCCGCCATGGTGCTTTCGACGAAAGGCCTTGCGGGGTGGACAACAGAAGCCAGATAGTCTCGGCGCATACTACGGTCCAAAGTCTTGTCATATTTCTTCAAGGCCTTGGCAAAGCCAGTCTTGTTCAGCTCGATGAAGGATCGAAGTTCGCAGAGCGTGACGTAGCCTTCAATCAGGCGCTTCTTCAGTGATATGCCGGTATTATACAGGGCAAGGAAATCCTCGTCGTTCAAGTAAGACTCGTGCGGTTCTCGGGAGTTCAACCGTCCAAAGTAGGAAGAGTCTTCCAAATCAGTGTGCTGGTCATCGATGGCAGACTCGCCATCGGTCGACTGCAGCAATCTCCGACGCCGCGGAACCATTGATGGGGACCTGTCATCGTCGCTATAGCCAGGTTCTTCTTCGTCATCCGCCATCGAGTCGTTGCTAACAGCACTCGACCGCCGAAGCGCGCCCGGGACATTACCATTTCCACGGCGGGAGGTTGCCTTGATGATGGTCTCGGCGACCGGGTCCATATTGACACCATCTGTCTCGGAAAGATAGACATCGGCGTCTTTCATGAGCTCATCGGCGAGTTTAAAGATTTCCGCCTCTTTCGTCTGATAGAAGGAACAGATCTTATCCATCTCCGCATCAAGAGCCCGTTTAAAGACACCATCGGGATTACTCGTTTGAGCACCCAACAGCGGCGCCGACTCAACGTCAGTGGTCGGTTGGCCCTCATTGCGATTGACCTGTTTCTCAAGCGTATAGATCCTAGTCACAATGCAACATTAGCACGCCGAAAACAAACCTCCGAAACACGCTCCTGTGCAATGTGACACCAATGCAGATCCCGGGTTCTGGATGTACACGCTGACCACGAGCAAGCACTCAGACTTACAATTTCTTCAAATTGCTGTACGCAATGTAATTCGCGCTCCAATCGGGCACAGCATTAAACTGCACACTATGAGAGAACTTCATCTTGGGCTCTTTTCCAGAATCTGTCTTGCCTTGCGAGGCGATATGAGCACGGCGTTGAAGAGCCTCAGCCCAGAATCTAAGAGGAGAGCCCCGAGGGCGAGACTGGTCGTCCTCTGATCTCTTCTCGTGCGCTTCGTCGACACAGTACCCAAAATTCGCAAGCGGTTGTGAGGGGGCGGTAGAGTCTACCCGCCTAGCACTACCTTGGACTTGGTCTGAGCGAGCAGCGGAGCCAGATGCGCTTGCGGAAGCTGTTTGAGAGGTAGGGTGGTATTCGACAAGTTCAATGGAATCGGGACGCGAGGTGGGAGCCACCGTCAAGGGAGGGGGCCGGAGAGTGGTCGGCCTAGGTCATTCGAGGAGGTAGCAGGTGAAGCAAGGCTGGAGGGAAAGTAGGAGTGGGCTCTATTGCGGGGACGCGAAGAGGGTCGAGAAGTCCGGGTCAGCTGGAGCAAGTTGTGGGTTGCACTGGGTATTGGTCGGGCTGGTAATGATATAACACAGTTGCGCGCTTCCGATGGATATATCCGGGGGCTGGGATTTACACCAAGACTGTAGGTCGATACTACGTCAAATAGTGGATTTCTTAGGGCTTTTCCGATGACTTCAGGAACAGTTGCAGTGCTCTCGATTCGGAATAGCTATGCTGGATATTAGGTAATCGCGGAGCTCGGGCCTATTACGCGTTGCGCTATACAAAGCAGTCGGGGAGAGCTTGGTATCACAACGATAATTGCCTGATAGAAGCTCGGTGTACGGAGTATGAGGGGGATGAATATGCAGGGTATCCAAGTAAGGTTGTTCTAGGGTAGGTGGCCTCCAATAAAAAGAAACACTAGGGAGTAAGCGGCTATATATAGGGCATGTCCGGCTCACACGTGAAAAAGACTGATCAGAAGAACGATATTGAGAGATCTGAAGCCCCCTTAAAAACTTGGTTGTCTACCATTATATTCCAAGGATTGACTCTGCGCAGGGAATTGTTCAACTTCCTTGGGAGATAGATATAAGTAGGAGTCCATGAAAATAAAAGCCAAATTTGTTTGACCAGACTAGATAAATGTACATATGCAGAAAGTGCTCAGAGATACAAGACAAACCCAAAACCCAGAATGAAGAAATACAAGCCGAGAAGGCTAATTTTACCGGCGGATGGTGGTACCCAAGTTGGCACGGCCAGAAATACCGATCTTGTGCTGCTGGTCCCGCTTTTCCCAGACACCGCTACGACCCTCGGCAACGGCAACCACCTCGGCCGCAACACGGTGTGCGAAGAGCGCATCGCGTCGCTTCTCAGAGGCATCAAGGATCCACTTGATCGCAGCGCGGCGGCGCTGGCGCAGGGTCAGAGGGTGGGGGATCTGCACGGCAGTACCACCACCAGCGATACCCTTCTGTTGACGAATTCGGAAAAGAGGAGCCACGGAGTCAACGATCAGGGTGAGGTAGAGGACGGGGTCGAGGGGCAGCTGGGAAGCGAAGGGGGCGCCAAGGAGACGGCGGCGAGGGTTGATCTGGGGGGTGCGGAGGTGCGGAGGTGGTCCAGAATGATGGACATGTTCTAATATTCAGTTAGCCGAAATGCTCAACATGCCAGCATTCGAATTTATGAGAAGAAAAGGGTAAACGTACCTTCTGCGCCTTGGTCAACTTTCCACTCTCCATCATCATCTTAGTGAACTGATCCTGTAGGGTATCGTAGCGCTTGCGGAAGTTCAAAGTCTTCATATCCTGCGGGACGGCAGGCGCATCGAACTTCAGGCCGGGGTTCTCCTCAAGAGCCTGGCCCTGTGCTTGCTCAATCATGCTAGCAAGAGCAGCAGCGGCCTCATCACTGGCGCCCTCCAGGCTGGGCACCTCAGGAATGATATTAGCCTCATTGGTAGGCTCGGCACCCTGCACATCGGCCATGTGGCCCCGAGCGGAGGTCGAGAACGAGCGCGAACCACTGGACTTCTTGAGCTCATCACGCATAACCTTGGGCATGTGTTTCATGGCGTCCTTATCGCGGCTGAGGATCTGTTCCGCAAAAACAAGAGTTAACAATCTTATCCAACTGTTTTGGCTGCTGGTAATAACCAGCATCCCTCATGATATTCCTGCTTGCTCACCTCCTCAACGGGTGTGCCCTGATCCAACTCCGGGGTGGAAGGGATACCATCGCAACGCTTTTCCTTCTCCATGATGCGGGACATCTCGTTAGCCTCCTCGGTGACATGACCCAGCTGATCGGAGGTCGGGAAGTTCTTCTCCTCGAGCTGGGGCTCGATCTTCTTCGAGCCATCGCTTGATGAGTTCCATCGGCGAATGGGTAGTGACTGGACGGCGCGGAATCGGACGGGGGAAGACAGTGCGGGAGTGGCGGATTGGCGCAGGACCGAGACGGCCTTGTTGGCTGTGAAGAGGTTGAGTCTTGGCGGCATGACTGCGGTTGTGAAAATTGGCCCCGGTGTAATATTGAATCGGAGGTCGAGATTAACCGTCCTGTTTGGGTGAAGTTTGCGGTCTCGAGCAAATTTCCGGGATGGCTTAGTCAGCGCCAAGACCCCCCGGGCTTTGTGAGGTCATGAAGTGTACAACTGAGGAAACAGGATTGAGGGATCATATTATGTGATTAATTGCTTGGAGTGACGATTAATAGAGAAGGCTTAGGTTTTAAATTTGCTAATATGATCCAGGCATAAAGATCTAGCTCGTTTTGCTGATTCTAAGCTGTAGACTAGATCTGAAGCATATATATATCTCCATGATATATCATAGGATAGTATGAGTAAAGACTGTCAAGTTACATATTCCAATGGCTACATGTGCTCCTACCAACGAAGAGATTATAGAGCGGTACCCGCACATGCAATTTTTTTACCACTAGAGCACTATAGACAAGCATATACATAGAATACAAAGAAAACTTGGCCGGAAGGGCATGAAGATTGAACGAAACAAAAAAAAAAAAACCCCCGAGCCCCCCAGAGACGAACCCTACCCCAAACCAGAGAAATCAGCCCCCAAAAAAAAGCCATAGCCTAAGAGGAAACGTCCGTGACGTTATCAGGGTAGACATAGAAAGCCAAGGCAAGTATGACATACATGCCGAGGCACATGCCACCCTCGAGGTAGTTGGACTTTCCATCCTGGATAAGCAGAGTCACCACCAGACCAGAGATAAAGAAAGCAACAGTCTCAAAAGTCTGGAAGTGCAGAGTCATCTCAATACCCATGATCCAGCCAAGGATAACCAAGAACGGAGTGACAAAGAGCGCAATCTGCAAACTGCTACCGATTGCGACTCCAATCGCCAGATCCATCTTGTTCTTGTACGCAACTACAACGGCTGTGACGTGCTCCGCGGCATTACCGACAATCGGGATCAGGACCAGGCCAATGAAGGTCTTGCTCATGCCGGTTTTCTGGACCATGCTGTCGATGCTGTCGACCAAGTAATCGGCGCAAATGGCAACTAGGATAGTCACGACGACGAGAGCCACACCAGCAGCCCAGGGGCTCAGAATGCGCTCCTCTTCCTCTTCCTCGGCCATCACCTCGCCGCCAGCGAGGTGCTCGGTGTCACATCCGTTGGTCTCCTCGAAGAGATCGGAGTGCGATCGCAGTTGGAAGTAGAGGTACATGACGTAGATGATCAGCAGGATGATGGAGGTACCGTGGGACAAGATGAGAATGTTCTTATTCGCCTCCTGGTCCGGGTTGAGGACACCGGTAATGGCATCAGGCCCGGAGCGGGCGTTATTCGAGATCGCGGCGTAGAGGGTGGCTGGGATGATCAGCGAAGCGGATGCCACGGCCATAAGCGAGGACATGGTTGAAGCCACGGTGCTGTTGAAGGACTGTTCCCGGTACCGCAGTCCACCGACGAAGAAGCAGCAACCGAGAACAAGCAGAATGTTGGACAGAATACTACCCAACATACTAGCCTGGACAACACGGACCTGGTTTTGCTTCAGGGCAATAATGCTAACCTATTTAGAACAGCATAATTAGCATCAATACCAGCAACTATCAACCCCAGCGCTGAGAGCACTGGCAGCTGATCAGAGGTCCCGAGGCTTGGTAAGCTTACAATCAACTCAACGGCATTTCCAAAAGTGGCGTTCATGAGGCCACCGAGGGCTTGACCCATAGTAGCGGCCAGCTCCTCGGTAGCAAAACTGAGCAGTGCAGCAAGGGGAACGATAGCAAAGAAATTGAGAGTAAAGACAGCGGTAGAATCCCATTCACGGGCACCGGCAACGATGCCCAACGGCACGAAAATAAGCAGGATATTCACATAGTCACGGACCAGGGTCTTCCATGTTAGATGGACGACCTGCATGGGCCATCGCACCCAAACCCGGTTATCCTTGGGGTGGTGGTGATGCTGGCCATGCTCGGTATGCTCATGGGGCGCAAGACCGGCGAAAGAGCTGCGGTGTGAGCTGAGTAGCCCGGTACGCTCACTGGCGTTCAACGAGCCATTGTTTCCGGAGCTCATGCTTCGTGGCCCGAAAGTGTGGCGTCGGAAATTGGCGCGGAAATTTGGATTAGCTAGAGATGGATGTTCCCGTTAGTTGGGAATGATTCCGTTGCCTGAACGGAATTGGGTTATAATTGGAAAGGCTTTCGCAGAAAGCCGGAAAGGAGCGGATGAGAGTGAAGGAAGGGAATGGGGAACGAAGGAGTATATCACCCACACATAATTTGGACCTAAGCTTCTAAGGAGGTTAAAGAAATGAATGAGCGGGGGGGTTCAAGCCACTACTCTCTTTCTTGGTAGCGTAACAGGCGATTTTCCTCTGGAAATCAACTGGGCAAGGTTAGCACAGCCTTGATGTCAGCAGCAGTGCGAAATTGGGTGGCCACCCTTGGAAATGTGTGGGCCCAAGAATGTGGCCCGGGGGAGACGAGCTTCCGAAGTGGATCCACTCCCCCCACATGTTAGACCCGGAGTCACTCTGATTGGCTGGACCTAGAACCCAGAATTGTGCACTGCCACAGTGACTTGGACGCACGGACGATAATTTCAGCGATCCATGGTGCTGACGACTTAGACTTATTTGCTTTGCAACATTATGTACATCGGGAACATGTACGTACAACATAGGTCATAGGTACTCCGTACTGCGTACATCATGGGCAGTCAGATGAAATAACATTATGTAGATTGGAACTATGTAGCACATGGTATATATCTTTCAAATCAGGAGAACCCCAGTCCACATAACAAAGGTTGAAAAGTTTAAAAAAAAGTAAACCAGGGAGAATACATCAGGGTAGTAAGTCACATCAAGAATGAAAGGGAAATAAAGGAGTGTCAAGACACAGATGAAAAAGGTGAAAGGATTGAATTGAAAGGGGGGAAAGGGGGTCATTACTCCTCCGGCAGCACACCATTGGTTTTGAAATCCATCCGGCTGTTCTTGCGACCGACGCCCTTGAGCATACTGAACCGACGGAACACCGAATCCCGCATACCGCTGTGACTATTATTCAGCACAGGGGATAACGGCGCCGTCCCATTCGCAGTCGTCATCGGCGCTGTATTACTGTCCCGCGTAACAGGTCGTGAATAATCGCGCGTGGATGGGAGTGTCGACCACCCGCCGCTGGAGGCGGGGGCAGCCCGGTCTGTAGCTGCACCAGTAGCAGAAGCGCCGCGCTGCTGGGAGCCAGCGCGACTACGACCGTCGTGGGAGCGGGCGGCCGTGTCGTGGGCAGCATTGTGTACGTTCAGTGAAGTCTGTGATTCGTGGCCGGCATTGGTGACGGAAGTCGACGAGCCGTGCTTGTATATCTTGTCGCTGCCGAAGAAGCTGCGGCGCTTTTCGCTTCGGCCGCCGCGGGAATGACTGGTAGTGCGACTGTGGATTGTGGCCGTGTCATCATCGACAGCTTCGTCCTGTTCGCCCGCTACTTGACCCTTGATGTCGAGTTGCTGAATCGTGAAGATGGAGTTTGTGGCGCCATGAGAACGCTTGAAAGGATTGATGATGCTGATCCGCTGACTGACAGATTGTCTCTCGGAGCGCTTGCGTGCGTGGGCATTGCCTCGGGCCGAGCGATTGAGCTCTTGTTCTTGAGTTGCGGCTCGCTGGAGAGGTGCGATCCGGCGCTTGTCACTCAAGGAGGGGGATCGACGGGCTGTTTGTGTGGGTGCAGGCGTGGTGTACTCGACTGAAGTTGCGACGAGAGTTTCGAGCTCGGGCTCGAAGACATCTTCGAAGCGTCGTAGCAGTTCGGCTTGAGTAGCTTGATGAGCGGGACGTTGGTAGAGAGATAATGCGTGTTTGATGGCCAAGGCGTGGTCGAGAAGGGCGACAGAGAGCGCATTCTCCATGGGGTCCACAGGTTGCTGTGTTTCGACCATCTCGGCATTTTCCTCAATTTCCTCAAGGAGCCTGTTCCGTGCAGCTTCCGCATCGAGAAGGAAGATGCGGTATAATGCCACGCAGTTGGAATTTGACGATCGGGCCTCTAGAAGTGATTCCAAGGCTTCAGTCAAATTAGACAGAGTAGAATCTTCTCCCGACGCAGCACGGCGCCCAATGAGTTGAAGCTCCTGGGTCTTGCGCCACGTTCGCTCAATGGCAGTTTGCAGAGGTGACAGAGCAATCTCCTGGGCGGAAATAATCTCACTGCGACGAAGGATGTTCGGGAACGCCTCCGAGACAGTGAAAACAAATTTCTCAACAAATTGCCCACGAACATCCGAGCTGCTCGTGTGTCGTCGCGACGTAGCCGAGAAACGAGATGGATCAGAGATCAGCAGGTGCTCGCGGACAGAGGATGGGACCTTCGAGCGCTGGTAGACAGGGTGAGACACATCGCGGTGAGCGCTGACGGAGCTGATCTGAAGGAATTGGCCTTCGTAATCAGAAATATCGCCACTAGACATGATCTGCGCAGTAGGATGTTCCCGCTGCATACGATCCACGAAAGAAGCCATGCGTTCTGTCGGCAAGGCCTCGAAAATGAACTCCTTATCGCGCAGGCCGGGAGGGAATCCAAGACCCTTGTAGACAACGCGGAAGTAACGTGGGAATTGTTTGCCGCCTTTAGCAACGGAGTCGTTGATTCGGGCCATCGAGCTTTGAGCTCTGGAGAGCTTGGCGAAGTCCATGGTAGTGTGCTCATAGTGTGCCGCAAGCTCCTTGTAACAAGCCAGAGCGGGGGCCCAGGCCATGGCATTTTCGAAGTGTTGGATGATGGAAAAGTACAAAGCCTCTCTTCGTTCGAACGCATTCTGGGCTGGGAATGCAGGAGTAAGCAGCTCCGGCAACGGCTTGTTGAGATCCCATTCATAGAGGTCGGCATGGAACTGGAGAGCAAGACCGGCTTCAGTGTAATTGCCTGCAGCGGCCTGGGCATCGGCGAGTTCATGAACGTAGCGAATGAAGATATCCTCACGACCCATGTCTTTCATGTATTCCATAAGTTTCAGAGCGTGAAGACTCTGGGTTGAGGCACCACTCTGGGAAGCTACCAGAAGATCCAAGAGCTCATCAACTGTACCAACAAGACTCTTGACAGCATTTGACAATAGACCATCAGATACCGCGTCACTCTCAAAGAGATCCAACAGCTCGCCGACGAAGATCTTCTGGCTAACACTCTCACTCATCTGCTTGGACTTGAAGAGAGTGTCTAGACTGGAGATGATCTCCGTTTCAATGATAGAAATATCTTGGTTGAGATCCCATTCACTGAGGATCATTGTCTGCAGGATCTGAACAGCAACATGTCGAAGTCCCTCGTGGACGCTGAGACACAAACCAATGATTGGGGGTACCAAACCAGGGACGTATTGAACCTGATAACCACCCAGCTTCTTCAAATTGAAGCGTTCTCTCTCTTCATCCGTGGTCTCCCAGCCAATGGCTTCCCAGGTACATTGCAGCAAGTCCGCTCCTTGCTCGCGCACATCGCCCGCAATCTTCCAGACAGCCCGGCGTTTCTGCTCAGGGAAAGTCTCCAGCGCAAGGACATCGCTTGAAATGACCTTCAACAGCGTTGTAAAGAATGACTCCCACAACTTGGTATCAAACGTATCGGCATCGTCCGGTGCCGGAAGCAATCTATCAATTAACAACATTGCAATATGTTCAAGACTTTTGATAGTTGCGCGGTGATTGTACACATGAATACTGAACCAGGTCTCGGGATAAGCTTCGCAGTCGAGGATGGAGTTATGGGCCTCGATAGTCTGAGCAACAAATGTCGCAAGTTCCAGTTCTTTCAGGGAGGGAAGTTTGGGAGACGGTATCTTGGAGATAGCAGCCATAAGCGCGGATAGTTCAACCAAAGATTCATCAAAGCTTTGAGAAGACTTGGCGGTCTTCATCTGGAAGGGGAACGCCTTGCTGAACAGCAGGGACAGATATTCCGTCTCATCCACTCCTTCAGCAGAGATGGCACAGTAGGAGGCCACAATGCTTGGCATAAATCCGAAAAGCAGAGGATCTGACTGGCTGAGCAACTGGGCCACAATTGAACAGCTCAGTCGTACCTGGTCCCGATATAAGTCCGAGACGCTCGGGGTGGAGCCCCAGTAGGGCGCCAACCAGCCAATACAGCTGGATATCAATGTTTGTCTCTCTTCACCGGACGAGAAGACCTCGAATAGGGTATAGTTCTGGATGAGAACCAGCTTATAGAGAACCAACATACCAGTGACATCCTTGCATGAATCCATGAAACTCAGAGCGATCATAATCATTTCATCCTTGCTCAGAACATTGGAGAGCTCAGGTAGCCACGTATGGAAGTGCTGAACCACCAGTGTTTTGCTGCCCACCAAAGCCGGCGAGGAATTTTTCATCAAAGTCTCCAGAGACTTGAAGATGGTATGCATGTCTCTGTTGAAGGTAGATTGCACCGTAGTGATGCCAATGCCTTCCTCCTTGGCCTTTTGCTGCTCGCGAGCCTTGATAATGAACTTCAATAGATGACGTCCCACCTTGAAGGCGGCGCGAAGATTGCGAGATTGCGTACTGTCGGTCGCTGCATTCAGAAGTCGTAGGTAGCTTCGAATAAGACACGGGGTGACAAATGGGAAATTGAACTGGCCATCGGCGTAGCGATCGACCAGCGGGCCGAGGTTGAATCGTCGATCGTGAACAATTCCTAGAACAGTGATAAGATCATTGAAAATCAAATTCTCATATTCTTCGTCGCCAGCGTTCTCAACCAGGATTCCGAATAGCGCATCGAAGACGCCACTGAGTTGCTTGACGATCTCGATCTCAGGAACGAACAATAATCGCTTGAGGGTATCCAAAACTTCATCGACGGGTCTCTCCCGCCAGTTAAGAAGACTCAATATGACTTGATCCTGGGAATATTCGGTGCTGCAGAGGTGGGTTTCAAGGTGCAAAGTCGCCAATGGACCCGTCAGAGCTTCATCCTTGGCGGATTCATTCTTGCCCAGTGCACTCCACGGTAGGTTCAAGTAAGCACCCTTTCCATTCTCAATGCTAGAGGTCAGCTTGTCATAAGCATGCAATAGCAGAGAATGACGGCCATCTTTGATGAAAGCTTGATGGTCCCAAAGGGGCATCCAGGCAAGGGCAAATGGAAATTCTGGAGCATCTGCAACGCTCATGACTATATGGGAGCCGGGAATCTTTTCCGTAGGAATCTTGAGACGAATGGTCTGGTTCCAGGGCGACCCCCGCTGGGCGATTGTTGTGCGCCATGCTGTGTTCAATGTATTAGAGGACGAAGGGAAAACACATTTGTCTATCCGTGCTCCTGTAGAATCACGCACTTCAAGAGTAAGTTGAAGATTGTGAAGTCCTGTGGCCGTCTGCAAAGCAATTTGACCAGCCTGCGGGTGAGACAAGAGGGCATCAGTGGGAAACACCGCTTGAGAGACCGTCACGTATATGTCGGATCTTGGCTTGGTGGGGGCCTTAGAGAATCCAATGCGTTGTGTCAGTGTGACGTCGTGTAATATAGTAGGGTTCTGACGTATCAGAGATTCGGCATCGATGCTGGTGAAGGGGCGTAGATGAATATGTAGACGTGCAGCAGGCTCGGCACGAACATATCGGCCGGTGGGACTGGGCAGTAAGGCGCAAATCAACTTGTCAAAGCCATCTGTCAGCCCTTCACCGTCCTCGCCGTCTCGACGAGGTGACCAAATATTGATCACCTGCTCTGCGTCTTTTTCTTGTCGGAGTATGGGCGAGATCTCCAGTATCCCGACGCCGACAGTGCGAATCGCCGAGATCTCCTTTGCTGGGGTAGGCTGCGAGGTGGCTGATTCTTTGACACTAGACGAGCTGCTCGAAGTTCGTGGGACCGCTTGTGTTGTAGCCTTAGGTGGTTGATCCAAGTTCGGTCCACGCTGTTTGCCCGTCCACATGATGCTGCGTCGTGATTTCAAGCTACCCTTGGCCGAGGGTTGAACACCCCCATTTGACGCGGTCTTGGATGGGGCGGCGCCGTCTCGTGAAATTGATGGACTTGAGACAGGAGTGGTATCAACCGTGGACCGTGTCTCTGGCGCACGAACCCAAGCAACGAGATAAAGCTGGCGCCCATTCGCAGACCCATCTCCGATATCCGTTGCGGCTAATTCGGTGAATAGTGTCTTCAGTTTACTGCCTTGGCTCATGTTGATGAACTTATCAAGAGACGGAATGCTCAGACTGAAGGTCTCAGACAATGGACTGAGTGCGCCGGAGTCTGATCTTGAAAACAGCTGGATTCCGATGGTCACCTGCCCTGGTGCATTCCCAGATACTGCGTTGACTTCCAGTAACAAGTGGTGAAGAGCTGTAGCGTCCGATGTTACGGTGGGACGAGACTCCAGCATACTCATCTCGGACTGCAGCTTTGCTAGTTGGATAGCCGAATCATCACCCGTTAGCAAGCGGCCTCTTTGCTCTGGATCGCGAACAATCACGTCCCCGCTCAGCATTTTGTTTGCTTTGACAAGTTTCCAGACCGTCTCATCCCGCAATGCTTCTTTCTCCTTTCCAGTCAGAACATTGTGTAGTAATTGTCGTCTCGCGAAGTCCAGCTCTTGTACGATGTTCGACAGTTCTTCCAACAGATCATAGCGGCGGGCCAGAAGCAGCTCATGCAAATTAGTCGAATGCCATTCACGCAGACATGAGGCAATTTCATCTACCAGAGGCTCTGTGAGGGAAGTCGGAGTTTCATCACCAATCTTAAGCATCGGAACTGGGGCAGCAGGCTTAGGCGCATCAGGGTCGCGGGGAGCAAAGGACACAGGCGTGTGCGGTGTTGAACCCGTTCGGCACCGCGAGCTTGTCTGATCTGATCCATCGCTCTTGTGAATAAAAATCTGGGAGGGTCTCCCCTTCTTCGCGATCACGACCTCCGATACCTCGGCAGTAGCCTGGAAGTCACCCACGGGGTAAGTCAGACTATTTCGAGACATAAAGTCACCCTCCAAAGCTGACAAGGTCAGTCGATCGAGACTTTTTCGATCGCCATTGAGTAGTGCTTTATGTCCATCGCCATCGCCCAGCACCTCCCGAATCTCAACGCAGTTCCGCGGGAAGATACCCGAGAACACGCGAGCTTCGAGTGTTTGGCCTTTTGTGCTTGTCAAGCCCGCGAGCAATGACGGTGGCGCGACTAAATAGCCTCGACACCACTCATCATCCCTTCCTCCTTGCTCGATAATATACAGCTCATCGCCAAGCTCCAATGGTAGGTCTGCGGGGGAAGATGGGTTGAAAGGGTATATGGCCACGGCAAAGGCGATCCGAGGCAGCGGCCGCCAGGGCATGACTGCGGTATTCTAAAGCGCTCGACGCGATTGGGGGCTTGAAACACCGGGCTCTCCCCGCAAATGGGTCTCCGATCGGAAGGTTCGCGGGGAAGGAAGGGGGGGGGGGGGGGGTTTGTGGATCAGTTCGAGGAATGCTCGTTTCGGTCGATCAAAGGCAACATGCAGTGGGGGGTACGGGAAGTCGAATCCCAGGAGATATAACGAGAGGAATGTGGGGGCTCAAGGAACGGTTTGCGACAGCTGTAACGATCTAAAAAGGCTGGATTAGGGAGGCGCACGCGAGAGACTGGGACCACAGGGGTTCGTCCAATGTCGCCCTATCGGAAATCGGGGAGGATAGAGAGCACAGAACTGTCGCAGTTCTCATACACAAGACACGAATTGAAGATACGAAGGATCCGGAGTGTCGCAATGAAGATCCGTGCCCCCCTTGAGCGACATTTGGAGACGACAGTCGGCCACCTAGAAAGGGAAGAAACTCACCGTGGAAATAAGGAAAGAAAAGAAAAGAAAAGAAACCCGAAAACAAATAGGACGTCTGCCGAAAAAACAGGGAAAACACAGAAAGACGTTGAAAGGAGAGGACCGAAAGATGAAAAGCGAAATCGAAATCGAAGATCACCCCCCACACCGACAACCACCGTACAATAATACACATCTCCCCTTTCGGTAATCGGGTCTGCGTTTCAGCGGGCCTTCGGAGGATAACTGCCTTGCTTCCTCTGCATACCGCAGCTGATACCCGGTTTGAGGTGATCTTACTTTTTAGAATCTTCTAACGTTTATGCTGCTCTACAAAAAAGAAAGCATTCCAGAGTCTCCTCCGTACAAACAGCCACAGTGCACTCCCATTCGCTTGCGACCCAACACAATTCACACAAGAGAATGTGATAGATCAAGCAATATATGGAGTAAATACGAAACCCCTGAAACGCGATAAACTGAAGCCTCGAACCAGTGGGTCAAGACATGCACCAATGAGAAGATCCAGGGCCCGTACATAGAACTAAATATGGAGCCATACGGAGTACGGAGTACATAAAAATCATGATCATGAGCATAAATAAGGAAAAGAAAAGGAGTTTGCTGGGGAATAGAATTAAGTTCGATACATTCATCTCATTTCCGGAACATGCTAAGGGTCTCTTCCTTGCGCCAGTCCAGATCCAGTTGGCCCTCATAGACTTCTTCAATAACCTGTCGCGTGCGGTCGTATATAGCCTCATAGCGGTTTTCGCATTCACGAAGAACCTTGACAACAAGACTGCGACTAAGACCAGGATCGTCGGCATCGCCAAAGTGCTTCTCAACACGCTTCTTGAGCATTTCGATGCCACGGCGGATTTCTTTGTTGTCGTGGGGGAGACAATCTTCTTTGCCACCATGCGGGAGTGGCTGGCGCGGGTTGCGATATCAGTCGGGTTGCCACCTGCAGCGAGGAGGTTGTCAATTGATTGCACGAAATCAATGAGTTTGCCGAGTGGGCGGTAGACGATCGCATCGAGGTATAGCTTCATGTGCTCCTGGAAATCCTGATGGGCCCGGTCGACCCAGCGTGCGAGCGCGGGGATGTTGTGCATATCCACTTCCTCAATGTAGTGGTTCATGTTTTCAATGAGGAGGATGTGGTAGTTCAGAATTTCCTTGTCTTCTGGATCACCTGCACCCGCAGCGACACCCGGAGGTTGACCGGGTGCTTCCTTGGCAATAAACTTGAGTGACTCCCACATCGCACGATTGATACGGTCGTACGCCTCATTGACGTTGGAGCGAATGTCACAGAACGCACCGGATGGGGATGACAGCATGCTTTCTACTGCATTGGAGAAGTTGGGGAACACCCGCATGAAGGAAATCACCCCCTTTCTCTTGTTCACCTTGACTTTGGTGTCCTCAATGCCCCGAATTTGTTCATCTACAAATCGGTTGAACAATCCCATCAAGCGCGAATGGATTTTCTGCAGTGCATGAAGGATGAACTCTTGATTTGTGTCATCAAAGTCATTCATGGCAGTCTCCACCGCATGGAGGATACCGATTCCTTGCAGAGGATCGGCCTGCATCGCCCAATCCACCATGCTCTGCATGTCATTTGGCCAAAAGGAGTAGACCTCATCCATAATCTGCTCGACTCTCTTTGCCATTTCCCGATCGGGGTCATGCGACTGGTTGGCAGAGAAATCGGGACAAATACGGTTTTCCGGAATAGTGGCAGACACTATGTCGGAATAATCGGCGGTTGCAAGGGAATCGAGGTGGAAGAATCGAACAATAAAGTTCTGCTCTTGGGCCATCATTCTCAATGTCTCCCGCAACGTGCCAGCGAATGCCTCAGATGGTTCAGCCCTTCCTTGCTTCTTCCCACCCGAAGCCAATCGAAGCCCAGCGGCAGCCCGCACCGTCTTGCCTCGGCGCACAGTCAGTTTCCGTGCAGCCATAGTAAGGCCCTCGGTTTCTTTCTCTTTCTCTTGATGTGTGAAGAGGAGTTCCTGCTCATCTCCAGTTGGTTTGCGTGCAGTTTTCTTCCAAGCCAAGTTATTATCGCGGAATTCGCCCTGGTATGAAGGCTTGGACTGCTGTTCATAGAGACCAACAAGGCTATGCCACTCTGCCATGCTAACCTCCTTAGCAAAAAGCATCATGGCACTATACCGCCAAATCTCTTGACGGAAGTTTCCGCGCGCGGCACTATCCAATTGGACAGAATCTTTATCGCCATTGGGAAAATCAATCCGCTGTTGTTCAGCCATTTTGAATGCAAGGGCCATGAACTGTTGCAATCGGTTGAGGAACAGAATTGCCATGGAACGATATTCTTCCTTCTTTTGCTTGATGGCACGCATCTGACCAATCTCGGTATCAGCGTAGACACCAACACTAGCATCGACTTGACGCTTCTTGTTTTGTCCAATGTCAGAGTCGATCGTAAGCATGGCTTTATACAAGGTCGACAGAGCGCTTTCGGTGTCCCTCAACCCATCGGGATTGCTCAAAGAAGCCTCCTTGAGGGGCCCAAGGTCGGATGAAGAGATTGACAGCGTCTTTAGAAGAGTTTGAAGTTCGTTTTGCAAAAGCTTTTGATTTGCTGTTTGGACCTGCAGACCCTGGCCCTGAGCTTCAATATAGGCAACATCCTCGTGAAGAGTCTGCAATGGTATCTCGTTAGTGGACAATATGTAGGTAGTATTTTGATATTCCAAAACTTACGTTCAGTTCATGAGAGTAAAGGGTCAATAGACCATCCAACTCATCACATTCCTCGATCGTTCTGTCAATCAAGCTCGCCAGTTGTTCCACCTTTCCTTCCTGCTGTTCAAGGTTGCCAAGCCAGCTGGTGGCTTCGACACGGCCAATTTCACGGCGAACATCTGCTTCAAGGTCTTCAATCTTCTGTTCGTCCGCCAATCGTCCGTTCCAGCCCAGGTCAGTGAGAATATCATCGAAATCGACACCGCGTCCGTCGAGAATGTTGGGATTGATCCCGAGAGCCAGGCAATATTTTATGGTGTGATCCTCACGATGTCTGCGACGACGTCCTTGGGCTGCGGCTGCGGGGGATGGGGTTCTTGAGCGGTCTTCAACCGTCACAACAACATCAGTGAGCTTCTCCTGGGAGACCTCAGGGCTTTCGACCGGGGCCACCGGAGTCTGCTCAAGGGCTGGCTCCGTAATTTCTACAGTCGGCGTTCCTGGGTCTTTAACAGGCGGAGGGGCATTTAGTTCTTGTTCCGGCTTTGTTGCCAATGGGCTAGGCGGGGGATCTGTTGCCGATCGGGTAAGGGATGGGGCTGGAACAACGCTCGTGATGCCATCGGGACCCGCGACATCGACTTGTGACTTCTTCGCGGCTGCCAGCAGTCGCTCACCAGCTCCACCTGCTCTGGGTTTGAAAGCACCTGCAGCACTTGCCGCCTTTCTCCAGGCGCCTGCAATGTCTTTGCCTTCTTTCTTCTTGACCATATTGACCATAGGACCAAGACCCGGTCGATGCGGCTGAGATTCATCAGTTTCTTCGACCTGCGCTGGGGTAGCTTTAGATGGCGACTCTGTGGCAACGGGGGCATCGATAGGAGACTTTTCCTGAGGCGGCTGAATAGGCTCTTCCGAGGCCAGGTTCGCAGCCAAAATAGCGGCAGGCTCTGCAGCCAGATCTTCAATTCCAGGCGATGATGACGGTTCTCGAGGCTGTGGAGAACTACCGGCGGATAGGGCATCTGGTATATGTCTCTCTTGAGAGACATTCGACTGGGTGAACGGAAAGGCCTTTTCACTAGGATCGCGTTGGGGAGACTTTGGTCCAAAGCTAGGCGCCGGACGTGGGGCTGTATCCCCACGTTCATTATTGTAGGACCCAGCGGTCGTAGGACGAAGTGTATCGTTACCATGCATAAACTCCGGGGCCTTGTTTGAGAGTGGTTGGGTGGCAAGAGCTGGTGGTTTGGCACCACGATCCTGGCTACGACCAGTAGATGGACGAAGCGAATCGGGAATACCGCCATAGCTGTTGGCTTGTGCTGCAGGAGTTAAATTAGGAGGTGGTTCTGTACCTCTCGGTTCTGGTGCTGAGCTAGGAGGTTTTGTGTTTGCTGTCATACGTTCAGCGGCGCGTGGAGGGGGTTGTTTATCCACATGCGCCCCGGCAAGAAGCGACGAAGGAGGGGATTTATGCAGGTCAAAGGGAGATGGCGCCGGTCTGCTTTGTCCTGTAGATGGCCGAGAACCGGTTGATGGTCGGGACATTTGCTCCCGGCTCTTTTTGACGCGGAGAGTGGGATCTTCAGAAGGGTTCCTTTTTGGCTCCCGAGGCCCATCGCGACTAGTATCATGTCCTCTGTAGGACGGTTGTAACGAAGAAGGGACTGCGCTGTCGGAAGACGAAGGCATTGGACCAGGTCCCCTTGGCGGGGGGCCGCTTGAGGAACCGCCTGCTTGTCCTGATTGCCCATGCTTTGCCAGCATTTGTCGCTCTCTGTCATCAAACCCGATGAGAATGGGGACCTTGCCATTAGTGTATTTTCTGTAGATCTTGACCAAGCTACCGATGAAAAAGTCCTTTTCCTTGGCAGTCCTAGCATGCCAGTAGTATGGCTTTCCAATGATGACCGTAAATCCAACATTGCCTGCCCATTCCTTCTGTTGCTGCTCCCCTGATGTTTTCGGCACAAAAGAGGCGAATGATTGAATTGAACTCAAGTCGTCAAGCATCCAGGTTTTTCCGATGGAAAAGGACCCATCGCCATTCTCTCGAGCTTTATGCACGCGAACTCGGCCTGACTTCCGGACCGAAATAATAATGATTCGGGGTTTCTTGTTCTCCGGCGGCCCATTTGGCGGGGAAGGACTGGACGGATGCGCCGAGTCTTCAGTGATACGAACGTGGGTGATATAGGACTCCAGCACTAGATGTAAACATTCGAGTTAGAAAGGATCACAAGCAAAGGACCTCTCGACGGGGCAAATGCGATCTAGACATGTACGTCACTTCTTTCGCAATGCGCTGGCAAGTACAGCACCATTGACTGAAGCTAAGGTGCGAGGGCGGGGCTGAAAGGAAATAAATTGATTGTAATACGTACGGAGACCTTCTTCGTCTTTTTTCGCGAAACAACTATGAATGATCCGCCTCTTCTCATCTTCAAAGGCGTCCCCTCGTGACATAGTGCTGGGGCTTGAGCCGGCATCGGACTGCATATCTCCACGACGTGGTGGCAGCCCTAGCGGAGGACCGCGGGGACGATCTCTGCCATTCATTGTGGTATCTTTCGAGGGGCACAGAGCTCACTTGTGGATAGTCGCAAGATCAAGGGGACATGGTCGGGAGGGTCGGGATCGGCGACGCCACGACGCACCACGCGCGAAAGGAATTGAGATCCGTTAAGCGACAACGTGGTTTATGCGGGGGATGATAGCAAGGTACAGGGTAGTGAAAGGTATGGTCCGAACTTATGCTAGAGGCCAGCGCTGAAGTTACAGCGAATTAGCTCATCAATGTGTTTGGGGTCGCCGAGTGTGGACACCAAGGCGGAGAGCTTGGGGCGGAGTATTGAGTTGATCCGGGTTGGGCAACGCTGTAATCAGCACTTGTAATCTCAGGGCCCAGATGTATTTTGAGGTGGTTTAAGCTTTGATTGAACATATCAACACGTTCCCAATATTGCATTTGTACTTGCGTTTACTATCTATTGAAAGCCCAGACCAAAGTCACGACTTCTACCGAGTCTGCGCTAAACCTCATCGAGACGCGCACATAGTCGCGCGTCTACAACAGCGGATATTCACCAATCAGAGTACACCAAGTTGTGACCAATCACTATGGGACTTGGTACTCACCGCCTCCTTTATAGTTTTTTTTTCTTTTCGTTCGTTTTTGGTCCTGGCAGATTATTTCTAATTAGTCTCTTCTTGCCCCGGTTTTCCTTCTTTCGTTGCTCAAACGAATCGTACAGTCGCTATTATGGCAAAAGTTTCTAGCAAGAAGACTTCGGTCAAGAAGGTACGTTCATATCCCCGTCTACACATCTGACATGCAATAGAAACAGCGCTGACGATGCCCTAATTTCAGACCGCATCCCCCAAGACTACCAAGTCCATTCCTCCTCAATTGATCGCCTCAGTCGCGGCTTTTTTGGCTGAAAATTTCCCGGAGGCCAGCGCCGCATTCACCCAGGAAGTGACCAAGTCGGGCAAGAAGAGCGAGGCGAAGAATGTACCCTCTCTCTTGGAGCTCTTCCAGACTTCTGAGCAGGGATCTAGCGTGAAGAAGGCTGCTAGCAGTAGTTCTTCCAGCTCAAGCAGCAGCTCCAGCTCCGATAGCGACTCGGATGTTGAGATGGGCGACGCTCGTTCGTCCTCTTCGTCGTCCTCGTCTTCCAGCTCCGACAGCGATGCGGATGATGAGGACGATGAGGAGTCCCCCGCTGCTCCTACTCCCGCGCCAGCTCAGAAGTCTGCTAGCTTGAAGCGCAAGGCCGAGTCTAGCAGCGAGTCTAGCAGCTCTTCCGACTCTGACTCGTCCTCCTCGTCTGAAGATGACAGCCCCAAGGCCAAGAAGGCCAAGATCTCCTCCAAGGAGTCTTCCTCTTCGTCCTCTTCGTCCTCTTCCTCGGATTCCTCCAGCTCTGACTCCGATTCATCGTCGAGCTCCTCTTCATCGGACTCGTCCTCTTCCGACTCGTCCTCCGACTCCTCTTCCGACTCTTCTTCTGATTCCTCCTCTGATTCCTCTTCCGACTCTTCCTCCTCTGATTCTGACTCCTCCGATTCTTCTTCCGAGTCCGAATCCGAGAAGGAATCCAAGAAGGCGCTGAAACAGGCGAAGAAGACTCCTCTTCCCCAGTCCGACTCCAGCGACTCCGAATCTTCCTCCGGCAGCACCGTCGCCCCTTCCCCTGCGGCCGAGACCAAGCCTGTTACCAAGGCTGTTGAGGCCGTTGAGGCCGTTGTGACTACTTCCTCCAGCGCCAGCCCCGCCCCCGGCAACGGCCCCGCCAAGAAGAAGCACGTTGGAGCTCGCCCCACCCCTCTGGCTCTGCTGAGCGAGCTGCCCCATGACCACCCTTCCAACGACTACATGTCCTACGCCTACGCCGACCGTGCCTGGAAGGACCTGTCCGTGACTCGCGGCAAGGGCTTCACCAAGGAGAAGAACAAGAAGAAGCGCGGTTCCTACCGCGGCGGCCCCATTGACATTGGCCCCGCCACCACCTCTTTCAAGTTCGAGGACTAAACAACAACTCTTGCTTTCGTGACACAACCTATTTGCTAGTCCATAATCTCAAGCTATCTTCAGCACATAATTGGCTTCAGCACATTATTGGGAAACTTGCCATCAACCCCACAAAGGATCCCCTAAAATTGGGAATTTTGTCTTGGATGTCGCGTCGCTGAAGGGAGAATCGCTTTATCTTGGCCATTACTGCAACTCCTGCAGTTTGACCAAGGTTCAGTGCAATGGATGAAAATGCAGATTGGCCTCCTCTCGCATCATGTTTTACCACTTTCACTCAGCACGGCGTACATGGAGCTATGGACAAGGTCGTTGGGCCCAAGATTTGCCAGTGATATATACCTCTTTTTCTTTATTAGCTTACATCAATCAAAAGTTTGGGATACCTAGGTATTTCCTCTCCGAATTCTCATTGTATTTGCAATGTATAACAGGAATGATGTCCATTGATACATAACATAGACAAGAGACAAGATATTCATGCTTGCTCGGTCAAAGATAAAGCATGAATATATTATGCATTTGCAGGTTCAAAAATACTCATATTCTTTGAGATCTAGCTAGCAACAATCTTCGCAATCTAACTAATTTTTATCAAATTTAAGATAGTGTGCAGAAAAAGGAATCCTCCATGTCAAACCCTAACCCGACTCCTCCAAGCCCCAGGCTCCTCCAAATGCTCCCACCTACAATCCCAACCCGTGCGCTGCCCGGGAACTACATCTCCAGGCGCAAGATCCCGGAATGCGCGCTGATTCCTCAGTGTAGAAGTAGTAGCATAGTCATCAACATCTGGGCGCTCATAACCCGCCAAATTGCACACCTCGGTCGTCTCTGGGAAAGATACTGCACCGGGCTCTGAATCCGTATCTATGCCCAGGGCTAGATTTTGGCTGTACCAATCTTTCCTTGAGCCTAGCAGGTCATCCGTCGATGCAAAATCGAGTTGGACGATTCCGTCCACAATGCCTGTGTAGACAGTTGGCGATGAGGGTGAGGGCGAGGACATTGTGTATATGGGGCCGCGGTAGGGAAGTCTTGGGCGGTTGCGGGATCGGGGGGGATTTGGGCGTGGGAATGTAGGAGGTGGAGGATCGGAGAGGAATAAGGAGAAGCCTTTTTGGGGGCCGGGATGTACTTTTGTTTTGGGTGCAGTGTTTCTATTTTTGCTCTTTGATGTGGTTTGTGTACTTTGCGCTTGCGAATCGGGTATTTGTGCATCAAGGTAGTTGTATGTGTTGCACATGCGTAGGTCGAAGACCTTCACCAAGGCCTCACCACCAGCTCCAGCAAGGAAATGGTTATGTCCAAAGGTATGGAGGCTGTATATGGGATTGAGGTCTGTTACGTCTTCGTAGGCGACTTCGTAAGGCCTTGGGGAACGAAGGTCGTGGAGTCTGACGGTGCAGTCATCCCAGGCAGCAAGGAAGACCTCCCCAGGAGAACCTGAAAGGTTATGTGTGTTTAGAGGTTCAATGGCGCCAATATTGGCTTTCGCTTTGAGGCCTGTAGACTCGGTGTCCAAAGAGCCGATTCCAATTGTTCGATATGGAGACACACCGTCTGGAGTGATTTTTGAAATCATCAAGGACCTTTCTACCTCACCCGTTCCCACTGCAACCAGCGATGAAGATAGTAATTTGGAGTATTTATTTCGTGTCCCGATTTCCGGTAACAACCATGTGAAGGGTTCAACTTCCTCCTTGTCCGTCTCGGTATGGTAGAAAGCAATGGACCCATTCTCAAAATGAGCGGCCAAAGTAGGGTATATATCCCTGCTCAGGTCTGTTTTATCCAGTCTGAGCCCATCTGTTTTGAATTTGTGCTTGTATTCATAGGCTCCTTCGTTGGGAGAGATGGCAAGGTGAGCAATATCGCCTCGAACCCGACCGAAGATCAGATGCTCCACGTCTGGATCGTTGCTATATTGCTTGCCCGAGGACAAAAGATGCAGAGAACAAACATCATCATAGCTGCTCACATGGTCAAGGTCATTGAACAAGAGCCAGTTTTCTTGCGAGTGGGCGCCAGTTTGTTTGATCCTCATCACCAGCTGGTTACCAGCACTCCAGGCAAGAACCTCTTTCCGATCCGCCCAGCGCTGGCCATTCCAGACCTCATAAGAATCGATTGCAGGTCTGTATCCAAGAGTAGGATTGTCTTGCCGAATCACTTCATGGGAACCAATTTTGGTTGCAGTCACAGGCGGCACGACAAACCGTCCGATAATGGCTTTTCTGTCCAGGGCACGGGACCTGGAGGTCAGGGCTTGGGCTGCATCTTTCCAGAAGGGCGGTATCTCGGTGCTTGGGAACCTATTTCGCACAAACTCTCGAAATATACGGGAATCTTCAGCGGTGATAATCTCGTGTAAGCGATGACATGTCTGGGACAAATGGGCCAGTGCGTTGGCCGTAGGTAGATGGGTTGCAATGTGGTATATGATCTCTGGCGGGAGCTCAAATAGCATGGTGAAAACTCAACGGGAAGAAATAAGAAAGAAAGAGGTCATATCCCTCGTGTCCATGATTCTTTATTTCTGCCACTTTTATCGGTTTATCGGTCTATCAGCTTATCGGTGTGCTTTGGCGGTGTTGGCGGTATTGGCGGACTTGACGAGGATCTCGAGATATGTATAAAGATACCCATTTATTCCGCAGATCAGAAACTCGATTTCCTCGAAATTTGGCGGTCATAGGATATGAGGCTCACACATTGTAGGCATGCTTTATATCATGTTGGCAATTTGATACAAAAGTTGCCCTTCATTTGCCTTATGACGTATATCCGAGCTTCAAGGCCACTTGGATAGTTCTGAAGAGCTGGCTTGTTTTTGCCCCATGAAAGCAATTGGCCGAATCATGTAGCCTTTCCCCAAGAGAAGAGTTCAAGATATATATGGATTTCAACATTAAAAGTAGCCTAGAGGCAGATGTGTCGTGCTTTCTTATGTGCAATGGTCGCCTTATCTTTCCTATCTCTCTTATCGCTTTCGCGGGGAACAGGATTGACGTCGACACTATTCACACATAGGGATATCCATATGTGTAGGTACCTAGGTAGTTATCTATACTGTCTTAGCTCTATGCGCTTGTTCTTTCCCTGGGCCTGGGCTCACCGCATCCTGCAAACCTTAGGACCTTCTCCGAGCGGGGGAATTCATTACCTAACTCTTTAACTCTTCGCCGTCGGCAAACGCAAAGAAACGAATCAGAGTGAGTTGAACCCCGACGATATGGAGCTGGGAGGTTAATCCTGCACCACCTGTAATACACGGATGAATGTTGGCTGGGCTAATAATTAGCGGCATACTAGCTTCGGCGAGCTCCATTGTATACAAGCCGGAAGCTCGGAGGGGTCCTCACGCCAGGGTTTCTTATATCTGCCCAGGTACCCTCAAGGTATTAGTTACCTTCAGATTCAGTGGACGTTTCGTTCTTCCCCCTTCCCCGTGTCTTCGTCCGCAGGTAGCCCACCCGAAAGGTCTGCAAGCCCCATAGTGGAAGCCAATCGACCACGGTGAACGGACAAGTTTCCCGGCATTCAAAATGGTGTTCTCGGTCACTAACACGGTGGCGGGGTTTCTCTTTGGTTTCCTCTTCTACAAAGCGGTCATCTATCCAGCATTTGTCTCCCCACTATCTAAAATTCCCAATGCACATTGGAGTGCTCCCATATCTCCTATGTGGATGCTATGGAGACGATTCACAAGTCGGAATAATCGGACAATTCAGGCGGCACACGAGGAACTTGGGCCAATTGTCAGACTAGGACCATCGGAGATTTCAATCAACTGCGTGGACGGAGGAATCAAGTCAGTTTATACTGGCGGGTTCGAGAAACATGACTGGTATCCACGAGTCTTCGCATCATTCGGGTTAGTATGGATGAGAATTGGCTCATAGGCAGAAAGATTGCTTACCGTTGAAAATAGAACAGTGAGCATGTTTACCATGGTAGACAGCAAAACGCATTCGATTCGGAAAAGGATGTTGTCCAACATATACTCGAAATCGACTTTGCAAACATCCCCTCATCTCCGGGTAGTTTCAAATGCAGTCATCTTAGATCGACTGCTGCCGATCCTCGATGAAGCTGCAAGATCTTGCAAATCAGTTGACGTGCATGATCTGAACCAGGGGCTGACAATGGATTTTGTCTCCTCCTATCTGTTCGGTTTGAAGAATGGTACCAATCTCCTGCAGGACGCTTCAGTTCGGAAAAACTGGCTTCATCTTTATATGTGCCGAAAACCGTTCGAGTTTTACGCGCAGGAGGTTCCGTATTTGGATGGATGGCTGCGGCGTATTGGTCTTCGCGTGATCCCAAAGTATTGCGATGATGCGAATAAAATGCTTGATTCTTGGGCTCTGGACCTGTGTGATAGGGCTGAGCAAATAATCTCCTCAAATGACCCAGGGGTCGAGCCTATTGTTTACAAGCAGCTGAAACAATCGCTGGACAGGCATTCTCTAAAGAATGGACAAGCGGAACCAGATATGGCTCAACAACGACTCGATATTGCTTGCGAGATGTATGATCAGCTGACTGCAGGCTTTGAAACAAGTGCGCTTGGCCTCACATATTTGCTCTGGGAACTCTCCCGACATCCTGAAGTGCAGAATAGTCTCCGGGAGGAGCTACTCACTCTTGATCCTACTGTTTCATACCCAAACTCAGCAGGCTTGCCACCTGCCAAATCAATCGATAAATTGCCACTATTAGAAGCCATCGTGACAGAGACATTAAGACTACACGCTCCGATTCCTGGCATTCAACCTCGAGTAACGCCATCTCCCTCTTGCACTCTGGCTGGGTATGCAGAGATTCCACCCAATACCAGAGTGAATGCACAAGCCTACTCTCTACACCGCAACCCGGAGGTATTCCCAGAGCCAGAAACCTGGCAGCCAAAGCGTTGGCTGGAGAATGAAAACTCACCCGCTGATCTGGAAGAGAGAAGGAGGTGGTTCTGGGCGTTTGGAAGCGGAGGACGTATGTGTGTGGGAAGCAATCTTGCGCTACAAGGTAAAGATTGCATTGCTGAAACCATCGAATCATGCTGATGACAGCTTGACAGAAATGAAACTGGTCGTAGCAGCGATGTACACCAATTTCCGCACCACCATTGTCGACGATGACAATATCGAAGCGATCGATGCTTATACCGTGAAACCGACAGGCGACAAACTGATCCTTAAGTTTGAGTATGTTTGAAGAAAGCCTTCGGGATGAGATCCACAGGCTGCCACTCTATAACTTGCTCTATATGAGTGGGATTCGCCCAACTCCACTGTGATTGACTACGGTCAATCGTTGACCGATTGGCTGGCGAAAGGATATATGAATCTGTAGGCGAAGAAAGAGATCCAAAGTACCTACTCAAGTAGATACCCATAGACGATAATCATGAAATAAGAGTATAATCAATTGTTCTGACAGGTGATTCCACATCCCACGTTGTATACTGTACATATGAGTAAAAGCCAACTCCCATAGCCTCTGATGCAAAATAAGCAGACCAAACCAGCAGATGCTGACAGAGGCCAGAGTATTCGCGTAATATTGTATCAAAAAGAAACCCAAAACTCCAGGTGGACAACTCGCTTCTGCTGCCAAGTCCGGATGGATAATCGCGGACAATCCAGTTGTGCAAAGAACATTTTAACCAAGGACACCGTCCTTCTTGCGTGGGCCAACAACCTTGGGGTACATTCTCATGAGGTGGTAGTTGACGGTGTTCTTCTTCTGCTCCTTGGATTTCTGTATGGGGATGATTCGTTAGAAAGATGTCGATGATAAGGGAAGAGAGTAGTGGTGGGTTTGAACGTACAGGTGCGTCCATGCACTTGCGCAGTTGAGCCTCGAGGGCAGCGCAGCCCTCAGCGCCGTAGCCGGCGGAAGCCCAGCAGTCTGTGAGGAACACAATGTTGTCAGCAAGCCGTTCTCAACTATGAGACTCAAGGTACTCGGCGTCTGGAATGCGAAGCCCGAGCGAAAGGAGTGACTGGGTCAATGCCTGGGCAGGACAAGAGCAAACATACTGAGCATCGAGGACATCACTGTCACGCAGGGGTTCTGCTCATTCTGATTCGGCCGGCGAACACGGAGGTGGTTGATGGTGTTGAGACGCATCGGGTTGAGCCGGGTGGAAAGGGAGCCTTTGGGAGCCATGGTGGGCAATTATTGAGGTCTCCGATGGAAACTCGACAAATTGGCTGGAGAAAGAGTAGGCAAAAAGCCTTGAAACGATCGTGGCTGGATTAACGATGGGGAGACTGGCGCCGGCGACGGATCTTCGACAAACAAAATCCGAAGTTTCGACTCCGCGGAGGTGGATGACTAATCTTGATCGCGCCTCCATCAGAACGTCTACCTCGAAAGCTTGCCACCTTATTCAGAGGCTCTGTACATCTTGATTTGGGATTGTAAAATTGTTGCGTTGGCAGCAGGCCACTTAATATGACTGGGCGATACGGTTTGCCATCGAAACTCCGCGGTGTTTCTTCAATATGCACCTTTAGAGCTCCCGTAGCTCCCATATACCGGCGGTTCTCCGCAGCATGTCAACTAAATCAAACATCGCCCTCGTCTTCGAACAAGACAGAAAAGAAGGATGGAAAAAATGAAACAGAAGGGGAAGAAAAGGATAGCCCGATGGGTCGTCGTCTGGCCCAAATGACCGAAGATGCGATGCTAGAAGGCGGACGATCTGCGCGCCGCAACATCGAGCAGGCAGGCTTCTCAGAGGAGTTGAAGAACCAACTCGCAGAACGGCTAGCTGCAGCTTCCTTTAAAAGCGAGTATGCTGCCGCTCACTCCATAGTTGATATGCCGGTATGTGATTATCGCTATGTCTTACTGTCCCGCGACTACTAACCCGATTCCCTTATCGCAGGCAGCCGCTGGACAAGGCACACGGGAGAATGCCGCTGCTCCTGCATGGACAGGAACAGAGCGCGTTGAGGACACAACCCTGCGCATGCTGGATGACGCGAGTAAGCCAATCCGGATGCCTTACAAAATCCCCGAGCCTGTCACTTTCAAACCCTCCCCGAAACCCCCAAAGTCTCCTGGACATCGACTGGCCCAAGCGAAAGAGCGCACTTCTACCTATACGCTAAGCCAGGCTCCTGGATTTTCCGAAGAGGAGCGTGAGGATATGCGCCGTGAGATGAGGGAGAAACTATCTCCCGGGGCGCATGCCATGCCAATCTCCCTTTCAGGTCTCGCGTCCCTCGCAAACGAGCGAATCGAAGATGCAATTGCACGCGGGCAATTTAAGCAGATTCGTCGTGGAAAAGGCGTCAATACCAAGACGGATCATAATGCGAACAGCGCGTTTATCGATACAACCGAATACTTTATGAATAAGATCATCCAAAAGCAAGAGATTGTTCCTCCGTGGATTGAGAAGCAACAACAACTTGGCATGGAACTGAGTCGATTCCGCGGCCGTCTTCAAGCTGACTGGCGCAGACATGCTGCAAGATTGATTGCCAGCAAGGGCGGGTCCTTGGACGTGCAAATGAAGCGAGCAAAAGCATATGCTGCAGCTGAGACTCGGCTAGCAGACAGAGCAAAGTTGGAGGCTTCGTTTAAAGAAGATTCATCTGTCTCAGATATCAATAATGATGGTCGGATAGTCTCCCGCGCAGAGTCATCTAAAGAATCAATTGCCAAAGACAACGAGGAACCATCGGAAGATCTAGCTCATCTTCCACCATTGCGAGATCCAAGCTATCTCGCAATTGAGCGTTCCTATCACGAACTTTCCGTGAAACAAATTAATACTCTCACACGCTCATATAACCTGCAAGCTCCATCGTCCGCCCACAAACCATATATCAATCTTGATCGAGAGCTCAACGCATGCTATGCTGCGGTCGCGCCTGAGCTAGCAGAAGAAATCAAACGCCGAGCAACAGAGCGTGCTCGCCCGTCATCCATTGTTCCGCCAGTTTCCTCGTCCAAAGTTGGGTCACTAGGCATGGGACAGACGGTACAGGTTCATGAAGAGGATCAATCGAAGGGATATGGTATGAAGCAACTGTGGCGCGATCTATTTACAAAATCCTGAACATAAAAGATAATAAAATAAGAGCTTTCCATGTGCTCATTTGTCCACCTTGTACAGCCATGGAATAACTAACAATACAGCAATAATGAGTCAGTCTCTTTCGTACACGTTTTCAGTCTCCTCAAATTTCCTCCCACTTAACCTGTCAGTCTTCAGCTTTATCCTCCCCGGGTGACGGTTGCCAAATGTGATCTCGCATACCAGAAGATGTAAATTGGTTGAATGACAAAGCCGCAGATGAACATGCCACCACACATAAGAAACCCATGCCAGAGGATGAAAGTCGGAGCATCCAAGCCCCTCGTGGCAACCGCGAGAGCAGGCAATCCCAGCAGGAAACAAAGAATACCGAGTACAAGTACCAAAAATGCTCCAGCGAGGTCAATCCAAAAGGCGCGCCGAGCGTTATGTCTGACTTGGACTGGATTCGGCAGGTGAGGGGAAATACTCCGCATGATTACCCAAGTGAAAGTAGCACGGATAGTTCTGTATATGTAGAATATGAAAAGGCCCAGGGCGAGTAGCAAGAACACCAGTCCGATGCAGTAGCCAGTGTCTAGTGAGACGCCGCTGTACATGCCCAGGTACCCATCCTTGGGTAGCCAGTCCCGACATATGCCGTAGGATCCATTCGCGTATACCCTTGTGTTCGAGAGGAAATCATCGGCAATCATACTGGGGGTTTCGTCCCGTTTGTGCATGGGGATAATGAAATGATGCCAGGGGATCTTGGGGTAGCTACCGGGCAGCCAACCGGCTTGCTCGAGGTCGGAATCGCCGAAAGGGAGACGCGAGATGACTTCGAGGTCCCCGATCCAGATCTCGTTGATGGCGTTGCCTTGATCGTAGAAGTGGTCTGATTTCACACCATGCACTGCGGAGATCTTGTTGCCCATTTGTGTTTTGGCTGGTTTGATATGAGCTGTTATATAGATATAACTAGCAGTAATAGTAACTGACCTAGACTGCGCAGGAAGACTCTCGTTTGTATTAATGTTGTTGGATGAAATGATGCTTTGATGCAGTGGTAAAAGTAGTGAAATGTCCAAGTTGGCTTGTCCGACTTTCTGAGGGCACGTCATTCATACTCATTGGAAGGAGCGTTGGATACCCTCAAGGAGAACCTTATACATCTTTCAACCCTCATTTTAGAGTCTTCCCAAAAGCGAAGAGAGGGGGATTTTCTGGAAAAACGGTCATATCACTTCTCTCCGTTTTGCCTTCTGTATCTCCCCCAGAGGATTGCTCTATTGTAGGAAGCCAGCAATCAACGAAGGGGAAAAAGGACGCAGTATGAGCTTCTATATAGCCTCTGTCAAAATAGCCTCCATAGAGCTAAGTATGTGGACACCTAGAAACCCTGCTATCCCCCTTTTGATCTTTTCCAAGGGACCCATGGAAAATTTGAAGCCATACATCATAAGCTAACTCACGAGACGCACGCGATGCCACTATATTATTACGCATCGAACAACTCCCAATCCATATAGCAACCTTCGAAGCCAAGAATCATCTCTATCTCACCTCAGTTAGTCCATCTCTCATCACTTCAACCAGCAAATTGCCTGAGCATCCTCTGCTTGTTGTCATAAACTTAGCTTTTGCGTTCTTATTGATCAACCTAGCAAGGTCTGGGTTCGAAACATGCCTGTAGGCAAACCCAAACATCAAAGGTTTATCATTTATTTTCGTACTCTCACGAGAGAACAATAGATGTGACCGTTGATCGCTGACAAGCATTATATCCTGTATCCTTAAGTAAAGGCATGGCAGTTCTGGACATATTTGGGCATCCATCGAAAAGAGAGAGGTATGGATCTCTGGAGATGCTGGCAGCTGAGCTTAGACAGATTAAGGTAAAATTGATCGAACAAGAGAGGAAAAAACATTTGAGGAAATCTATAAAAGAGATATTATGGGCACACGTTTTTGACGACCGGCATACCTTTGCTCATTAAACCCACTAGGTAGTGGCCATTATTATCAAAACTGCTATATTCATCGTACTAGGCGTACCAGGCGCTTATAAGATTCTCACCACTTGCAAATTTCTCACCACTTATAAAATTCTCAGCACTTCAAAATTCTCACCACTTGCAAATTTCTCACCACTTGCAAAATTCTTATCACTTATAAAATTCTCCCTACTTATTAACTTAACTAGATATTAAAACTTTCCTTTATCTTATACCTTTTATACTCTATATAGATATAATATATTAAAGGTACCTAACCTTGAAAATTAAAATAGGGAGAATTTTATAAGTGATAAGAATTTTGCAAGTGGTGAGAAATTTGCAAGTGGTGAGAAATTTGCAAGTGGTGAGAATTTTGAAGTGGTGAGAATTTTGAAGTGGTGAGAATTTTGTAAGTGGTGAGAATTTTGAAGTGGTGAGAATTTTGTAAGTGGTGAGAAATTTGCAAGTGGTGAGAATTTTGAAGTGGTGAGAATTTTGCAAGTGATAAGAATTTTATAAATGCTGAGAATTTTGCAAGTGGTGAGAATTTTACAAGTGGTGAGAATTTTGCAAGTGGTGAGAATTTTGTAAGTGATAAGAATTTTATAAATGCTGAGAATTTTGCAAGTGGTGAGAATTTTGCAAGTGATGAGAATTTTGAAGTGCTGAGAATTTTATAAGCGCCTAGTATGCCTACATACAGAGTACCATGTACATAGGTAGGTACCTAAGTAACGATTAATATAGCGGTTTCAATAATAATGGCCACTATAGGATTTAATTAGTAAAGGTGTGCCGGTAGTCAAAAAGGTGTGCCGATAGTACTTCCTCCGTACCTAATGTAGGTACTCTGTACTTCATACTACTCATCTATAAAAATTCAATATTCGTCCACAAGCCAGTCCCTCTTAACAGAAGTCCTCACTTGATGGAAGGAATAGAAAATAATCTTGAACTAAGACCTTATTTCTCAGCGCTCACCATCAGTACCTATATAACCCGTCTCCCACACTTGAATTGCCTTTCTAGCTATATCCTCAGTTTGATCGCTATCCCTCGAAACAGACAATCAATTCTTGAGACTGGACCCCTTACGCTCTCACCTGCATATGCAAATCGAAGGATTGTGAAGAGATTGGATGCGGATAAAAAGAAGTTCGCGAGACTCCATGCAGAACATGCCAAGAATTTGGAAGCTGAGGAGCTGGCTCAGTTAGCGGCATTTGAGGTAGTTGCGGCGGACTGAAACTCCTTCAAAGCCGACTCGAATAGCTCCAGCCGTTGTGCTAAAAGGGCATTTGCATCCATACTCCGCTGCATACAGCGCTGCATTTCTTGATTTTGCGCCTTCATACTCTCTATTTCTTTCAGAAGATCCGCATTTAACCTGCTCACTCGCTCAATTGTATCCGGAGGTGAGTTGTCCGAGAGGAAGTTCTCCGAAAGGGAGTTGTCCAAGAGGAAGTTGTCCGACCTGGAATTATCCGAGGGGGAGGTGGCCAGGGGGAGGTTTGTTGCTGGGCTTGGGAATTCACGGGGGATTGAGGGAGTATCGTTAATAGGTGGTACACCGGCATCCTGAATTACTTGCGCCCGTAAAGGCTCGAGAATAATCTCTGAATTAAGAGGCCAAATTCCGCAAGATTTAAAGGCCGATCGTATAGTCCTTTGCGTAAAGACCTTCGATCGTATATCCCCAATAATCCGGAAAAAGTCTCGTTTTTGACTGGCAGTTCCATCCCACATAACAGCCTCATTATTGGCCGTACGCAGATAATGCGTTAGGTATTGGAAAGGCTGGCCATCGAGGGGCTGGCAGATTGGCGCAGTATGTGGAATAAACCAGATTGGAAGAATGAAATTGGCCTTGCAAAACTCCATAAATTCGAGGCTGATGTGGGATGGACGATTGTCCATCATCAAAACTCTCGGTCGGCCAGAGCGTACGCGAGTTTTTGTAGCTTCATTAAATGAGCGGAGCCACTCCAACGCAGTTTCATCGTTTACCCAGCCAGTTGGTGTAGTTTGAATGCGAAAATTCGGGATCTGGATTGAGGTATGCTGAGTCTCTTTCACCAAAAACCACGGGAGCATCGCCCAACCATCGGCAGAAATGCATTCAATACCGGTAATAAACTCGCTGGTACTCTCGTTGCCGATTGTAGGGTTTGTAGAGCCAGAAAGGATGCCGTTTTGGGCCTCGCCTTGGCCAATTTGGTAACCAGTTTCGTCCCAATTGAATATCTCATTTGGTTGGATATTCTGCGTAGCAAGCATCTCTGAGAAATTGCGAAACCAAAGCGTGAGTCGTCCAATATCCTCACTATCAAGCCGGGATTTTTCTTTGATTTTTTGACGGCCGTATTCGCGGCCATATTGGGGCTTGTACTGTAGTTTGGATGGTAGTCTTTTGATGAAGCGGTAGACCCAATTATGGCCCACAGTACGATCTGAACCCGAGCGATGCAACATGCGATTTGCATTAGCCTCTAGGTGTACTGGAAGGGGCCGAATATTGGCCAAATGGAGGTATTCGATCCATTGTATAAGAGCCTTCTCTTGGATTAGACTTAATACTCTTGATGGATGATCACTAGTCTCTCGCGTTTTGCGGCCGTGAATGCGGCTATAGAGCCTACTATACGGAACATCGAATTCTCGCGCCAACTGACATATATTGGTGGTCCTTTTGTGATTGTAAGCTTTGATAGCTTTTTGAATTCTTAGTTCCGTTCTTCGGGCTTCTTCCCGCGTCATTTGGGAAATATATGGGATTGATGAAGTTGATGTAGATAGGAATTTTTCTTGAGAGGGACAGCTCGCAACCGCTAAGGCCAGGCCGATCATCGCAACTGGCCGCCTTTGTTCTGCCACTGGAATCCCTACCGCCCAGAGTGGGAGTTGTGTACGGAGTACCTACTCCATACTCCGTCCACCAATGTCTGTAAAGATGTAGTATAGGTCTTTTCTTTGGGGTTCATAGTGAACAAAGCACTCCATGATTCGAATAGAATCAATACAGGACTTTCTAAACATAGAATCCTGCACGGAGTAACTCTAGAGCTATTCTCAGATAGGTTGGTTGGAGGGATTATTGGCGGGAAGTTAGGGCTTCTCTCCGCTGTGAGTGGCCGCCGCCAAGTGACGATCGTGCATGAGGGCGCGTATTTGTGACCAACGACAGGCGAAGGTCTGACTGCCTCGAGTTGCACCGACTTCTCTTCACTTCGTCACATTCTATGCTCACCTCTTATATGCACCCCCTCTCCTGCCGCCCCATCACCTCTGTAACATGTATCACCCCAATTCCTCGTGTGAGATTCGTCTGATGTTTCGAAATGTCGATCAGTGACTGCACTTGCTTTTGAAATAATCCTAATTCCCCTCTGATCTATCTTATAAGTCGGGTGCCAGAATGTCTACCCTGGTTGCCTTCTTTCTGCGTGTTTGTTTGACTCTCTTAATAGCACATATCGGCCCAGTGCGTGGGGCCCAAGAGAAGATCGAACGTGAAGTCAACTCAGCTGCACCTCGAATAGTGGATAAACCACTGCTCGCAATTCAAATTGGAAGCATTGTGGGTGCCTATGTGATCTTCGTCGCTGTCCTCCTAGCTCTACTTATCTTCGTCGGTCGTCGCCTGCGTCGAACAGTCCAGTCTTCCAACTATACTCTGCATATGGAGATGCTGAAGCCTGCCAGACCGACTGTCAGCATTGATCCCAGTCCAATTACTCCATTGTCACACAACCTCCCTAGTCCCAAGTCAAGTGGGTTCAAGTCCTGGGGCTCATTGAACAGGAGTGCCAGACCTTCCCAGCCATCCGTCAACGGCAGCATGTTGACCATCGACGAGTCCATCGTTGCAAACGACCGACAACGAGCCCAGCATGATATGGAGATGCTCTATGCTGCGGTCATGGAACACGACGCCCAAAAGGCCTCGGGGATTGATCTGTCCGTTCGGGAACGGGAATCCCATTCCCAATCCCACTCACCGGACAGTCAACTCACAAACCCATTCACCGACCGTGGCTCACACGTATCGGACAGCTCATTGGCGCCATTGAAGTCCCCTACCAAGGGCTTCAACAGTTCCCGCTTATCCAAACTTTTCAACTCAGGCTCCCGCGCTAATCCAGACCCGAGCAAGCTGCGCTCGCCGCGTCTGGATATTCGCAAACTACCCATATCATCACCAGTAGCCTCGCCAGCAATAGCTACACCCCAAGCTTATATACCAGAAAATCCACCCCTTTCACCGCGGATTTACAACCCCGGTCCTCCTCCAGTGGTGCCAGGACAACAGTCGACCGGGCCGATCATGCCCGCCCCAGGGCGTGCCCGTGCACCGGCACCTCTGACGTTGGCTACACCTTCACCTTCGTCTTCTTTGCCTTTCCGTGAGGCGTACCCACCACAGAGTGCCCCGGCAACCAAAACTACCATCTTGGAGCGGCCACTGAAGAACCGGGCCGGACCTCTCACAGGCATGGCCACACCTTACAGCCCTTACATGCCGTTTACCCCTGTGACGCCGTTTACTCCCGGGCGCACTGTGACCAAGCGACAGCGGAAGCGAGAGGAACGTGGAAACGGACTACAAGTACTGAACGAGGACGACCTGGTCCAGAATGACGATGCCATCTGGGGGTAAGCAAGAATGACGCAGCGGAAATAGTTCACATTGGAATTAGGCGTCGAAATTGGAAACGGTTACGCATCAACGCATCTACAAAGAGAATGTTCACACATATATACACTGGCTGTATAGTTTTATCCAAGAATCTAATATCCACACGGAGTACCTTTTCTATCCTCCCTACATCTTCTCTCTCAAATGCGTATTGCCTCTGATAATTGCCTCCGCGAAATCTGCTCTCGTCCCCGCCTTCTCAAGACTCAAAAGGGTCTGGATAGTACATCCCCTCGGCGAAGAAATGCTCTCCCTCACAACACCTGGGTGTTGTCCAGACTCCAAAACGGCTGTTAACCCCTTCACTCCCTGGAGGACCAACTCCATGGCCTCAGAACGCTTGAGTCCCTCCGCAACACATCCATCCAGCAGGCCCTCGATAGGCAGCGTCAAGGTCGCCATCGTCGCGCCAACAAGAACAGTTGCCAGTCCAATTTGCTCAGGACCGAGATATTTGACTGCGCCAACCTGCTTAAAAATCCACTCTGTAATTTCCGCCATGGCCTGCGGGACCGTTGGCGGCGGCGTTTCAATGATAGTCATCGACTGGCCAAATTGAGCACCCATATTCGGGACCGCTACCATTACATGCGGGTCTTGAGAAGTCGTAGGCTCTGGGTTAATGAGACCAGTGAGCTTTTCAGCAGATTGGCCTCCAAGCATGCTAATGACGAGCTTGCCAGCGAGGGCATCACGGACGCCTTCTTCACCAAGCACATCTGCAGCCATAAATGGTTTGCAGCCGAGAATGACGATATCGGCTTCTTGCATTGTCTGGACATTTTGCCCCGAGACGACTTTGATGAGTTGTTGGTGCTCGGGGGCGAGTGATGCCTGGAGCCGCGCGGCGGAGGCTGCTGTTTTTGTGCAGGTGATGAAGCGAGTAATTGGCTTCTTGGTTGTTTCTGTGGTTTTGGAGAACGCGAAATTGAGGAGGCCGTTTAAGACGGCTCCGCCCATGTTACCTTTTGTTTTTTGTTAGGGCTGTTGTGTACTGTGTTCGGATGGACGGTTTTGGGGACTTACCGCATCCGATAAATCCAAGTGTTTGTCCTGAGGCCATTGTGATAGTATTTTTGAATGTTACTGAGGAAGATGTAAGATTGATTGTGTTTTAGATTGAGGGGTCAGCTCTATGGCGATCTGGATTATTGAGTCATGCATCTCGGGTGAAGCTCCCGATGTTGGCACTCGGTGGATGATGCCGAGATCGGCCATTTTTTGTTTTGGCATCAATCGCAGCTATGTATATCAAGATCTTTCCTATCTATGTAGTTTAATATCGCAGTATCTATCACATGCCGATTTTTGGAAAAACGATCGAATGTTCATTTGGAATCGGAAAATTGGAGGACCAGAAAATAGTGGGTGGCGTTGGCTCACAGCTCCTTTCCGAAAATAGGAACGGGACTTAGCTTTGTTTTCCGACTCTGTATTGATATTCTCGAATTTTTATAGAACTGCTTGGATAGGAATTGCTGATTCGGTTCATTCAGAGATGGTAGGTACTAGAGAGAGCTACGAAGATCTTGCGTATCGAGATGCAGAAGAATTTCAAATTGAGATGTATATGGGATATCTCATAACAGGCGAATCTATACTTAGGTGGCAACTTCAGGACGTAATGAAAACAGATATCGGGGTACCTGAGACGGGCTCGCTTTTATTGTGGCGTAGAGGAATAATTTCTCGGGAGGTTAGTCAGGAGAGTATTGTCGTCAACAATAAGCTCTCCACATAAGAATGCCCAGCTCTGTTATAGTGTCCACTGTCCGATGTCAATGCACGAGATAATTATAAGTGATCATGTGATCAGATGCATTTATCTGATTTGGGCCTCAGGCACCACTCCGCCTTAAAAGTGGCGTATACAGATTTCCACATTGGGCCTGGCTCCGCATCCGAATGCAGCAGCAATGCCTGGTACCTGCCTAGTTATCATCTACAACTCGAACCTTCTGCTTGCTTCTTCACCCATGCGCAGGCCTTGAACCCGATTTTCTGTTCTGAACCCTCCTGTGATCTCTAAAGTTCCATAACTATCAAATAAGTGTCTTTGCCGCATCGATTGCGTTGATCGTCCCTGCCCCTCCCCCCACCTCGCAGTCGCAGCTGTCGTCATCCTCGGAGAAGGCAACTGCGCACCTCCCGACGCCCGAGTTATTTCGGTCCAAGTCCCCAGTTCTGTTCTTCATTAAGGCTTGGCACGGTGATAACTTGTGTTAATAGGCCTTAAGTGGGTTGTTTCACTCTTATCTTGGCAGAGGCGCGGTTTGAACTGTCTTGGCTAACCAGATCTTCTTCGCAGATCCCAGACTTTCTCCCATCCCCCACTACTCCCTCTCTTTATTTCTCTTTCCCTCTCTCTCTCACTCTCCCACACACAACATCTCTCATTTCCGTGTTTGCAATACTACGAACCACCTAGATGCCTCTCACAATCCTCTCCCGATCCCAGCTCCGCGAGCTGCTGCATGCGCTCTCGCGCGACGAGATCGTGCAGCTGCAGCGCAATCTTGCTGAGGCCTTACGAGAATATTCCACCGGATCTCAAGATAAAGGTTGCTCGGCGGCTTATCAACCTCAGAGAACTGCCATTACTCGTCAGAATGGCTGCACCACTCTTTTCATGCCCGCTAGCACGGGCCATACAATTGGCATCAAGATGATTTCCCTGCAGGACGGGGCCGATGCGGGCTGTGCAGTAGAGCGCGAGGAGGTTGATGCCCAGGAGAAGGAACATATTGCCTCGCGCAGACGAGGTTCTTTCCGGAATTCGGTAGCCTCAGTAGCCTCCGACTTGAGTGACCTTTCTGTGGGCTCCTCCCAAGGAGAGAAGGATGACCAGGAAGATCAGGAAGATAAGGAGGATACAACAAATAGCGGGGCAGGATCAAGCACAGACAGTTCCTTGCTACTCAATGGCTGTGTCAATCAGCAAAATGTTACCTCCAACATTTCCACAACTCTTGGCGCTTGGCCGGGTGCAGGAACTCGTGACACATCACCCCGCGGCAGTGTGACACTGCTAGATGGCGAGAGTTTGCCTTTCGCCTTGATAAACGCCCATGAGTTGACAGCGTTCCGCACGGCATTGGCTTCGCTGATGATGTTCAATAGGCGCAAGAAGGTGCGCACTCTCCTCGTGTTTGGAGCGGGTACCCAGGCTTATTGGCATATCCGCTTGGCGCTGGTACTTCGCGGCGAGGACATCCGTCGGGTGTACATCGTGAACCGTTCATTTGAACGTGCCGCCAAGCTTTTGCGCGACATCTACCAGCCCGAGAATACTGAATGGCGCCGCGATGTCAAGTTTTCAGCCGTCAGCAGTGATTTCGGCGAGTACAGTCGCATTTTGAAGGATCAGGTGCGTAAGGCCGATGCGATCTTTTGCTGCACTCCATCTCCGGAGCCACTTTTCCCTGCAGAATACCTCATTTCGGGCGAAGGGCGGCAAAAAGGTCGTTTGATCTGTGCGATTGGATCATACAAGGCACACATGTCCGAGATCCACCCGGATATCCTCCGCGATGAGGTCAGTGTACAGCCCGCGCATCGCCACTGGCACAAGCATATTCACCGTAGTGGTGTGATTGTTGTGGATAGTCTGGATGCGGCCATGAAAGAGGCGGGCGAGATCATCCAAGCCGGTATCCAGCCGAAGCAGGTTGTCGAGTTGGGCGAGCTACTGATGGTGCGCGATGCCACTCGGGGTGCCGAGACCTTGGATGAGGAAAAGAGCCTGCGTGAGTGGGCGCAGCGCGGTAATGTCATCTATAAATCGGTTGGCCTTGGACTGATGGACCTCGTTACTGGCGGCGATCTGGTGCGCTTAGCGCGGGAGCGGAAGCTTGGAACCACAGTGGAGGACTTTTAATTTCGATGGATACCCTTTGCTTATTTTAACTGGTTTTTTATTGGCTTATAGCTGATTCGCTTCGGACAAAATCAACTTGTTCCAAGGAAATTTCGACGATCAACAGATCTCCGGGAGCTTGAAATATCCTTAGCTGCTTGACAGCAATGTGGGAAATAAGAAATTAACCCCATTTCACTCTTTGAAATAGCATGAAATAGCTTTCTAGAGCTGAAGGTCAACAGAGATATAGTGTTATATTTATCAGACATCCAAATTAGCCATGACTTCACTGTAAAGAAAGCAAGTAAAGCGTCAAGTGGCTATGTGGGCTGATGAGCGGGGGTGTAACTCTCGGGCAAAGTTCCCATCCTTTTTTTTTCTCTGAGCAATCTGCAGCTTCGCATTACCAATCCAGGTATTACTATTGGGCTTTCTCTGCTTTTACCAGCATTGTGGTCATCAGTGCGCGATTCTTGTTGCACCCCGCGCAGTGAGGGGCTCGAGGAGAAGGGATAAAAGTCAAGCACCTGCTGGATTTTCGACAGACCACAGTCTTCGAGTCACGCCCAGGTGAACCACCAAGGCATATTCGCCATGAAAAACACCACCTGCTACCTGCCCAATGGCCTCACCTTCCAGGTATCGCCCGTCTTTGGTGGGGTGACCTTCAAATCCGCCGATTTCAACATACAGCAGAACAGCACATTCCCTCCAGGATGGACGATAATGATCAACACTGCAAAGCCTCGCAAGGCAGACGAATCAACAGATCAAGACCAGCCAGACTCGGAGTATGCCCGCGACAGTGGCGATAATATCACCCGCTTCACCACCCCCACCTTGACCCGCGACTCCCTCTATATCTCGTACATCGTCAACCCACCCTCGAGCGACTTCAAACCCGTGGCTTCGCCCACGCGCCAAATCGCCATGATGCTCTGGGCAACTCTGTGGTGGTACTTCCACGAGCCAGAGCCAGATCTGCACGTCGAGACCGCCGCCTCAAGCATGACACCCCGCGACGGACGACCAAAAGGCGAATGGCGCATTAACATCAAGCGCGAGGGCATCTTCAAGGGCCGGAACCTGCTGCAGAAGCTCGAGCGCATGGGTCTAATGGCGACCGAGGACTCCTCAGTCGGCCTCCAGCCCGTGGAGACCCGCGATTCGAGCAGCTGGTCCACAATGTTCGTCAGCCGACGCAGCTTCTGGCAGCTCGACCCGCGATTGTTCCTGTTTACTCTCACGCCGCGCGGTCGTCCAATGACACCCCCGTCCGGTCCCGGAGCTCCTCGCCCACGCGCGACGGCCTGCCCAGCGCTACAACCCTCCTGGCACCCATGGAGGCTACTTTCCACACGGCGAATATGGGCCCGTTCACGTCCGTAGGACCCTTCACGTCGGGCAGCCACCTCCCTACGTACTATCCGCCGCCTCCGACGCAGTACACATTTACCAATGGGGTGCGACACCCTGTGCGCCCGAAGCCGCCGCACCAGGGCGAGGTTTTCTACGTGCGATACGTCCCCAGTCTGAAGCAGTATCTCTCATTCCGGGTACCGTTTGCGCCGATGATGCCGCAATCCGGAGGGGAGAACCGGCCGAGGACGCCAGTCACCTCGTCAGTGACGAGCATCGAGCAGCATCTCACGGACAACATCAGTTCGGACGTGGACACGCTGCACCGGTGGATGAATGTGCCACGGGTGGAAGCGATGTGGTCCGAAGGAGGCCCGAAGTCCGTACAGGAGAAGTTCCTGTTAGCGAACCTGACCAGCCGCCACAGCTTCCCTGTGATCGGATGCTGGGACGGCAAGCCGTTCGGATATTTTGAAATCTACTGGGTGAAGGAAGATTCTTTGGGACGACTGGTAGACCACGTGGGCAACTATGACCGTGGTATCCACCTGCTCGTCGGTGAACAGGAGTTCCGCGGTGCGCACCGCGTCGCAGTCTGGTTGAGTGCGTTGGTGCACCACTGCTTCCTAGCGGATATGCGGACTGAATCTGTGGTTCTGGAGCCGCGGATCGATAATATCAAGTGAGTGATATACACATCGGTGCTGGTACTATCTAGAAGAGGAAAAGCGATGCTAACATTCTCCAGACTGATTAACTACCTCCAAGAAGCAGGCTTCTATAAAGAAGGCGAGGTCAGCTTCCCGCACAAGCACTCTGCTATCATGAGAATCAAGCGCGAGTACTGGGAAAGCCCGGTTCTATAGAGTTGCAGCGCGTGTATCAGGGGAATTTTTGCATTGAGATGATCACGAGTAACGAAATAGCTAGCATTGCCTGGATTTTGGTCTATTTTCTTGTTATTTGACTTGCTTTCGATATTTGCTTTGGGGGCCAAGGGGGCGGTTAGCTCAATAGAACGACTATGATGGTTATTGATGATTTAATGGATGGATCTTTTAATGAATTCTTTCAGTTCGAGGAGCGGTGTAGCTAACGTTGACTAGAGATTGTTTCAATCTATTCACTACTCTCATCTCTCTTCAAACCTAGGCTGGTAAAGTGAAGCCTTGTATATAGTACAAAGCCCTACATCACGATATTTTGAAATATCTCACAGCCGTGAGGCTATTTGTACAATATAAGTCTCTCCATTGAGCAATTCCTAGCCATTGAAGCTATCTCGACTATATAAGTCTCTATCTAAAACCTATTTTAAGATTGTCCTACCGCAAAAATCCCTATATCCCCCTATTGCTAGGCATTAAACCCATTCTGATTGCAAATGATAGGGCCTCAGGGCCTGGAAAGAGGTGAAAATGAGAGTTTTTATGGTGGGAATAGCTTCAGTTCGGTGTCAAAAGTGGTTTACCTACCTGTAGATACAGTCATCAGGTCGAATTCAGGCAGCATCCTCGAGGGACATTATAGGTCCTTTAGCACATATGTGCTTCGTCCACTGATAGGATCTTCTAAATGGATATCACACTTCGAACTTCTATCGAGAGCTGTTTTGACCTCTTTGAGGAGATCAGCTGCAAAAGTAGGATAATCCTCAGTTTCCTTTTTAAACTTGTGATCTGCAGGTCTAAGGAAGTTGCTGATGCAAGCCGCAGCCAAAACGCGGCGTAGCGTATGTCCTTGAGGCAAAAGGAGACCTGAGATATTGTGCTCAGGTGTCAGGTGAGTGTGGTAGCCTGAAACAGAGGCCGAAAGTTGTTTTTTGATATATCGAACCGTGGCAACACCGAGACCTGTGATATCGTATTTATCTGCAAGTCTTGCGAGTTCGATTGCAGCGGAGATATGCTCTTCGTGATGGTTACTGTCAATCTCGAACTTGATTATGCCTAGGTATAGCCATTGAAAGAGAGCTTCAAGACTGCGGACAGAGATAACGCCTTCCATTTCTTCAATGGTTGCTGTCTGTGTTTTAGATTCAAGGAAGTTGCTATTGAACATCGTTGAAAAGACTTGCGATTTTGCGCAAAGAAGACTCTTCGAGATTGTGTATTCGCGATCACTGGGTTGGATTCGTATCTTCACGAGGGGTCCGTGGTAGCGGGGAAGGACACTGCATGCAGAGATACATTTAGACATGCTGTTGTTTTAAGAAGATGGTCTACTTACGCTGCTGCGAAGCTTTTTGGCTGCTCTATAGATGTGGTACTCATTGCTTCGTACTGGGTTATCGGGTTGCAGTCTCGGGTGAAATCTGAAATCAACTGTTTGATGAGAATTGGCGTGAAGGAAAATAGCTAATTGGGAGACTTATGTACTCATAGAATGATGCTGAGGTGATCTCGCCACTTCCAAGCTCGTACTTTGTAAATGAGTTTGGATATCCGGGGGTCAGATGCTGACTTTGGTATGCTGACCAGGCTCATAAAGCCCCGGTCTAGAGGGATTTGCCCCTCATGGAACGGTCATAGTATAGCTTGCTAGTTGAGCTCAGTGGCTCTATGGTGAACTTGTTCCCAAGTTCCAGTATTACGCAAATATCTCTAATCTACGTCGATATGTGAGGTCTTAAGCAAGAAAAAGACAATTCAAGTAGTTTCATTCTTAGGATCTATGAACGTGGGTCCATCGCTCGATAAATCCAACAGGGTCAACGCCTCCCGCACCTCGTGGATAAGATCAGCCCCAGACGTAGGATGATCTTGAGTCCCCGAAGCAAATTTGAAGGAACTGCCATTGAGAAATGGAATAGTTGAGACTGCTGCTAGAGTCCTACGGACAGGGTGTCCTCGAGGCAGTAAGGCAGCCGAAGTAACGTGCTTCGTGTTGATCCAAAGTGGGTAGTGGTCCCTGGGAGAATAGCCTGTATGAAGACAATGTGAAGGTGGAGGCGGACTTGTAAGGACGAGCATTTTGATGTATCGAACCACCTCGGATTGTATTTCAGCGACACCATACTTCCTGGTGATGATAGCTGACTCAATCGGTTACAAAACCCCCAAGACTCCGTTCAGGCGCGTCGGCCATTTCTTCAGATGTGTCAATCATTGCGTTGGATTTGGAAAGAGAGCAGGAGGTTTGAAGAGGGATGGTGGATGAATGATAAGTGGAACGAGCCGGTCAATTGTTGATCAGGTAACGATTGAAGAAGCTATGCTTGAGGCATGTCCAGCCAATTGTAGTCGAATTCCAATTAGGGGTCCGTAGTATAGTCTAATTTCGCTGAATGGAAAGCTTTATCCAGAATCTTCTCTGCAAATGATAGTCCAGCACTACCTAGATTTCGGCGGCATGGCTCATCGCATCGAGCTTGTAGGAGACGTCTTGTACAAGCATCGGGAAGGCATTCAACCTTGGAACACCCTTACCCACGTAATTCTGTAATCCTCCACCCGTCGCGAGTCTATGCAATCACTTTCAATACGCCTACTCCCCTACGCCCATCTCCAACATCCAAATTCTGCGGGGAAACCCCATCCCCCACACCTCGGCCCATCTCGGTCCCACGCCCAACTCATATAACTTATAACGCCATCCCCTATATCCCTCTCGCTCCCTAAACTAGAATCCCAACTTATATACCAAAACCAAATCAAAATGTCCCTCCAAACAACCCTAATAACCCACCAAACCCTCAAAATAGCACACCTAACAATCTCCCGCCCCAAAAAGCTCAACGCCCTGAACACGCCCCTCCTCCGCCAAATCCCCGAAGCCCTACGCAACCTCTCCAAAACCCCCAACCTGCTCGCCGTCACGCTCACCGGCGCCGGCGACAAGGCCTTCATCGGCGGCGCGGACCTCGCCGAAATGGCCGCGCTGTCATCACCCGCCGCCGCACGGACGTTTATCTCGCACGTGCATGCGGCCTGCGATGCGCTGCGCAGGTGTCCTGTGCCGGTGATTGCGCGCGTGAACGGGTTTGCGCTGGGGGCGGGGCTGGAGATTGCGGCGGCGTGTGATGTGCGGGTTGCGAGTCGGAGGGCGGTTTTTGGGATGCCGGAGGTTGGTGCATTTTTCTTGATTTACACTGTTTTCCAGACGTGGGATGTTGGCTGTGTGGGTTAAGTGTTGGGCTAATGTATACAGGTGTGTCTTGGGATTCCGTCTGTTGTGGAGGCGGCTCTGCTGCCCGGGTTGATAGGGTGGGGACGGACGAGACAGCTTTTGTTGTTTGGGGGGACGGTTTCGGCGGAGGAGGCGCTGCGGTGGGGGCTTGTGGAGAGGGTTGTTGGGGAGGGGGAGTTGGATGGGGCTGTGAGGGAGTTGACGGGGCAGTTGGCGGGGAATGGGTTGCTTGCTGTGCGGAGGCAGAAGGCTTTGATATCTAGATGGGAGGAGCTGTCGCTGGGGGCGGGGATTGAGGCGGGGGTGGAGGCGTTTGGGGGAGTGTTTTGAGGCTGAGGGGGAGACGGAGCCGGGGAGGATGATGAAGGCGTTTTTTAAGGAGAGGGAAGAGATCAAGGCGATGAGGTCGGAGGCGGAGGGAGGGTGTGAAGGGGGTGCGCTGTGATAGGTACGATGTCAGTTGGCTCCGCAAGGGGCTCGATTGTTGCTATGGCTGCAGGATCTACGGAGTATAGATTACAATAATTGCGGAGATCCAATTGAGGTATGATATCATTATCCAAGGAGGTAAGTACATCGGGAGAATACATCGATCGAGGCAAATTCTAAGCATATCAATTCTTGAGACCATTCAAATAGCGTGGAAAGAGTGAAAAATGAGACCCGCACATAGGGGGCGATGATAAAAAATACCGGACTAGACATACAAACGCCGATGCCGTGCCCGTGCAGATGCAGTAACGAATGATATGGGGGAACAGGAAAGAGAACGAAAAGAGAGGACAGTCACATCTCTAGCGAAGTCGAGATCAAAGTCGGTGTGACCACATGGTACATTCAAGTAGAATATGACCAAATGGCGAGACCGGTAAAAACGAAGGGTATTGGCACAATATGCGTATCAACGGGAAAGAAATCTTTTTCAGACGCGGGAAAATAAATAGAGTGAAAAGAAATAAAAGTCATATGGAAAGGGGATGAGATAGTGTGGAAGATAGGAAAGTGGGAGAGATGAGCGAGACATCGGTGATTAAGTAGGAGTCAGATAATCAAGGAAAAGGGAGAATCGAGAGCCAGCTCGATTTAGTGGGAGCGACGACCACCCATGTATGAACCAGTAGCAGATGCTAGGAATCGAGCCACGAATCCGCCGCCGTGCGAGTGGTTGCTGACCTTGATCTTCTTGGATGGCTGGCGGCGAGGCTCAAAGGGTTTCTTGCCTTCCAGGTGAGCGACGTTGACGTAGCTGTAGTTCAGGGAAGAAACAGACGAGGGGCTACGGCTCGGATCGTTGAGTATGACGTCGTCGGTACCGTGAGAAGAGATTGTGCTGATAGAAGCTGGGGTGCCTCTTGAGCTGGGTGCAACACTGGAAGAGCGCGAGCAAAGGGAACTGAATGTCTCGGCGTGGGAGAGAGCCGGCACATCGCGAACGGATGGCGGGGAGACGGAGCGGTTGGATCGGCTGGGTGATGCACGTTGGCGGTTGTAAGGATTGTAACGCTCAAGTTCTGCGGCAGACTGTGGGGTTTGGTATGTGTTGTGCATGGTCGGGCAGGAGACATGGCTGGGAAGACGGCGGAGAGAGTTGTCGTTGGCGCGACGGCTGTCACCGCGAGCCTCAAGCTTCTGGCGACGGAGACGACTTGCGAGTAGATCTGCTGATGCGTGGAGACGGCGCCTGGGAGGGAGTTAGCAGTGTTCATGAATATCTTGACTGGAGCGACATACCATTCGCGATGTTGCTGCTGCTTGTGACGGTGCTCCTCTTCAGCAACACGTTCCCGCTCTTTGATTATGAGACGCTGGCGGTGGGGAGCCAGAAAGGGCTCGAGGTAAGTGAACAAGTCATCTTCAGTAATGCGCAGGTCCCAATCCAAGAGGAACAGGAGCTGGCGTTCCATCAGATTGACCTCAGGGAGAGAGAAACCGAAACCCTCGAATCCCTTCACTGCGGTGTATCGGGCCCAGTGCTTGTTCTTGGGGCTTGAGTCGTTGAGGTTCTTAGCGGCGAGGATGAGCGAGGCGAGGAAAATGCGGTGAACGGTGCAGCGCATGCCCTTTGCGACTGGAGGCAAGCGGGAACGAAGACGGCCGAGGTAGACAAGACAACTCATGAGAGTGGGCACCTGCACCTGTGATCGAGCGACTAGGGAGGCGATGAAGGCTTCAATTGACGGCAGTGCAGGCAGGTCGGAGGGCTCCATGGGAGGAGTGGAAGGTGGTGTCGGCTGTCCATTCTGGCTGAGGGTATTCGTCACATGCGATTCACAACGAATGACCTGAGCTGCCTGCTGTGCCAGGTGTGTGATCATCTCACGAGTCACTCGGGTGGTGACGAACTCGTCAAGAGCTGCTCGGTTGAGCGACAAGGAATCCATGATGTGAGTGAGAGAAAGGAGGAAAAGGAATGTCGAGGATGTGAGTTAGATATGCGAACTGCTCAATAGCAGGTAACGTCGAAGGACCAATTAGCTGTCTCTTCGGGACAATCAAATCAGAGGTCGGAAGGAGAGACAAAGAGCTTTGTATGGTATAGATGCAAAGTCACAACACAAGATCAATAGAGAGCACAAATTCCTGACCAGCAGGTGGTTCCGAATAATTCTGTATAAGGAATGTTGCGGTAAGGATAGTTGGGGTTGTCGTGTCAACCCTTTTTTATCGATAGCCCTAACTGAGCTTCTCCAGAAAATTGAGACCTGCCGGGACGGAGATTTCTTCAACGGAATCGACAGTCAGCACAGCAGTGGGAAATAGAGGAGATGTCGGTCTCTGAGGGAATTATTATAGAGAAGACAGAAATTAAAAGGAAAGGATGACGACGTTGAGCATGTGGATGAATCTCGTGAAGAATCCGGGCGGAATACCTGTCTAGTTATAGTATCTGGTATGCGCCAGAGGGGCATAGGCTTCTGCAAGGACCTGTCCAGTGAGAGGAGAGAAGGATGATAGGGCCAAGGGGGAGTCACAGAGGGAACCTGCATAGTTGGATCTAAGATGAACCTTTTTTGGCGCGCTGATTTGTTAGTGGAGTCAGAGAGTAATACACTTGATAGACTATTCTGGTATTGCCTCATCCCTAGATTCATCCGATGCCTCGACTACGGACCTCATGCTCGATACACCTCCACGGTGATGCTTCTGCTAGATGAAACTCGAACCTTCGGATGCTTCCCTCTACTTTCACTTCTGACTGGATAATCATATTGTCCAAACATAGGGGGGCCATCGAAAAAGGATCGCCATAGGTGGAACCCTGCGATCAATTATTCACCAGCCCCATCGCCATGAACTGTGAAACTCGCGACCGTCTCATATCTGCGCGAGACGCGGGGGTATCATTCCATCCTCATTCCATAGGGCCTTTATCCTTGAACGCGTACAGAGTACGGAGGACAGAGTACCAGAATAGAATCTGGCACTTGGTACCCCCATTCATGAGCTCTCTCTACACGCATGAACCCCATTCCCACTATTATTCTAGACACGATCTACAAATCAACATCCACTCTGAAACCAACACAACTCGCCAAACCAAACCTCAGCTGAAAGAATCCAGTGGCGATTTCAGGTTGGCGCCGAAGGTCGCGTTAGTGCCCAATAGAAAGCCAACCTGTCAGTTTCCGACTTCTGATCACCGTGCCTGGCATGGGGCGAGACACACAGTCGGAATCCCTGTCGAAGGAGATCCCTGTCCAAAGTACTTTGGCCCTTTTTTTTTGGCCCTACGCTTTCTCATTGGGTTGCATGCCAGACCACTCCCTGTCATCGCGCCACGAGTTTAACGTGTTCGAGGGGGAACATGCCCGACAGAGAAAATAAGACCTGGTCAAAGGAGAAAGCTCAAACTCCGAATATTCCTTCCCACCTCGCATAAGGGGGATCACATTATCCCCTCAGAACCTTGGGAAAAAATGACAAAGTTACCCGGTTTTTCACGGTCGGGGCGTTGGATCTATCGACTCCCCCCAATTACGGAGTACTCCGTCTTCGATGCCTTTTTTTGTTCCTTTCCCATGCAGTAGCCGAGTCCCGTGGGATGCATGCAATATTCCGCATTGTTAGCGTCATTTAAAAAAAGAACTCTTCTCTATATAAGCGCCCTGGTTCCCGCCATCCCGCCAGCGCTTGCAAGTTCCCAACGTCGTGGAAGCGCTGAGAGGTTCTTTCTAATTTCATGTGCTACCCGACAAGACCGTAGGGTGTCTATTGATAGAATGGTTATTCTTGGAGTTTTTTGACGCTATTCCTCCCGGTATTCCCCCGCTTTCCCGGACGCCATGTTAGGCTTATCATTGTTGATGCGCGGGTTGTCCCCCATTCCCGCCGTTCCGCCACGCCAAGTCATTGGAATGGAATGCTAGAATGTTGGAGACTGCGCCTCGCTTTCACATCTGGGCGTCTCGCTGGGTTGGGGAGACGGTTGGCTGAGAGGGAATCTTGGATTGGTGAACGTGTGGTGTGTGGTATGCACTTCGAACGTTCAACGTTGCATTGTAGATGAGGCAGCTATCATTGCTGCATGATGGTCGGGCCGTTGCCCTTCAGAGCTTTGGAGGCAAAGACATGAGACTGAAGATCCGTTTCAGGACTGAAGGGCTGCTTGTTTCAGCTGTGGCGTTGAGTCGGCGGTTAGAGGTGTGAGGGGAGGTTGTACGGTGATGCGGTCATCTTGGGGATGAAACGGGTGCTAGAATGCCGCCATGTATGGGAAGATGAGGGATTTCGTTGTGTCTCCGCGTGTCTGCTACCAGATGTTTTGCCGTGGCTTGACTTCTTGGAATTTACTGTTCTAGAGGTGGCAGAGGTGCCGGGTTATCGCTGGTTTGGTTGATTGCCCTTGGTACGGAGTGGTACTGATAGAATCAAATTGGATTCCTGGTTCATTCCATTCTTCGGCCTCGATCAACTATGTCCTTGATACCCCGCCCGCCACAGACTACTGCACCTTCATCCTGCTCAAGGCAAGGAGCTCAAACAACAGAGACAGAGTAAGAGGGAACCTTGAAATCGGCGGTACCAGTGAAAGGCTCAGTGCCAGCCTGCACATTAATCAAGTACAAGCTGGAGCTCAGGCCCTGGTCGTTCTCAAGGTAAGTGAAGAAGTCCAACAAATCACCAGAGAAGCTAGTAACAGTATACGGAGCGACAAAGCTGTACACAGTCATGGCACCATTGGGACCAACGTAAACGTCCCACGAGATACCGTTGATGTTAACAGTAGCGATGGGGGAGCCAGTCGACGAGATGGGGCCCGCTCCACCCAGCGCAGCAAGCCACACCATGATCTCGTACTCATCGCTACCATCAGCAGTGGAGCTAAGGAACATGTCATACGCGACATCGGCGACAATGTCGGTGGTGGAATAGCTGTGTTTGAGATGGTTAGCCTGTCTCTTTCGTGACTGCGGGACAATCTGCCTACCTCCATTCCCAAGAGGTCTTGATGCTGCTAACTTCGCTCAACGGCTTGTGGGTAAACTGCAGCGCAGCATTCGGGTAGCTCTTGACCTGCCAGGGAGTACCGGCCCATGACCACCAGGAGTGCCAGGAGATCGTGTCACCGTTGGCCCAGTCCAGGCCGGTGCACTGCTCGCCGTTGGGATCGTCGCTCTGACCCCAGAGGTTGTTGTACAAGATGAAATCACCTGCCGTGGCAGTTCCCCACTGGTCGCAGAAGTCTGAGCGGCGAGTCAGACTCTTAGTTGGGACGGAGGCAGCGTTGCCCAGGGCAGCCAGGGACAGGGAGAAAAGCGACAGAGGTGCGAAGGACTTCATCGTGGCTTTTGAGGACTGATGAACAAGGTTGTAGTCTTTGGAAGTGTTGGTATGGAATTGGACCTTGGTATGACAGCATGAAACCGGGTCTGTCTGGATGCTTTATAGTTACCATCTCGTGTCGCAAGACATCTGATCCATGAGGGATCTGGACTGGCGATGCATTCTTGTCTCGTTCATGTTCCGTATAGAGCACGGAGAAGTCCGGTCTCACATCTCGCATTGGGAGATGGTGAGCGGACACATTCACCATCTAGTGACACTTTACCCGGAACTCCACAAGAACCGGGTAAATCCAAAAGCTTGCTCGGGGTGGCTGACTTGCACTACCAGTCCGGTGCAGAGTATGAAAGGTGTGAAGAAAGGAGATCATCCCAGTCAGGACGTACGTGCTCCTGGGCATGATGGACAAATCTTTTCACACGAATCGAATTTTGTTTTGCATCGCGCTATTCTCTTTCCTGTGTACGGAGTATTGGGGGATATCTCCGGGCGTTGGCACATGTGAGGCGGCGGACGTTACAGAGCGGGGCATCAAGCTGCCATTTCTAGAACGCGGTCAAATCGGAGATCGTGATGAGAGATTATCCGCAGTCGTTTCAGATGCTCTTGAGTAAACTCTTAGCATATAGTATTTGTGGGGGTTTTCCACCAAGGATAGGGCTGTATGGTGTCACTCATTTACACAAATGAAAATCTGTAGGACAGTGGTCATTATTCCAATATGCAAAAGACATATTCAGAGATATATTCCTATTCAAAAGCATCTTGAAGGGCATCAGAAAGGGCTGTTGCCGATCAGCCACATCGTCACTGTTTTCCGGTTCTTCAGGCACAAATATCCACAGGTACCCCGCAAATCAGCGCATATGTCTTCTGCTGCAAGTAGATGCTCACTTGGACAACCCGGCTGAATGTGTCTTCCAGGCGGGAGAATGCGGCATGTCAACCGTTCTTCAATGGGCGATGATCGGCACGTCGATCTCCCATCGAGTCGAAGTATATATGCGGAGATGACACAAGGTATATATTAGACGCACTAGGACATTCGAAGAATCGGCCATACCAAAGAGAAATGGGTTAAAAGTACTGACTAGAGATATTATATATGTTCATTGAGACTGGAAGCAAATACACATGCGTGCCAACAACAAAGAAGAACCTTCAGCAAAGAACAGACGTATTCCTCTGCCAGGTGGGTTTAACATGGATAGTCCTATATTCACAGCACAATCTGCAAAGCACAAAGCACAAGACAAATCAAACCATGAGCGAGGGAACATATATTCTACTTCTATATAATAGACTTGCTTAGTTTCACCACAAAGGCTACTTATCCTGAACACCACGTAAAGGTGCAAGTCTTGTTCAGGTATCAGAGGATTGTCTCTGACAAAGAGGGTTCAAAAAATTAGGTAGTATCTTGAACTGAAAGCCACACGGCTAGCTCGTGGATAGATCCCTGGAGAAAACAAGAACGGACAGTCTGTAAGCGCACGCCTTGCCGAAAAAGACTGCTATCCGCAGCGGTCCCGTAGGCCAGTCGTGGAAACCTGGAACATGCTTCGTGCCCCAGCCGAACCTGAGCCGCAGCAAAGACCTATCCAATCCCCTCAGAAAATTCTTCACTGGGCAACAGAGACATGTTGGATGTGACCGGAGCTGGTGTTGAGGAGAGAAGAAAGGAAGAAGAGGAAAAATGGGGAGAGGCAGGTATTTATATCGCCGGGGGTCGCTGAAGATGAATGGGGTCAATCAGGTAGTAGGGTGGGCGACGAGTGCATTCGTCAATAGGGCTTTAAAGCTGTCGTGGGTGGTGCTTTCCTAAATGGGGAAGTGCGTGATGATATGAGTACTTGAGAGTACTTTATCGCGAGAGCCATCTCAAGAACATATGTATGTACCCACATGTAACTATCGTGCAAGTCTACATACATTGCAGTTCATACTGTACAACTGGGTCAACATCTAAGCATAGCTAGATATCCTCGAAGTGTATGAACTCGGCCTACAAAATATTCCTGAAACGAACCCACTACTCGCTGATTACTTGGAACATACATGGTATTTGTGTCTTGTGGTAGTCTATTGCACCTCCGAGATTGAGCAGATTGATGTTCTGTGAGCAGGAGTCTTTCAGATCCCGCATGCTCAGGCTGACAACATACGACACCGGCAGCTACATACTCTGTACTCCGCACATAGGAAGCTATCCATCTGTTTCTGGACGGTAGAGAATAGAGTTTGATGTGGCTTGGCATCGGAGTCCGCGGACACCGGTCGCATCTCGGGTACAGGAGCAATGCGCCATGGGAAATTATTAGATGAGGACATAGGGGATCTTAGGCACCATAATTGACAGAACTGACGACCCCAAGTTCATATCAAGGGCAATGGACCAATAGAAAACATGGTGATTCGGATTGTGATGATCCGACATGGCCTGTTGGCACATGTCAAACAGTACAAACTCATGCAAACTCATGCAAACAGTACTGTTCAAGCATTGTAGTCCGGGAAACATCGCCTAGGCAATGGATTATGCATGTATTGAATAAGATGTGAGACAGACCTACAGGTAGATGCTCGCGCAAGGAAATCTCTTCGGAGACCGACGGTTTTCAGCTGAATGAAAGCGAGGGTGTTGATATTGCTCAATTGTTTTGCTTTGATGCCCCACCGTGTGGAACTCCGGGGGTTGTCGCCAGGGGCGTGAAATTAAATTTAAATGCTCGGCTTCCCTCTTCTCTTCTGGACCCCAGGACCCTTTCCACAATCCCCACGATGCCTTCCAAATCCTCCAAGTCCTCCAGCTCCAGCTCCGGCTGCCGCTGCCGCTGCTTGTCCTTCAAGGCGCTGAGCTACCTAGCCATCTTCCTGGCTCTGTTCTCTGCCGTCTACCGATTCCTCGATGCGCGCCTCGAGCAATTCTACATCTTTGACCCGGAGCACCTGCACGATATGTCGCAGCGCGCTATCAAGGCCCATGGAGAGGACACCCGCTCCATCGTCGACTTCATTGTTGCCGAGCTGGGGCAGAAGGTTGATCCCAAGTACCTGAGTACCGAGGAAGAGTGGGTTTTCAACAACGCCGGTGGTGCCATGGGCGCTATGTACATCATTCACGCCAGTATCACCGAGTACCTGATCATCTTCGGTAAGTTCTGCGCCCGCGCCCGAGTCCAATATGTTTCCCCTTCTAACCATGTTCAATCCCTACAGGCACTGCCATCGGTACCGAAGGCCACAGCGGCCGCCACACCGCCGACGACTACTTCAACATCCTCCAGGGCACCCAGCTGGCCTACGTCCCCGGGGAGTTCAAGCCCGAGGTCTACCCCGCCGGTAGCGTGCACCACCTGGTCCGCGGCCAGGTCAAGCAGTACAAGATGGATGAGTCTTGCTTCGCGCTTGAGTACGCCCGTGGCTGGATCCCTCCCATGCTCTTCTTCGGCTACGCCGATACCTTCTCCAGCACCCTGGACTTCCCGACGTTGTGGGCGACCTCGCGCATCACCGCTCGCGAGATGATCACCAACTTGTTGCAGTACAAGCTGTAATCGGGCATCTCATTCTATGTTTTATTGATGTGGAGACTTCGGTTGCTTTGATGAGGTCTATGTGACATGTATAATATGGACATTGGGTTTTTGTGATGTGAGATTAGGGCACCTGGAATAGTGCTGTCTTGCTCAAAAGTTGGATGTAGTGGATACTTGATCGATGACCGTACAAACAACTTTCTAATGAATCGCCAGCCAGCGCTGCTGAGTTGGTCTTGAAGTATTGACATATTTTGCAGAGTGGTAGCACATTACGTATGTACATAGGAGGATGTAGGAAGGTAGGCACTTGTACTCTAAGCATGGAAATACATCCATGTAAGGAAAAGTGGAATGTAGACTCAGATAGTGACTCATTCAGCAATAGATCCACGGATGACGATCGACACATGTACATGTATGCAACACTAATCTCATATGTACTTGATGCATCATATACATCTTGAAGATATGTATATACCCTGGAGCTCTGTCGAGCACACCAGTGACTCAGTGCATAGATATCATCGTATGATCCACCAAAGCTTTTTTCAAGAAAGATCAACAGTCGAAATACACATTTATTGAACCATACCTACGAAGTACAAGTACACTCTCTTGTCAATTTGGAGGAAGATCCCGAATATAGAGAATCATCTCTTATCCTTTAGGACTCATCCACGCTACGCCCCTTTTGGTTACTCGGCAGATACCCTTCTTCGGTACACAAAAGAGCATAAATAGCAGATAGTGGCAGATACCATTGAGATCTTCGGAAAATTCTACACCTTTTAGAGAGATCCCCTTTGTAGACAGGTATCAGATGAGCTTTCGTTGAACCCTACGTGCTATATCATCCACCTTGTATCTTCAACACCGAAAACTGCATATTTTAGCCTTCACTCCGATTACCATGTTGTATATGTACCTAGGTACTTAGCTAAATTATCGATGGTAGGCAGCAATTACTATTGTAGAATACTGTACAAATTACTGTAATTTTGATCTAGACCTGCACCATAGGAGTTTTGCCCCGAATTGACCAGACAGCCCAGGCAACAAACCCGGGAACCACTCCTCCGGCCAAACAGGAGAGTACAAAGCAGCTCTATATAAACCTGGTGATTGCTGGCCGGTGATTGTCTTTTTCTTATTCTTACATCTACTAAACCTCTAAATTCACTTCTCAATACTTCATCACTTTCCATCACTTACATTCCAGCCCATCTATTCCTTATCTTCCATCAACCCTGCCACTTCCCCATCATCACCTGGCTGCTACTGGACTTCCACTTAGGTTACCTGCCTTTGAGTCTGAGCCCAATCAACCATCATGGCTGCCAACTGTGGCTGTGTGTGGTACGAGAAGAATTCCCAGTGGCCTACGTATCTTCCACAGGTCTCTCTTAAAGCTCACGCAACAATTCTATCCTCTGCGGCCCGCACAACCCTAACCCAGACATTCATCAATCCATCGGACAAGGTCATCGAAGAGATCAACTACCAGTTCCCTCTTTATGATGGTGTTAGTGTGGTCGGCTTCCAATGCAAGGTTGGATCCCGTATCCTGCATAGCAAGGTGAAGACCAAGTCCCAAGCCAACGCGGACTACAAACACGCAGTTGCTCAAAAGCAGACGGCTGCTGTCATGGAACACACCTCTGAGAATGATATCTTTCTTATTCGCCTCGGCAATGTACCCGCTCGCGAGAAGGTCGATGTCGACATCACCTTCGTGGGAGAGTTGAAGCAGGACTCTCAGACAGACGGTATTCGCTACACTCTGCCCAACAGTATTGCTCCTCGCTATGCGAGTCTAATGTCTTACGGTCCGGCTCAGCTTGCATCACTTGGCGTGTCTGCTAATCGTCAAGGAATGTCCATCACTGTTGATGTTCAGATGGAGAAGGGTGCAGTACTTCGAGAGCTAGAATCCCCGAGCCACCGGATTAAGGTCTCCCTCGGACGCACTTCTTCTACTCCAGCAAATTCTTCTACATTTGATTCCTCCCAGGCGTCTGCATCTATGGTTCCTCTGGCGAACAGCATCTCGGTGGTTCTGGAACAAGATTTTGTGATCCTCATCAAAGCGGATGGACTCGACACACCTTGTGCATTGCTTGAAACACACCCGACCATTCCCCATCAGCGAGCCCTGATGGCAACCATCGTGCCAAAGTTTAGTCTCCAACCTGCGAGCCCCGAGGTGGTATTTGTGATTGACAGAAGTGGAAGCATGGTAGACAAAATTCCAACCCTGAAATCTGCACTCAAGGTCTTTCTCAAATCTTTGCCTGTTGGTGTCTGCTTCAACATCTGCTCTTTTGGAAGCTACTATTCATTCTTGTGGCCAACGAGCAAGGTGTACGATGCATCTAGCCTGCAGCAAGCTCTGGGGTTTGCTGATACCGTCGGTGCCAACATGGGTGGCACGGAGATGGAACAAGCCGTCGTCGGCACTGTGGGGAATCGACTCAACCACAGAGACCTGGAGGTATTGATTCTCACTGATGGAGAGATCTATAACCAGCAGAGTTTGTTTGACTTCGTTCGGGAAAAGGCTGCTGACAATACGGCCCGGTTCTTTTCCTTGGGTATCGGCAACCAGGCATCTCATTCCTTGGTTGAGGGAATCGCGCGAGCCGGAAATGGATTCGCTCAATCTGTTATGGAGTATGAGGAGCTTGACCGCAAGGTGGTTCGCATGCTCAAGGGGGCCCTCACGCCCCATGTCTACGACTACAAACTTGAAGTCGAATACGAGACCCAGGCAGATAATGAGTTTGAAATTTTGAGCGAAACTGAAGCTCCAGGGGAGTCCGAGCCCGAGGATGAAGACAAGAACAAACACGGTGATGTTGCTATGGAACACAACGCAGGTAAACCGCTGGAGCCCATCTCATTGTTCGACAAGAACTTCCAGGAACCCGATCTGAAGGTCGACACCGAAAAGCGAGCGACCGCGAAGCTCCCAACTCTGACGCCGCCAAAAGCGATCCAGGCGCCCTACAAGATTCCGTCGCTGTACCCGTTCATCAGAACAAATGTCTTCGTCCTCATGAACCCTGCCGCGACCGGAGATATCCCCAAGGCCATGAAGCTCACTGCGAATTCCAAGCAAGGCCCTCTCCAGCTGAGAATTCCGATCTGTGACATTGGGACCGGCGAAACGATTCACCAGCTCGCCTCTCGCAAAGCCGTGATCGAGCTCGAGGAGAACCACGGCTGGCTCTCCGATGCCAAGGATAAAGACGGCAACTCCTTCAAACAACTTCACATCGAGACACAGCAGCGGCTTGCAGAGCGCGAATGCCAAAGTCTGGGAATCAAGTTTCAGGTCACTGGAAAATACTGCTCGTTCGTGGCTTTGGAGGAGCGCAGCTCTCTAACCTCAGAGCAAAAGGATAAACAACCCGCCTCCAAAGAGCATACTGTTGAGAAGCTTTCAATTCCACAGAAGGCTTTGAAGGGAAGCGGCGGGGCGCCTTTTGGGCGTGCTACTCAATTCCAACAATCCAGTTCTTCTCCCTTCGGATCGTCAAGCAATGCTTCATTTGGCACAATCATACCACCACAAAGCCTGAACTTTGGGTGTCTTGCTCTCCAACAATCCAGTCCTTCTCCCTTCGGACCGTCAAGCAATGCTCCATTTGACGCAAATTCACCAGCACAAAGCCTGCCTTTTGGCCATGCTGCTCAATTCCAACAAGCCAGTCCTTCCCTCTTCGGATCGTCAAGCAATGCTTCATTTGGCGCAAATGCACCAGCACAAAGACAAAGCCTGTCTTTTGGCCATACTGGTCAATTCCAACAATCCAGTCCTTCTCTCTTCGGATCGTCAAGCAATGCTTCATTTGGCGCAAATGCACCAGCACAAAGACAAAGCCTGTCTTTTGGCCATACTGGTCAATTCCAACAATCCAGTCCTTCTCTCTTCGGATCGTCAAGCAATGCTTCATTTGGCGCAAATGCACCAGCACAAAGACAAAGCCTGTCTTTTGGCCATACTGGTCAATTCCAACAAGCCAGTCCTTCCCTCTTCGGATCGTCAAGCAATGCTTCATCTGGCACGAATCTATCAGCACGAAGCCCGCCTTTTGTACCAAGCCCAACCGATTCATCAGGCCGCGGAGTGCCTTGTTTTGGAAATTTCGCACAATCCCAAGCCGTGGAGGATCCTGCACCCACACCGCACATATATGCATCACCTTTCAGAGCTGAACCTGTTCAGCAGAGCCTTGGCGGATCGCCCGCATCATCCCCTACTGACCCTTTCGGTCCGACTCCCCCAAAGATGGGCGTTGACGAAGTGATCCGGCTCCAGAACTACGACGGTAGCTGGTCCTGGTCGAACGAGTTATTCGCGAGCATGCATACTAACATGAATGTCAAACAAATGGAGGTTAAGAAGCTGCTTGGTAATGCCGGTCGAGTGGCTGGCGGTACCTTCCCATTTGGGGATGAGGCGGTGATTATTGCTACTTTGCTTGCGATGGGTTGGCTGCAGAATAGGAACATCTATTCGAGAGGTCGTTGGGAATTGGTGTTTGACAAGGCTGATCAGTGGGTTACGCATAAGTTGGAGGAGATGCGGGAAAAGGGAGTAGCTGATGTTGATGACCTTACTTCGATTCGGGAACAGGTTCTCGATTTGATGTGAGAGAAAATCGGAAAAGATGTAGTTTGATGTTGGTTCTTACACGATTTAATGTGGAATTGCTTCTTGGTTGAACTGGTGTTTGGTTGAGATTTGGAAACAGAAATATGATACACAAATGTTAGGTAGCTCTGCAATGGAAAAGACTCTTGCTTTTTACTCCTTTGAGAACCTATCCTCGTAGCTCACCTTTAGCAATGAACTAGCTAGTCGAATAGGGTATTTAGAAAGACAGGCAAAGCTGAAGTTTGGAGATAGTACAACATCACTGATAGTAACCATAGAGCTACGCTCAATGACCAAGCGATATAACTCCCCCTTCGCCATTTTTATTTTTTTCAAATTGACTATCTTTTGTAGTCTTTCAATGTTCTCGGTCAGTCATACACATATCGCTCGTTTAAGTATGTCGTATTATGAGATAAGTTCAAAGCGAATCAGAACGATACCCTCCCTACGCGCTCAACGACCGATTTCAATCCTCAGGGGCAAATCACGTCCTTCCCTAATCTCCCCAAGAAGGGCCTTCGCATTTTCAAGCAATATTTGTCGCGCTGTGTCCAATCCAAATTGACTTCTCAGTCCTTCATCCACTCTGTTGGCCAAACTCTCCGCCAGCGCTGCAGGGGTATAGGGATAATCACTCCCATAAAGCAATCTAGACGAATCCACCAACCGGAGAAGCCCATGAATCTGATCTGGAAATGGCACACCCGCAAGATCAAAATAAAAGCGCGTCCGCAACAACAGCTTAATCTTCTCTCCGCTAATCTCCTTCCCAGGACTGGGCAGCATCGACGAGAACTCTGCGATTCTCTGCATAATCGGCGGCAATGCCGCACCGCAATGACAAGAAACGAAAGTAATCCCCGGGCAGCGCTCAACAGTCCCGGATGTCAGCAGACTCATAAGCGACCGGGTCGAATCGAACATAAACTCCATAATGGGCGCAGCGACGCCGGGGAGCGGCGCCACCTTCTCTAGGGACTTATCACCGCGTCGGATGAGACATGTCGTCGGATGAAGAAAAACGATCGTCTTGCGCTTGCTCAACCTGTCAAAAACGCGATCGAATCTCGGATCGCCCGGGTAGATGCCATGTGAGCTGGTCAGGATCTGGAATCCGACTGCGCCAAGATGGTCCAGTGCATAGTCTATTTCTGCAAGGGAGCCGTCTACATCTGGGAGGGGGAGAGACGCAAAGAAGAGGAAATGATTTGGATTTTCGGCGCAGATTTTTGACATGTCCTCGTTGGCGCGTCGGGTTATGCATCGGGCTTCTTCGTCGTTCCCTGGTGTTAGATGGGTTCCTGGGGAGGACATGCTCAGGACTGATTTTTTGATCTTCAGCTTTTCCATTAGCTGGATGTGGGCTGAGGCGCTCCATTCCTAGTTTCGCGTTAACCAAACGGCTTGATTGTTTTAGTTGAGTGCTTACTGGGATCGCGGGCATTCCATCGGGATGGCCCTTGCCCGCGAACTCGTTCTGTAGGCAATACTCGCGATACGAGGGGGGCACGCAGTGGGTGTGGACATCGATTCGCTCCATTTTTGATACTCTGACATAGTAAGAATAAGGGGTGTACGGAGTACGTCTTTTGTCAAAAAAGGACGATGACAGCGCAATGTCAAGTTCAATAGTCCGACAGGGCGTTCAGCTGGTCTCAGCTCGACATTCCTAGTGGCTGGTCCACCGGCTTTCTCACGCAGAATTGCTTTTGATTCTGTGAAATCAAATCATACAAGGATATCTGTCATGTAGTACTTCGTGCGGAGTACTACGTACCTCGCTTGTCATTGCCCCAATCGCAATGCAGTGTTACAACGGACAACTAGCTCTATTTCCAAGATACGACAAACACATAATTATATCAAATCTTGAGTTGGCAGCTCCTTCGGCTCAACAATCAACCCCCTTGCGGCCAACAATCGCGCCTGGGTGAGCTTCGCAAACCGATACGTATTATCCAAAACCGGTGTAGCGACACCCTTCTCCCTCGCCACACGCAAAGCATTGCCCAAAATAACCTCCACCTCCATGGGATTCCCCTTATCCACATCCACCAGCATACTGGGTCGGAACGATAACTCGATCGGGGTCGACTCAATCATCTCATCGACAATGCCAGGTCCAAGATCATAGCCATCTGCCTTGGCAATGGCGACCATCTCAGTCATACCGGGTCTAATCAAACTATGCTCGCCACCAAAACGTCGCACCGCGGCACTATCAAGCTGCGTGATAGCGCACATGGGATTGAAGATTCCGTTCCAGAGCACCTTCCGCCAGCGATATAGGATGATGTCATCAACGACCTCTGCATCGACGACTTTGCTGGCGTTATAGATTGCCGCGAACTCTTCGAGCTTGGCGCGTTCGAGTTTCGCGTCTAGTGCTTTGTTGCGGAATGCGCCGATGTGGAAGTTGTCGTGGTCGGTGTGGGTTACGTGGCCATTGTTCTCATGTGCGCCGATGAAACTCGGCGCTGAGAGCACCACATTCGAGGGGAATGCTTCGAGGATTGGCGGCTCGATGTACAGTCCATTCTGGAATAACACGATCGCGGTGTGCCCTGGGGTCATGGCTGGAGCTATGATCTTCGGAATATTGTTCACTTCAGGAATGTTCTTCATTGTGACGACCACATAGTCGAATGGGGCATTGGCATCCGGCTGTGGGACTGCATTGACGACTATATACACGTTAGTGGTATCCCACTTCTGCTTTTGCTGCTTGCGTACCTGCACTCGGTCTCCAGGATGATAGTTTCCCATGATCGATGGACTCGATTTCGAATCCATGCTGGACAACCTGCTCATAATTTGACCGCAGAACAGCCGTGACTGATGCTTGTCCAGATCTTTCGAGGGCGACGCAGACCATTGTCCCCACACCACCTGCTCCAACTACCAACACTCGGCGCTTCGCCGTGCCATTGCTTGTATCGTGGGACATGTTGGGTCGGTTGCGGTCGATAACCTTGGGATGCAATGTCAACGAATTGAGGAATTTGCTGAAAACACACAATCAAAAGCCATCGCAACGGTGCAAACTAAATTATAGGCGAACAACACCCCGCATGGACACGCCGGTCGGAGCGACTCCGTTGCGTTTGATTGGCCCGTCGGGGTCGCCTCTTTCGTCTGATCGCTTTCTTTGCCCTCACTGGATGCCCACGCCGAGTTGCAAGTAGAAGCATGCCGGTGCTTGTCATTTCCCTTGCTACTCTATATCCAGATCAATTGTTGTCAGCTCATAGCAGCAATGTTCTCATGAGAAAATATACCCCCAAAGCCAATATCCCACCGTCCATGGACCGCCAAACTCACCAAGACGACACTTCAATCCGATGATAAAAAGTGATGTAAGTCCTCTCTCAACTCATTTGACTCATTCACCTGTAGGTCCACCTAAGTTACTCCAGAGTAATCAAGAAAGCAAAGATGAAACCCCAAACCAAGAAAATGCGATTCCCAAAGCTGGAAGGCATCCGGGACTACATGCAAGACGCCGCGGAGACCTCCAGCCGCTGGCTGAACTGGCAAATCATACGCGCAAAGCGGGAAGTATGGTGGGAGACCGACCCAGCCGTGCTCTCGCGCTGGTCGCAATCCATCATCGAAACCGAGCAACGTCTCCGCGAAACAACCCAACACGAGAACTTCCTAAAGGAGTGCATCCAGATGGTTCGGGCCGGCCATGACCAAGCGGCTAAATCATTCTTGCCGGATATGATCGAAGAGCTAATATCCTTGGACCGCGAATACACGCGCGTCGAGCGGACCTATGATACTATGTTGGCGGGATGTCCTGCGGGCCCTATCAAGAGCGGGTATTTGTGGATTCGGAAGGATCCGCAGTGGTATTTGAAGAGTGAGTGGCTGCGCGAAGATTGTGCGAGACGAGGTGGGTGCTGTGGTCGGCAGTGTGGGTGTTGTGAGAATCCGCCTGATGCGCGGAGGAAGAAAGGGTGGGGACATTGTACGGCGCAGTGTGCTTGCTGTAATAGTGAGCGTGGATTCCGGATGACGGAGAGGGATCGCAGGCGGTTGAAGCCGGAGTTTGATTTGACGGTTTATCCCTGGAGTGAGTATAGTCGAGAGACGTTTCGAGCTTATGTCTGGTCGCTGGATTAGGTGGGATCATACTGTTTGCTTGATATTTTTGGAGGTTGCTTTCGAGGTATACTCGAGAGATTGAAGTTCGTCCAATGAGACTTTAGCCTGTTCGTCTGTCGGTATATTACAATCGCAGTTAAGTGCTTTTCTTTTTCCCTACTTCGCCTTAGCCCAGTTAAGTCTTCACAAAATCAATCTCACATGGTCAAGCGACTTTGTCTTGACGTTTTTCATCCTTTGAGATTCTTTGCTCGTCCAACCACGCAGTATCTGAGCACCAACATCCCGGGGGTCCTCGAATCGGTCTATCCTGCGAAGTATCTCGAAAGATAGCCAGACATATTTCTCTACGTGTCCTGCTCTTATTCTACGGCCATCACAATAGCCAGTGTGTCGACGGGGTCTTGCATCACATTTGACTCAAGGCGAGTCCAGACAGTAAACTCAGTGGGCTCCAAGTCGAGTTCCGAATTTCTTTTCGGCCCTAATAGTAGCGGATGGAGTAGCTGTTTCCGTTTGTTTGTAGCAATTCAACCTCATCCTCTCTTTGCTCGCTGGCACAATAGTAGCCTCTATTCAATGGCGTTGTCGTTGATAGTGATACTGGTGCTCTATTCAATCCTTGACGCCTGGAAAGACCACCTATCTTGATCATGCTGGAACAACATCGTTTGGGCCCCCACAAAGTAATTACCTATACTAAGTGTCTTCTCCCTGCTGATCTTCGACAGGTTCGTCATTATTTTGATTTCCATTCCACTTTTGATGTGGAGTAAGAAGGCGAGAATTTCTACCACGTCAAACTATAGAGCAATGGCAGCAAATGAGCTTGGCCATCAGAATATGCATGTGTGTGGTTTCCTAATCGGCTCACAAGTTGTACTGTTCTAGATTTGGGTCAATTTACAGGCTAGTTTGGAACATAATCAAGTCTGGAAACGCAACCTGGATGACAAAAGAAAATGGTATTGGGGTATGAGAAAGTAATAGAAGATTATGTGACAATAAAAAGAAAGTAAGGTGTTAATGAAGGTATCTCAAGAAGAAAAAAGTGAAAAGTGAAAATGTCCCAACCATCCTGTGTCGAACCGCAGATCTAATAGTTCCCCCTGTTGGCGAAACTATTATACCCAGCAGATTCAATATTCCCTTCGACGATATAGGAATAGTGTTTCCGGTCCGAAGATATGGTGCTTCCAGAGGTTGTGGGGACAAGAGTCTGCTCGGACACTTCCTTGTTTGAGGAGCGAAGTGTCGACCAGAAGTTGCGGTGGCCCAGCTTGAAGAGCGGGCGCAGGTTGGGAAGACAGGCGGCGGTGATTCCGACTGCTGCCTCGATACAAGTCCATACGACGACGGGGACTTGGTTGTCTAAATAAATGGTCAGATCTGTGGTCAACGGATAAATGAATGGTGATACGAACAGGTGATATCAGGACCTTGGCCCACTAATTTGATCATGGCGTCGAGGCGGAAGCAGTCAAATATCAGAGTCCTAGAAAGGAGACATCAGTATATGCTCATTGCAATATGAATGGTTATTCTCAACATACAGGCCACCGACGAGGAAGACTCCAGAAAGCAGCATTTTTTGGGACTTGGGGATCGGCAATGTCCATACAACTCTCATGGGCATAACCAGGAGGATAAGATCGGAGAGAATGTTGGGAATCTGCAAGCCGTAGTTGAACTTGGCTGGGTCGAGACATGCTCCTTCGATCGACTGATCCCAGAACTTGCTCGCTGGAATGCATATAAGAGCTCCAGCAACATATACACCGACGACCCAGAGACAGATGAATCCAAACATCAAGTTTACTGCAATGGTCATGTGTCGGACGGCGAAGAGACGCTTGTATAGCGCCAAAATGGAGAACTTGATAAAGGCAATGCAGCCCGTGTAGATGAAATTGTTGGAGTATCCAATCTATAGTTTGGGTCAATGGATGTAATTGATTCAAGGCGAGGGTGTTACATACTTGGAAGTAAACAACGAGATTCTTTGCTGGGATCATTGTAATGTGCGACCCCAAGCCATTATATAAAACTTCATTCTTATATTAGTATCAAGGCTTCGCCTTGAGTTGAGTATGCCAGTGACACTCACGACCTACAACTCCACTGGAGCAGGCATATTTGAATAACAGAGCAACTAGGATCAAGTAATCATCCATGAAAAGCTTGCTACCAGTCATCTTTCTCGCCAAGATACGCAGGGCAACGGATAGCGTCGACAACGTGAATGCAAAGCATAATGCAATGGTAATGGAGCGGCGCAAGTCCTCGTTGGGATGTTCGAAATCGCCTGGCGTCCACGTGGCGGTATGTTCTGCGGACATGACAGGCGAGATAGATCGAGAATCAGACCTCAAGGCAAAAGCAAACGGAGTGAGGTTGTTGGTTTGAATGATTTGGAATCATTGTAGGGCTGCACTGTCCTAAATATACTTCGGGGAAATCGAGAGAAGGGGTCCCCGGGGATGCGGATATCCCCCATTACGCATGCACCTTGGATATGTCATATCGTGTACGACCCGTAGAAATCCCGCAATAGAATGAAGTTTTCTACGGATCATATCAGCTATTTCCCCGGCGGTTCATCTTCGGATGGGCCTCTCTTTTAGCCAAAGCAAGGTTGGAAGCGAACCACCGCGGCGGAGCATTCATTGTATTGTGGGTTGGAGGGGCGAGCAGATTAACGGCCACATCATAAACCAGATCTTACATGCTTTGCTCGTAAATATTCTGTCCAATCATGGGAGAGAGAAAGGAATGATTTTCCGACAGCTCATGTGGGAGAAGTGGACATATCAGATCTGGCTTTGACAGAAGATCCACTTCGTTGCACATATTTCCCCGAAAGCTCCAGGAATGCGATGAGCAGAGTGACAGCATCGACTAACTTCTATCGTGTCATCCCAATTGGTGCATATCATAGCAAGGTAGATGTGCAAGAACCTGAGATAATCGATCGTTACTTTTTGGCCAAGTAGGTCCAAATTCAGATCAGCCCGAAACTACAATACATCCCTATATTTCAAGCAAGGGTTCAATAAACCTTCCACGCGAGGTCCGACAGCGTAACTTCGCTTGGGGAATGGGGGATAATTTCACAAAATCCTTAATGAGGCCAGATATGCACCATGTTATACTCCGCCATGCCGTGGCCCCTCCACTGTTGACTGTACGATGCACGACACGCCAAAAATGACATGATCGGCCAATAATTGCCACCAATTCAGGATAGTCAACGATGTTCTAAAGCCTTCCATTTTGCCTTCCCATCTGCAGCAAGTCAAAGCGATAAAATTGGGTCGCGTGAGACCGGGGGTCCATCCGGACATGACAATCCGATGTGTCCCATTTAACATGGCATACATCTGATGGCAACCCACATCGTGGGACTTAGTGAGATCCAGCCGTTGGATCTGGACCCACTTGACAGTTTCTTTGCTGTAAACAACGTATACATCTCATGCATCGCGATGATCGACGGCACTCTGCTCTTTGGGGTTTGTGGGAAACCCGGTTCTCGCCTAAAATAGTGGAATGCCCTGTGAAGGCGCTTACGCGCCTCTTTGTTCTTGTTCAAATGTCCGTTATCGGCAGATTGACAATGTCTTAGAGATCAGTTTGTATGGAGTCGCCATAATGAGGATCCTCGGGCTAGCTTCTTTGCGTTTCAAGGGGGCTCCGTCGGGGATTATAGGGGTTTACGCCGGCTTCGTAGATAGTTCGCCGCACAGTTCTCGTCGCCCTTGCTGTTGTACTTTTGTAATAATGTATGTGGTGTTGCCGATTAAATTTACCATGGCATTGGTCTTGAAGAGTACTCCGTACGGAGTACACATATGCCACTCGGTCTTGAGATTCCAAGGTTGTTCCAATTTGACATCTGGACGGGCATCTGGACGACTCCACCTAAGAGTCTCGATCTCCTTGCGGGGTGACATTGGCCCCAAACACGAGTATAGCTTATCGCATAATGCATTTGGAGAAGCTAATATAGTCAATTTCATTGCCACATCGGCGCGATTTGCATATGGCTTTGACATATGTGCGGAAGTTCTGCAGGTGTCACAGTGGAATCATGTACCTGCAGCTATCCCGGAGGTTCATGGGAATAACAATGATAGCGGCATCTCGAAACCACACCTTATCTTTCAGAGAAGCAAGGGGTTGAGGCCGAGAGAACACTGAGCTGGACAGATAGAGTTGAAAGCCTGATCACTGGGGGATCTCGGTCTTCCGCGCTTACCCCGTATTACTAGCACCTTTGACCATCACAGAGCAGGTCAACGCCATAAACCTCCAGCGTCATCCAACAGTGACAATGTGTCATTATTGGATTCGTTGAGGAAATGAACTAGTGCGACGGTACTGCAGTCGGATCCGCTATGGATGAGTGAACATATTCCGACCCAATGATGAAGCGCGATAGCAGATGAAGTGGGTATAGGATCTTTCGAACAAGGAAATGATGCTATACTCCGTAGATGCATACGATCTACCTATTAGAGCCAACCCACTCGATCGTTTCGAAGAAACCCCCTCTGCCAAAATAAAATCTTCTTCCAGGTTTTTCCATCTGGCCATCACCACAAATATGGCGCAGGTCGCTCTAATCACCGGAGGCAGTATGAAACCAACCTTCCAAGTTCACACGCGCACTAACCATTAACCAAAACCCAACAGCTAGTGGCATCGGTCTGGCAGTCGCCCAACACCTCAGCCAAGCCAACTGGCAAGTCCACATCATAGGCACCAACCAAGAACGAGGCGAAGCAGCCGCAGCTTCCCTCTCGAACACGAAGTTCCACAAAGCCGATGTGCGGAACTACGACGAGCTAGCCTCTGTATTCGACCGAGTCTTCAATGCGCATAGTCGGTTAGATTTCGTTTTCGCAAATGCCGGAAAAGCAGAGTACACCGACTTCTTCGCTGATCAGCCTGAGACCGGGATTCCACCCTCGCCGGGCTCCGAAATTGTCGATATCAACTTGAACGGAGCTGTGTACACCAGTTATCTTGCGATGCACTATTTCCGACGATCGCCAGAGTCAACAAAAGGACATCGGAACTTGATACTGACATCCAGTATCGGTGGATTGTATCCCTGCATGCTGGCCCCGGTGTACAGTGGGACCAAACGTGCGTCAAGGATAAGTTGAGGAAAATAATCCTAGGAATCGCTGGCTGACCAAAGCTTATAGATGCGATGATCGGATTCACTCGTTCTATCGGTGATCGGCTCTGGGCTGAAGGAATCCGGGTGAACGCGTTGTGTCCTGGAGTAGTGGAAACGCCGCTATTTGTTGAGGCGCTCTATGAGATTTTCCCACGAAAGACAATGATTTCTATGGATGTTGTAACGAAGGTGGTATCACAGGTGCTTTCGGGGACTGATATGTTGGATGCTAGGGGGATGCGTGTGGCTGGTGATGAGATGCATTCCCGGGCTTTGCATGTTTCGGAAAAGACCTTCTTTTTTGTCGAAAAGCCTGAGATCCATAACGAGCAGACGCAGATAACGTGGGATGCTATGATGGGACATTGATTGACTTTGGGCTTCTGGTTTGACCAGATCAATTCTCGCCAGATTAGTTACAAAGCAAGCTCACTGGTCTGCAATTGGCCTACGCGCTACCCTTGACAAGAGTGTTGGAAGATGATAGAAGATAATATCATTGCCTATATATCATTTGGAATCGAGGAAATTATTCATTAAACAACAGTTAAGACACGATCCAGTCGTGTTGAAAGAAGAAAAAAGATACGAACTCAGCAGTTCAAATTATCCGCCATACGCCTCCAAACGTCCTCCGGTAGTCTCCCATGAACCCAGTAACCCCCATCATCCCCATCCCGGTCCTGTGCTTTCCACGTCACCAACACATCATCCAAATGAGATTTCGTCTCACGTAGAAGTCCGCAGTAGTCGACACTGCCCTGTACATAGAGCGGAGTCTCGCCCTGGATATCAAGATCATAAAGAGGTAAGCTTTTCCAGGACGCGACGCGCGGTTGAGCTGCTCGCCCACCATATGACTTCGGCACCATGGGAACTTTCTTCAATTTCTTGTGTTGATCCACAATCTCTCCAATGCACTCTGGTTGCTGCGCTTCGTTGATGGTATGCCGGATATACACTGCCATTCGGACCAGTGTAGGAGCGCTATACTCGCTTGACGGCATAGGGTCTGGCAAAGGCATCATGTACCAGGGGTTATAGAGGTTCGCCTCTGACTGCAGCTGTTTTGAGATATCGATAGCAACTCCGAAAGTATGACCTGTTGGTGGGTGTAAGGATGCCTGCTTAGGTGAGCTTGACATCCATGACTAGACGCGAGGCGAGATGGCTGACCTTGAAGATAAAAGACACCACGAGATCGTGTTCCGTTATCTGAGCTTTCTGCATTGCGGCCTCTTTTAACCAGCTCCGGATCGTTGTTTGAGGAATAAACATCGTCTTGCCGACCCGTCTCGCGGACGGGTAGCATATGTTCCGCCCCATCTGTCTTCCAAGAGCGCTGATTCCGGAGGCCCAATTCCGATGCATGGTGTGTTTGTGCAGGTCTGCAATCCGGTGCGATTCGATCATTTCTGCGCATTTTTCAAGTACTTCGGATTTCAGAGACAGTGATGGTCGAGCGTGGAGAGTATGCGTGATTCTTTCTCCTCTCAGCAGACTGCAATACGCTTGAATTATATTATGGGCACCTATTGTCACATTGTCAGCTCAGTGCTTGATCGCGGTCTAGGACACAAGGTTACCATTTGCATCGCAAAGCGGCTGGAGAAACTTGAACCCTATTATGCAGGCATCGGTCAAGAATAATGTTCGTATGGAGAACACTCGTTGCTTCCATGCATGGAGGAGACCATAACCAAAATCTAAGGCCTTTTCTAACCCTTCCGAATCCACCATCTGTGGAGAGTCCGCGTTGGTAGAGAAGTCAATAATCTCGCTGAGATCGCGCTTCACATGTCTTCCTTCCCATACATCGGACAGGTCGCCGGGGTCTGTTGGATCCAAGAATTTTGTTTTCTATCAAATGTTAGGTCTTTTCAGTAGTTGTTTTCGGCTACTATTGAATACTTACCAAGGGATCCATGCGCAGATTTAGCACCGGCCATTGTGAAACGAGAGTATCGGCAGCGAATTGAAAGTCGAGCGGGCTTGGATTGGTTTTGACGACGACTGACAAGGTGAACTCGAGAGGCCGCGCCAACCCCAAATCCAGCGGACCAAGCTTCATGTTGGCAAAAAGAATGCAGGGTATTTAAAGGTGTATTATGAATTAAGTATAAGGGTATAATGAAGCGCAGGGCTATGCGAAATCGACCTTGAAGAGTATAGCCACACTTATGAAAAAGGACAAAACGAGGCCATCACAGAAACAACATAAAGCCCGTGGATGTTTAGGTATGACGATTTTGAGGTCCCTCCACTCATAATTTCCCTCTGGAATGTACGATTATGATGCTTCTGCGCAAATGAGTTTCTTGGCATACATAACTGAGAGCTCTTTGCCAGGGCAGAAACCATCGCTTGGAATGCTGTGCGAGGCTTTTGCCCCTGGTCCGGGGTATGTGTGGCTTGTAACTACTCAAATCGGGCTTGAATCTCGCTTCGAGAGACTAGGATGATATCTCCAAATGTCCCTGTGCCAATGGTTTCCGATGCCTAACATTTGCCGAGGTCCTGACGTTTGTCATTCCCCGAGTTGACTGCAAGGCTCAGATTCCACCTTGTTCCATTGTCTAATAGGATAGTTGAAAATTTGTCCCCGTGACAATTGATCAATGTTCGGAAGATGTGCTACACTCATATCGAAATCCGAGGGAAGAACGGGTCAAGACAAGAAAAGATGCCATTCTTTGGCTGCGAATGAAATGCTTGATTCTTTAGCAAGATCTATAGTGGATTCTGGTAAGCGCTTAGGCTACCTTTTCGAAATGTCAAAGCTTCTCTAGTGCCTTATGCCAAAAGAAATGACGATGTATAACCTTCGAAAGCCCAACATGATGGTATCGGCAGTCAAAAGGAATGTCAATCACATACGGAGTTCTCCGTATGCATATTGAAAAAAACCACGCAGTCGAAGGGCAAGTTTCGTTTTTTGAAGGGGAAAATATTCCCACCCTTCCTTTGCGATCTGATACCCCAATGTGATTGGATGCCCTAGCTGCGAGGACAGGGATGAGACACACTGCGGCCAAAAAGTAGCGGCCAAACAAAACAACAAACCCGGGATGGCCCGCTGCAGTGTATGTGGAGAACGCCCTGCACGGGAATGTGAGAACCGACGTTCGTGCCATCACATTGTGCTTCTGCCCAATAATTGGCTGGAGGTTGTCAGCCTTGAATTAGGTGGAATCATGGAAAGCTTGAACGGGTCTTGGTTTTTCTTGGCTTGTCATCTGTGCAATAGCGATCAACTTGTAATATACTAGAAATCCCTTCAACAGTACTGTCCTGTCTTTGCTGCCACCCTTTGCTGCCATCCTATATATTGCATTTTGCTTTGTGGGAATTTAGTCTGGAGGCTCTTGTAGTTGGGACATTTCCGAGAGTACTGTACGATATCTGTTGGCAGGTTTAGCGGCTGAAGAATCACTAATTTGCTGCTTCATACAGTGTCTGTCGTGCTTGATAGAGAACATAATTCAACGAGCATCATTCCAAGATCGCGATCACATTTTACCTTTTCGCCAGCAATAGCAGTCCACATAACAGAAGGATTCTAGAAGATCAGTTTGCCGATCTGCATAGTCCTGGAGTCTCCCGAGTAGGGCTTACTGTTTCTTGCCAATCACGCTATTTTCATCGAGCAAAACCTGCACCGCGCCCTGTCTCCTCCACTAACTGATCACGTAGACTATCCATCTCGGCTTGCATGGACGCAGAACCGCCAATGCAAAGTTTGCTATTCTCAAAATCAATCATTCGCGTCGTGTTATCTTGAACGATGAAATTATGTCTGTTGACGTCGCCATGGAGGATGCCAAGATCATGTAAACGCTGGAGAGCAGATTGACAAGAGGGAAGATCTTCGATGTTTGCTTCACGGCCTTCGATTTTCTCCAGCACAAAGCCGATCACACGGCCATGTTCATGGACATGGCCAAGGAACCGTGGCGCAAGGCCCGTATTTTCCAGCCTTCTATACATGAATGTCTCCATCGATAAACGTGGTACTTCCCACTCGAATCGCGCGATTTTCGCAATAACAACAGGCGATGTCGGACTTTGTAGTTTGTCACCGGTGTAACTGACTTCGTAGGCGGTCGGAGTAAACGACTTCCTCTTCTTCAACTGGAGACAGTCAATCGACACAGGATGCCACAGGTTTGTTATACCACTGAGGGCTCTGTGCTGTAGATTCATTACGACCTCACGGCTTGAGGGGTCTCGACTGACGTGTGCCACATTCCAAGTGGTATCCTCAGGAAGTTCAGGTAAAGAGCTGAGCGGCATAGAAAGGATTGATCGTTCGAATGTCCCCGTGCTGATAGTCAGGTATCGGACCCGATTTGAGACCAATATTCTGTACTCGCTATCATCCCTGCTCGATACTTCCATGGACAGTACCGTGGGAGGCTGGGATATGTGATGCATTTGGGCAGCAAATGGTAAGTGACTCTCGATTTTGCGATCAGAAATATTTCAGGGTCCAGAACACATGGATAGATCTGCTCGTGGTCCAAACAACCCCCGCGCTGGGGAGATGCCGTGGGATTAGAATGCCCCACTTGAACAGTCGGAGCTTGGCGGGAGAAAGGATAGAAGGAGAATAGGCAAAAAGAAAACAGATATTGTTCTTCGATATGTTTGCTTGATTGTTGTCTAGGTATCTGGGTACTCCAGAGTCAGATCCGCGGTGATTTTGTTCGAATGCCAAGTGTGATGTGATGTGATACATGTGAGGTGCATCACTGCCCACAGGAAAGAGAGATGGTGATTGCAATCAGGATAGATATGACACTAGAGCTCATTGGAAAACAGACCTCGAAACTCCACGTCGATTAATGCATTCATACCATCGAGATCGGGGGGACCCTGCGCGAGTGAAGTGAAGCGGTGTGCATTTACAGGAGACAAACCAAACATCTTCTATCGCACCCCTATTATTCTTCCAAGCTGGGCTCAGCGAGGCTTACTGGGCGTCGGGTATGGTCTAACAAAGGGAATCTCGATTAATATGTCTGTTATAGAAGTCAAAGCCTAAAGTATGGTATCAAACTATATGGCCCCAGCTCCGCGTCATCTTATGCGAACCTAACACGACGAACCGGACATTTGCTGTCCTCCGATACGACCCCAAGACTATCGTTGCCCTTTGGAAGGGACTTGAATGACCTGAGTGGCCAGTTTTCCGGGGTCTCTCCCTGCGTGATTGTTGCACAAGATGCATCCCCCTCATCTTAGCTGCCGATCTGTATGCATCTGGGCTTCAAGTCCACTTTCCTCATCAAGCTTCTGAGAAATCCGGAATCTAGCCATTACAACCTGTGTGATATTATGCCGGAAGACCCACCTGGGAGACCTTGCGAACGAGGTCTGTCGCATTATATATGCCCTCGCGTCCTGCATATTTCTGTTTCACGCACAAATACAGCCATTATAAGAGATTCAAATCACATCACCCATCATGATATGGGACTACTATAACGGCAAAACGGTGTTCGTTACGGGAGGAACCGGTTTCATCGGAACTGCACTCCTCTGCCGACTCTTGAGTCAATCCTCTCCGGAACGAGTATATGCGCTATGTCGCGGTGGACGCGAGTGAGTGACCAAAATCTCAACTAAATCAAAGTTATATCTCCTGACGTAAACTATTTAGAAAAGCTCACGCGAAATGGTTCAAAACGCTACCAAAGTCTGTCGCAAACCGCCTCACCGAGAACCCCAGGCTAACGATTTTCGATGGCGAATTGGGAGAAACCTCGAGAATGAATCTATCAGAGGAGACAATTCAGATGCTTAAACAAACCGTTCACATTGTATTCCACGCTGCATCGTCGATTAAATTGCAGAATTCCCTTCGAGAGCTGGCATATACCGTGCTGGCACCAAGTCTATGTCTCACCCAATATGCCCTGAAGTTCCCCAACCTCGAGCGCTTCGTGTTTTTCTCCACCGCATACGCAAATGCACACCTTTGGAAAACCCACAAATCCACCGATGTGCCAGTGGACGAGAGAGTATATCCTCTCGGTACCGAGGAAGAGGACTATTCCCTGAGTGCTCTGGAAGCATGGAAGGAAGTGCAGAAGACCGGCTCGTCAGACGAATACGACTCCCATGATTTCCCTTGGCCATATGCATATGCCAAGCATCTGGCTGAGCGGTTAGTCCTACAGAAAGCATCTGAGCGCAACAAGCTGGACAAGGTCCTAATCATCCGACCCTCTGTCCTCGGACCGGCCGAGAAATTCCCTTGTCTGGGATTCTCAACTTCTTATGGAGCGCCCTCAACAGCCTGTGCAGCAGCATACATGCTCCATCCTGGTCGTCGGATCAAACTGCCAACACGATGTGAAAATCCCGATAAAGAATCTACAATCGATGAAGTTCCAGTCGACGTAGTCGTCGATCGGACACTACTCCATGTGGCACTGGGTACCAGCGGATGTGTCCATGCAGTCAGCGGAGAACAGGGACGGCTAACCACTGAAGAGTGGTGGCATGCATTTAAGAAGGAACGGCGACTGCCTTGGAAGGCCAAACCGGCTTGGACCTCTGATGACTGGCATTCCCCCGATCTCCACCAAATGGCACGGCAGTTCAAAATTATCGGGACTTCGTTTGCTTTCTCGCAGGAAAAGACTATACAGGCTGCGGAGAAACTTGATCATTCGGAGAAGAAGGATCTTGTATTATTTGTCGACCGGTCGAAGCCTTATTCTTTGCATTTGAGACGACATCATATTCATCATCAGGCGGTGCAGGTGGCCAAGAAGAAGAAGTGGCCTCTGTGTTCGGCTAGACTGCTTTGTCGGAAGGGGAAGCCGATAGCTCATCTGCATGAGGATATCAAGGCATGAAAGTGAACGTGGGGTTGGGTGTATAGATAACACTTTGAGGCGAACTTTTCCAATTTTCTTTTGACGGCTCCTGGGAGGAGCTGGTAAGCATCAGTGCAGTCTATATCTCTGTTTTTATCCAACTGTCCTTGTAGATATCCTGTCTGATATTGATTGCGATAACCAAAAAAAGAGAAATTATTATGAGTTACACGTACTTTCATATTTTTTACATATACAGTAATGGTTCCCTAGGACAGCTAAGTGCAATATGTAGATAGGAAGGAAACTATGTAGTTTTGAACTAGCTACACCAGCATGGGAAGGGAAAAGGGAGATGGGTGCTGTCGGTCTGAGACATCCAACCCTCAATAGCTTTTCAGTCAGTTCAATTCGGAAACTAGCACGACTCACCTATTTAAAACAACCACTGACACGGCCGACACAACGCCTAAATAATTTAGTGAAACCGATCGAATGTGACGTACCTACCTGCTACCTACCTGATAGAGCGAGTAGACCCAAGGTCACTCTCAAATTTCCTCAATATCAAACCGCATGTCAATGTTGTGTGTCAATTCAGGCTGGAAAGTCACAATCCTCGCAATTCGTCTTCTTCCTTGACCCCAAGCACCCAAAACAAGGGCTGCGGCAATACTTCCTATCTTAGTGCCCAGAAGTGCATAATACTCTGGCGACGGAGGTGTCCAGGTCTGGGGCTCTGCGGATGGGGGTGGGTATTGCATCATTCCACGGGATGCATACACCTGCCGAACACATGGCACAGTGCATGATTCTATAATCTTAGTAAAGACTATATATCGAAGACTATCGATGGGATAGTCCATCTGATACACAGCCTGGGTACATTCCGAAACATGGGGGGGATTACCGTCGTTTGATCTGAAAATCCAGTCGACCATGATCAGGCCTTCTCCGGTGTGCCCATCCCACTCCATTGCCTCGTGTTCTTCGTTTGACATCTCGATATGATAAACCCGGGTCGGTAGACCTAGGGGAACAGCCCAGGTCTGGTGTGTCGGCTCCAATGTTACCGCCGTCTTTCTGAGGACCCAATCCGAGGGTTGTGGCGGGATCTGAAATGTACACTTGGGATATGGGCATCCTGGCTCATCGGCATCTTCGATCCATCGTTCAAGCTGCCGTCCTGCTTGCTCCAACTCTGGATTTGTCTCGGCCATTGTGTAGTAGTGATTGAAAGGGTTCGTTCTTTGAGATAGCAGTGAACAGTGGTTAATATCAATTGTCGGCTGATATTCTCTTATAAGAATGTATTTAAGAATTAATTAATGGCATGGGTGTCAGGGTCTTATATAGTTGAGGCCTGCTAAGAATTACAGTAGATTTTAACAATGCCATTGTCCGGGAGGATCTATGAAAACTAGGGGAATCAAAGGAAAATGAAGATATAAAACGTAAGCATGGAGGGCTTGGAAACAGCACAAAGAGTGCATATAAAGCGGCCGTGGAGGCTTGAAAGAAATTTTATGCCAGATAGTACTAATACAATGTTGTTCATACCAATCTACCACCAGGCGTTTAGAAAGAAGTATTTCTCCTTCTATATCGTCGCTACTATAACTACCCTTCAGCAGCCTTGCCATTGAGATTGAGGTCATTTTTGGGTATTTGCAGATAAAAATCAAAATCAATTTGGTGTGTATATACTTTGCTAAATCATAATTTGGGAGTTGATATGTCGTGAGAAAACTTCTCCCAGGGAGACCATTGAGCGCCATAGCGAGTTCCATCAAGTAGACACGTTCCTATTGAGCTCTCTCACAGTACTTATAGCTCTGTCAAGAACAGTCTGTCCACGGTCAAGCAGAGATCTCAATATACCTGCGACCGAAGGATCCCGTTCGGCCTCCGGCAGTTCTCCTTCAACAGCCACCACGGCGTTGAAGTCTCTAATAATGCTTTGTATCTGCTCGTCGATATACTGCTGTAGTATCTGGGAGCTTTCGTCAATGGCGTCGTTATATACTTCTTTTGCACGTTCAGAGTATTTGGAAAACAGCCTGGAATGCCTCAGGTGGTCGTCCATGTGTTGCTTTCGACGCCTGTCGCTTCCAGTCCCTAATTTATGGTTAATAATGAGATAAAAATCCAGATATTGCTGGGGTTATCTACACATACCTCCCTCGCTGTTACAGGCACTATATGCTGGTAATATTAGAGTAGAAACGAACGAATGGGAGTGGGCGTATAGCATGTCTCGCTGTGTCTGTCTGTAGGAAAATGGTTAGAATCACGGCGGAAACTTATTTTTTGTTGATATTGTCTTACTGGGTCTTCATGTTGATTATGCGAATCAATCTCGCGATTTCGTTCTTAATGCACTGCTGTCTATGTCTCATGCTGCGAAGGATGTTTTGCAGGGCCTGGGGTGCAAAGTCCTCATGCGCTGGAAAAATCAGGAAGCATTAGGAAGAGAAATTAAGGTGTATGAGCCAAATTCAAAGGTGAGTTACCGTGAATATCTTGGAACAAGTCTTCAAATGATGCATCAACTTCGTTGGCTAGAGTTTCAGCTTGTGACTCGAGCCATTCCAGGATTTCTTCCCACTGTGGATCCAGTTCCTCGCGGCTTTGTTGCACTAACTGATCATTCCAAGGGCGTGCATTCGGTTGTGCCTTGGTGCTCCAGGATCCATGTTGCCGACAGAACGCGGCGTATGTAGCGTGGTGCCACTAGATCAGCTGTTAGCGAGGTGCGACTTATTTCAAGTCTATCGGGGATGAGAGGTGAAAATTACCCCTGCCCACTCCCGGCTGATTCCCAGGCTTATCTGTTTCCACAAGCCCCTAGAATCCCCTGTTTTATGAGTTTATCAGAACCATGAATCAGAAATTGGCCTTGGAAGAAGATTTGGCATACTGATATGGAGGATGACAGAATTATGAAACAGCGCTCTCAAGTCCCGGATCATGCGAGGAACATGTGCTTGCGACGATTGAAAATCCTATTCGCTATCAGAAAATGGTCTGCGGTTCTATGTTTGAGCGTACCCGACAAAGAGCCTCTTGAGACTGATTCAGAACACGGTGGAGGGCAGCGGCCTTTTCTGCAGTGACCGAATCTGTCCCCGACAATGCCCATTGACGAAGAGAGCCCACCATTGCCGGGACTTCGTCTTCCAGGAACGCTGATGTTGCGCGCATTTGAGCTTCCGCTGGGACTAGCTGGCAATGGCGGCGGAGCTCGCGTATACCAGTCAGATCGAGGTATTCCTCCGCGCGAATCGATTCGCCGGCCCGGTGATCGGAGTATAGTGTGTTGCTAACACAGAATACTTGGACCTCCTCGTACTTCCTAGCGAGGTCGCGTGAGACCTTGAGGTTTCGGCGGTTGATCAAGAAACTTTTGACACTGAATTGCAGTTAGCGGTGATGGTCAGGCCTGACTGGGACTGGGATATAATCTTACCCAAATTCCAATTCCTCTGTCCGGTCGCTAAACTAGAGTCAGCATGTGGCACAGTATCGAGAGAACGAGAAATTTACCTGAGCTCCGATTCTTCAAGAGCCCATCTGGCCCGGTTGCTCCTGTCCGCTTTGATCCTTCGCGACTTGGCCCTTCTGTGACTAGCCTTCACTGCTTCGATTTCTTGATTCATTTCTCGGACGCGTCGTCCGTCTGGTCCCTGCTCACGGGCAGCCTCTTCGGCTGAAACATTCTATTCGCGCAGTCAGAGAAAATACATTTGCAACCTAAGTGGCGTTATACATACTTCTGAGTTTGTGCAAATAATCCTTCGCAGTTGGTCCGATCTACATCTGCTTATGATGTCTGCGACGGATTCGTCCGAACTCGCTCGAGCAATGTTTGCCACAATGAAGACCTCGTCGCAATGATGCGCGAGATACTTTTCAGTTGTGCGCACTCTTGCAAAGTTCAGATCTCGGAGTCCTATATCTCATTAGTTCACTTGAACGGAATGATACGGATTGTCGACACATACCGGGCAAATCAGTCAAAACTAAACCAGTTCTCAGAATAGGTGAACTGAGGTATACCCTGCACGAACATCAGATACCAACTCGTCAATTAATTAGTCCTATATTCAACAAACCTGATCAACTTGATGAAAGGCCACAGTGCGGGACCACCAGCCTCTGAACTATCAGCAGCAAGCTGATCAAGAGTAGATTGACATTCTTCAATATCACCAGCAGTGGCGGAATATTCGAGTGCGTCGGATCCGCCCTGTCGATGTGCCAAACCAGCGGATGCCCACTGCTCCAACTGAGCGAGAGTATCAGAGCGTGCGCCATCGGTTTCATCCGATAGAAACTCAATTGTAAGTTCTGGTTGGTCCTTGAACAACGATTGAAGTGATTCCCATGCTTTAGCGGCTGCATCTCGGCAGTTCTGTTGCTCCTCGGTCGTCTTGAGTTCTCTGAATATGGAGCTGACGTAGAACTGTCGGAAATTCACTAGCAGCTCGTCTATTAACTCTGTCATCTCTTCTTTGTTCATATATTCTGCTTCAATTCTGAATGGACCAGTGTGGTTGTCGTCAGTGTGGCGGAACTCTGTCACTACACAGGTGCAGGCAGATCCCTCTCTGCTCTAGAATTGGATGTCAGTGAGCAGCCACTCAGAAAGTGGAGAGGTAATGGCAAGAACATACAGATCGTGCAATCTTCTGGTCAAGAAGCGAATTGACTAAAGAACTCTTGCCTGCAACAAAGTTAGACGATAGAAACTGAAAAGATGGCCCAACCTCGTACCAACTCCCGAGTCTCCAATGAATCCTACAGTACGTGTCTCCGGATATTCAAACTTGCTCATCTTTTCCGTACGCTCACATAGCGCGTAAAGGTTTGTCGATTGATCTTTAGCTAATTCCGAAGCATGCATGATTTCGGCAAGACCGGCCAGTTCGCGTTTGACGTCTTTCAGTCCTCTTTGGAGTCGGCTGTTGTAGATCCGGGCCCTGGGAAGTGTTTCTTCGCGTATACTGACTATCCTCTCTGTCTCACTTTCATCCTCCTCGGACTTTTCAGCCTCTGAAAGATTGTCACTTTCTGTGGGCAGATCTCCTGAAACGTTTTCCCGCCCAGTACCCCAGTCCAAGGGCACTGGTGCAGAGTTTAGGCCTGGATCATTTAGTTTCTCATTATCTTGAATGGTATCAGATGATTCAGTGGTATTATCCCGAGTGTTCTCACTCCGATGGAAAGAAAACATGGGCATGGGTCGCGGGCTTGGGCTTGGAGAAGCATTGTGCTGATTTGCGTACGTGGATGGCGACGGACCGGGACTCAGCGGTGAGTTTAGCGATTTGCGTTGAGGCGTAGCATTTGGTGATGCTTTATGAGCTGGTTGTAAATTTTGGAAGAGGGATATTGGTGGTTGGGCTGTTGGCAAGGTCCTGGGTACGCTCGAGGCTTGTCGGATAGGTACAACACTCTCAGTTCCACCGCCATCTTGAGAAGATGAAGGTGGGAAGTTCCGAAAAGTCTCGGAATTAATCGAGAAGTTGAACTCTACTGAGGGGATACTCATCCTGGTGGTTGGATCGATTAAGGCTCTTGACAAACAAGTATATTGGGTCTTACGGTCTATTAAAAGGGCACACTGCCCGAGCCAAGACAGCTGGACCTCCTCATCTCAGATGCTAGAATTAGCACCTGGAGCACTGGTACGATGAATCTCTAACCCCTCTTGCTGCGCGATCCTGCGCCGCCATTGGGTGATACATCCTGGTCGCAAATCGGCGCTTAGGAGGAGTCTTGGCCGTTCGTGCTGCTTCATTATGATTTTCTCTCTATCTCTTCGAATAATCAAATCTTCTTGTCATCTGTCTTGCGATTGCATAGTGGAGTTATGATGGAAAAGAATCTCGCGAGTCTGTAGGCTCCTAATGGCATTTTTGGCCCCCGTGGCTTAGTATACTCGCGTGCATTTAATCCTGGTCAAAAAGGCGCGCGAACTCATGATTGCTTGCTCTGCAACCAATTAATCCCATCGACCACGGGGTATCATGTGCCTTTGTTGTTGGCAACCCCTTGGTTTAGACGAAGGTGGTAATTTGGAAATAATTTGGGCTCATGGAGGATCCCATGATACTGTAGAATGCAAGACAGCCGCTTGGATAAATCTTCCAATTGATCCCATTGATTAACGAGTTCTGTGTTTCAGGTTCCCCGTGGTATACATTCTATAAATCTCTATCAAACATACATCTCACTTGACCTTCGTTGACTATCAGTTGGCAAGGCCCAAAGATTCTCGTTCTATATAAGTGGGATTCCCCCAGTTCACTAGGATTTGATAGCATCAAATTGTGCTGTATTAAATCGTTATATCCTACTACATGGGTATATCATATCTTAACTACGTACGGGGGAAACGGAAGGTTAACATTGAGGCCTTTTATACTCTGCCTGCGTGTAAGTTAGAAAGACTAGGGGAAGGACATAGCAAAAACAAGTGAACATTAGGGCCAAGTGGCCTAGGGGCGGCCTTGCAAGGATTAGTTCTGATCTGACTGCTAAAAAAACAAAGCTCCTTTCAGATCATTCATCCTGCGCCCATTTATCTAAGAGCACGACTAGGTAGCACACGATTAGCTAACCCTCTTTCGGGATATTTCCCACTGGCCGCAATTGATCTCTCCACTGTCGTATTTAAGATAGTACCTACAAGGTACTTCTCGAGTATTCCTAGCCGTACGGAGTACCCGAATCTTATCTGGCACCTTCCCGGTCCCCCAATAAGCTATTCGCAGAAAGCCTCGCAGTCAATAACCTCCTTACGAAACAGAAACAGTTGCGGCCAGCGGGAAATATCCCGAAAGAGGCTTAGTCAATAGTGTGCTACCTAGTCGTTCTCTTGAACTAAGACAACCGAAAGAATAAAAATCAAACACGTACCTTGCTATCGAACCAGCGGGGACCTCGCCTTCTGTTCTCACAGTCTCCCTTCTTCCAGTAGAGGAGTTCCCGTGGACTCCAACTGTCCTATCGACTCTATGTTTTCTCCAGCCGACCAAATGCAACTGGAGGATCAAATCCAGAATCAAATTCACCAGGCCTCCGCTAGCACCAGCCGCAGCAAGCCTCGGTCGCGGCCCAGTTTGCGGACTTCGTGCGACTCCTGCTCAGCGACAAAAGTGCGCTGCACCAAAGAACAACCAACTTGTTCTCGCTGTATTAAAAATGGCTTGAAATGCATATATGGCCGGTCGCGCCGAAAGGGCAAACCATCTTCCAGCAACGTCGCCGCTCTGAAACCCCTATCCGCACTGCCTTCTCCGGCTTCACCATCTCAGTCTGTAAAATCACGGATGACGGGTTATCAGACTCACCATTCCAATGCAAATTACAGCTGTAGCTGGTTTACCTCGCCTATGTTTCCGACCACCAATACTGCAAATTCGGATATCGGCAATGTCTTACCAGGTGATTGTGAAAACAGAACACCGCAGAGCTTGACGTCCCAGCATTCAACAGCAGACGAATATGCGACGTCCCATTCACCGATAAATATGGGGCCCATGGAATGCTCCCCACCATCGGATGGTGGGGATTTTGACCCACCTCAGAGAATGGCGGCCCACGGGATCCATGACGATTCTGACGATGAGACCGCAGAGGAGGACGAAGATGAAGACCCGGAAGAAAATAACGAGCTCCCGGACCCGGTCGAAGATGAGAATATACCATGCATTGCTATCGCCTGCAAAACGCTTTATTCGCTATATCATGTCGTGCCCCCCAGTGGTGAGAAAGGCAAAATACCCAGTTCGTCTCAGAGAAATGCATTGTCAAGTGACCTGGTGTTTCGTATGACTCGGTCGGCCACGGCGACGATGTCTCGATTACTAAACTGCACATGCAGTGGCTGTTCGCATGACGTGTCAATGCTGATGCTGCAGAGTGCGGTTCTTTTCAAGATTCTTGCCTGGTATGAAGCTCTATATCAAGGTGATATTAATGACCAAGTCCAACCACCCATGTCTTCATCACAACAAAGCGGTCAAGTCAAGTCAGCCGAGAGCGCGCAGGAATCTGTATATGCCATATCGTTGAACATTGGGGCTTTCAATCTTTCTCGCGCGACGGCAAAGAGGATGAAGGCACAACTTCTACTATGCGAGTTACAGCCTCTAGTCCAGGTGTGCCAGCTTCTAGACAGACGGGTCCAGGCTGCCGACGATCTTCTGGGTGAGAAGAACATGTGTGATGGTTCGAATGCCCGCTTGCTAAGGAAGGTGGGCGAGTTGCAGCAGATATTGACTGAGATATGCACACAAGCACCGTCGTTGGTGTAGAAGATCGACAATACTGAATGTCTGTGTGGATTTTGAAGAACTATCACCATTTGCGGACCCTATTAGAGTAGAAACATACAAAGAACCATGGTGCAAAATCGTTAGACCTGATATATCCACGTACACGGAAGTGTATCTTTACCCGAATCCGACCCATTATCTTTGACAGTATATATCAAGTTCGAATGTTTGACAGAAGAGCCAGTTCACTTTTAACGTACAATATATATGGATAACTAATGATTTGTGCAGCAGAAGCAGTAGTATAACCACACGTCCATTGTAGTCCATCATAACTAATAAAAAAAACGAAGATTTCGATGTTCAGTGACCCGATATTGAAAAACAACAAAAAGACAAAAAATTCCTCTGACCCGGGATCGAACCAGGGACCTCAAGATGATCCGAAGATCTTAAGCAGTTACAGTCTTGCGCTCTTCCAGCTGAGCTATCAGAGGATTGATGGAATGTGACTGAATTTACAGATTTATGAGCAAGCCAACAGCCGAAAAAGAAACCGCGGGGAAAAGAAATTCTTCCCCGCCACCAAGTCACAAGCTTAACCAACCCACCATGGCGCCAACGACGTGTTTCAACTGCAAAGAGGCGCGAGCCGTCATCATCCGACCAAAGAACAGACACAAGCTCTGCCGTGCCTGTTTCATCTCAGTCTTCGAAACCGAAGTCCACGAAACAATCATCGGCACCAACCTCTTCTTCCGCGGCGAGCGAGTCGCAATCGGAGCCAGCGGCGGCAAAGACAGCACCGTACTAGCGGCCGTACTGAAAACCCTCAACGAGCGATATGACTACGGATTGGATCTATGCTTGCTGTCCATCGACGAGGGCATCCGCGGCTATCGCGATGATAGTCTCGAGACCGTGAAGCGCAACGCCGTGCAGTATGAGATGCCCCTCGAGATCCTGGGATATAGCGAGCTTTACGGCTGGACGATGGATCAGGTGGTGGAACAAGTTGGCAAGAAGGGCAACTGCACCTACTGTGGTGTGTTCCGGCGGCAGGCGCTCGATCGAGGCGCTGCCCGCTTGGGAATTCACCACGTTGTCACGGGCCACAATGCAGACGATGTCGCTGAGACTGTCATGATGAATCTGCTGCGTGGTGATTTGCCTCGTCTGTCGCGTGGTACTAGTATCGTGACTAGCTCGGACGCGTCTGATATCAAGCGCAGCAAGCCTTTGAAGTACGCATACGAGAAGGAAATCGTTCTCTACGCCCACCACCGCCAGCTTGACTACTTCACGACTGAATGTATCTACTCGCCCGAGGCATTCCGCGGCAGTGCTCGTACCCTAATCAAGGATCTGGAGAAGATCCGCCCCAGTTCGATCCTCGATATTGTCAAGAGTGGCGAGGACATGGCGGCGCTTGTGCCTGATGAAGTGCGGGGTGTTGGTAAATCGAAGTCTGGCGCGGAGGAGGAATCAACTGGTGGCTGTGGCAGTGGAAATGGCCGAACCAGTGGAGGAGAGATGGCCGCGATGGAGAAGCAGATCGCCGAGAACGACGCGGCTTCGTCGCGCGAGACCGAAATCAAACTCCCGAAGGTTGTGCGCGCGAACCGCGGCCCTGGAAAGGCAGTTAAGGCGCAGACTCTCAAACACTGCGAGCGCTGCAACTATATCTCCAGTCAGCGGATCTGCAAAGCATGTACACTTTTGGACGGTCTGAACCGCAATCGACCCAAGACCGCGATTGAAGTTGGGGTTGGCATGGAGGATGAGGAGAGCAGTTCGACTTTGATGAGACAGATGGAGCGTGCTCAACTCAGTGCTACCTGAAAAAAAAAACGCCATCAGCAAAGCACGTCTCCTCAAAGCACGCCCATTAGCGCCAGAATCTTCGAGATTCTCGGGCTTTCACATCATGATCCTCCCGCTAGACTACCATCACGAGGCGATCACACCCAGTGCTAACTTAGGGATCCAATCTCGGTGCTCCCAGACACTGTGCGGCAATCCACGTGGTTTTCAACGGACAAGAGTCTAGAGCGGGAGGATCTCACTCTTATCCTGATATCCGAGACCTTGAATCCCCCCAAGATACAATTGGAACATCAAACCCAAGGTCCATCCACCCATAGAATTGGATATACATAGAGAAACGTTTCCAAAAAAAGAACAAATATATGCTACTCGGGCAATGCTCTATATCTTTTATACATAAAACCGTAGTATACAAATTCCCAAAATTTCAAAACGCCCATTCCACGGAAAATACATGCTCAGCGACGCCACGCTAGTAGCACAGACAACGGGCTCCATCAGAACCAGAACCCCACAACCGTCTTCCCATCCAGTCCATAGATTCCACAGACCTAACTCGACGCAAAGAAATGCCCCCGGTAAATTCTTCAAACACCCAACTGAAAGATTTACTCCGACTTGCCCTCGGGGGTGTGCAGATCGGGCAAATCGAATCCAACACGTCGGGCAGTGAGACGAATCTTCTCTTCCTCGTCCATGGTCATGCCGGGGTTATAGCGCTCGAGGAGTTCGCAGTAAACGCGCTGGGCGCGGGCATACTGGGCGAACTGGTCTGCTTCTTGGACGCGGAGGGTGCGCTCTTCCTCGGTTTTGGGGATCGAGAAGGCAGATGCGGCGGTTTGTGATGCTGGCACGGAGCGGAAGATGTTTTGGAGGCGTTGGTGTAGTGGGGATGGGGTGGAGGAGCGGCGAGGGAGTTCGCGGAGGAGAGCGCGGTAGGTTGCGCGGGCCTGAACTTGGGACATTTTGGCGGCTTGACAATGGGGTAACGGATTTGGTTTATTTTGGTTTTTGAAACCCTGGTGCAAGTTGATGTGGTGTTTATCTTGAGGCTGCTCGGAGGTTAAGATAGCCGGGATAAAATATTCACGTGATCTGACATGTATGCGACACACGGTACTTGGGAATAGCTTAATGACACGAGAGATTTGATTATTATTGTGATAGATACAGATATGATTGCGATAAATTGGGGGAAAAAAGCAAGTAAATAAAGATGTCAATATATACCGGGGTGGGAATTTGCTATTTGCAAGGCCATCACTACCCGCACTCAGCACGCATATATACAAAATGTCGTAGCGGAGCTTTTCTTTAGATGTATCACCGCTCCAAGCGTCATATCGACCCCCGTGGGGAACGAGTTCATAACGAAAAGTAGACAAAAGACAGCAAGAGTATTTATCAATCATAGAGGGGCATGACGACATGAGAAGGGAGAGAAGGGGGGACTTGGGAAGGTAAACGTGAAAATGGTAGATGGGATGGATGGGTGGGAAATTAGCCCCAATTCGCGGATATGAGTGCGTTCGGATCGCCAGAGGCGTGACTGAGTCGGCGACTAGGGTTAAGAGCGCAACCAGCCGAACTTCTTTCGTCCCTCAGCTCCCGTGGACGGTTCGACTTGCAAGCTCCGAGCATACAGATCCTAGAAAATGTTAGTGAAAAGGGTAAAATGATTCGCTGCACTTGAAGATCTTACCTCTTCGTCTCCGGAGAGCTTCGAATCCAGGATCAGTCGCTCAACATCCTCAAACTTTTGAGCTTGAGGGTGAGGAGTCTTTTGGCTTCGTTGGATGCCGAGAACAACCTCACCCATGACCTCGAATTTCTTCCAATTGATGCGCGATTTATTCTCGCCAACAAACGTCTTGTTTCCTTCTTCGGCGGAAACAAGATCACGACGATGGAGAGGTAGGAATGGAATTCGCTCTGAGAATGAGTTCTCCCAGGCAAGCCGGTAGGCGAAGTGGCTTCGTTGAGTGCCCATGAGAATGACCTGGCGCATGAACTCTTTCTGGACCGGAATAGGAACTAGATCTCGAGTTTGCGTCAAACGCTGGACGGGGGTGCCATTGATGCCGGCGATCACGGCACCCAAGGAATTATAGTTGTTTTGGCGTCGGAGTTTCTGCAAAGAGAAGTTATATTAGTGGGCCGCTGGATAGTAGTTGGATTGGGAGAAATACCCCTGCGATGTTCATGAACTTCTCCATTGCCTTCGCTCGATGCTTCGGCTTGTCACGCAGGAGGATCAGGCTGGCTACAAAGAAGGCTAGATGGTTGAACTGTTTGATCATTCGATTGACATTTGCCAAGCTCTTGATCGTATGCTTGTCGACACCGGACAGGCTGACATGGCGCACAAGATCACGCGGGCGGAATGAGTTGTACATGATCCAGTCAATCCGCGTCAATTCTCGTGCAAATTCCTCATCTGGCGTTTCCATGAAGATCCGCCATTGGAGCTTGCCTAGAGCAGCCTTGTATGTTATTTCAAGATACAAAGCCTCTTTTTGGGCTGCATCGAGGCTCAGCAATGTGAATGTTTGGTTTGTAGTGCTGTTGGGTTTGTCGGTGGTTGACGAGATTGAGAGAGTGCCCGAGAGTCGGGATGTCGAGTCATGCGGGCCGCTGAGATCTAGCGCACTCATACTGTATATTGGGTCTTGCTCTTCTTCGTTATCATAGGTCCCAGTCGCAGTGCCAGTGAAAACCTGCGCTGGAGAGCTCCGGCCCGAGTCATCGAAGAATGTCTCGCCCAAATGGAAATTATCGGCATCGCTGTCACCTCCATAGGCCCAGCCAACGTCATCGTCTTCCGCGTTTGAGTCTAATTGAGATCCGATCTCCTTAGCAGCGAACATGTAGAAATGGCTCTTTTCGAGGGTCGCGACGAAATCAATGATTCGTTTACGTAGCTTAGGGCGTGCGAAATCTCCAGGATACTCCGAAGCCCATTGAGCCATGACGTCGAGCAATCGTAGTTGATCTGCCATACGAGCGAGTTGATCATCATTGCCCATTTCGTTGCGCTCAAATCGACCGATCAAGGCACCCAGGAGGTTTCCAGGGGCAGCAAACTTTCGGTACAGACATAGGAAGGTGGAGCGGAACTTTTGGTCCTGTTTCGACGTTGGCAACGAAATCAAACGATCGACAAGCTCCTCGAAGGATTGGCCGGTCTCTGCGCTGGAGTTGCTCTCGCTGCTCGGCTTTGGTCGCACGACTGCGCCAGGGCTTGTGGGCCGGCTCTGTCCATCATCCATCTCCTCGTCCATGTTCAAGAAGCTGTTGAAAGCGTCCGATCCACCACTGTGCCGCCAGGCAGTATGCAATCGTTGCTGGCGATTATCGTGAGTCGGGGAGATTGGTTCTTGTGCTGACGGCCTGCGGGTGTTTAAACGCGCTCCGGATGGCGGAGTCTGCGGTCGCAGCGGTTGCGAATTACTGCGGGCATAACGGTTGGAACTGTAGGTATCGTGCGCCAGGTTGGAGTTGGCCTGGTCGATGGAGAGACCTTGCTCACCATCCCCGTCAACAATTCGATCGGAGGCCGTTGGTGGGCCGCCAGCGGCTCCGTTCAACACGGCTAAGGGAGTTTCCGAGTTGGCACGAGTGTGGTGCTCGTGGTGTTCGAAAGATCTGGTAGTTGTTCTCGGTGAAACGGCAGGAGTATTAGAATTAATCAACTCCGAGGCGAGATCTGGAGCGCAGATTAGTAGGGGAAACCAAAGGTACGAAATCAGTCTATCCCCTGGGGGAGGACCGTCGATCGGGCATTTGACAGAGTAGCGAACGCTCCTACCGCGACCCACCTGGCCCGCTTCTCACAGGGGGTCAAGGCACACACTTCACCCTCCCCGACAATGCTTTTGTCCGAATATTGAAAGAAAGGAAAAAAAACCCAGTTCTTACCTTGTCGAGTAGAAATGACTCCACGCAGAACTAACGCTATACACATGCGTTGAGATCGCGACGAAGAAAACGATGTCCGATAGATCTCGTATCGCTCGTGGATCGCATCCACTTCAATGTCTTCCGCAGGCTCAGGGTTGACATCGCATTTGCAGGCGACCTGCAAGAACGGCAGATCCGAGGCAGCCAATGAGTCTAAATTCCGGGGTTAGCCCATGACATACAAACAATGCATTTAGCTTAGGACAAAACCTACAAATGAGGTTCGTCGTTAGGGAGAGCCTATCCGGCTTTGTGGCATCGTGTAGAACCAGAACCCCGTCAATGACTGGCCTAGATATGTCGGATCCGGTATGTGGCCAGAGAATCCTCTTGTCCTCATCGAACTGAATCCGGGTCAAGTCGACCTCGAGTAAACGCACTAAATAGACTGTACCGTCCAATGACATCTTCTTCTTGCTCATAGTCGAGATAGGTGGGTGCTTCATATCCAGCGCACATTTGACGAAACTGCTCTTGCCGGCGTTTTCTTCACCTGCCACTGCGATGGTCACTTTGGGAAAACCGCTTCTGGGAACTTCCTATACGAAGAGAAAATACCATCAGCCATTGCTTCCTTATACACTGTAGCCACCGATGCCTCGCAGTCCGGAGACCCTGGATCAATTGTAAACATACCTCGCCTTGCGGACGGGATTGTGTGTTTCTGGCCTCGCCCGCAGTCGACGACCCCTCATCTTCCTCCAACAATGGTTGTCCCATATTCGTCCCTGGTCCTGGCTTCCGCGCGGCGTCAAGTTTCTGGAGACCCCCGCGGGGGCCGAAGATGTTCGAGCCCCCAGGCCTGGTCGTGGTGGAGCTGTAGCGAGCATTGCTAGAGCTTTGTCACTGAGAGCTCTCTCTCGACGAGACTGCTGCGAAATCATGGAAGCGACCGGAGCTTGTGGTCCTGAAGCCATGGGGGATTGAGCAATTCCGGTGTGACAGTGCACACTCTGATTACTGTGTAAGTTCAGAGGATGAACACTGCAGCGCATCCATCGTTGCCTGGGCGGGATAGATCAAGTTCGGTCACAGAGCAGCGAGGCAGCCATCCGTGGACAGGGATCGGAAATCAGAATTGCTGATCAGTCAAGAATGGTTGAAGGTTGGAACCTGTTCGTCCTGATTAGTCCGATCTGCGTTCGGATATTCCAAAGTTTTGGTCTTGGCAGCTCTGAGGGAATCCTCACGGGGAAGAGAACTAACCGATTTCAACAGCAGACAAGGAAAAAGCAAAAAAAGCACAAAAACACTCTAAAAAAGATGGACAGATCACAATTGGGAATTATGAATCAATAGGGTTGAGATCCGTCTTTTGGGGGGGGGAAGCTGGGATTCTCTGGCACGTCATTGGAGGCCCACCAAACCCGCTCGCGATCTTCTTGACTTGCGATAGAAAGGTGAGCTGTCTTCATTCGCTGCTTCTTGATTGCCTTCAGCTAGACTCGACACATGGCAATTCCGATGGGCTGTTCTAAATGAATGGCGCCGCCACTGGGAACCGAGGCTGGGTTTGGGATAGGGATCTCGCTTAGTCGATAGGTCTCACCTAGGGATAATGTGCGTGGATGTGGTTTCTTGTTGCATCTGTAGGATTCGCTGCTTGACTAGAGCTGCATTAGCTGCCCTCACTGCCGTCTCCATCCGCTGAGACTTTTCTCTTTTCGGGGGAAACAAAGCGAGAGACACGGTTTGTTTTTTTTTTTACAGTTGTCCATGCATGGGCATTCTATTCCATACATATTGCTTATGTCTATTTTTCTTCAGATCCCATGTGACTCGCCAGAATCACACAGGCGATCCTGGATTGTCAGTACCTTTGTAGTTTCCTACCTTCCGGTCTCCAGCGTTCTGGGCCGTTGGCATATGCTCCGCTTTATGGGCTTAGGACGCTAAAGGGCCGCTAATCTGCTGAAGGGCTACGGCTTACCTAGGTGCTTACCTAGGAAGGCATACGGAGTACGGAGTGGGTGTAAGTATAGGGTCTTGGCTCACATGGTACCGTTGTACTTCGTACCAGTGGTACCACTGTGATTGTGAGAGTCCTGAGCCCTGAGCGTTGCGCTTTGGTGGACTGATAGAAGGGGGCTATGTAGCAAGAGCCGAGGGATACCGTGCAAAAGAGTAACATCAATGTATATATACAACCAAGCTTGACTTTCATGTGTTGCGTAAGGCTGAATGGCTGAAGCTGTCAAAATCTGACAGCTACTCTATTGTAACAGTCAAGGGTGTACATCGCAGATCAGAGCGCCCCGCCCACCATCTCGATACAATCTGCATGTCTCACTTATACGGACTTAACATTTTAAATGCGGTGTGATCAAAGGTCTAGGTGCCGACTGTCCAACTCGTATTGCGGTTGTTTTTGCCCCAAAAGTGAAGATACGTGACTCAGGCTGAGTCCTGGCCCTGCTTGACAAGCGCCATGAATTGCATGAAGGCTTCAGCGGCCGGCCCGGCCTCTGTTCCTTCATCACAATCCTGTCTCATCTTTCGTACTCTGCCCAACCCGCGGTTGAATCCTTTCTCGGACGTCCACGGGCCGCGGCTGCGAGAAGTGAGCCCTCCACGACCTCGCCCGCGGCCACGTCCACGCCCGCGTGCGGGCGCTGTATATGTTTCCACCCATTCTTCTTCCAGGGTTGACTGGTACATTTCTTGTAGTTGACTGCGCAGTTGTGGATACCGATTGAGAAGCTCTGTCATCTCCGGTGATGCCGCCAACGCCGCAGAACTGACCGCAGGAGGATTGGCTACCGGAAGATTGGCGCCATTTGGCTCTGAGGTTTCCGGATTCTCGAGATCATTTTCAGGAGATGGATCGATATCGGTTGCCGGTGGGATACTCGGTTGCTCATTCGATATCGCCTTCGGAGCACAGTTTATCTTATGCGCTTTGGTGCATGCAAGTGAGCAACTGACATTGTCGCACTTAGCGACTGGTTCCACGTAGAGATAGGGACGGGATTGAAATCAAGTACCTCATTAGCGCACATGTTGGACAGCGATATTTTGAGGGCTCTACAGAGCAAACCTCACAGGAACCAGGCATTGTGTCGGTTTCCGAAATAATCCATGAGCTGCACAGCGATCAAACTTGGTACCTCATTTCTGACTGATCCATGCCTGCCCGAGAATGATGCAGGGTAAGGCCTGGAAGTGAGTTACCCGATCTGCACGGAAAATCAAGAAGCTCGGGGCATCCATTTCTGCCTCAGGCAAAAACTAGCGACAAAATCCATATGTTGTGATCCCAGGACATTTATAAAAAAATTTGGTATAGATTAGTATTAGGCTCTAGAAGTTGCTTTTCTGATTCATATTGAAATATATTGTAAGTAGGTTGCAAAAATCCCATCCATATGGCTATTGTAAGTGCTATCTCATGGTCATCTTCTTTCAGCCCTCATAGTTGATTTCAATATCATCGATCTCTCAAAAGCTACTAGGTCTGTCAGTAGAGCACTAGCACTATGACTCTATGAGATCCGATGGTATATGTATTCTTTTCTAGTAACTTCCCATCTGTAGACCAACGAGAGAAATGAGAGTGAAACCCAAACAGTACCATGAGTCTAAGATACCTTTCATGCCGTCGAGGTTTGGCTAGTTACTGATTTGACGGAGTAATTGAATCTCGGCTGCTCCGATGTATGCTGCACTGAATGAAATAATGCCAAAAGCTCCATTTACTAACAGGATCAATTTTGATAGTAGATAGGGTAGTATTACAATGTCCCGATTTACAGGATATCTGTACTAGTGTGCAAAATTAGTGCAATATAAGCTTGATTGATGCTCTTTCATTCATTTTGTTGATCCTAGGTTGTAGGTAAGAAGATTGTGCTCGCATTTGTCCAGGTAAAGACACGTTTAGGAAACAGCGCCAGTAGGATATGCGTTTAACCCACAGTTATACAAAATGTGGTTGTCATCTTGATTACATCTGCATTCCTAGCATCAATCAAGAGATGTTTACCACTATTTTCCTTTGATTTATTGAAAATATATGAAGCGGTTGTAAAGAAAAATCTGTCTTTCCTTTAAATAACCATGAAAAGTCACCCCGCGGAGGATATCTTCAAGTGAGTTGGTCAGATATACTACTTGACTTTCATTTCATCCCAATCGTTATTGTGGAGGGGCGAATTGCCCCAGTGCATCGCGTAAGAACATGCAGATAATTATACTTAAAACTTTTTAGAGAGTCCTGATTATGAAGGAGTTATCACTCAAATTTATACCGGCTATCTCAAACATAGTTGTATATTGGAAAACTCATACCATGACAACTAGCTGCATAGTAGATCTACTTTGTCAACTGGCAGAATGATAGGAGGCGAGCTAGGATCGAACAGAGGACCTCTCAAAATTCAGTTAAGCTCTCTTTAAACTAAAGAAAAGGAGGTTATTTTTGACCCGGTAGTACATTGAAACAGCATAGGTACATGCTATATCAAGTTTGAGCCTCCGACGCTCGGCACATCCATGAACGCGCCAAGAATTCGAAGTGTAATTGCACAAAACATCTCTTCTCATTGGTCAAGAGCCCAACCACATTTGTCATTCTAGATCACGTGTACTCAAATTGCGTCAGAGCGGCAGCCGGAGAGGCGCCTCGGGTGTTTTCCTATAATTCTTCAGTTGTCAACTATTTTTTTTGTATAGTCCACTTCATTTATAATGTCTTTAAGCACACCATCTACTACAATGTTCCGACGCGCCCTGCTGAGCAGCCGTCTGGCTACCCCCGTTGAATGCTCTGCCCGAACGATCAGACCTGCTTTCGTATCCTACAGAAAAGTCTCCAGTGCAGCTCGACTCCCGACCCTCACAGCATCAGAGACCCGTCGCCGACCAACGGTGCGACCTCACCAGCAGCCTGCTTCACAGGGAGGAGTGAACGGCCTCTCGCCCACAAGCAAGCGCACCATTTTCATCCAGACTGAAAATACTCCCAACCCTGATGTATGTTCTCAGGGCTCAACTATATCTCGCATTGACAAAAGGAAATCACACTGACAATTGATCTTGAATCACATAGGCCTTGAAATTTATTCCCAACCACCGTGTTCTCCCCGAGGACTTCCCCAGCACATTCCTTGAGTACCTCACACCACGATCCACACTTGCACCACCGCACCCATCTCCACTTGCTGCCAAACTGCTTGATGTCGAGGGTGTCACATCCGTGTTCTACGGCACCGATTTTATCACCGTGACAAAAGGCAGTGATGCGGTCTGGGCGCACATCAAACCCGAAGTCTTCAGCATCATCACGCAAGCCGTAACCTCCGGCGAGACGATCGTGACGACCGTTGAGGGTGCCATCGATGGCGAGCAGGAAAGTAGCGAAGACTCGCTCTCCTATAACGAGGATGACGACGAAGTTGTCAGCATGATCAAGGAATTGCTTGAGACTCGAATCCGTCCCGCCATTCAGGAAGACGGTGGTGACATCGAGCTGAAGGGTTTCGAGAATGGTATCGTTATGCTTAAGTTGCGTGGTGCTTGCCGCACTTGTGATTCTAGCACCGTTACTCTGAAGAATGGTATTGAGTCCATGCTCATGCATTATGTATGTGTTGTCCCTTCCCTTGTTTTTTTTGCCTTGGGGCTGCTTACTAACCTGGACTTGCAGATTGAGGAAGTCAAGGGTGTTGAGCAGGTGTTGGATGAGGAGGAGATCATCTCCATGCATGAATTCTCAAAGTTTGAGGAGAAGTTGCGCCAGCAGAAGGGAGCTGCTGCCACTGCCAGTTCGTCCTTGGACAGTGCGCCATAAATTGAGTTTAGGGGCATATATTTTGTACATTAGGGTTTCGAATGGAAATGTCATCAGACTTGACTCCAAACTGTGTTCTCGATTTAACGTGAATATCATGGTAAGGGCCTCGGGAGGCCAAGATCTCCCCCTCAGCCCGTGAGCTTGGCGAGTTCGACAAATTGCGGGGTCTAGGCTGACAACGGTGTCTACGGAGTCCACGGGTACCACGTTCATCGATTAACCCTAGGTACCTAGGTAGGAAAGGGAAGAAGGACAACGTCCTGGCAAATTGGTAGGCGCCTACCAATAAAGCCAGAACACCATTGGGTCATCCATATCCAATGAATTCCTGTCACGGTCTGTTGTGCCATACTCCGGACAAGGAATAAACCCGGTCGGAAGCCCGGAGTGAAGTGTGATTCGTGGCTGGCGATGGTAGTCATAGATGATCTTCATCCCTGGATCCCTATTGACCGGCTTTTTCTTCCTAGGTAGTTCGTTCTCTCGTGTTTCTCATATGGGACACAAGCATACCTACTACTGCACATGTCTATTCCAAATTGAGGGGTTGGAGAGAGGGGACCGAGTCGCCACATCTTCAAGAACATGCTGGTGTAGGGAGCACGGAGTACGGAGTACTACATGACAGTGTGTCACAGTTATTTGGCCAACGGTCCAGGCGCATTGCCAGCCACCCGAGGAGATGTTAGTCGCGTGGAGACCTGGCGCCGTGAGAGGCTAGACCAGGAGGGCCGATGTGGACGAAGCTATCCCCGCAAAATAAGAGGGAGGGAAATTGCAGGATGCTCATTGGGTTTCCGTTGGAGTCTTTGTTATGGGAGGGTCATAAGGGCAAACGCATATCAATCCGGGGTAACTGTCGAGAACAGTCTTTGGTGCCCCGCAAGTGTGCGACCCGAGGGCCGTGCGAGTTATTCCCAAGTATAAGCTGGACGGAGTAGTACTTGGTCGTTTCGTGACTAATAGCCTAGCTCTTACCTATACTGGAAGTACTGCATGTGTGCCAACCACAGTCCCTGATGACCGGCTTGATTCTCCATCCCCGTTCGAGGGGGCGTAGTCTCCGTATCGAGGGCTCGTTAATAGGGCAGAGTCTAGACGGAATTCCGTATCTTTGCTGTACTCCTGTTTCTTCGACGGAGTACGCCATATTTCTTCTATTTCTTCTATTTCACTACCTAGGTAAAATTGGCTCGAATCTCCAGATTCTATAGATATTCTATAGACAAATACCCAGAAAATAATACATAGTAGCAGAAATGAGAAAAGAAATGAAAATCAAACCATAGTGGTCCGTGTCCCTCGACATCGGGGCAACGTTGCCAGATCCGTTCTCAGAAGTTACCCCAGGCTGTTGCGACCGTTCTTTTTTGCGTTCCCCTCATCTCTCACTTCCCCCTCTCTTCTTCACTCTTCACTCTTCATCCAACCTCGCTCTCCAATCTTCGATCGCAAGATGCGCCATCCTTAAGGGGATCAGCCCATCGGCCCCCGGCTTGCTCCACAACGTCATTTGTGCTCACGCTACCAGCTTCGATCGTGAAATCCTCCGAGCGCATTCCATCAGCTCTCATTCGAGATCCGGCATTCAGTTTGAGGTGCACGTTGAGATCTAGAGGGGATCTACCTTTGTTGACCCCACGCGCTTCATTCCTTCCCCGCAAATAGGGCGCCCACTTCTCCAGATTGCTTGACAGCTCGAGCTCCTCCGCCTCCCCTACCCACCTTCGACCACTCGACCCTCATCTGCGCAATTCCCGCCCAGGACTCCCCAATATTCTTGACGAGACCCACGAATTACCGTGCACACCTGGTTTTGAAATAGAAAAAGGACAGAGATAACGGATTAGAACAGTGAGTCGCGCCAACCGTCCCAATCTCCTTGTCTTGAACGCGACTGGGCTGATACGGGTATGAATCTCCAGACACAATTGCGATCACGCGACTACTTTTGATTTTTTGACTACTTTTTTCTTCGGTGATTCTATCGTGCTCGAGAGGCGGGTGGCGATTTTCGTCCGTTTGGCATTTGGGTGTTTCGTCCCATCATTTTTTGTCCCATTGCCTTTCGTCCCATCACTTTCCCCATCTCTTTCATCGACTCTAGCTACCTAGGTATGTACAGCATTGCTCTCGGTCGCCTTCACCGCACACCCAGGAGATTAGCCTTTAATATCGTGCTGTCTGCGGGCATCATATTTCCTTTTCCTTTCCTCCACCTGATATAGGCATTCCCCACTTCCCGTCCCTCTACTTGCACTTCCTCGTCACTCTTCTCATAATTGCACATTGGGCTCTTGGCTTCAGTTACACGCAGTTATCTTTTGGTCCAGAAAGGCTTATTCAATATCCCCACTTCTGGACCCTCTGGCAAGAGGGGCCGCAGATATGCATATCTACACAATCTCCGCTTTTATCTTTGCGGCCCAGTCATGCCACTCACACATATGCCTACATCTTTCCTGCTTCACTATGTATATTCAGGCTTGACATGCATACAGTCACTAACCTCAATATAGCTCTAGTTGAACAGAGCGCATGTGCCCAGTCGCCCATCGTGCTATCGTCTGCGACAACTACATTCAGCGTGTGCAACGAAGACAGTGCCCCGTTGCATATGTTCCATTTTGATTCTTGAAGACAGGAATTCCTCCATACAACATAGCATTATTGTTGCTTAGCAAAGGCTGCATAGGTTAGTGAAGCCCTTCTGTTCGCTCCATGTTTTTGGGCTTTTACTCGATCAGACAACCCCGCTCTGGTTGTGTTGCTTCCACTGGGTGTCAAGTGGCGCTCATGGTGACACGGTGTGCAAGGAAGCAGGGAATGACCGTGTTTGTCATACATATTAAATCAAGAGTCTATACTAACATTGCAACAGTGTCTCTCACCATTACAAGCTATGGCAGCACCATCCAACAGATCCATCCCGATGGCCACATCATCCACTCCTCCCGCCGCTCCTCCTGCCGCGGCAACTGCGTCGGTTATCCTTGAAAAGACCCACCCAGGAGTACGCCGTTCGACTCCGGACTCGGATGCACTGGCTTCTTCTGACGACGATGGAGACCATGGAGACCAGGCTCATAATATCATACCTCAGACTACCAGACCGCCAGTTCGTCGCACTTCGTGGTTGAATGAAGTGCCGTTTTCTGCTCAGCGCAAACATTCGCTTCCTGGAGGCCATCTCTCTTCAGCCCCGTCCAACCCTACTAGCCCCGCTAGTGACCAGACACAATGGGGAAATACTGCAAGCCCAGGCCTCGCTGGGTCTCTCGGTTGGAACCAGCCCGCAGGAACCACATTTCCCTGGGGTGCAGGCACGGGAATCTGGAATACCGAATCACGCAAAGAACCACCTCCTCGCTTGGCAGAATTGGTACCCTCTCCAACAATGACTAACCCGACTTTTCCGGGCGCCAACATCCAAGATGAGATGTTGAGCCCCATTACCCGAACAATCTCTGGTGAATCGGCTATCCCGTTCTCTATCCCGCTACAACCAACCCCAAAAACATATCGCTCTCAGTCATACTCAGTTGGTCAGACGGACCCTGAGGCCCTCGGCCTTGTTCCTAGCAAGTCTAATGCTGCTCTCGCCGCTGGGGGGCAATATCCCAGCAGTCGTTCTCGCGGTCCAGGTCAAATGTCTGCGGTTCAGCCTCGCGCTTCGCGTCCCAGTATGCTCGGCGAATTAGGACATGATCCTGCCATGCTTGGTCGGGTTCGTGAAGATGAGGATGGCGATGAAAGCCTCAACGGATCGGAAAGCGATCTCAGTTACACAATGAGCCAAGCTCGAAGGATTGAGCAGCTGGCGCGCGAGAACGCATTCTTACGACAAGCAGCTGCGGCAGGTCAGATGGATGGCAGATTCCGTGAACGGGCTGGCTCATCCACATCCATCAGCGGGGGTGTTAACACACTGCATCGTATTCGAGGTGGTGTTCCAGAGGAAGATCTAGCTGGCGAGGATCTAGGAGAATTGCGCGACATTACTGGATACAATAACCTGCGTGGCAGTGCTCGCCGCCGCTTCTCTGAACATTTGGCAAATCCGGAGCAGCCTTTCTCGTCTTTCACTGCCCCATTGGAGAACCGTGCTCTGGATAATGTTCGCAAGGCTCATTGGCAAACGTCTCTCGGCTTCGGTGGCATTCCCGAAATGCCCCAAAGCCGTCGTCACTCTTTCGCTGATATTCCGATGCGTCATGGCTCAATCAGTTCTATTGACTCGCATGCGGCGGCTACTCCTCGCGCAAATATGAGAGACCGCGATGACGGCTATGGTGGACCCCCGGACTATCCTAACCGTGAGTCTATTTCCTTGTTCCCTTCCATTAACACTCGGGTGCTAAGATCTTCTGTAGAGTCTTATTACTCCCGGGAGCAAACCTTGCGCGGAGATGGCTCTTCGGGCATTCCGTCTTCTCTTAGCCAATATGCGATGCCGAGTGCATACGGTCGTCAACCGCCCGCCTTGTCCCATGCTCACCAGAATCAGCTGCTCTACATCGTCGCCTTCAAATGTAGCCGTGCAGATGTCTTCTACATTCAAGAAGATACGGGACTCCAGGTCAAAAATGGTGATCTAGTTATTGTGGAAGCTGATCGAGGCACGGATCTGGGGACCGTCATTCATGCAAACATCTCCCTCCAACAGGCACGAGAATTGAAGCAGCATTATGCCGAAGAACATTACAGGACCCTGATGCTTTTTTCTCGCCACGGTCAAACAGAGCCATCGAACCTTTCCAACCCCAACACGGGCTTGAACACTCGAAGTGCCACAGGTGGCATGGGCCCCCACGGCCCGCACAGTGTGCAAGAACCCACCACTGATATCAAACCCAAGCTCATCAAGCGACTTGCGCAGCAACATGAAGTCCTAACTTTGCACGATAAGGAAGGAAACGAAGCCAAAGCCAAGCGTGTGTGTCAGCAGAAAGTGGTCGAGCATCGGCTGAATATGGAAATTCTCGATGCCGAATTCCAAATGTGAGTTTACCTGATGTCGAACGCTATTTACGATGGCTGTGCTAATAGATTTACAGGGACTGGAAGAAGCTGACGTTCTACTACTTTGCTGATTCATACATCAACTTCAACTCGCTGGTGACCGATCTGTTCAAAATCTACAAGACTCGTATTTGGATGTCCGCTATCAATCCGGCCTCTTTCGTCACACCCCCAACTCCTGGACTGCCAGGTTCTGGTACTATGCCGAACCCACTTTATGGACAGGAGCCAAGCCATCGACACCACTTTGAGAACAGAAGCTATGGTGGCCCAAGAGATGCTTCTGATGCAGGTCGTGAGATGCCGAATCCCGTGGGCATGCTTCGCACAGCTTATGGCGACTCCTACCAAACACACTCTCACTCATCTCACCATTCGGAAGGATCACACTCGGATATCTTCAGTCACCAGGTGCCATCTAGCTTTGGTACGGCCGATTCGTTTGATTATCCTGGTAGCCTCAGCTCCAACGGATCTTCTTCCCGCATGCACGCAGCGCAAGGCGAATGGCTCAACCGGTTCCAGGGCCTATCGTTGAACTCCTAATTGATACTTTCTTCAACCTCATCTCCTAATGTGCTCCCAACCTCGACTTTACCCTACTCTGTACAATTTGTTATTCCCCCACTGACCTATGCTCGTGCTGTTACCACTTTTACATCTTCTGGGATTTTTCCTTGCGATGAAAGAGACTCATTATGAACCTAGACTTGACCAGCCTCGTTTTTATTGTCTCTTTTGCTCAGATATCGTCACTTTGATTATCTTGTCTTTTATCGCTTTCTGACTTTTTCGCTCAAAGACCGTGTTTTTTTCGTTGAACCAGAGATATGAGTTGCATCTTTTCTCTTCTGCTCACATGTGTCTGGTCAATTTTCCCTTTTTCTTTTACGTGTGTCCCGCAATTCTTCTCGTCCTCTCGTCCATGTCCGAGGCTCTGAGGGACTTTGTCTTTTGTATTACTGTTGTTAGAATTCATACCCAAGGCTACCGTTCCAGACTGCTTTACTGGGAACTCCCCACTCTGTCATTACAGCCCTTTTCTCTTTCCCTCGGGTTAGATCGGTTATCGGGGCATCAGATCATGTATCTCCAAACATGTGTGTCCTGCGTTTTGTTGTGAATCGAATTTTCTTTTGTTCTTGACGAAATGTGTTCCCCCCCGCCCACCCCCATCCCCCCGCATGTCTTCCCCTTTTCTCTTTCATGATTTCCTTCTTAGGCTATACAAATTGTACTCAGACCGGGAAGGTCTGAGAGGGGGTTCGCAGAAGAGAGCATAAAATGGGATCTGCGAAGCCCTGCAGAATGAGGTTTGTTATATACTCGTCTTATACTTGGCAATTTTTGCTTTAGGTTGTCAAAATTGAAAGACGAACAATTTGATAGAGGAATAGACCGGTATTAAGGAGAGCTTTGATCTAGGCTATGATGGGTTTATAGATGGCTTTTTTAGGATAGATAGCCCTATATAGAAGGGTTATTAGGTTGAGTATCAACGCTATGTTTTTCGCTATTATATGATCTTACGCTATGCGATATTCAAGATTGCAGATGATGAAGCAGAAAGTGATGATCACCACACTATATGTGTCCAATGAACCAATCTCCCTGAGTCGATGATATCGAAGGGTCGTTTGTCCCGTGAGCTAGCCCTGGCCGTGTGATTATAAAAAGGATCCCCCATCGTAATTTCCCCCATCATCTACAACTCTCACTTCTCCAGCTTGGGGAGCATCCACTCCCATCCACTCCCATTCATTCCCCAAGCTGAGCAGTGAGGAAATTTACCCTAAAGCCCTTGATTCAGTCATGATTTTCATCTCTTCCTCTCAGGCCGAACCCGGTTAGACGAGGGTGACGAAACAGCTATGGAGTGTTGAAATGCCGTTGTCTACCCTCAACAGGTGATACCCCATTCCTATACATTGAAGACTGCCATTAACACTCAGTACCTAGGCAACCTATACACCGGGACTTAGCCGAGCCACTTAGATATGCCATTGAAAAAACGCCGACCTGTCACAGGGTGACCTGCGTCCACTTCCACGGCTATCTCTATAGCCTTGCTGAGCGAGATTTACCTCGACATCTGGAATTGGCTAGAGCTTTCTCTGGAACGAGATCGAGAAACAACCCCCCTTCGCAGACGTGCTCTTGGTCAACTCGGATACGGACCATACCTGTCTCGTGTGAGCCTCGTGTATCGAGACCCGAGTGAGAAACTGGTCATCTTCTCGGGATTGGCGAGAGCATATAGGAGAGAGATCTACATACTTTTATCTTATATGGAAGTCCGCCGAATCAGGGTCTGTTGAGCCAGACCGTGCAGAGTGAAGCAATGCCCTTCACTTTCAATGGTGTCAACAATGCCATCCTTTCATCACATTGACCCTCGTACACTGTTTACCGTAACATACCTGCAAATATGCTTTTGCTACGATATCCGCTACACCTGGTTTCACACTTCACTCAACTGATCGGTGTTCGCTCCGATATTATCGGATTCTTTTATTTTGCTCTATAGGTCGAGATATGTCTCGTTCTCTCAAACAGACGGTTCTCATTAATGGCTGCATGGTAAGATGGGAGGTTGGGTCAAATAGCTCAGTCTTGGATCGATGATAGGGATTGAGCTTGGAGAAGTTGGAAAGCTGTGACTTTTCCCTTCTCCTTCTCATTTCGTTTGGTTGTGCTTGCCTGGATTCTTCAGGAGGGGGACTTTCAGCCCGTCATAATAGCACATCGCGGTGCGTTGTCCTAGCCAAGGTCCCTTTTCTAGTTCGATGGGGAATTCAATCTCATTCTCGCCTTGCTTTTATTTCACTTCCACCCTCTCGATGAGATTTCCCCATTCTCTGTAGTCACAAGGAAAGCCAGGACGAGAATCTTCAGACTGGGGAGCGTAGCCAAGTTCTCCACACTGGGACCTGTAATGCCCTGCATGTGTTCCATTGTCCTTCAACACACGCTGTTGATATCAAGGAAAAAGAAGAAAGAAACCCACCTCAAGCCCACTTATCATGTTTCCCGCTAACCTTCACATCCAACAAAACCTCATGGAAATTCCCCTCCTTTCTCCCCTTCCTCAACCGCCTCACCTCCTCATCACTCAAACTCCGCCCAACAACCCCCTCTAGCTCCTTCTTACTGATCTTCTCATAAGCCTTGCTCTCCTTCGTCGCCCGCAACTTCGGCTTAAACCGCGCCTGCATGCGCACGCGCACCGTCGTCTCAAACGAAATCGCACTCGCATCCCCGCGAATCTCAACCCCCCCAGCCGCCTTGCTATTCTCTTTCACGCAGAGGAAAAGCTCCGCATCCCCACCATGCGTTTGCAACGAGAACGTCCCCGAGACTTCAGGCGAGGGAATAACAAGGAACGATTCGTAGTGGCCGACAGCGGAAGCGGTCGCAGAGAAGATACCATGTGAATCGGAAGAAAGATATCTGGAAAAAAAACGCCCTATTAACAGACATCCTTTTCTCAGCAAAACGCAATATAACTCACTTCCCATGATGGCCCTTGAAACTGAACGACTCCGTCCCCACAACCCGCGACGCAACCCAGACCTGGCGCACGTCGTGCGGCTCCGCGGTGCCCGGATCGCCTGAGACGAGGTTCTCGAGTTTGCTGGCGAAGACTTTTCCGATCGCGTCGCTTGCGACGCAGGTTGGGTCGTCGGAGGGGAGGACTAGGATTACTGGGCCGGCGATGTCGCTTGGTGAGTCGGCGGAGACCCAGCTTTGGTCGTCGGGGTTGTCTTCGGGTTCTGGGTCGGTGGTTTTGCGGGATTTCGGGGTTGGGGCGTCGGTGTCTGCGGTGCGGATTTTGCGTTTTTTGGGCTTGTCGCCTTTGAATGTGAGGGGTTTGACCATTTTGGCGTGGGTGTTGGGGATTGGAGATTGGAGCTTTGGAGCTGGCGGGTGGAGTTTGGGTGCTGGTCGGGCGGTGGAATTAGGGGATTGCGGTGGCTGTTATGGGTAAGGTGTGCGATGGATAGTGTAATTGAGTAGAGTGTTATTTAGGGACAGTAAGAGGTTCTTTCTATTTGTTTTATTATTATCTTATATAGCAGGGACCTTGGTCTACGTAGTGTGTCAAACAGGTCCCCAAGGTCCTCGAGTATAACTTCTCTCGACTGCGCCCGACGTCAGTTCCAAAAGGGTCAATTCTATTAATCCTCTATGAAACCAATCTTGGAAAATCTCATAAATCACATAAATCATGATACCATCCCGCGTCTAGTCGAAGGTGATGGCAGCCTTGATGGCAGTCTTGTTGCGCATCGCCTCAAGACACTCCTCCCACTGCTCGATCTTGTACACCTTGTTCACAATGCCATCGACCTTGACCTTTCCAGAGTCGAGGTAGTCAACCGCAGCAGGGAATTTGTAAGTCTCGGAGAAACTGCCGAGGATGGTGATCTCATCACCGACTATAATACGAATCAGCCAAAGGACTACTTAAGAGACAAGAAAGAAAAGAACTCACAGATCTTCGCCGGCGACCACGAGACACGGACGTCGTTCGAGTACACGCCGTACACGACGAGCTTTCCACCGCGACGAACGTAGTTAATCGAGTCCTCAAGGATCTTCTGGCTACCAGTGGCCTCGACGACAATATCAAACCCGTAGGGGTTCTCGGCCTTGAGAGCATCGAACTGAGCCTGGGGACTCGAGCGGGATAGCTCAATGTACTTATCACCGGCGCCGAGCTTCTGTGCCAAATCCATCTTCAGACCCTGGGGAGCAACGACAACGACATTGCAACCGCCATTCTGGCGAAGCATCTGAGCCAGCACGAGGCCCGTAGGACCGGCACCGAAGATCAGCACCGAAGAACCCATCTTCGGGGCGATCTTGTCCAGACCGTGGGCGGCGCAGGAGGCGGGCTCGAGGAGAGTGGCGTCCACGTCGGAAAGGTTCTTGATCTTGAAGACTCGGCCGGCTGGGTAGAGAAGCCTGAATCAGTATGGGAGAGGTGGGAAGATCTAATGCATCATTCACTTACCTGGGTAAGCGCAGTACTCGGCGAAACCACCGTTCATCGTGACACCGTGGGCTTCGAAGTGTTCACAGAACAACTCGTCACCGCGGCGGCAGTAGAAGCAGGTTCCGCATAGCTCGGAGTTGTCGGCGACGACTCGCTCGCCGATCTGGAAGTCTTTGACCTTGGGCCCCATGGCGGCGACTACGCCGACGGTCTCGTGGCCGGGGATGAGAGGGAACTATGGATCAGGTCAGCACGTCAAGGCGCCATGGATGCTTGAAAGATCGCGGGATATGTGCCGGCATACCTTGGCAATGAATTCACCATCGTGAATGTGCAAGTCAGTACCGCAGACACCGCAGGCCTTGACCTTGATCTATTCATTGGGGAGTCTGGTCAGTCATCCACCCTGCTGTGACTACATTGACAGCTTCATACCAAGACATCGTTCTCACGGATTTCAGGCACCGGGACCTCAACGATGCTATGCTTCTTAGGCTCTGAGTACTGCAGAGCCTTCATGGTCTTGGGGATAGAGGGGGCCATGGTGGATGGATGGACACTGTGAGTAACCGAGAAAGAGGGGGAACAAAAAGGTGAACAGATACCCAAGATCTTTGGAATGGGAAAAAGGAGGAACTATGAGAAGGACATATAAATACCTTCACAAAAGAGGGGAAGCGTAGGGTCCAAACGCCTCTAAACGCCCATCTGCGATGCCCAGACGCCTCCATGAAGATGAAGTATAACAGCCTACGCTTTCGCTCTACACGTCCATGTGGGTCACGATCGCCATTTTGACAGACTCCACTGTTATGGGAGATCGTCTATAATTCTACTCTGTGGTTTCTTCACTTCTTTCTCCTGGACTGCGATGGTATTTGCGCCAAGTGAAGTTCTGGGGGAACCCCGCGCTGCCTGCAGGGATTCATCACAGGCCTCAACAGCTCTGGATCTGGTATAGATCTCGATGCATGGAGGGGTTGTTATTCAACGGCCGTGATTCACAAAGACATGATTTCAGATCCCTCCATCGCTATATGCCACGAATTGCTTCACTATATGTACACCCTAGATCCCAACACCAAGTACGGAGTACGGAGTATCTGAAGCCCGTCCTCCATACTCCGGACAGACGCCCAGGAATCCCAAATCCCATCCCAAACCAGAACCCCGCGACAGAAGCCAAATGTCTGCCCAACAGCCGACCTCGTAAAGCGCGAAAGCAAAGCGCCAAAAACAGCCCCAAGCCGACTCACCGCTTCCCCCCGCGACACCCGCCTTGAGCACAATCACATCACGCCTCACAGTCAATAGCTTCATTTCGAATCCAGTATGAGAGCCATCAACTGAGGCGCACGATTCGATGCATCGAGACACCATGAGCTGGACACGTCTTGACCGCTGCGGGACGGAATCAGCCCCTCATCCTGCACACTGTTCCGGCGAATTGTGCTCGTCTTCGATCGGGTGTTGTGTCTCGAGGGGATTGGAGGTGCATATGCGTCACACATATGCAGCCTCTTGTTTTGGGTGGTCTTGGATGGAGTTGGGGGAGGGCTTGTGGCTATTCTCCGGTTCGGCTGTAGGGACTTATGACAGCTTGGGATTGCCAATGACGAGGTGGGGGGTTTGTGATTGGTTGTCTGTGGTTATCTGGAGTATCTTGGGATTCTTTGTTGTGAAGGGGACTGGCTTTCGTGCATCAATCACAAGTGGACTATGGCTCAAGTAGGACTGGATTGTCGAGCCTTTGATGTCTCAAACATGGCGAAGAGCTTGTTTTAGGGTATCGGTATAAATCAGGACTATAAGGTTTAACTAATTCTGCTCACTTTCGTGGGAATTTCTCTATAATTCGTGGATGATTTGAAGCTATACTGCCCATACGTTTTCAACGAGAATCGCAAAATAGCACCTTTCAGGTTAATCTGTCTACAAGTAGCGAATAAGAACCGTAATCCGTACCCCATGTCATTCAAAGGTCTTTACATATTTATCTAAAAACATACAATCTTCACCCAGCAAAGGGCAGAAATGCTTTGTCTTAAATGCCGTTAATTCCGGAAATACTTATAGTTAAACAGTCCAGGTCTGCATTCAATCCATAGCCACAAACCCAATCAATCTAAACTGTCGAATTATTTAGGTCGTTTGACTGCCCATAAGCTACTGCAAAGTATAGTCTCTGATAATTCTAACCCCCTCCCAAAGTAAGGATATCTTCAGAAACCACGCGTCTGCTGCGTAACCCGATGCTCCATCAAATCAAGAGCGGGCAACTAGCCCAGTGAACTAGATGATCCAGAGCCCTCATTTTGCCCAAAAGGATATGATCCGGTATGATCGAGAGCACTGCAAGTAGAGACAGCCCATTGAACGAGAACGGGAAAAATGACCAGCGCAGGAAGATCTTACGAGAAAAAAATGGTTCTATCCCAATGCTACAAAGACCAGAAGTATTATGAGATCTGTATATTCGACATATATATATACAAGAATTAGGATAAATCGAACTCAACAAACCCTCCTTCACGAGATCGCTCCAGCTCTTTGTAATAATTCGGCACACCACCCAAGTAAATAAGAGGCTCGCGGATCTTCCCAGGAATATTCGTTCCCATATACCACTAGCAAGCAAACCGAGTTAGCAACAGAAACAATCCAAAACCCAAGCACCAAAAAAGAAAAACTTACCGAGTCCGTCTTGGGCAACAAAGAAGCATACGCAAACTTGCGAATCTGCTCACCCCACTGCTGCTCCTCCTCGCCCCGAGCCCCGATATGTTGCAGACCCGCTTTCCGCATGTGGTTCATCATCCCAATGATATAATCACCCTGGTACTCAGCACACGTCGGCCCATTGCACAGCGCTGTAGGCGCCTGAGGCCCATATGTGAAGAACATATTCGGGAACCCGGAGACCGCCATACCGAGATACGTCTTGGTGCCATTCTTCCACTTGCTGGAGAGTGGCTGGCCTCCCTTTCCGGTAATATCGATCTGCAGAAGCCCGCCAGTGACGGCATCGAAGCCCGTAGCGCAGACGATGTAGTCAAAGTCCCATTCTTTCTCTGTCGTGCGGATTCCGCGCTCGGTGACCTCGACGATGGGGGTGGATTTTGTGTCGACGAGGGAGACATTGGGCTGGTTGAAGATTTCGTAGAAGCCGTTTTCTAGGGAAACGCGCTTGCAGCCGAAACTGTGGGGTTGGTGTTCGGGGGCGAGGAGTTCGTGAAGGTTCGGGTCGTTGATGCGGGCTCGGACTTTCTGTTTCCAGAAATTGTAGGCTTCTTTGTTGGCGGCGTCGTCGAAGAGCATGTCTTGGTAGTTGGCGAGGTAGTAGTGGAAGTCGCCGTGGTCCCAGAGTTTCTGGTAGTGTTGTTTGCGTTGCTCGGGGGTGTCGTCGAATGTGGAGCGAGGGGTGAAGTTGAAGTTGAAGCCGGCGAAACTTTCGCGGCGGCCGGCGAATAGTTCGGGGTATTTCTCTCGGGGAACGTTTTGCTCTCCTTCTTTGTAGTTTACTTGGTACATTGGCAGGGCCAGGTTCGGGGTTCGTTGGAAGACCACGAATTCCTTCGCTACCTGGCTGAGCTCCTGGGAAAGCTGTAGACCTGTGGCGCCGGTGCCGATGACGGCGACCTTCTTGCCGCGCAGATCGGGCTCTTCCTTCGGCCAGAATGAGGGGTGGACCCATGTGCCCTTGAACTTGTCGATACCCTTCCAGTCAGGGGTGTGTCTCTTGGCTGAGAAGCCAGTGTTGAGCAGGAAGTATCGGGCGTAGAACTCTTTGCCGGACTTGCTTGTGATATGCCACATATTTGTTTGCTCATTAAACTCTGCCTTGGAGATGAATGTGTTGAATTCGGTGTCCTTTCTCAAATCCCATTTGTCTGCCACGTAGGAGAAGTACTCGCGCAGCTCCTGGCTACCAGGGAAGCGTTGCTTCCAGTTCCAATTCTTCCACAGCTCAGGATCGGAGAACTCATAGTGTGGCACAGTACTGTCGACTCGGGCACCGGGGTATCGATTCCAGTACCAAACACCACCAAAATCGGATGAAAAGTCAACGAGCTTCACCTTGTACCCATTGTCCCGAAGGTTTTTGAGTTGATAGACGCCGCCGAAGCCGGCGCCAACAATCAGCGCATCCAGGACCTCAACGTTTCCGATGGAGCCCATGGTGATATGTAGTAGGCGCTGATTGATAATGAGACAAAAGAGATAGTAAGTAGACCAAATAAGGAATGATCTGTTGAATGGGAGTGAATAGCCAGACGAGAGGTGGTTTATATATGAATCCGGCTCAGCATACAACGACGTAGAGGCGTCCTAACCTACCCCAGAAACCCAGTTCCCCGCAATAACATCCCCGAAGAGCATTATGGGACTCTGCGGGGGGATTACATCAGGCAATGCGATGATCATCAGCTCTAGATGTTTCACTAAGCAAAATCGGACTGGAATGCCATCCTTCGGACTTGGTTGTGGATCAGGTGGAGAGGCATCGGAAGCGTATCGGAAACAGGCATCGGGGCAGTTAGCTTTTCTTCGGAGTTTCGGACTCTGGATCGGCCATGTTGATTCCCCTTACATCACTTCGTACGGGATTGGAGGATAGATCATCTTCATAAGTACGGAGTACGGGGTATAGACCCGATACGGAGTAGTTGTATCACATATAGTAGATTGACAGCCAGTCAAAAACGGCTGTGCACTCCACCATCCGAATATCCTACCTACTTGAGTAGGAACGTAGGTAAGTACGGAGTGCATTGTACTTCTGTACAAAATATGGCTCTTGACGTTATGTACGCTTGACTAGAAGCGTGAACAATCTCCTGAGGTACACGGAGTACTCTGTATGTGATCGTCGAATTTAGCCTGCCTTGTCATGCCCGTCTCAAATGACGAATCGGGCCCCATCATTCAAATCGAATCAAGTCCGTGAAGCACTTAGAATTTCAAGAAGATTGGGAGGAGAGGTAATTTCCTTTTCTAGGGAATTCGATGGTACCTACTCCGTACATAGTGTCATTCTTAGTATACATTTCAGAGCTTCGCCTCTAGCTGCACCTGTAATATCTCAACAAGTTACATTTTGTCTCAAGTGCTCGGACATTAGGATATAGATCAATGTTAAAGTATCATGATCAACTAGATCTCACGTCCAGTCAAAGAGAGGCCCTCCCGAATCCATCTCCTGTCCGAAGAGTGGATCGGAAGGACTATGATTGAACAGCTGACTCCATATCGCATTATTCTCCTCGAGCCGAAGATCGCCATCTAGCCCCGAAAAGTGGAGTTCTTCCATGCCAAGGTCTCCATTTTCGGGGCAGGTGTCTCCCCGGGGAAGACTCTGTGGTGAAAGCTGGGACGGTTGGAGTGGCCAGCCTCCGCTGTGACACGCTTTCACGTCACCAAAGAGGCCCTCTGCGAGAGCTCTTTGTTGGTTCAGTCGACGCTCTCGTCGTCGTTTCACGTGTTCATCACATACATTGTGAAGTTCTCGCACAATACCGAGACTCCATCTTGCCATTGGATCTTTGCACTGGAACCGGTCCAATAATTTCTCGGCCAAGGCTATGGAATTGCTTAGAGGGAAGAGGTGATCCAGGTCTGCGAAGAATCCCGTCCCTAGCACAAGTGCTGCGTTCAGAATAGAATTGATGATATAAGGGAGCCGTTTGGGTATTGCTTCCTCGCGCAGGAATCCCTGCAGCAGATCGAGGGAAAGTACGGCGGAGTTCACAGAAGCATGGGCCAGCAGTGTGTCGGATTGTTGTGGCGATGAAGCGAAGAGATCATCAAGAGCACTCGATGATAGTCGGTTTGTATCTTGGGCCACATGTTTTTGAACCAAATCGATCAGATACGGGCGAGTCACCAGCATGATTGTCCAGTAGTATGCTTGTTTGAGATGGCAAAGTCCAATGTTTAATTGATTGTTTCCGTCTTTCGTGCTGATACGTTCCTCTAAAGGTATGCGATCAACCCGAAGACCCTCTCGAAAATGGGACGCCCATTCCCGATGATGTTGGCTGACATGCTCCAACGCGGTAGGAGAAACCTCCTGTTTACTGTAAATCTCCGAGAGAATCTTTTCGAAAATGCTGCACAGATCGGCGGAGGCGGAATATTCCTGCTGCGACATGGCGTTACGGGTCTCCGTGGTGGACGGCTGTTGTCCAAGGTGTGTGCTCAGGAAGAGATCCAACACGCGCAAAACCCTTCCATATCCGCTCGCGATGAGAGTTCTCCTCCGCCAAGAACAATGCTGAGATATCAGGCCGGTGGATACCTAGGGAGTGCGCAGTGCGGATGGCCACACCGAGATGCATGCTGGCCGCATTGGGACGTGCCGCGTTGAGCAGATACATGGCAATGAGGGAATAAATCTGCACAGTGGATATGTTCGCGGTTTCCAAAAACCGGGTTGACGCCAGGTAGCGCCCGTATGTGAAATATTCATCCGCCTGCGTGTCGCGATCCTCAGGCCCGCATTGGGCTCCGATGGCTAGCACTAGGAAGTTGATGCAACTGCTAGCGTCTGCAGGGGCGACCGACTCCAACCATGGAATAATCCCCGCCGTCAGTTCTTCATATCCGAAGAGATCAAACACGCAACTTGTGGCGCTTGTATACCATTTCAGACAGTAATGGGCATCAGTCGCAGAGGGGCGCTGGGGCTCCACACTCGCTTTGTTCCAGTTGACTGAGATAGTAGGGTCTTCATCAACCAGATCACTCTGTTGGGGCTCTTCGGTGAACTGGCATGGACCGATTGCGCAACAGACGATTTTTCGGATACACTGCAACATAGACAAATTTGCGGAGGGTCCGAGGAACATGTATGCACCCTGGCGATCGCGGATCAAACGAGATGTGAGAAACGTCGTGATACCCTTTGGACTCCCTAGCGATGAGGAAATCGACAAGTTTCTGGAGATTGTTGTAAGCGATGGAGAGCCCAATTGGGTGATTGGCGCCTGTGGCTGAGGAACCGAAAAGCCCGCGCCAGACGCGGAGATCGCACTCTCATGGTTTCTCGTCTCGCCGAGCTCTGAGATTACATCCAGACCATTGATTCTCGGTAGTTGAGCGAGACAGATGGACGAACGGCGTCGGCACTCGGCCTCGACTTTCCGTGTGCGACATCTGCCACAGGGCTGTAGACCATCGCATCGTTCTTTTCGTCGTCTGCAGGTCTCGCAGGCTTTCTGACGACGCGAATAGCCTGACTTTGATATTGAGGGGGGAGGTGACATTGATAAAGGCTTGTCATGCTTCACATCGTGGCATTATGGACTTTAAACCCCAGAACGGGAGCCCTTACCGGGGGAGAGAGTGCGGGGTTCTGATACGCGAGAATACACGTCCCATTGGGTCCTGTTTAGGAAGCCCTGCTTTGGGGCAAAAAAGATGAGATGTCCGCAGATCACAAGTATTCTATGTATCGAGTACAAGTGCATACGAGAAATTCAATAGACCTGGACTGAAATTAGGGGTGCAGTACCTACATGTAGGGACAAGATCGGTATGTACTCCGTACCTAGGTATTGTATATCCCCAAAATCGTAAATAATACAAATAATACCGAAACCTTGAACCATCGAGCCAAACTTAAATCCAGCATTGAGGAACATCATCGCTGCCTTTTGAGCTTCGAGGCGAAAGGAAAAATATTCATCACTCCTTTCTAATTCCATCTGTCCATTACCCTACCTACTAGGTAGGTATGATCATCCCCAACTGAAACAGCATCCACTCTTCGAACAGTTATGAATTAGGTACTCCGTACCTACTCCGTACTTATGCACAATGAGAGCGGTGGGCCCCCGCTTAAACGCCCCCTTTTTTTTTAGGAACATTAGGAGGTACCTATTCACGTTAACTCACAAATGGAACACATCATCCAAGTTTCTAGCGCTGGCATTGGGGTCAATGGAAACAAGAAGAAAGTCATGTACGGCGTAGACGTATACCTTCCAGGGTTATATATGGCCCCGGACCCGGGGATATAAGAGGATGACTGTGAGCCACATGACCCGCATAGAAACCTAACGTCCAGACCAATCACCGGCTAAGCATTCATCTCGATCTGCATCGTTGACGCCCTGGCTATGAGATAGGATATTTTTGGTCAAGCTAGCTCCCCCGGTACATGTCTAGCCGGGATAATTCAGAACGAGTCCACATTCTCTTCGTGATCGTCTTTTAGGACGGTCACGCGGACACTATCTTGCATTCCGGTACGGAGTACGGAGTACCTACCCTCCATACACGATCCACACCTCCTCTTCACGTCTTCACGATGTTGAGTACGGAGTAGTGGACAATTCTTTCACCTTGTCAATTCTCTGTATTGGCAATGTTCTTCCATCGCCAATATATCGGGTATCGTGACCATATTATTTTACCCGCATAGTTACCTCTCTAGCTGCGTGGGCGCTTTCCGATAGTAGGCATACAAGACTTGAAATCAACGAATCCTAAAGACTTAGCAGCTGCCTAAGACAGCTTAGACAATCTCCAGACCAATCTCAGGGTCATACATAGTCTAGCTTATCGCCAGCTAGTCCTAGGTCATGGTCCCAGCATCAAATGGGTGGAATCACAGTTTATATGAGCGACGAACCGGAGGTATATAACCGTTCCCTTCCGAAGAGCCATGATAGCATAGCTATTACAAAATTTTATCTACCACATATAATTCATGGCAATTGCTCTAGATACAGTAACTAGGTCATGAAACTGCCAACCTCGGGCCCCAGGACTATATTAACCTCAGTCACCCTGATCCTCATGGCCAGGTTGCTGCCTGGGACATCGGGGCTATGCAAGCCTACAAGGATCACAATGAGCCCTCAAATAGGTGGCAGATCTGGGTGTTGGAATATGAACCGCGCAGGATGTGGCGCAGCATGATTCGTGCGATGGTATCGATTGTACCTTTATATTTGAGCACGACGCGGAGGTCGGAGATTCTCCAGCGCGTAAATTTTGATTGGCAACTACGAACGTGGCTGGACTTGGGCTGTGTCGGAAGCATTTTGAGGAACAGTACATAGGTCGGCATGTCTTCACGGGCACAGGAAGATAAATCTGCCTTGTTTCATCTGCCCATAAAGCTGGGGGTGTTCGCCTCTCTCTTCTCCAAGATTCAACTTGCTGCTTCCTTAGCATTTTGAAATCATCATTCAACATTCGAAGAGCTATTTGGTTACAATGCCTGGTAAGTCTGTCTGGATAAAGTCCACTCATTGAGCGTATCGTTAACTCCCATATTCAGGAAGGGTCACTCTTGCAGAGGCTATGAAAAACTCTTCCCCCGGGACCTCTCCTAGCCCCAATCGAGCCCCGAAGCTCTCGGAAATGGTCACTCTTGACGATCGCATGGGATATTCTTCTATCGGGACTTCTCCTAACTCCAACCAAGCCCCAGAGCCCCCAGGAAGGGCCACTCCTGCAGAGGTTACGGGAACATCTTCTTTCGAATCCTCTCTCAAGAAACTTGATCTAAAGCCCAACCCGGCTCCAGAACTAGTGGACACCGAGACCAAGGTTGCGAGTCTAGTTGAAAAACTCGAGAACTTACCTACCAACCCGCCATCTCTCTATATTGATCTTGAAGGGGTCAATCTCTCAAGACATGGCAGCATTTCAATTTTACAAATGCACATCCATCCACTTGATGAAACCTATCTAGTCGACATACACACTCTCCAAGAGAAGGCTTTCTCGCAATCGGCTCCTCACAGTGACCAGACTCTGCGGGCTATATTGGAATCGCCGCACATTCCCAAGGTCTTTTTCGATGTTCGGAACGACTCGGACGCACTATTCAGTCATTTCCAAATCAACCTTGCTGGGATTATCGATCTTCAATTGATGGAACTGGCAACACGTTATTTCTCGAAGAGATACGTGAGCGGGCTTGCTAAATGCATCGATAGGGATGCTCCTCTCACGGCTCATGAGACACGGGCTTGGAAGGCGTCAAAAGAAAGAGGGTTGGATCTTTTTGATCCGAAGCGCGGTGGCAGTTATGAGGTTTTCAATACCCGTCCGCTTCCAGATGAGATCAGGGAATATTGCGAGCAAGACGTTCGGTTCTTGCCTAAGCTATTTGTTCAATACCAGAGGAAGATGTCCTCGTTCTGGAGCAAGAAGGTTATCACGGAGAGCAAGGATAGGGTGACACTCTCTCAAACAGCAACATACGACGGAAAGGGGAACCATCAGGCTCTAGGGCCGGCAGGTTGGTACTAGTTCTGCGGCTGCTACTATGGTCTTTTCTGGTTTGGCAGGCATCTTTGGCTTCGTGTGTTTTTGATTTCAAGGACGTATGTCGGATAATGCGAAATGATATGCATTGAACGGTCGTTGGATCCAGCCTCGGAGACAGCTTTCTTCACTAGTGTTTGGGCCGTAGTGTGGGATCAAAGCTTGATTCTGTTTCTTCGATCCCAAGATATTGCATCTTGAGTATTATCAAATTAAGACAGATATCTCCAATAGATCAGGTAATTGCAAGTAGCCACCAATATCTGTTCGATGATGCCTCAAGATCACTCGCTTTTATTAGCCTTTAGACCTCCACAGTTCGTATGTATTGGTGGCACATGCTGTCTTGACCCTATAGATCTTCAAATAGAGAGTACAAAATACATACTGCTCCTCAGCTTTTCTCGAGCAGTAGTCTCTATGAAATCTTGGTGGACTCTGGTGGATAGCGTGCATAGATGCTGTTGGGCTTTAACTATTACCTACCTACCTACTCTACATCTCTCTCTTCCCTTACGAAATGGCACGTCTTCCTATCTATGGACCCCATGAGAGAAATGGACAAGAGTAGAAGACCTAAGAGAAACCTCAAAACGGATATCTAATTCAGATTCCACATAAAAACCAAGATATGATTATTCGAATATACAAATCAAAAGCACATTTTCAAGGGTTTTCAGGGAACATGAAAGACGTCTCCATGCCCGGCCAATCCAGGGTAGCATCCATAAATCCAAACAACGGATCGTATGGAATAACCAGACCAAACAGAGCCGTCTCATGTTCCTGACCAGGTGTTGGAAACTCCATACCGTTTCCTAAGACCGAGGTTCTGCTCGGGAACATCCCAACAATAGCATCAAGCTCGAACCCGCCATTGGAGCCATCAGCGGGCGAAACAATCTCCGCTTGGAAAGCAGGGGTCATTGCATCGCCAGATGAAAGGTCTAATTTGCTTGCTTCGGCGAGTTTGCGGATGATGCTGGCTGGCTTCGAGACGCCAGAGTTGGTCGCGGAAATCTCGTCAAGACAGGCGAGTCCGGCTGCTAGGCGGGATATGTGTTCTTTGTGGTGGGCGTTTGCGAAGGCGTTGCGGACGTGGATGGTGCAGGCTACGTAAATGGCGTAGCTGAGGATGTAAGGTGCACCGTGGATACCGTAGGCGGATTTATAGGCGAGGGAGATGCTTGTGATGCTCTTTGCGGCTGAGGTGCAGCGGCCCCAGGATGAAGCTGAGGTTGCGAGGGATCGGAGGTGACCGTCAGAGATAAAGGGGCGATGGAGGAGAATAATTAGGGAATTGTAGATGCCGTGGAGGTTCATTACGTTGGGAGCTGGGTGAGGTTGTGGGGAGAGATCAGAACTTGACCATGGTTTGAAGTCTAGTTCTGCCGGGAGGTTTTTCTTCCAGGAATTGAGGGCGCTGTCAGCCAGCTGGAGACTGGTCGTTGCGGAGCTGGCAGACCGTACCCCGCCGACTGTGTAGAAATGATTGGTGATTTTGGTCATGATCCGTGATAAGAGACAGAGTTGCTTGAAAGTAGAGACGGAGTACATTGGGGTTAGTGAGGATGAGGTGTAGAGTTTTGAGTCTGGAGGTGGGATGAATAACTCGTGTTCTTCGAATGTATCGAGGAACTCCCGACTAACATGCGAGTCACGTAGGTTCATAGAGACAGGCCGGCCGAGGTAGAGACTCTGGATTTTGTCACAGACAAAAGCACCCCAGAAAACACGGCGACGAATCTCCACCTCTTCCGCGTCATCATTGGTCTCCTTGGGGTCGAGATGTAATCCTAGATCATATACCATGCGTAGGGCATAGCCGGTGTATAACCAGCCTTTCGAGGTATCGCCACGGGCATTGAATGTAGACCCAAGGAGTAAAAGACCAACTACTGTTGGAATGCTCGGACGAAATAGATGTGATTCCTGGGCTAGGAGTTCATCACAGCGGCGGAAGAATCGCCGACCCGCTGTAGCTGGATCCATTGGGTCATCCCGGACATCGATGCGCGAGGAAAATTTACTGGCACAGGCAAAGATAGCATTGAGTAGGAACCGGGAGCAGTTTGGCCCATCGCCTTTCGGTAGATCACGCATGATTGCGGGGCGATAGGTCAGAAGAAAAGTATGATGCTGCCGAGTCCAGTGTACATCCAATAGATGAAGAGCGAGCTCAGTAGGCACGCCGTCGACATCTGGAAGACGGAATAGAAGACGCTCATTTTGCCGTTGTAGAGCTGCATTGGCTATAAGCTTATTTTTCATGTGCTCGCGGTTCAGCAATTGGGCCGAAGGCACTGTAAGTGATGACTCGCTCTTGGTTGGATCATGTAGGGCGGATGAAGGGCCATAGCTGTTTGTCTGACCCGCCTCATCTACAGAGATAAAAGGTGCAACGTTCAATTCTTCATCTGAGAAGGAGGCTAGACTATCAAGGCTTTGCCGGCGATTGGAGTTGGGCGAAACCTGGGGGTGGAGTTCCAGACCTTCAGTCACCGTTGGGCCCGGGGTAGTGCCCTCTTCACTTCTCAATTTCGCGATAAAAGATCTAAGATCTGCATTTTCTTGCTGGAGACGGTCTACTTGAGCGCGAGTCGGCCTACATTGGTCATTAGCCGAATATCCGATATGCAGGGAATACTCCTACCTCTGCCGTGGCGTCTCCACCCGATAAATACATTCCCGGCCTTGGGTCTCGCAGGCCGAACAGCGAGGCCTCGTCGTGTCACATCGAATTTTTCGAGATCGACAAGTTAGACATGCCTTAGCGAGGGATTTGGGGAGCCTGGTCATGGCCGAGTTGTGTTGAGGAGGGAAAAAATGTGGGGTCGGAATATAGCCGCACGAGATCGGCATTAGATGTACGACATACTGGCTGTATACGGCAGTCTATCAAGACTCGAGAACTGCTTAGGGGATGCTGCTATACTTTACTGATACTCTAATACATGCTTTGCTAGCACGCGTAGCTAGGCATATCCAAGAATATTAAAGTACTTGGTGCTGTTTTTCAGTTGAGTCATATGTCAAGAGCTAACAAAGCAAAAAGGAGTTATGAAATGCTCAGTATCCTATGTTGTATACAACAAAGAAGAACGCAATATGTGCATTCGCAGGGGTTCGACTAGGGACTCCCTACATGGCATTCGAAAATTTCGAGAGCATCCTATCGATTCGGCGACTTGAACATACTAGAGCCTTCCAATTAAAATCTTTATATTCAAGAAGATATCTAAAATGCACTATGTTGATATTCCACAGGGAATCTGCATTTGCCCGTTTTATGCAATCGCTTTCTACCGCTTGGTGCTATTCTTGAGCATCTCGTCCAAATGCTGCAGGCCAAGTCAGTTGCAAATTCTTGGATAGAGACACAATCCTCGCGCTTACCTGTTTCTGCTCAACTGCTAATTTGCCTTGGGTATCCTGTTTCCAATTAGCGAGTGTTTCCCAAACATACAGAAAGCAACATACACTAATGATGGTTAAAATCAATGAATAATTGTTGAAGAGGAACCGCTCTCTTCGCTTTGCGTCCGTGCCATTGCGGCTCAGTTTGGCCAACAGAGAATCAAATTCGGCAGTCAGACGGGCCAGACTATTGGATACCGGCTCATCATCACCGGCGTCACTGCTGAGAACAAGGATTCCATGTAAAAGCTGCCCAAATCTCTGTGTCAAGAAGTGTGGTGCCGAAGATTGCTTCAGGTCGTCTCCACCTGCAATCGAAAGAGCAGACATAGCGCTGCGCCCAGTGTTAGACCCAACACGCTTGAGTGAATCGCCGTGATGATCCATGATGACCTGGAAGCGTGGCCAAAGTTGCATGTTGACTCCGTTGACATACGAGTCGGCTACTGGCACCTTACGGCGCTGGAACTCGAAAGCTGAATGTTGGTTTAGGCGAACACACATTAGGACTCCTAGAGAGTCCGTGGTGTGCTCGATCAGCCTTTTGGTTTGGTTCTGACCAAGAGTGAAGACTTGTCCAAAGATTTCCACGGCATCGCGAGAAATTTGGTGGAACGTCTTTGGAGAGAAGAATTCGGTCAGGAAAGAGTATTCGGCGCACACATTGTCCACTAATGCGAGATTGAAGTTTCGGAAGGGCACTTCGATTCCATGATAGGTGTTGTCCTCTTCAGCTAAATATGAAGACAGAGCTTGGAGGTTGCCAGTTCGGAGAATATCGATTCGTCTACCGAGAGAGAAAGGATCATGCGCAGCAGAGCCAGCTCGGCCGCCAGGAATCATGTTCCCTGGTATAGTCAGTAAGCAGATGGTAATAACGAGAGGCAGAAGCTCTCACCTGATCGATGTGAGGACGGATCACCTCCGAGAACCTCGTTTCGGTCAGGAGGGTAAACCTTGACCTTATCAAGTGCTTGAAGGTAGCGTGTGAAATGAGATGTGTAATACCAGCGCATTGTGTTGATGTACGCCTGTGAGATTTCTCCAGCCAGCTTTGGGTGGGCCTTTGAGAGATAGCTGTATAAATCCTTATACTTCACTAGTCGCTGTTGTTGGATGATCTGCGAATTGATGTTCGGGGATCGCATGGCACGGATTTGTGACACCAAATAGTCTCTAATCCTTTGTATCGCCTCCAAAAATGTCAGTGTAAGCCTAGATATTTGTGAAGGTTTGAGTACTGACTTTGTCCTTCACATCGCTCAAAAGTGGCCGTACATCCTCAACAGCCTTGAAGCCATTGGAAGAAGCAGCGGCTTTGGCTTCGATATTTGCGCTCCGAGAATCGATCTCATTCAGCGCGCGCACCCAATTTTCATCAATCGGACCTTCGACAATTGTCCGCACGGCCTTGGGGGATATGCTGATCTCCTCCACAGCAGGCCCCAACAGTCGTTCCACGTTGCGCCTGTTCTCTAGCATCGCGTTCAATTGTGTTGAGCGAGATTGTAAAGTTTCGATCTCCGCCGATACGGCGCCCAGTTCATTCTGGAAATCATTCAAGTACAGCTCGACGGATTTGGACACCTCATCACAGCCAGTGATTGATGTGTGTAACTCCTGGAATTTATCGCGTTCCTGTTCAAATTGCTGTACAGTTTGTGCATTTACGTCGCTTTCGCAGGTCTTTTTTCGTGGTGTTGGGTCCTCCTTTTCCAGAAAGTCCTCCAGGCTCAACCCATCAAAACGAATGGCTTCCACCAATTGCGCTGGCCGTTCCAGCGCCGACGATAGCTGCGGTACATTCTTATCTGTTTGGATTTGTTTTCCAATGATTCCGTTTAAGACTTCTAGTGGATCGGGGACATTGGCAGGTCGAGGTCGTTGAATGCTCGCCTGCTTCAATGGAGAGCCATTGGTGGTTCGTGTTCCTGGAAGAGAGGTTGTAGAGTCGTTTGGAGTCGCCAGAAGGGAGGTCGATGAGGTTCTAGATATCACACCAGGGCGGCTATTATATGGGCTGGGAGATAACTGGGAGGATGATCGTCGTGGTAGAGGAGAAAGGTTGCGATTATTGGCTCCGGAGGGAGTGGACTGGCCTGAAATGCGGTCGCGCCACATTGTGCAAAAGGATGAACAGCATGGGAATCTAGTCAAAAGCCGGAGAGTGCAGTAGTATACCCGGAAGAAAGCCCCCAAGTACCTGACTCGGCAAGTAATGGTGCTCACGGGTTGCTTTCAGGACACTCGGACACTCCTATACACTAAACCCAACAAGGTGGACGACTCTCCTCGGCCAATCAGCGGGCAGCGAGCGACCCCGCCACAGCGTCGCCGCCCACGATAGATTTTAGTCGTTTGATTTTCTCTCTCCTCTTCTCTTCTTTTTTCCCCTCCCCAAATTCTTACAAAACCCCCCCTCTCTTAACCCCTCTAAATCTATTCACCATGTCTGCCGAGGAGGTATGTGATTTCTTTTGCAAATTCGAGCACTTCCAATGGCTGTCTTGCGCTGGACGTCTGTCTCAGCCCCGCATGCGGCTCCCCTCTCTTCTCTTCTCGAGGGCACGAGGCCATATCGGACTCTAACCCCGCCTCAGTGGCTTTCAAGCGCTTCAAACTAACAAGACTATAGCACGATGTCACTTTCGATTCGGCTGATGCCGGAGCTTCGCTCACCTACCCCATGCAGTGTTCCGCTCTGCGCAAGAACGGCCACGTTGTGATCAAGAACCGTCCCTGCAAGATCATTGACATGTCTACCTCCAAGACTGGCAAGCACGGTCACGCCAAGGTTCACCTTGTCGCTACCGATATCTTCACCGGCAAGAAGCTCGAGGATCTTTCTCCCTCCACCCACAACATGGATGTCCCCAACGTCACCCGCAAGGAGTACCAGCTCGTGAGTGTCTCTCAAAGCAATCAGCACTAGATTATGTGGCTGACCAGCAATAGCTCGATATCACCGAGGATGGCTTCATGTCCCTCATGACCGATGCCGGTGACACCAAGGATGATGTCAAGGTTCCCGACAACGAGGTTGGTGAGAAGATTAACCAGATGTTCCTCACCGAGGAGAAGGACTGCAGTAAGTTACAACAACGTTTCAAGGACCTAGAGAATCCATCACTGATATGCTGTCATCAGACATCGTCGTCCTCACTGCCATGGGCGAGGAGGCCGCTATGGAGTGCAAGGAGGCTCCCAAATAAATTTAATACCTGGATTTATTACCTGTTATGCCAACCTTTATGTTCCACATGGGCTCAAAGCCTCCCAAAAAATTCATCTATTATGGCTCAACGGATGATACGATTCCTTGAACGATTATGCCCATTGCTTCAAGATCTGTTCACCCTATAACCTTGGATGTGGGCTGGACCGAGAATTGCTTTGGTTGGCATGATATGTGTTGTCCGAACAGTTCTGAGTCTCAGCATCTCATGATAGTGTGACGAATGAATAAATACTAAATCTTGCTCGATCGATTGAGTTCCTAATGGTAGTTTGGTAAAAAGAAAGTGGTTTTCTATATAGATCTACCGGAGTAATCCTTACTCCACGAAGGAACCCTCAAATTACTTGATCTAAGATTCACTAGAACCCCAGATAATAAATCAAACCCAGGTCGATATAAAGGAGGGAAAAAAGCCCTTTAAAACATTTGCAATCTAATCGCGTGAGATAGTCAATCAAAGCCCACGCATAGCGGGACAGGGTGGAGCGACAAAACCGGCGGTCACTGGAATGGAAGGCAGAAAAAAGTCCCGCCATCTGGATATACCAACTCTTCCTTGTCAAAGCATGAACAAATCCCTTGGGGATGGACTACGTTACCCGAGGGGTCTGCGGTCAAGAGGGATGCCGTGAGACGCGATATTATCTTGACAATGGTCTTTGGTATTGTCGGCGCGGTCACTTGCAAGCGGTATGCATGACGTCTACCTTCCAACCTTATTCTATCGCCAGATCGCAAGGCAGCGAAAAAAAAATCATACAGTTGCAAGGCTAATCTGAGTGTATGACATGCACAGGGTGTCCAAGTTGCAGAGGATGCCGACGATTTTGGAAATCTAGGCAAAACACATCGCCTGAAAAAAGTAATCAAGGAGAAGACCAGCAAAAGTATGTAATTGATAGTCTGAAAATCTTTCTTTTCGCTAACTTCATCCAAAAAGCACTTCGTGGGCGTCCAGCATACACGCTTTTCTTGCAAATTTATCAATTGATCCTATGGAAACAATGTCATGCATTGGTTCATAAACTAGGTTTCCCGGAAGAACTTGAGGTATGTATGCATGTTGCTCTATATGATCAAGGATAAACGCTCAATATATCCTACTTTAGATTGTTGTGCGCGATCTCTGGGCTCTGCGACTCCAGGACTTCACCACGAAGGTCACTAATATCGCTGAAGACGAGGATGACGATACTGAACCTGAGCTGTTCAGCTCACAACCTACAGCAAACCATGAATCCCGGGATATGGGATTCAAACCGAACTCAGCCTATGTCGAATGGCCCCGGCTGATTGATTCCATTGCCTTATGTTATCTTGCTGCATTTTTGATGCGGGTCCCTGTCTGCGTCAATGATTTCTATGAGTATGTATAATGTTCCCTATATGCAAGCTAGACCTCTAGGTTCTATGAGGACTCATACTCATATTATATAGCATGGTTATACAGCAGGATATCCCCTACGCCCGAGTCTTGGCCACTGTTCCTCGGGAAATGAGGGAAAGACTTCCGCAAGAATTAACGGGAATCCTCGAAGTTAATGTGAGTAACGTTTCGCTATGATCTTAATTGGATGCAGTTGAACTAATCTTGACAAAGAAACTGCCCAAGCCCGAGCATGTTCACCGTAGTGTTAAGGCAATCCTGCTGTTCTATCAGCGTCGATTTGGATTGGAACTTCCCTCTTTGAATTGGCCTATCATTCTTTTCCGGCATATCAAAAGACTGGCTTTACCAAGTATGTGAAACATCCGCTTTCTAATTATCAATTCTGTTTGACTAACAGGCTGCAGTTGAAATATATGATGCAACTAAGACTTTGCAAGAGCTTCTTGGTTTCACATTCCAGTATCCAGCAGACGACGACCGTCAGAAAAAGCAGTTTCTCCCCGACGTACAATTAATGGCGCTCGTCGTCATTGCTACGAAATTACTTTTCCCATTTGATGATTTGAAAAGGTACCCAACCACAGCTAAAGAGCCTGCCACGCAGATCATGGACTGGACTCTCTGGGTACGCGCTCAGAGCCATTTCGATGGTGATTCGCGTGTCACGGGAGATATTGGAAAAGCAGCAGCCATTCGTGTCACAGACAAGGATGTTTTGACCATGACCTCCGCGCAGTTGGACAGTTACATGGACTGGTACGAAAGCAGTTGGCTGGATACCTCTAAAGCCCCCAGTCGCATTGCCGAAATGTTCCCCATCAGTCGAACAGAACACAATACTCAGTCAATACCTAATGTTGCTCCGGCTCCGGCTTCTGCTTCTGCTTCTGCACCAGCCCCTGTTCCCCCTGGTACGACACAGGAAAAGCTCGATGTTTTATTGAAAACGGTCATGCAAGATCTCAGAGCCAGAAGGGTAATCCCCGAGGACGAAGAAGCCGAAGAAAAACGCCCTGGCGAGTGGTATCGCCGGTATCGCTGGGAATCGCATCTCTCTGGCCCCGCACGAGCTTTCTACGAGGCAGCAGCCAAGCTTGCTGCGGTCCCTTTGAAAACACTTGTCCGTGCTGTGACACATGTCGAGTTTAAGATTGCGAAGCAAGACGAAGAGCGACAAAACAGAGAGTTTTTCGCGAGCCAAGGTCGGGAGGGGATGGGCAGTGACGAAAGTGATGTTGACAACACTTATGGAATGGGCGATTTTGAAGAGGACATGGATGAGCCGGCATTTGAAGATATGATCGATGATGATTAAATGTCTAATTCAAAGATGTCGTCAACCATCTAAGCCGTGGTCGATCAATAGGTCTGGTGTGGCATATGCATGGCGTTGGGGCTCTGGAATCATCCATTATTGGCGTTCACCTTTATGCCAATCAGTTATTTATCTACATACTCCTTATAGTGCAAGTAGTTATTTCCCTTGCGAGAAAAGCATCTTTCCTTGTAATAAGGTCGTTTTATGCAAAGGCAATTTCAATATCGAATGGGTTGTTGTTATGTAGCATGCAATACAATACTGAGGGTATGTACACTCCATTTATTTTTAGTAGAAGACGTAGGATACCTGACGTAGGGTGATTCGCTGCCAAGTTCTCATTGGTTGGGTCACCCGGGGTTGATTACGTAACCACGGACAAATCCGGGCAGCAACTAGGGCTTAGGGTACCCCGATCGGTCCACCTTTGCTAAGCGAGCGAAATCCTCAAATTGACAATCGACTGCTCCGCCTGGAACACAGCGACCGACAGCCGACACCAACGAAAACTCGCAACCAGTACGTCCCATACACCCTGCTTAACAGCGTCTATGCATCGCTATGGAGTCCCTGAGCTAACGTCTGCTTTTTCCGCGCCGTTTTAGTGCAGATGTAGGTCTTCCTGAACCCTCAAATGACATCGCGAACCACAATCCCGATCACCGCCAACACGACCCAAAACAATGGAGGAATGAACCTGGACTAATACGGTGCGATGTAGTTTCGTCAAGACCCTGACGGGTAAGACCATTACCCTCGATGTCGAGTCGAGCGACACCATCGACAACGTCAAGACCAAGATCCAGGATAAGGAGGGCATTCCCCCTGACCAACAGCGTCTGATCTTCGCCGGCAAGCAGCTCGAGGATGGCCGCACCCTGAGCGACTACAACATCCAGAAGGTATGGAACGACTTTCCATCTTTGATGATTTGGACCTGAAGTGGGGGCATTATGGTATCTCGGGTGGATCGGCTTTTCGACATGTTCTTTGTTCAGAGACACCCTTACCCGCGCCGGATACGCAAGAGGAGGAATTATCGCTTCGTGTTATGGTCTATGGTCTACGAAGTGATGGAGCAACGGCTAACATGCGATATCAACTTGTTATAGGAGTCCACCCTTCACCTTGTCCTGCGTCTCCGTGGTGGTATCATTGAGCCTTCCCTCAAGGCCCTTGCCTCCAAGTTCAACTGCGACAAGGCCATCTGCCGCAAGTGCTACGTACGTTGAATTCCGCCTTTTCCGTCTTCGCCCGATCCTCGTCATGAGACTGCCCTGCGTGGCAAGACCATCCATTACGTCAACACATATACTAACTCGCACTTTACAGGCTCGTCTTCCTCCCCGTGCCACCAACTGCCGCAAGAAGAAGTGCGGACACACCAACCAGCTCCGCCCCAAGAAGAAGCTCAAATAGACGACTCGCTCCTCGGTCTTGTGCTCGGTGTGCTGTGGTGCAGATTCCAGAGCTGGGGAATGGCTGGACTGCTACATGGAGAGGTTTACAAATGGCGTTAGATATGATGATAAAATCAATGCAGCCACAGTCATACTTTTTCTAGTTGGCTCCTCTTCACGACCAAATTGCACTCCATGAATGAAATGTGTAAAATTCAAAAAGTCGAATTGTTCCACGCCTCCAATTCCATCCGCGATAAACACTGAGTACAATACATGCATGCATTCAAGAACACGACTAGAAATCTCGAGCTGCGAAGCTTGCTGCCGGAGCAAGAATAACGGATTGACCAGTATTCCAGATGAGCCTGGCAAGTAATGCGGGTTCATCCCCCACTTATGCCCTGAACATCATCCCCCGCTTGTCGCTATCCTTGTCATCATCGGGCTTGTCCTTGTTCTTCTTTGAGACCGGGCTCGCGTGACTAGTAGATAAATCAGTTTCAAGATCAATTCCCACACAAGGACATAACTTACGCAAAGAAAAGCACCTTGATAGCAATAGCCAGTCCTGCATGCAGCACAACAACCAAGATCAAAAGAATCTTGCTAGCCTTGGCATCGGTAGCGTTCAAAACCGGGTACAAGTTCCGCAGAAGGAAAAAGACCGTCCAAGCAAACCCAACACCAACAAGCGCCCAGTTAAGCGCATTCAGTGGACTCCAGCTAACCAGTGCAACGCCAATCCAGACCAGATTCGAGTATCCGTACAGAGACCAGCACTCAATAAGGTCAGCCGTGGAGCTGCCGAACCAGCGCAGCGCACCCCACAGTGCAATTGGCAGAATACCAGTGTAACCGTAGACCAGACCAGCCGCGCCCGACAGCAGGGTAAAATCATACTCGAAGTGCTTGTCGTCGTTGTTCGACAGCCATTGCGAGATTGTGCCTGTCAAAAACAGGATCACAACCACCGTAGTCGCGATCCAAACCGGTCCGTACAGGTCTGCGTTGCCCTCCAGCACATCGAGGAAGTTGGTGCGCGGGTACAAAGTAGCCACACAACGGCGGAAGACCTCGTTCGTGTCGACGTCGAAAAATCGCTCGTAGTAGTGGATTGACCACCAGGTGTGCTTGCTCGGCGTGCCGCCAGGGGATCGATCACGACGACGCGACGGCCCGCCGCCTAGGAACGGAGCGGAGTCGCCTTGGATTTTCGCGCTTCTTTGATCATTTTCAAAATCTGCAGTGTTTTTTTATTAGAGAGCTAGGTTGGAGCCAATATGCTCTAGTCACTCACTGGAGGGGTGGAATTCGAGGTCTTCTTGCAGGTCAGTGTGCCCGAGGTCGCCCTGTAGGTGTGTCAGATGAGATCATGCGTTAATCAACCATGTGCTCTTACATCGGCATCCACGTCTACTACGACATCGTAGCCTCGGTTCGCCATGCTGGTTGATTTTGGAGGAAGCTGTTGGAAGGAGAGTTGTTAAGTGTACACATCAGCTTCCGCGGATAAAGCCACTGTTCAAGCCACAATTGTGGGTACCACTCCCCGGGTGTCACGCACGAGCGTCGACTACAAATATGATTGCTATAGCACTGGTTGTGTGTTCAATGCTAAATCCTTTAGGTAGTCGTAATAGCCAGATTAAGCAGTAGTAGTATTATTAATTTTGATTCTTGTTATTTTGGCTTTTGGTGTTTTCGTTATCATACATATACAATACCACCAGGCATCAAGAATACGTAGGTACCTTAGTGCGTTGTACACATTTGGTCTGGAATCAGATCCAGTTTTTAACTGCCCTTTGAACCCGGCCGAAATAATACCAGATTGAACTGTCAAGACCTTTCTTGCGGATGTAGAAAGATGCAGCGGCAACCAAGATCGCCAACGCCACAGAGCCCATGGTGCGACGGTGGCTCCACAAGAAATCGAGAGCTTGTTTCTTGCGCTCTTCGTTTCGAACATGCTGAGCTTGTTTCTCAAAGAGGTACATTGCATCTTCGACGTTGTACTTCTGGTGTGGATCTCGTGACGTTTTGAGCACACTGCACCAGGGAATGCTTTTCCACACTCCAAGCGGCAGAGACTCTGGCGGGTGATCCTCGAAGAGCTGTGTTGCGTGTAGGATGTGTCCGTCCAAGTCAAGCGGGCATGGTAGTTTGGAAAGCATGAAATGAAGCATCTCGGGCTCATCTTCTGGTACTTCAAGTAATTCTTTCTTTCTAGATAAAATCATCGCTGCAAAGAGATAGATCGCAACCACAGGCTCTCGGGCCAAGAGAAAGTCGAAAAGCCTGGCAATGCTGCTGTACTCTTGGATGTCATGGGCGTAGAGTGTAAGTGTGGCTGCGAGAGCGAAAAACGGTTGGATATGGCCAAGGTGTCGTCGTAGTTGGGGATCTGTCGTTTCGATGATTGCAGGTATGAGGTGTAGATGCTTCACAGCTGGGGAAAGAGATGGAAGCATATAGTCTCTTATGCGGAAAAGAGATATCTGTGCCACTGCCGGCATGGCTTTCTTTTCGCCTAATACCAAGAGGAGAACCTGAACGATGTCATGATATCCTTGAAAATAACAGAGCATAGGGTACTCCCTCAGGACTTGAGTGATCAGATTGGATAATTGCTGTTTCTTTTTCAACATCTCCTCCTCGGAGGCTAGGCTCGATCAGTATCCAGAATCACATACATCGTTCACAGGAGTGACTGGCAGCGTACCTTTTGGGTAGTAAACAAACGATCGGTTAACGTCAAGTTCCACCTGGTCTTCATCTGCATGCTGTGGATTTTCGATACCCGGGATCGTATCGATCTGTCGTAATTGCTCGTCGCAGCGTAATAAAACAGGCCCTGTGATACCGGTCATTCGAGCCCACTTTCCTCAAACCATTAAGCCAACTTACATGCTATCTGTCGGAGTCCATCGTTGAGCAAGCCTCCTTCCGATGTTGCGTGAACGGCTAATGCTTCCACATCGTGCGATGCACATGCCTTGCGAATGGCTTCTGCCTTTTCCGCTTGTGCACTTGTAATCTGTTGCAGCCTCAAAGATGAGGTCGACTCCTCGGTATCTTTGGATAAACCAACAGATCCCTCCAAGACAGACCCAACCTCAGAGCTGGGGACGATTGGTTCTCGTGCGCAAGCTTCCATCCTTTATTCGCCAGGGGGTGCAGCGTATTCCAAAGCTGGTTGACCACTCCACCAGTAATCATACACAATATGAAACAAGACTTCAAGCTTGATTTCTTCTAGGTGGGTAACTCCAGCTTGGAGGCCAATATTCACGTTGTGCTTTTTAGATCGAGTCCAGCAGCATTGGTTAATCGGATCGGATATAGATCGAATTGATCCCTTTCGCCCGACAACGAAATGATCTGTCCAAAGCAACGGCTCGACACCAATCCGTGAGAGAATCAACTGACCCCTGAGAATTTAAGATGATCCTGAACCCAAACTGATGATTCTTTAGGCACATACACTCAGGCATGAATGTCTGAAGTCGAAGGCGGGCACCGGAAGTCCCACTTGGTGGCCTTAGGCATCTATCGGCAGCCGCGAGATGTTTTCGCCGATAACAACATTCGCCCTGTGCTGCGGTTAGGCACGCTCCCGCTGAGTATTGGTGGCTTTGTCGTATTCTTTGCGATATATCGGACACATCCAGCTGCGTTTTGTGCTGTGCGCCCTTGAAGTCCACTGTTTCCGGGGTTGAAATCGTGCACTGACAGTGCCGAGTGTCTAGCTTGGGGATTGGCTTGCTATCTGGGTTACTTCCCGGTGATAGTATTGACTCTGTGATAAAGGCTTGCTTCCTGGAGCTTGACATTCAATGGAGCTAGTGGCAAATATTTGCCTGTGTTGCCAAATTACTCCTGCTGTACAGGGTTCGAGCAAGCTGTAAGGGTTGTGTGATATTGGCCTGTCATACTTGGAGAATATTTGTTAACAAAGCTTATAGGGCTTGACTGGGATCCCTGTACTCAACTGCTTCTCGGGAACTGCCTGTATCATCTGCAAATTTGGCTTGTGCATCAAATATCATCTCACGGCGAGTATCTTATCTGGCAGTCGATGTATTGACCCATTTAAGATATCTGAACCTTTGAAGTACCTAGGTATGAAGAGAAGCGGATCTTGCAAATCTCAAATGCCGTGGTTCTGCTTCTTGGATACCAGAAGATACAGGAACTCGAGTGAGATCGAAAAGCCTAGGGCTTGCTCCGCCTCAGGCCATCTATTGACCGACTCATGATATTGCCCTTCTTTCTTTCTTCTCTTCCATATTTTCCTTATTTACTCCGTTCTCTCCTACTTCTTCCTTCCATCTGACTTTTTGTTCTCTCAAGCTTTTTCATATCTTCGAACGCGTCTTACGTCTCTGGCTTCATACCCCTTCCCTCATTTGCTTTGCTTTGCTTTCTGTTTCTTGTGAATCCCACCCTTTCTCACGATGTCTAATCGCAACCCTAGCACGCGTTCGACACAGTTTGGTCTACTCACCCAGTCATTGGTTCCCAGTCCTGTGATCAACTGGATCCTTCCAGCGCGTCTTCGAAACAAAAACCACAATGATGTTGTTTTCATCGGAGAACGTCGTATCCAAATCAAGGAGGCACTTGAAAGTGGCCATCTTGAGGACGTTGTGGAAAAAACGGATCTTGAAGGCTCAATCATTGGGGCAAAAGTCATCAATGTCAGCACCCAATTGCCTTGGGAGCCCCAGGCTCCATCGAGTTTGGCAGCCCATCCTTCCGTCACAGAGAATCTGCCTCCTCAAATTCTCTTCCTTGCCATGGATACCAATGAACTCCTTTTCATGTACTACTCGAAGATTGGGGATAGTCCATTTGTGTCCTACATTCGACCCTTACCCCGAGATGTCACTTTGGCTGACACTTATGGCGCGTATATTGCAGTTGATCCTAAGTAAGTGATTCATAATCCTATATCCAATTCATTGACGAGGAATAACACCACGCTTCAGATCGCGTGCAGTCGCAGTCAGCGCATCGCGTGGATTCTTCGGTCTCATGTGGTTGAAAGCCCCCATTGATCTCCAGATGCAGATGCTCAATGGACAGCTGGACCCACTCAAAAATGTATGTGATCGCTATTGTGTGTTCTCTGTTGGGTCCCATATTGACAATTTGCGAATAGGAGAATTTCTTCCAAGTGGATGGTGATATCCTGTTTATGGAGTTTCTTTACCCGAAAACCAGCAACGACTCACGCGTCATTTTGCTTGTCGTTGTTCGTTCCCGTCACACAACACGGTCCTTTATCTATGAATGGGATGAAGGGATTATACTCACCAACGGTGCACCCCGGTGTAACACTAAGAGTCTGCCTCCGCAAGATCAGTTTCCTACTATGGTCATCCCTTTGGCCAAAGAATCCTCCTACCTCCTCGTCACTACAAATTCTATGGCGATGTATACACCCAATTCTTCGTCACTCCCAATGCGATATCCACCAATCATTCCCGATGCCGAATCTTCTCAGGCTGGGCTGTGGACTCGCTGGGCCAGGCCTTCGCGGAACTGGATGTATAGTCAGAGATATGATGGGATTTTCCTTTGCCATGAGAATGGTTGGATCTATTATCTTGAGTTTGGCAATGACGGTGAACTTGAGACTCAGACTTCTCTGGGTCAACTCCACTGCGCTGTCGATACGGCTTTCGATATTCTTGACATGGGCCGTGAAGGTGGAGACTTTATTCTCGCTGCGGGAAGCCAAGGTGATGGCGGGCTATTTGTTCAGGAGGCACGGGATCATCCCAAATGTGTTCAGCGGTTCCTCAACTGGGCACCGGTTCCCGATGCAGTTGTTATCCCCTCGGATTCTCCCGGTCCTCGTCTGAAAATGCATCCAGATCATGCGCAAGATAGAATTTTTGTCTGCTCCACGTCTGCTTCGGGTAATGGAGCAATTACCGAGTTGCGACACGGCATCGAGGCTCAAATTGGAGTCTCGGTCGAATTAGATGGATTGTCCAGCATACGCAATATGTGGGCGATGTCACGGGGTTACAATGATTCAATTTACCTGACAGTCTCTGACCCGCTCTCCTCATTCATTTTACACACGACTCCTGATATGAGAAATGGGATTATTGCCCTTGATGACTGCGGATTTGCAAACGATGTTCAAACGTTAGCAATGGGATGTACACATTCCGGGGTCATTATTCAGGTCACGGAAAATGCTATCCAGATGTTCGTTCCTGGTGAGCCCTCCCTCAGCACAAGTCACGATGTTCTTGCGAATGTCACGGCGGCTATTGTTGATGGTCCAACCTCCACTGTCGTCCTGGCTACAAGACGTAGTGACGGGCACTTTTTACATCTTTATCGGGTATTCAAGACCTCGGCAAAAATCTCACTGTCTAATGATGAGGCCGAATACATGCTACCAGAGGAGCCCATCTGTATCTCCCACTATAAGTGGGAGGATATTGAACTTGTTTTCATAGGCACCGGTAGTGGCACAGTGCTATCGTTTGAGTTCTCCCGTTGCACTGGAACATTCATGCGACATAAGGACACACATGTCTCTCTGGGAGCTCCACAAGGCAAATCGAAGGCAGTTGAAAGCCTTGCTGTTGTCGAGACTCTTTCGGGCGTCAACCTGCGCGCAGTCCTTTTCTGGGGCCTGCGAGGTGGTACACTTGTTCCATTTAAGTTGGACATGGTTTCCATCGATTCTCGTGGCAAATATGTCTTCGGTTTCAGGGGTACGTCATCTTCATCTCAAATATCCGTTTCTTTAACTGACTAAGTACATTCTATTTAGGCATGAGACAGCAAGAGTCGAGAGATCTTGGACGAACATCAATCAGAATCAAATCCCATGGATCATACGCTTGGCTTACATGCGGTGATGATTTCTGGCGTGTTTGGTATGAGAATGACAATTTCTCTGACTTCTGCTTGATTCGTGTCTGGATTACTGATCAAAATCGCGTAAGTATCGATGCATCCTATCACTTCGGATTCAGAACTAATATTTATATCAGCCCGCATATTTCCCCACCAGGTTCTCTAGCTTTGACCTGGTCGATATGGTAGATCCAGTGTCTGGGCTCGCAACTGTCTATATGTTTTGTTTTGCAGACAGTCATGTTTTGATCTGCTCTCTGGATCAAAATGCGAAGACTATTCCGCGGCGCATTGCGCTTCCTGGAAATCCTAACAAAATTTCCTTCTCTCACCACCTTCAGAGGCTCATTGTTTCATATACTGTTGCTCAAGATACCAGTCAAACAACGCCTCTCGAGCTTGTACAGACATGCTGTATTGAGTTTGTGGACCCTAACACTCAGCATCCAGTGGTTCCTTACGACGCTGAGATGGTTACACACGGCCTTCTCCCATGGAGGCCAAATGGATCCCCGGGGGAGAAAATCACATGTATCGTCGACTGGATGCCAGAGAAAGATGGCAATCCGTACCATTTTATCGCAATTGGGACTTCAATCCCTCTGCGTGATGAACCGAACAAGCGCCACGGTCGGTTGATTCTCATTCAGACGTCTAAGGATCCTAACAATCCTGACCAAATACTCTGCACTAAGAAGCATTTGCAATCGTTCGAGGACTCGATATTTGCGATGGCTCCCTTCGGGCTTGCCGTGATTGTGGCATGTGGGAGGAGATTTATCGCTGTGAAGTCGAGTAGCTCTAAGTTAAAATGGGCGAAAAAAATCACGGCTTCTCTTCCATCTACAGCGGTCACAATGACAGTAGATGGAACTTGGATCTACGTCACTACCGCGAAGCACTCTCTGGTGGTTTACGAAATCATAAACAATAACCTCATCCTGGATATTATACAGAAGCGTGCCGATTTCAGTCCACGCCTTGGTTTGACTCACGCTTTCATGCCCCTGCACAATAAGCGCCCAGATATTCTTTTCGTGAGCACTCGAGGCGGAGCAACTCGAGCATTTACCGATATTCGCCACGCAGGTCAGCTTTTGCCTTGCGCGACAGCCAATCTACCCGTCTCGTTGGTGAAGATCAGTCGCGGTTTCAAATCTCCCCATTCGCTGAAGGATTCAGGTTATTTCTATGGCTTTGGCATCGATGGATCGGTCTATCGCTTCTTGCTCCTTTCAATGGCTGAGTGGCGCCTGCTTCAGATTCTGACTAGCCTCTGCATGAGGGACCCCGGCATATGTCCGTCCTTGTCCCGCAGACGTCGCTACCTTGATCTCGTGTACAGTGTCGAGAACAAGATGCATGTTGATGGCAGTATTCTGTCTCGCCTTGCTAGTCGTGGCTCAAGTTACCTGGACCGGATGCTCAATAAATGCAGCGAGGGTCAAATCAAAGATTTGACACCTGATACAGTCCGAATGTTCTCTGAGACTGCTAAAGAAGTGCTTGGGACTCCCACTCAAGATACTCATCTTGTCTTAATCTGGCTCTGGGAAATTCTCAGGGTTGAATGTTAAGCTCGCCAGCTTTCAACAGGGTGCTAGGTGCTCGGGTGGAGGAACGAGTCCATATGTTAGAGTCAACTTAGTCAACTTAGTCAACTTGCTCAACTTGTCGGATGTATCTATGAATAGCTCAAATGAAAATGTCAGTAGGACATGTATTGTTCAACGTAGGGTTTCTGCATATTGAATGTCCGCGTATTATAATGTCAAAATGTTTGTCGAAAAGGAAAACGGTGAAAGCTGGGGGGAATCCAGCTTTGTCGTGGCAATAGAAGTGAACCTTGGAAAGTCAGATGCCATTCCCCACTGTCAATGATTCTTCCCGAAATTCTTTTCCCTTCCCACACCCCTCCCTTGGCCCACCTAACAGAGAGCTCTATCTTTCTCTCTGCCTTTCATTCTGGGGATTGTCTCTATTGTTTGACTTAATCGTCATCCTCTCCCTTTAACGCGTATTACCACGGCTCGCAAATAACCGGTTAACTCCGTTTGTGCGCCCTCTGTGTTTCTCCGGCCACCAGTCAAACCGGACCATAAATCACCACACCCCAAGAGAATTATATCTTCACAATGGCACCCAAGAAGAAGGGTAATAAGAGACAGGAGGAGGATTGGGAGGCTGATCTCGGCGAATCTGCTCCCGCTGTCGATGCCCCAGTCGATGCGCAGCCCCAAGAAGATCAGAATGAGGAAGAGGCACCAGTCGGTGGCCTCATGGCTGCTCTGAGAAAGAACAAGGCCAAGAAGGCTAAGAAGGGCAAGGTCAACGATTTTGTTGAGGGTGAAGACGCCGAGGGTGCCGACTCTCTGGCTAGCAAGCAGCCCGAGGAGGGCAATTTCGATGACGACGATGTTTTCGCCGGCAAGAAGACTAAGCCCATCAAGGAGGTTGTCAAGCCTGTCGTGGCAGAGCCCGAGGGCGAGTTCCGCGTGAAGAGCAAGAAGGAGAAGGAGCGTGAAAAGAAGGAGAAGGAGAAGCAGCGCAAGAAGGAGCAGGTAGGTCTTCAAACCTTTCTTTCTGTTGAGAAACTATGCTACGAGTCAACTCCATTTACTAACGTACTTTTTTTTTTTATTTTACAGGCTGCCCAAAAGAAAAAGCTTACCCCAGCGCAAGAGAAGGCCGAAGCCAAGAAGACTGCTGCCGCCGAGGCCAAGAAGGAAGAACTTGCCGCCGCCACACCAGTCGCAGAGACTGGTAAGAAAAAGAAACTCCCTCCTCACTTGGCAGCTCTACAGAAGCAACAGGAGGCTCTTCGACAGCAGCGTGAGGAGGAGGAGCGAATTCTAGCGGAAGAGAAGGCTGCCGCAGCCAAGCAAAAACTTCTCGATGAGGAGGAAGAGAAGAAGCGCGCAGAGGCTCGTGAGCGCAAGAAGGAGAAGGAGCGCGAGAAGAAAGAGCAGCTCCGCAAAGAAGGCAAGCTGCTTACCAAGGCTCAGAAGGAGGCCAAGGAGCGCAACGAACTGCGTATGCAGCAAATGATTGCCGCCGGTGGCAAGGTCGCTGGCTTGCAGGAGGGCGGTGAGAAGAAGGCGCGTCCTGTCTATGAGAACAAAAAGAAGAGAGCTGGCAAGAAGCAGGAAGAGGACCTCGAGGCCGCTGCCGCTCGGGCTCAGGCTCAGCGTGAGGCCGAGGATGAACGCCGGAAGAAGGAGGCTGAGGAGAAGGCCAAGGCCGAGGCTGCTGCCGCTACCGCTGCTCAAGGAGATGAAGATGCCATTGAGGACTGGGAGCAGGCTGCCGACGAGGACGTCAAGGACAGCTGGGACGCTGAGTCAGATGAGGAAGAAAAGCCTGTGGCTGAGACACCCGCCGCTGTAGAGAAGAAGGAGGAAGAAGAAGAAGAATCTGAGTCCGACTCGGACGATTCATCTGACGAAGACTCATCTGACGAAGAGCAGAGCGCAAACCAGAAGGCCATTATGGCAAGAAAGGCTGAGGCAGCAGAGCGGAGAAAGGCTAAGCACGAGGAGGCTATGGCAGCTCGTTCAAAGGATGATCTCCGTTCCCCTATTTGCTGTATTCTTGGTCACGTCGATACTGGTAAGACTAAGTTGCTTGACAAGATTCGCCAGACCAACGTGCAGGAGGGCGAAGCAGGTGGTATTACCCAGCAGATCGGTGCCACTTACTTCCCTGTCGATGCCCTGCGCACCAAGACCACCGTTGTCAACAAGGATGGCAAGTTCGAGTTCAAGATCCCCGGTCTGTTGATTATCGATACTCCCGGTCACGAGTCCTTCTCCAACCTGCGTTCAAGAGGTTCCTCCCTTTGCAACATTGCTATCCTGGTTGTGGATATCATGCACGGTCTCGAGCCCCAAACCCTCGAGTCCATGCGCTTGCTGCGTGATCGCAAGACTCCTTTCATTGTTGCATTGAACAAGATCGATCGTCTCTATGGCTGGAAGAAGATCGACAACAACGGCTTCGAAGACAGTCTGGCTATGCAGAACAAGGGCGTCCAGAACGAGTTCCGCAGTCGTCTTGAGGCGACCAAGCTTGCTTTCGCCGAGCAGGGTTTCAACTCCGAGCTGTTCTTCGAGAACAAGTCTCTGTCTCGCAACGTCTCTCTCGTTCCCACCTCCGCCCACACTGGAGAAGGTGTTCCTGACATGCTGAAGCTCCTTACTAGCCTGACCCAGGAGCGTATGACCAACTCGCTGATGTATCTGTCTGAGGTCGAGTGTACCGTCCTGGAGGTCAAGGTCATTGAGGGTCTTGGTACCACCATTGATGTTATCCTGTCCAACGGTGTTCTTCGCGAGGGTGATCGTATCGTGATGTGCGGTCTCAATGGACCTATTACAACAAATATTCGTGCTCTTCTGACACCAGCACCGCTTAAGGAACTGCGTCTGAAGTCTCAGTATGTTCACAACAAGGAGGTCAAGGCCGCCCTCGGTGTGAAGATTGCTGCCAACGACCTGGAGCACGCTATCGCCGGTTCTCGCATGCTTGTCGTCGGCCCTGACGATGATGAGGAGGATCTCGAGGAGGAGGTCATGTCCGATTTGGAGCAACTTCTGAGCCGCGTCTCTACAGATCAGCGTGGTGTCACCGTCCAGGCCTCCACCCTGGGTTCTCTTGAGGCTCTTCTGGAGTTCCTCAAGGTGTCTAAGATTCCTGTTGCTAATATCTCCATCGGTCCCGTTTACAAGCGTGATGTCATGATGGCCGGAACCATGCTTGAGAAGCACAAGGAATTCGCTGTCATGCTGTGCTTCGATGTCAAGGTTGATAAGGACGCAATGGCCTATGCCAACGAGATTGGTGTCAAGGTCTTCACGGCAGACATCATTTACCACTTGTTCGATAGCTTCACTGAGCACATGGCTCAGCTCACCGAGCAGCGTAAGGAGGAGGCTAAGCTCCTTGCCATCTTCCCCTGTGTCATCAAGCCCATTGCTGTCTTCAACAAGACTGACCCCATCGTTATCGGTGTTGATGTCATCGAAGGAAGCCTGCGTCTCCACACTCCTCTGGCTGCGGTCCGGACCAACGCCGCTGGTGTGAAGGAGATTGTCGATATCGGCAGAGTGTAAGTTTTTCTTCCATTCCTCTATCTATTCTGTTCTGAATTCTAACACATCTTTTCTACAGCACATCCATCGAGCGTGATCACAAGGCTGTCCCAGTCTGCAAGAGAGGCCAGCCCTCTGTCGCCGTCAAGGTCGAGGGTCCTAACCAGCCCATGTACGGTCGTCACCTCGAAGAGAAGGACCAGCTGATCTCGCACATCTCGCGTGCCAGTATCGACACCCTCAAGGAGTTCTACCGATCCGATGTCTCTATGGAGGAGTGGGCTCTGGTCAAGAAGCTCAAGCCCGTCTTCGACATTCCTTGATTTCGGTCTTAGGGCTTCCCTCCGGTGTGCGATGTCTCCAGATCAAGCATCCTCAGCACCGGACCCATTCCAGGCTTGCGGGACCTATCCTTTCGCTCGCGAATCTTAACGATCCAATGCCAGTAAGTAGCGAGCTTTGTTCTCCGTCGGCCCTCATGGCCATCGGTTCCATCATAGCCAGTGTGGAGGAAACGAATCGAAATCTATGGAGCTATGACAATTACTATCCAAAAGTGGAAAAGTTCTTTTTTTTTCTTGATTGCGATTTGAACATACAATGAATGACCATGACTTGATGGATGAACAGGAAGAGAAGTCGTCTGTATATGATATAGGAAAAGCAAGGCCTGGTCGATACCAGATCTTTTGTTTCTGTTACAGTGAATTGAAATGATACTTTTTACTCATTTGCCATATCCGTAGATCACATGGCGTTTAAGATTCAGGCGACTATCCTACAGAGTCCTTTTTAGCGATATGAATGGTAATATGTACAATTCCCTCAACCACCAACCGCCGCATCCCCAGCAATACATCCCACACATTCAACCAGCATTACTTCCATATCAACTTAGAAATCCCCTCCCTCCCACTTCTCAACCTTACCCCCCTTCCTCTCCCAATCCAGCCAACTGCCATCATAAACTCCCACGGTCTCAGGATCATACCCAGCCTGAACAGCCATCTGCGCCGCCGCCCTCGCCCGCACACCAGCCTTACAGTAGAAAACCATCTGCGCCGGCTCGCCCTCCCCCTCCGCAGGATCAGGCTTAGCAAACCCAAAGCGAGTCTCAAACTCGTCTGGGGTCAAGTACATAGCATCCGGCTGCGACGCCAACGGGATACAAACCGCCGAGGGGATAATACCGGTTCCGGTCAACTCAGCAGGCTCGCGCACATCGATAAGGATTATGGGCTTGTGCGTCGGTGTATTCTGTCCCGAGGGAAGTGCGGCGGTGATCTATGATTCTATTAGCGTTTTGTTCTTGATTTTCACCGATTGGTTTACTATAGAGTTTCCGGAATCCTTATTCTGGGATGTGAAACCGGATTGTGTGGAATACATACTTCTTCGAAGCCCCATTGTCGGAACTTATCCGTTTTCGTGCTCTGCGACCGCGTCTGGACTTGGAAGCTCTTGCTCGGGGATGGCTTGGTTTGCAAGGTGCATGGTTGTGCCAGAGGCTTGAGGACTCGAGTCTGGGGTGAAGTGACCAGGCCTCTTGCGGAGATAGCTCGGTGGAAGGCCGAGGCTGGGGCGGCACTGCGCGCTGGGGTTCTGGCGGCAGTGGAGGACAAGAGCACAGCTGAGCGCTGGATCTTGGATGATAATGTTGAAGCCATTTTGTCAATTCTGGAATTGAGCTGCGGAGGGTAATCGGTGGAGTTCTCGTTATCAACCCGAGGTCCGGTGGAATACGATAAGTGTGATGTCAGTATATGCCGGGTCTGACCGCCTACTGGTTTAGAATATTTTGTTTGTGTAGAAGGACTTCTGGATGCAGACTTTGTGGGCAATGTTGGGTTGATCAGTAGGGGACTTCGTTTGGATAGATTGTAAGATGCAGGTGGTTGATTGGAAATTGAGAAATACGTGGATGCCTTTTTACGCAAGTCCTATCTACAGATGTATATATAGTAGTAGTACGGATATATAGTGGAGTGTACATTTGGTGAACAGGACCTCGTAAGTAAAATCTTATTTGAACTACATGCCATATAGAATAGCAAAAGGAGGTTATACTACGCAAGAAAAGGACAAGCCTTTAAGAAGCTGTCGTTGTTATCATTCCATGAGAACTGATCTTCATCTACTACTGGCCGCTTTGCGAAGATTAGAGCCACAGAAACCCAAGAGAACGCGACGGATAGAAATAGTACATTAGCTGGTATAAGACATGATGATTGAGCAGATATATACAGTTTGATCCACGACAATAGACACGTAAATTGATATATAGACATTCCAGAAAAAGGGATTAATATTATTCTAATGTGCATGGCTCTAGAAGCAGTCACTCTGTAAGAAAAGAAACAAAAAACCCCCGAGCGACCCCTCACGGGCAAAAGAGAACCATAATCAAATCATAATCACAACAGGGGGCTTATTTGCACAAGGGTATGAAAGGTTCCATAAAGAAACAATGGGCTAAAGACTTTTTCCTTTGAGCGTGAATCATGCACCAAAAATTGAAAAATGAGAAAAGAAGAAAGAAAGGGTCAGTAAACCACCCCATCTCCAGGACAGGAAGGTATCGTATGGAAACTAGCCAAACCCTTCTCTGTCTGGAGAATGGGGTTGGGCTCCACCTTTGCAGTTTTTTTATTTGTGCAAAAAGTGAGGTATTCAAGGGCGGGGACGGAAGGTGAGGAGGCAATCATCCTGATATAGGTTAGTGGATTGTCATATGAAAGAGGGGATAACGTTTAACATACCTTGGGGAAGATAGTGGCAAACACCTTGATGTCCTCAGACTCAGGAGTAGGAGTGTGCTCCCAGTCCATCACCATACTGGCCTTTCCAATCATAGTCATCAGAGACAGCTGAGCGTAGGTCTGACCCAGACAGTAGTGAGGACCTGTGCCAAAGACCAGCCAATTCTTGGTCTGCTGCTCAGCGGTACCGGTGATCCAGCGGTCGGGATCGAATGAGTCGGCATTGGGGTAAGCCTCCTCGTCGTGACAGGCGGGCCACACGGAGGGAATGATCATCGAGCCCTTGGAGACAGTGATGGTCTCGGTGATAGGGAAGTCCTTCTTGACCAAGTAGGGAACCATGATGACAGGAGGGCGGTAACGCAGGGTCTCCTTGACGACGGCGCGGGTGTAGGGCATGTTGTCGAGCATATCCATCGTGGCGGGGAGCATACAATCACCGTTACGGATGGCGAGGTTCTCCTCGCGGACCTTGTCCAGGATTTCGGGGCGATCAGCCATCAGCTGGAACAACCAAGTGGAGGCGGCGCTGGTCGCATCCTGGGAAGCGAACAGGAATGTGAAGATAGTCTGGGCGATTTCGTAATCGGAGAATTCACGAAGAACCTGCGCGGGCTTCTCGGAAGAATCAACCTGGGCTCCCGAGGCAATCTTCTCGCGGTACACGGCGGAGTCGAGCTGGGCCTTGACCCAAGCGTCCATGATACAGGAAATCTCACCGCCGGCGGACATACGAGCCTTGGACTTGGCGGCACACTTGGTGAACTCTGCGAGCACCATGTCGGCGGCCTTCTTGCCGTACCAGGTCTTGGTGTAGGGAAGAATGATAGGGAAATTAACCAGCTCAAGGGCGGCGGTGATCAGATAATAATCGTCGGCGATTTTCTGGACACCCTCATCGCTGATGTAGTAACCAACGAAGGTACGGCACGATAGAGCACACATGAGCTCACGGAACTCGGACATCCAGGGGGTCGGGGTGTGCTTGAGGGCAGCGGATTTCTCGACGAAGCGCTTGTTGTAGGAGTTGAAGACTTCCTCGGCGCGGGGAAGATACATAGCCAGGGCCTGGCGAGTGAACAAGCCGTTCAGACCCTTGCGGTAATCCACGTGGGCCTTGCCATCCAAGAAGACCCAGTTGGTCTTACCGAGAAGCTTGTGCGCAGCATCCACGACACAGGGCTTGACATAGGCGGGCGAGTTGAAAATCTTCCGGGACATATCGCGAGTGGACGCAATCACGACGAACCTTGGGGGAGAAAAGAGATGTTAGTGAATAGACCGGGAGGAGTTGAGACCATCTGGCAATTCCAAATGTATTAGGGCTACTCACTTGTGGAAAACAGAAACACAGCTAAGGTCTCCGCTGTCCCATTTGGCCTTGTACTCGGTGAACTTGGGGTTGACTGATTCCAGGAACGGGCCCATAAAGGGGATCTTGTACATAGGGCCAATAATGGCACCCTTGAGGTAGTGGTACTTGACTGTAAATAAGGATGTTTAGATTAGCTTCGAGGCGCACTTTTGAAGGCCATACATGTCGCAATCGCACTTACATTGATCGTATAGGACGGCGGCGATGAAGAAAGTCAGCAGGCCCTTCCAGAGAGTGAAGCCATCCAGGAGGCTGGCGACGAGGCCGGCCGGCGCGAAAAGTTGGGGAGAGACTGTCGCATCTGCCGAGGGCGAGACGAAGCTCCCGGTGAGATTGGCCATGTTGACCATGTTTGGAGTCCACGGGTCAAAATTCCAAGCACAATTGAAGAAGAAACTGAAAGGAAGGGACCCAGAACGAAAGGAGAAAAAGGCCAAGTGGAGAGGGGAGAAAGAATTGATTGCTCAGGGGCGGAACACCAATTACACGGAGGCCCGCGGGTTGCCCAGCAGTATCAATGCACAACTTACATATGCTTACTCCGTAGACTCCAGGTACATGAAGATCACTCGTATTCACACCACTCGGTGAGGTGGATTTGTTGATTATCTGCATTTTGTGCCTGTCCAGGGGCATGGAATCATCTACAACATAGCGAGTATTGTGTATTGTGTATATTATTTGATCGGCAGAAGAGTCAATCTCTGCCATAGTTCTAGTCTCCAAATCTTGGCATAGCATGATGGATGCATACATAGAATCCTGTATGAACCGGGTCTGGAGATATCAACATAAGCCCATATAACACAACCAAAATGCCACCGAATAAGCGCCGACGTAAATCGCCATTACGACGTGACCCCGGCGAGCGAATTCCCGAGAGCCCAGTCAACGCTGATTGGCCCGTGAAGTAAGGAGATAACGGGGGCGTTTTGATGGGCTGTTTGGGACGGTTTGCCTGCATACCTAGGTAGGAGGATATAGGTACATATGTAGAGACGGGCACGGAGTACAGAGTCCTCCGTATGGCATCCATAGTCAATGATCCATATCGAATACTACACTTAATGCATTCCCGAGTCAGTTGGAGGTCAAAGTGGCGTCGTGATCTGGGACTCCCGCCTCAGGGTTGGGGCACGTGCTTATGCTTGATCCTACGACGTACATGTCATCCTATCTCCTACTCTGTACACAACTCTACATCGTACGTTATATATTGAAAAGAGATAAAAGATAAAATGCTGATCAAAATGAATGGGTATTGGTAATATGGCATGTAAGGGGGCCTTAGCGACCGCCGAACCCAAACCAGCCGCGACGGCCCTTCGTCTCTTCTTCGGGTCCCGGGGCTTGAGGTTGCGCCTGGGCGGGGATCTCCTGTCGCTGACCACCTTCCCGTGGGTAATCGATATAGTTCCATGCCACGTCGAGGAACAAGGGCTTAACGGGAATGGGCTGCATTTGAGGCGGGTATGGCACCAGATTACTGAGGTCCACGCCGGAACCTGCAAATTGTTGTAGTCGTTCCACCACTGGCCGTTGAGTCGATTGCGACGCCTCTTCGGCACTGGCCTTCTCTAGAGTGACAAGTCCACGATATTGAGCCACCAACTCCCGCAGAGTCGACTCCAAGCTACTAGATTGCACCTGAGAGACGTCAAGTTTGGGCGCACCTCCAGCATCTGCTGATGACTGAGGAGTAGCGGAGCTGGCAAGAGTCAAGGCTTGGGAGAAAAGCGCAAGAGCCTCCTTTGACTTTGAGAGGACACCATGGGATCTGCCGAGAGAAAGACATCTAAAGAAAAAATAGCGATTAGTAACGAGAGTCTCTGAGGACTACCGTGGGGATCATACCTGAGAGCCCGGAAGTAGTGCCGCTTTGCCTCTAGATCCTGCACAAAGGCCGAGTCGGCCGCCACACCTGGAAGCTCGAGGATAAAGTCCAAGCTTTGAAGGGTTGAGTCATATAGCACGACACGCTCACGAAGCTTATTCAACCTTTTTCCATTGCCTGCAGTGTGTTTTGCAGTTTCTTTTCCATTCGCTGGAGCTTGCTCTTCCTCAAATGACAACCCGTCTTTATCTCCACACAGGACCCGATTGCGGCCGACCCGCCAGCCAACCAGAGTGTAATTAACTGCAGTCCGAGTGATTTGCAGCGCCTGCATTCTCTTGTCACTAGGATCAACACCCTCACTAGCCAGGTCATCAATGGCAGTTTTTGTTGCGTCGACAGCATCCTGGCTAGCGATAATTACATTGTCATATGCAGCAGCTTTCTCCTTAGCAGTAGCAGAATTTCCTGCGTCTGCCAGCCAAGTGGTGAGGCGAGCTTCCGCGGCTGAAGCGGCAGCCAGCGATTGGGAGATTGAAGCATCGTCCAGTGGGACAGTTCGTGACCTCCAAGTGACAGACTGAGGCAATTCCTGCACCTCTCCCTCCGCGGTTCGTCGGGTTCCGGCTGCTTCTTCGGCGAGACAAGAAGGGTCGATCTTCTCCACCTCGGCGCGGATATCCGAATTCAGTGGGAAGAACTCAATGGCCAGCGACGAGGTAGGTTTAGAGCGGGGCAGTTTCATTTGATAAGCAGCGTATCGGAGACTTGGGTCAACAGTCCCTGAGAGCAGGTCCCGGAAAGCGTCTCTCTTGACCCTCTGGCCCAAAGCTGTGTAGATCACTCTTGCGATGGAGTAGTCATGGAGACATTGTTCCCATTTCCGCTTTTCGAGCCACAGAGTTCCAGAGATCATCGCCGAATATGCTCGAGCCTCCAGGATATCTATATCACTCGCCCCAGAAACCGATTGTTCGTGGAGCAATGATACCAAATGCTGCGCATATCCTGTCGCCTTGTTCAGACGAGAAATAATATGGCGCCTAGCAGCGCCAGAGATTCCCTTGGCGGAAGGATCTGCGGAATGTGTCGATTTCATATGCATTGCTTGCGCCCAAGCTCTTTCGGAACCAAGAAGCAAAAGGTGTACGTATCTGGAATAGGTAAGTATTCAGTCAAACACGGCAATTGAGGATGAAGGGATAGGGCAGCAACGTACGACACATTGCTTCCAACATTTTCAGCAGTGACAGCTGGTTTGGCAGTATACTTGCGACCTTTGGGAGTAGCCTGACCAAGCTTCTTGCGGAGTTTCTGTAATTTCCTGGTAGTGTGCGCCCGATAGGCATTGTAGTCTCCCACAAGGAGAACCTCCTCTCTCTCCTTGAAGATAAAGTCGGTGATATCCATGATATTTGTCTTGTTTCCTCCTTTATCTGGGGTTCTTTTGATGGAGTGGGAGGGACACGGTTGAAGTGGTGGGCTCAGTCAAGGCGGTGAAACCCCGGCAATTTCCAACACCTCCGAATCTTTTGCGTTGTTTTCTACAAGCTTCGAGACCTTGGATGTATCCATTGCCTTTCCGTTTGAACCAGAAGGTCCGGGCTTTTATTAGCACCTGATTTGTGCCCTGAACCGGTGCACGAGCAATCTTGTGTCGCACAAGTCGACGACTTCAGCTTTTCTTCCTCGGTACGCATGGCACCACCCGGTCGATTATTTGTCGCCGTCAAAGCAGCACCAAAGACAGATCTTCTAACATGAGTGTGATTTACTTAGGCCTTCTCGACATAATACGATGCAGATCGAGACTCAATCCCGGCATCCTACGGTTTGACATCGCCACGATTGAGGGCAATGCTCGAACGGGCAACGGGCTGCCTCGAGAACGCGGGACGGCGTTTACTTCAGGATTCCAATGGTGTGGTACGAAGCAAGAACTCTCTGCCTAGTCATATCTGGAATTACAATGCCGCTGGAACAGACACCCCCAACTGGTTTCTCGCGCTTTTGCACGCATCAGGTCAACGATCGTCCCCCGTTCTCAATACCCAACATGAAGGCAGAGGATCGAGCGATGGAATAGGGCCATCGCTCGACTTTTTGTACCCTAGACAAGGTCAAGCGCTGACAGTCTCACATCTGTTTCGCACCCAAAAAAGGACTGGGTCTCGGAGGAAAAGATCGCACTTGAGCTTCTCAAGAAGTTATGTTTCCATTTCGAGCCTTCCCAGGGCTACCCCAGAGGCTTCATCTAGCCATGAAGATATACCTGAGCGGGCCCAAGAGCCTCAAAATCCCGAATCTCCCCAGGAGGACGGGAAAGCGAACGCCGACCTCCATGCCTTTCTTCAGAAGAATGGCACAGAATTCGACAAAGCCTGGGTGCTGTACATTGCAGCCGGATACCCATCGAAGCTCAGGTCTGCCCTCTGTGCTTATTTGAGTAAATCGCGTAATCGCAAGGACCAGCGACGAACATGGGAGCTTTTCAAACTCATTGGGCCCCAGGATCGCACCGAGTTGGACTACAAGAATGTCATGAAATCACAGCTTTTTACAGAAGATGGGGTAAAACCTCATCGCTTGCAACGAATTTGCAATGAAATCATTCGTACGCCAATGCCATTTGCACCAAACATCATTGGCCTAGCCCTGGTTCACATGGTCAAAACCAGACAGTGGAAAAATATCGACCACGTCTGGAAAATGATATTGCAAGCACAACCGAACAGTCAACTGACATTGAGCTCCTTGTTGCTTCAATTCAATCGTTTCGAGTTTCTTGATTATTCCCTCGCAAGGCACCTCCTTACCCTAGCGGATCATCTAAAGGATGAGAAAAAACCTTCAATTAACGATTTCGCCCGTCGCTTAGTTGATCGATTCATTATGTCTCCCGACATGGTCAAACTTACACCGATAACGACTTTGCTTCCACTGTTGCGTCAATACTGTTCCCTCGGCCTTTTGAGCCAAATACATTATTTGGAACTGATCAAACTGTTCCACTTGTCAGAAGAGAGATCAGAATTCGTCAAATCCGTCCTTCTTTATCGCCAATATCGGTTGGATTTGCCGGATGCACTACCAAGTAAAAGAGTTTTGCATCGGATGATTGGACGCTTCTCAGAACTCCAGATGACGGACTGTCTCCCTTACTTCTTGGACGAGGAGGCCCACTTTTGGGAAAAGCCGAGCGTTTTTGCATATAGAGAGGCTCTGATTGGGTTTTCCAGGGTTGGGGATGCACCAAAAGTTCATGAACTATTCAATAGCTTCTTGGCAGACCACCCAACCTTCCTTAAGCAACGTGAGAACCCAGATGTTCACCGATTGGTGGCTCCACTTCTTGTCGTGCACGCGCGGCTAGGTGATGTGCAAGAGACCCGACGGCAATTCCAACGTATCTCTGCAGAGTTAGGTATTAAGCCGAACACAGTGTGCTGGAACATTCTACTTCTGGCGCATACCACCGCTGGAGATTTATCAGGTGCGGTTTCTGTGTTCTCACAGATGCAGAGAAACAAAATGCGTTTGAATTCATATTCATTTGGCACACTGATGGGGCATTTCGCCAAGCGACGAGACATCGAAACTGTTCGTCGATTGCTCAAAGAGGCGCAAAGCAGCAAAGTGCAAATTACAAGGCCAATCCTCGATACGGTTGTACAGGTGTACCTCAACAATGGTGAATTGACTCAGGCAGAGCAGCTTATCGAGAAAAGCTGGAATTTGGCGGATGGAGGGTCTCCATTGCGAATGTGGAATTCTCTTTTAGCTGCATATGCGTTCAGGGTATCCAAGTTTTCCTTCCGGCGCATCTTGGACCGCATTGGAAAGCTAGGACTGACACCGGATGCTATGACCTACGGGGCCATCATGCTTGCCTACGTGTATGCCATGCAGCCAGATCGTGCCCGTGCTACTCTCAGAACCATGCACCAAACTGGCCTCAAAGCCACCGAGTATCATTATAACATCCTTTTGCTTGGATATGTGAACCAGCGGAACCGCGATATGGTTCACGTCATCTTTCAAGAAATGCAAACGCGCTTCGGTCGAGTCGCCATGGATGCCAGCCTGTTGAACCTGAGAATGCAGATTGCGAGAGATCTGGAGAACGCAAATGACAGCCAAATGCCGCTTGAAGACATTGAATTGGAGAACGCACAAAAGACACTCGTTCGCTCAATCACACAATTCAATGCTCACCCCTCACCAGTCAAGCACCGATCAGCTAGTTCGTTCGAGGGTTCTTCCCTAGACGCCTTTACTGCCAAGCATTATCAACTACTGATCCAAGCATACGGCACAGAGGCTGGTCCCGAAAAGGCACTCCAACTCTTGAATCAATACATGCGACAACGCCAATCCGATGATGCATTGGAATCATTACCGATCATATTCATCAGAGCCACCATGCTTGCTGCCTTGCGAGCCCACAAGTTCAAACAAGTGGAAGAGTGTTGGGGAAATGTCTTGGTTGGTGTCAGTAAGACAGCCGTTACTTTTGACATCAACGAACTTTTCCCTTCACCATCGTCAACGTCAGCTCTACAAAGGCCAGCAGAGTCTTCTCGGTCGCTAACATCCTCAACATCCACCAAAGCAAATAAGTCCAAAATTCTCCCTGCTCACCGTTTCACTCTGGATACTCCACTCTCGCTTTACTTGCGATCTTTGGCTTGTCGAGACGAATATGAGAAGATACATAAAGTTGTGGCCGAAGTCCAGGCAGCAGGCTTTGCATTGACTGGTTTCAACTGGTCGACCTATATCAGGATGCTCGCGACATCTGAGAATTACAACGACATTACCCAGGCCTTCCGAATGTTCGAAGACAAATTCATTGCTCACTTCCCTGGTTGGCGGTGGTTCCTCAAGGGATATGGCGTGAGGCCCATAAATGCTCCTGTGACACTTCTTCATCTTGAAGGTCGCTGGGGTGCGACCAAATCCCGCAGGATGATGGGAAAATTGGCCCGAAAGCAGTGGCGCAAAATCGAGCCTGATTACATGCACCCTCATTACCCGACCATGGTGCAATTAGCTAGCACGCTGAAACGGCTCCGGCATACAAGTATCATGGAGGGGAATGGGCACTTAGCCAGTCTCTATAAAATTGCCCCAAAGACGATTGATGCCCTTGCCGCGATGCCATCCGTGCGAGATAAATACCAGGCCACAATCCTTCGCGGCACAGCTTCAAAGAAAGATATTATCGCAAGTCCGATCAAGCTACATTCCACGCCCTCCGGTGCTCTTGGCCTCGACTCGAAAGTCAAAAAACGCACCTTTGATGACGCAATCCAGGAGCCTTTCGAACTGAAGAAACAACAATACCCTGAGCGCTCCGCCGTTGACGAGTCGAATCTCACGGGCTTCCTCACCAAGGCTCAAGAGCAAGCCCTGAGTCCCTTGTCGAGCATCCTTCCTCGCGAGGACCGAATTGAGCTTGAGACTGAACTCTATGAACAAGCCGAAATAACAAGCAACTGGTTGTCACGAAATGCGCGCCATAAAAAGGCCATCGCTCGCGCACTCGCAAACAAGAAGCCCAATACCGCTAGGTTTATCAGACGATATGGGCGCAGGGCACGACGCGCCTATTCCAACAAGCTCAGTCCCGAGCGGCGACTGTTTGACAAGAGCAATCGCAAGTGGAAGCTGAAGACTCCAGCGTACCGTCTCTTCAAGCCTGACAGTGGACTTCATGTGAAAGTCGGGCAACGGAAGTCCACTTCCAAATACAAGAAGAGGTCCTGGACCTTCAAGTGAAGACTCGGGTAGGGACTTTTGAAGAGCTTGTCCTCTCTCCTCCTCCCATGTACAGTGATTGTGTAATTTAGCAAGTGTTTTTATATCCTGGTTACTTTGATTTAAATTTTGTACAATATATAGACCAATTTTCTCTTTATGCGGATATCTCCATGACACTAGCAATTGTAATGAGGTCTATCACAGCAGCGTTGGAGCAAGTATCATGGTGCAATACCAATGAAAGTCCCTAGTGATGTCTGGAAGCCAGTACGACATTGAATCTGAACTTATGTATCTGGCCATTAACCCCTTGTGGGTACTCGACATTGAACAGAGTCAATCTGGATTCTGCTTATAGTCGATGAGGTCCAGTAGGAGGTCATCTTGAATCTCATGGCATTCGGTCTACTTCTTCGCAGGGCTGGTATTGAATAGCTGTGGAATGAATGGAAAGTCTAGTATAGAAAGAGTCCTTGCCCAATATACATGATACGAATTAAGCAAGTAACTTTGTCTTATAATCTCTCTGTATGTGCCAATTCTCCTTGCTCCTCCTGATCCTCTGAAACTCTCGACTTATCTGATCGCTATGATTACCCTCGCCATTTAACGTCTGTGGTAGCATTATCCCTGCTTTCATCTTTCGGGGCTTCAAGACGCAAATCAATACTGTATCCGATAGACGTTGCAGGCGTGCCAGGAGCGGCGGACTGCAACAGTCGTGGGCCGTGGCAGACCGACTAAAACTCTTGGCTGCGTGATTCAGGCCCATTCGCTTGCTGATTGCGAAGTACGTTGGGACATTGATCACGTCAAGCCAATTACAAATTCCCATTTTATGCATCAGGGCGTTTCCCAAGCTAACATAATCGGCCCAAAATGGAGTTTATACCAAGGACCGATCGGTCATAAGAGATATTTCCGCTAACTCCATCGATGGATACAACGTTATTGCTCGTGGTGCCATTATACTATAAATCAGGTCAAGTTGTACTCCGTAGAGGGATAGAGAGAGCAGGGGGATAGACTTGTATATACAATTTTTGTTTAGTTTCTCTCTTCCCCTATCCCTCTACCTGCTGCGCTTGAAACTCCCGCCATCGCAATTATGCCCCCGTACGACACAGATACCACCGCCGACGAGCTGATCAATGATTACAGCCATCTCATTAAGGACAAGGTCGTTCTGACAACCGGCGTCTCTTCCGGTTCCCTGGGCGGCTTCTTCGTCCAATCCATCGCCAAAGCCAAACCCGCCTGGCTGATCCTGGCCGCTCGCAACGCCGACAAACTCCAACAAATCGCCAACGACATAACGACCGCCTACCCGGATGTCAAGGTCCGAAAGATCAAAGTTGATCTGGGGTCGCTGAATAGTGTGCGAGACGCGGCTGCCCAGGTGAATTCCTGGGATGATATTCCAGTCATCGACGTGATGGTCAACAATGCCGGTGTTATGGCGGTTGATTATCAGGTCTCGCCGGAGGGATTTGAGTCCCACCTGGCAACTAACCACCTAGGCCCGTTTCTGTTCACAAATCTGGTTATCAAGAAGATTTTAGCTTCTGAGAGTCCTCGGATCGTCGTGGTTAGCAGCGACGGTCATCGTCTGAGTCCTTTCCGCTTCGATGACTACAACTTTGATGTAAGTGATGCATGGGATTTTGCTCTTTGAGGGCACCCGTACTTAAATATCGAATAGGCAGGGAAGAGTTACCACAAATGGTTCGCCTATGGCCAGAGCAAAACAGCTAATATATTGTTCGCAATCTCACTGGCGGAGAAGCTCGGCCTCAAATACGGCCTTCTCGCATTCAGCCTGCACCCGGGCGTCATCTGGACAAATCTGGGTAACCACCTAGACTGGAGTGTAGATCTGGATGGACTCCGTAAGTACCAGTCGTAACTATCAGATGCACGGCCGCTAACATCACCACAGGGAGCGCCGACAAGGCGTTGGGCAACCGGGAGGGCTGGAAAGACTTCGATACCAAGCCGTTGGAGCGGGGTGTTGCGACTCATGTCTATGCTGCATTTGATCCGGCTCTTAAAGGTATGTTATGTATAAACGGGAAACGGAGAGTATACTGACAGGCTGACTCGGTAGCTCACAACGGCGCTTATCTTATTGACTCCCATGTAGCAGATCCACTGTCTGATACAGTCAAGCCGTGGGTGACCAGTAGCTTTGAAGCAGAGAGACTGTGGAAGTTGAGCGAGAAGCTGGTGGGCGAAGAATTTTCATACTAGAGTCGCAGTGTATATATATATATATACCCGTGTAAAATTGTACATGCTCGGTGATCCAAAACGGGAAAGAAAAGGCATCCCAAGCTAGCGAGATACGATGTAAATCTAGGACTTGCAGTGCCACACATCCTGTTCAATCAGATGAGATCCACGTTATAGAACTGTACGGAGTACCCCGTATATGTCACCATGATAGTGGTAACAATGACTACTTCACTTGACCTGTCGAACATTTCTGTAACCTAGAGAACGCCCATATAGACGAACATATATGCCTCGACTATGTACCCATGTACTACTCCGCACTCCGTACAGTATGTGGTTTAGATAAAGGGACAGAACAAGCAAGTGATTGTGCAGCCTGGGATATTCCATTGACGGAATTGGCAGACTGATCTGAACATATGTACTCCGTGCAAGGTCTTGGCCTATGATTGGTATTATAGCGGAACAAGAGATAGATTTTATGCTGTACGGAGTATAAATTGGTTGTACTGTATGTGATAGGACGTTGGATAGGAAAATCTTTTGAGCAAAATTAAGCGTTCGATTCAGGTTCCACAGCCCTTGCCACCGAAAGGGACAAGGGCTGTGGAACTGTCTTATTGCCTATGTAGCTAGCTATCAAGGCCAATCACTATGGAACTATCCTGAGCTATATAGGGACCATCGTGGAAAATAGTATATATAAGACCAGCAGCCCACATACAGCTCTCTGTACCAACAACCAAAGATGGAAGAGGACCTTTCAGACCTCCTCGACACCCACCAGGACCGACCGACCGAAGTCAGACGTCAAGACCAGGTCAAGATCATCACCACTCCCTGGACCGAAACACAGACACTGCGAACAGCACGCGTAACAGTCGAGGCGGGAGTAAAAAGGTTTCACTTTAGGGCATCGAGGACATATAGTCATCAGCAAGGGTGGAGATTCTGTGGCTCTTTTAAAGAGCTTAGAAAGGGGACGTCTACTCTAAAGTGATTCTTTGAACTGTGAGAGGAAAAAAGGTCAGTGAAAAATTCAAGGGAGAAGTCCAGTGTGAAAGTCCGAAGGCTTTTTCCACTGTAGGGGGGAGTAGAACATACGTAGAGTCGCTTGAAGAAGAGAAAAAGGATCGGGAAGTTGGGGCCTTATATACCTTTTCAAAAATTTTTTTCTGCTGAGTCAGTCGGCAAAAACTATCCGGCGACGCGGCGGCCGACGCGTGCACCTTCACGCGTTCCACTTTAGCAAATCGGGAAATCCCATCGGCCCCCCTCGACTACCTCCTTCCCACTACACTATATTGCATCACACATCATGGACGGCATACAACTACGGGATGAGGCCGCGCAGGATCGCGTGCGCGCTGCCACCGAATTCCTTGACCCAGGTATGTTTACCCAATCTTGTATTTGTTGTTTACGCTAACCGAGTCATTTTTTTCCAGCTGATGCACGGGCACGCAGGTTCGTCATTGTTTACGATGATGTTATCATATACATCTAACAGATCGGAACAGTTATCGAGCGGACATTGTGGTTATGCTAAATAAGGGTGCGCGACGTTTGACAGTGCGTGGATCGACGAAATTCCCTGCCAGGAGGTGGTGCTAATAATTCTGAATAGGTCAGCATCGATGAAATCAGAGCACACAACCGGGAGCTGGCCGATGGGTAAATATTACTTCGATATCAAGTGGAATTGACACAGCGACTAATGGAGTTTCTTCGTATAGGCTGCTTTCTTCGCCATTCGATTACTCGCAAGCCTTTGATATGGCCTTGAAGGCAGTCGTCAAAACCCTGCCCGGTCGACCAGTTAAAGAAACCTCAGATGAAACAGTATGTATCCATCGGGAGGTGCTTCTTCGCAACTATCTCATGTCTAACGACATTGACAGAACTACTATTGCGCCTATGTTGGCGCATTCGGAGAATTCTCCTGCAATCCCCGCACATTGGGTTCTCAACAATTGAATCATATGGTATCCCTCGAGGGTATTGTGACAAAATGCTCTCTGGTGCGCCCCAAGGTAGTGCAGAGTGTTCACTATGTCGAGAGGAAGGATCGTTTCGTCGCCAGAAAATATCGTGATCAAACTATGAGTGCCAGCGGTGCAACCAGCTTGAACGTTTACCCTCAAGAGGATGATGAAAAGAACCCAGTGAGTTTCAAATTCGCAAAATCACACAAGCCTCCGCGACTGACGTTGGAATTTCTAGCTTATCACCGAGTACGGCTACTCTACATACCTCGATCACCAGTCAATCTCCATCCAAGAAATGCCCGAACGTGCGCCCGCAGGACAGTTGCCCCGAAGTGTCGATGTCATTCTGGACGACGACCTTGTCGATACTGCCAAGCCTGGAGATAGAATCCAGCTGGTGGGTATCTACCGCACCCTTGGTAACCGAAACGCAGGCAGTGGCTCGTCGACTTTCCGCACCGTGGTCATGGCGAACAATATTATTCAATTGTCTTCGAAGAGTGGTGGAGGTATAGCAGAGGCTGTCCTTACCGATACCGACATTCGAAACATCAATAAGATTGCGAAGAAGAGAAATGTGTTCGAATTGTTGTCCAAGTCTTTGGCTCCCAGTATCCACGGCCATGATTACATCAAAAAGGCAATCCTCCTGATGCTTCTTGGTGGAATGGAGAAGAACTTGGATAACGGAACCCATCTTCGTGGTGATATCAACATTCTTATGGTCGGTGACCCCTCGACTGCAAAATCTCAGCTGCTTCGTTTTGTGTTGAATACTGCGCCATTGGCAATCGCTACTACTGGTCGAGGCTCCTCCGGCGTCGGTTTGACTGCTGCTGTTACCTCTGACAAAGAAACCGGTGAACGCCGACTGGAGGCCGGTGCCATGGTTCTCGGTGACCGCGGAGTGGTTTGTATCGATGAGTTTGACAAGATGAGCGATGTCGATCGTGTTGCCATCCACGAAGTCATGGAACAACAGACTGTCACAATCGCCAAAGCCGGTATCCACACAAGCTTGAATGCTCGCTGCAGTGTTCTCGCAGCAGCCAATCCAATCTATGGCCAATACGATCCCCACAAGGATCCGCATAAGAACATTGCTCTTCCCGATTCCCTACTCTCTCGTTTCGATTTGCTATTCGTTGTGACGGATGACATCGAAGACACCCATGACCGCAGGATCTCGGAGCACGTTCTCCGCATGCACCGCTACCGCCAGCCTGGCACTGAGGAGGGTGCCCCAGTCCGGGAACAGCTTAACCAAACCCTGGGCGTTGGAGTGGAAGATCGTCAAGACGGCAATGCGCCAAGTGAAGTGTTCGAGAAGTTCAACGTCATGCTTCATGGTGGTATGATCGATGCTGCTAACGCTGGCCGTCGCCGTGGCAAGAACGTGGAAATTATCAGTATTCCCTTCATCAAGAAGTATATCCAATATGCTAAGAAGCGAATCATGCCCGTCTTGACCAAGGGTGCTGCCGACCACGTTATCGCTACATACTCTGCTTTGCGAAACGATGAACTCACTGGCAACAAGCGTCGCACCTCGCCCATCACTCCTCGTACTCTGGAGACCCTGATTCGTTTGTCCACTGCACACGCCAAGGCACGTTTGTCGAATCGTGTGGATCAGAGCGACGCCAAAAATGCCGAGGCCATCCTGCGTTTCGCCATGTTCAAGGAAGTCCTCGAGGACGAGCGTCGTAAGAGACGCAAGGTGACCACCTTCGATTCCGACTCCGAATCCGACAGTGATGCCGAACTCGATGACAACTCTGATGATGACACCAATGCCCGCGGCACATCCACCGCCACACCCGGTCGACGCACCGGCACAGCACGCACCCGCGGCACCGCAACGCAGTCTAGCGCCCCCGTTCCCGACGAGGACGAAGACCCAGACAGCTTGTACACAGCCAGTCCACGTGCTCAGCGCCTGCGCTCGAGCCAGACAGGCCGTACCCAGACACAGACCGACTCGCAGATGTCAATGGCATCTTCGCGACCAGCCTCACAGCTCATCGAGTCCCAAACAGACACGCAATCCACATCTGCAGACGTCCCCATCACACCTGCGCGCATGATAGTCTTCCGACAGACTCTCGGCCCGCTCATGGGCAAGACCGTGTTCAAGGATAGCGATACAAGCAAGGTCGACGATCTGATCAACGCCGTCAACACTGCTATCCGCGACTCGCCCAAGCATGGCGCTTCGCAAGTCTTCCCCCGCTCTGAAGCTATCCAGGCCTTGCGGATCATGAACGAGGATAATATTCTGATGTACCTCGAGGATGACGATGATGTATACCGGGTTTAATCTATCTGGGTTATGCGGTGCTGTCTACACTTTTCTTCTCTTCGTGCAAAGTACATAAGAAGAGGAGATGGACATGTCTGCTTCCAGTTTTTACGAGCATGCTTTCTTGTCATTGCATTGGGATTGATATCATCTCATGTTTTTTGTTGGGTTTGGCGTATGGAATGGGTTTGGGGAAATACTAGTGGCCTCAATATGAGAAATATGAATGAATACTCGAAGTTTAATCTATTAAGAATACTAAATCTCCATCTGGCTCACCTGTAGTTGTATTCGATACATGTACCATATGTAGTCTGGTTGGGAGACTCGTTCGTTTGACACTGTAAACATGCAATTGGATGGAGATTTTCCAAAACAAATCAAATGCAACAGAGAACGATAGCCAAGGCATTCCAATTTATCTATACAGCCAGAGAAAGCATGTTCCAAAGGAAATGCATACACAGCCAATGTAAGCCTCCAAACATAGTGCGAACGATGAGTGTCTAGCAACCGAGGCAGATAGGAAACAAAAAGAATCAGGGTATAGAGATATGAACAGCATAAGCATGAACGATGTTTCGTGCTAAGGTGTGCAATATTACAATTGTGGGATAGAAGACGGTATAGCCTCCTCTTTATCCTTCTCCAAAATGCCCGTCGGCAGCACAGAGTCTTCGGACGAGAACGACGGAGTGCGTACACCCTCCCGAATCTGCGCCTGCGTTAGAGGTGAGATGCCTCGTCGAAGCGTAGAACCCTTCCGTTTGCGCTGCTGCGGGCTGGCATCGTGTCCGGAGGCGGTGCTTGCACGGCGCGGCCGGCCGGACGTGGAAGAACGGGAGGGCGGACGGTCGTCGATGTCGACGGGGGTGGTGCTGCGGGATGAGGTGCGGGAATGGGACTCGGAGCGGGTGTTGCGACGGGAGGAAGGGCCACGTTGCTCCGGGCTAAGTTTCGAGATGGACGAGTGGTGGCCGTGGCCGAGGCGGTGGCCTGTTCCTGCGGGGCGGCGGCGCGGCGAGGTGCGCCAGCCTAATCCGAGACGGCCGAGCCATCCTCCTTCTGCTCGGGCGAGGTGGTGCTCGCGCTCGCGCAATTTGACGCGCAGCTGGGCGCGGCGCTCGTTTTCTTTCTCCCAGAAGTCGGTGCGGTAGTCGTCCCAGTTTTCGCGGAATTCGGGGGAGAAGGACTTAGGCAGCAGGAGGAGACGGATGTAATCGCCTCCCGGGCTGAGGTCCTCTTCTACCAAGCCGGACTCGCTGCCAGGACCGTGGTAGTACTGCTGGTGATGCTGCCGACCACCACCAGCACGCTCCACAAGATGGTAGTTTCCGTTGGGAGAAGGCAGGAACGAGATGGAGAACGGAAAGAGGATTGAGACATAAGATAGTAGCTCTTGCCAGAAAGGACCACGAATGACGATAATTTTGGTGTTCATCACACGCAGGCCGCGATTGGAGACAGCGAGCCAGCGCCGAGGCCATCGGATGCCGCGCTCCCATTGTCCCGTTCCCCAGACGAGTAGCGCTGTCACCACCCCGCCGAGCAGGGCGACTTTCTCCGCCATCTCCACCACCCAGTAGACAGAACCGCCGACTCCGCGGCCATCTTCACGCGGACGGAGGAATAGAGCGTATGCAAACCAAGTGAGCCACGCAGTGAGTAGAAGCAGGAAGAAAGTATTCTGGCGGCGACGCTCACGCAGGGATAAATATTGGGCTCGTAGCGAGGTTTCGAGTATTAGAAGGTTCAGGTAAATCTGGGGCGGGGAGGAGGGGAGGTTTGCTAGCGGGTCTGGAGTCGAAGGCCGTGGTGGGGATGAGGGATCTGAAGGAGTTAGGCCTTGAGATGATTGTGAGGAGTTCAATGGCTCGGGAGTTAAGGCGCGAGCTTTCGGTGTTGGGGCACCCTTGACCACCTGGTCTAAAGGTGAGGCCATGGTGGAAAGGATCCCACACAAATCAGAGTACAGAAGCAGAGCTCCAAGATGAAGAGTGAAGTCAAATCAAAACTGGCCGTTCCGGCCCAGGACGAGTGTCATCGCATGTGAAGGAGGGAGAAAGGCGGGAAGTTGAAGGAAGCGAAGTTGGATCGACAACTGCCCGCCTCATACTTCTCGACAAAGAATCCTGTTTCGGCTCCCCATCGCCCATTGCCCTTAGGGGGTTTCAATATCAAAATTTCGCTTTCTAACCGGCTTTCTTTCATCGAAGATTTCTTGTTCTGTCTTGATTTGCGCATGCCTGGTAGCCTACCGGGGTTAAGCGGAGTCGCCGATTTGTCTCCGGTTTTCCTTTATATACGTCCATGACCGCCACAATTCAACTTTCCCTAGCAGCACCCACCTATCTTCCCAAGCTACGCATCACAGATTCAACCTCGCGATTTATTGCAACCTTTTCAATCTCTCAGCACAGGGCCAAACCTTGCACAGTGGTCTTCGCCACTCTCCCACGGGAGCGCCAACATTCTTCAATGGCGTCAGAATCACTTAACTCGTCTCAAGAGGACATCCACCGCCACCAGCGACGCGCAGATGGAACCCATGTCCCAGCAACTACAGGAACTCCATATGCCGCTCAAGCTGCTGCTGGTGCGGCAGCAGCGCGCGCCTTTTTCCCGTTGGGATACCGAGAAGGCTTCAGTCAATGGGTAAGCCACAACCAAGGAGCCCCCATTGCAGCATAGCCGCTGATCATGTATGTATTATCTAGTGGGCGCGCCTACCTGCAGCAGCGGCCGAACACAAAGTCCTTTCCTATCTGCCGTACTTGCATCACGAGCCACCCACTCACCTCCAGACCGGAAATACGGCAGAATTCCCCGACGGAGCTACCCCAAGCAGTTTGGAAACTGCAGACTATAACCAGAAGGGTGAAGTCACCACCAGCTCCCTCGACGATCCATACGGCCCTCGTCGATGGCGCTCTAGCATGGTAGAGCTGAGCGGCAAAGACCGCGCGCTCAACGAGTTCTCGGTTGAGAGGGTCGGCGAGGAAGCAGACCAACATTTGGTCATGCTCCACGGTTACGGCGCCGGACTTGGATTTTTCTATAAAAACTTCGAACCTCTGAGCCGACTGAAAGGCTGGCAACTGCATGCTTTGGATATGTTGGGCATGGGTCGGAGTACTCGACCCGCATTCAAAATCAAGGCGAAGGAAAGAGAGGATGCCATCAGAGAGGCCGAAGCTTGGTTCGTTGATGCTTTGGAAGAATGGCGCATCAAACGCAAGATCGATCGCTTCACCTTGCTTGGACACAGTCTGGGCGGATATATGGCTGTCGCCTATGCGCTCAAATACCCCGGTCACCTGAATAAGCTTATCCTGGCGTCCCCAGTGGGTATCCCGGAAGACCCATATGCCGTCACTGCGGGTGTGGCCGAGCCTTCAGAGTCAACCCTGCCCAGCGAGCTCGCCCAGGACCAGCGTGACATCACTTCGCCCACTGCCATTCCTGAGACAATACCAAAAACAACTGACGGTAGCTTTATCACTGGCCGCCAACCACCCCAGGCTAACTCCACTGTACCCCCACGACGAAATCTCCCCAAGTGGTTCGCGTACCTGTGGGAGGCCAATATCTCTCCATTCAGTTTGGTGCGCTGGACTGGTCCTTTAGGGCCTCGCATTGTCTCCGGGTGGACTTCTCGTCGCTTCTCCCACCTACCAGCCGAGGAAGCCAAGGCACTCCACGACTATTCATACTCAATCTTCAGTCTTCGCGGTAGCGGCGAGTACGCATTGGCATATATTCTTGCCCCCGGCGCATTCGCTCGCAGTCCTCTTATCCACCGTGTCCATGGCCTCGGAAGGCAATTGATTCAGAGCAATTCAAACGCTATCCCTGACCCAATCTCCACTGCCGACGCTTCATCTGCCCCCTCTGAGGATACGCCTGCCTCCACGGCCACCCCTTCATCTGAATCATCAGCACCTGCTCAGCGCGAAAAGGGTCTCCCCGTGGTCTTCATGTACGGCGACCACGACTGGATGGATGTATCTGGTGGCCGCGCTGCTGCTGCTCGATTGGAAGAAGAAAAGCGCAAAGTCCTCGAAAACGCTACCGTGGAAGAGAAACGCGCCGACGAAGGTTCTTCCAAAGTTTATGTCGTCAACAGGGCTGGTCACCATTTGTATCTCGACGGCTGGGAGGAGTTCAACAGCGTTGTGCTCGCCGAGATGGAAGAAGTCAGCCAGAGGGAGAGAAGTCGTCAGTCATGATATAAATGCCGGTAAGAAAATATTTCCCTTTGTCGTGGATAATGTTCTATGAAATCTGGAGCTGAGGTGTGATGTCGATATCTTGGGTTGTATACTCTCGTGGGTCTTTTCTCTTTTTTTTTTGACCACGGTGTTTGTGTATGCCTCTCTCTCATTTCCTATGGATATATTCTGTATGGTACATATTGGCTAGATACATAGACCTGGACGAACCAATGGTGTTAGCCATGGATACTCCAGTTGAAGAGACTTTTTTCATCTGAGTTATGTACAATCTGTACTACTTTTTGATCATATGTGCTCCTAACGCCTCCCAAATACCCACCATTGAAACAATATTGAAACGAGAAGAACAACAGCCTTCACCCACTTCGATCACCAGCAGCCAGTCCCCTCGAATTCGGCCCAGAGATACTTTGTCTCCGGTGCCTGGGGCTAGTGGGATAATGTACCATCAAGCGCGCCAGTCCTGAATCACGCTCTTCGGTTGAAAAGCCAACTCCAGGTGTATTACACCCACTCGCACTGGGACTAACTCGTCCAGAGAGGATATGACTACCAGAAGACCCGGGCCGTCTGAGCGAAAAGTATCCCCCACCTCCATTGGCAACGCTTCCGCTACTGCTGTTGCTTCCGAAGCTGTGCCCAAGGCCATCCCCATAACTGGGGAGGTAAGTGCTGGTAAATGGTGTACCGCTAGCAGGGAACGCGCGGGGACCAGCACGCGTCTGGGAATTCCAGCTCGAACCTAACTGCACGTATGGCTGCGGCGTCATAGACGGGGACGTGAGTCGCGCCGTGGACGACGTGGACTGACCGTACTCCCTCGAATTGATAGTCGTGCTGTCGGGTCTGGTCGACACCGCCAGGGAAAGTCCCGTGCCAGTGTGCCGGTCCGATGTTGTCAGCAAGGAAGTGGTGAGCGAGCGCTGGTGGTGTCTTGGGCCGTCTTGTTGCTTATGCCGTGAGCCTGCGGCGCCTACCAGCGAGTGGATGTTGCTACGGCCAGTGCGCGAGTCGCTTTCATTCTGGGGGCTGTTCAGCGTACTAGTGTGGACGCTTGTGGCTAGCGTGACAAGTTGCGATGGCAGTTCCAGGCGGTTGTTTAGAGAGAGCCAGGCACGCTCGTCTGCGTCGATGTCTGTGTCTTGATCGACGTCGCCAGTCGTGCTACGCGCTGATGAGGATGATATTGAGCTTGCTTGAGTGTTTGTGCTGCGGGTCTTGGATGATCGGTATGAGCGCCAGCCGCCTACGCCTTCGAAGTCTCGTCTTTCATCGCCGCTGATGGGCAGGTGGTGCTGTGGTGTCGAGGTGGATAGATGGGCCTCGATCATGCTCCGCGCATAGGAGTTTCTCTTACGGTTTGCTGGGTCATCCTGCGTGCTAGTGGTCCAGGCAGTGAGGAAGTCATTGGGTTTCCGGGAATGTGTAGATTGACTGGAGTTTCTTCTTGATCTACCTGTAGCTGGGGATGTAGGTTCTGAAGCCGTGAAGGTTAATAATGACGAAGTTGGTGATGTCGGCACTGAAAAGAAATGTATAAACAGCCCACAGACTAGTTCGACAGAGACTAGTGATAGTCTAAGGACTAGTGTAATCAATGCGAAGGAGATTGTGACCCATGCTGATAGAATGAGGGGGATAGAGATGAGGCCCAGGATGGGCAGCGCCAGCAGCGATGGTAGCGAGGACCACATTGAGGAATGCATCTGCCTCCCCTAGGGAGGAAGCGGCCAGGAGTCCATATTATACGACTCTCGGTGTCTCAAGGTCGAACAACAGACTGCGGAGAAAGCATGTGATTGATGCCCCAGGCCCGCCCGTATAAATGTTTATTACGTCACTCCCCGCGGGGACGAGAACCTCGCAGACCAAGGCGGTGATAAGGGCGGTAGTATGAGCCGCCTCGGGACTTTTATATACCAAACAAACACTCTGCAGCGATCTCATTCTTGTTACCAGTGATACTTGAATGTAAATTCCCTCAAAATGTCCCAGGACGAGCCATTCCCTTGGGACATTGGCGTCTACGATGCCCACTGCCATCCCACTGATACCATGGCCTCGGTGGCCGACATCCCGCAGATGAAAGCGACAACACTGACAATCATGGCCACGCGTGGGGAAGACCAAGACCTCGTCCTCCAAACCGCCGTGTCCCTATCAGCCAAGACAACCCACTCAGCAACAGACCGCATAGTTCCCTGCTTCGGCTGGCACCCATGGTTCTCGCACCAGATCCTAGATGACACCGCGAAACCCACAGCAGCACAAGACGCCGCAGAGAAATCCGCCCACTATGCTGCTGTCCTGACAGGAGTTGCAGAAAACGAAGACCAATCCTTCATTGATCTCCTTCCTTTCCCCAAACCTCTCTCAGAACTCATCTCTGAAACCCGGGCCCGGCTCCAACAATTCCCGAACGCGTTGGTCGGCGAGGTCGGCTTGGACAGGTCATTCCGACTGCCTAGCCCGTGGACTACATCCGAGATAGATAATCGAGATGACCAGATTACCCCGGGCTCGCGCGAGGGCCGTCGTCTAACGCACTACCGCGTCAAGCCCGAACACCAGCGCGTCGTACTCAAAGCACAATTACAGCTAGCAGGAGAAATGAATCGACCCGTCTCGATACACAGTGTACAAGCTCATGGAGGGGTCTTCGATCTACTGAAAGAATTATGGGCAGGACATGAACGGGTTCTGCTATCGCGGCGGAGACGGGAAAAAGAACAGGATGCAGAAGGTGCTGTGTCTGAAGATGAAGAAGATGATGATGCTAAGACTCTGGACGCATCGACACAAGCATCAGTGCTGGGTGGGAAATCGTATCTGCCGTTTCCACCTCGCATCTGTATGCACTCGTACACCGGTTCTGTCGAGCCTATTCGCCAGTTCTTGCACCGGTCGAACCCGTCGGATGTTTATTTCTCTTTCTCGAAGTTAATTAATTTCTCTGGCGCTGCGGCTAAGAAGGTTAGTGATGTTATCAAATTTCTGCCTGAGGACCGTATTCTGGTTGAGAGTGATCTCCATGTTGCAGGCGCGCAGATGGATGATTTGCTGGAAGATGTGACGCGGGAGATCTGCAAGCTACGTGGATGGGAGCTGCGACAGGGTGTCCAGGTGCTTGCAGATAATTGGCGCCGGTTTGTATTTGGTTAGGATTTCATTTCTCCATTCCTGCGTAGTTTTCTTACATGATTTCCTTGAGCTAGGCGATTAGCGAGGACGCATATGTGGCGCTGTGTGGGATAATTTTGTGTGTATATATTGCATAATTGATTTGAAAAATGGAAAAGAGACAAATTGATTTATCCTATATCACTGTTTGCAATTATATAACGTGGTATATCTCTATTGTTGTATGTAATCATTTGTGACATGGTATCATAGGCTGGGCCTGGAGATGTCTGTGGCCTGACATGATATTTAAGAGATATCGTGTATGTTGCGTGCCCTGGCATGGCTCGTCTCGTCGTCAAGGCTGAAGGAAGGAGGATATAGAGAGGACCTGATGGGGAAAGATGATGAGACTCGAGAGTTGTCAGGAAGTGGTAGCGATACATAGCTAGCTATGGATCCATCCTCCATCGTGAATAAGATCTGCCATCGGAGCATCCTGCCAGTAGATCTGCCGCCACTCATCTTCAAGATCGGGGAGACCTTCCACTCCTACAGGCGGTGGTAGGTCTATATCTCCGAAGGCGAATAGCTGTCGCCAGTCTGGGTAGTCGCGAGCTGGCTCGATGGAATCCACTTGCATACTGCTCGAGAACGGATCATTTCTCTCCAGCGGGCCGGCATTAAGCCGGAGAGGGGCAATCCAATTGTCGAATTGAGGAGGAGGATTGGTTTGCGGGGAGAGGGTTGTATGTTGTAGAGGTGTGGCCTCCGGGGTGGGTACACCGAATGAAAGTGGTCCCGGAGTCTGCATAGTTATTGATGGAGCAGGAGAAGGAACGGGGACTTTGTGTGAATGCGGTGCGTCACCAAACGGCTTGGGGCGTTCTGAAGTTGCCATCCGAAGATCTTCTTGAAGACGTTTAGAGTCCTCGAAGACTCGTAAGATCGTGCCAGCATGAAGCCAGTACTGAGCCAATTCACGGAGCGAATAGGAGGCGGAGTCGAAACGGCGCAGCGCATTAATGGCGAGAACTGGATTGGAGAACCGAAGTTCGACCCGAACTTGAATCATGGCTGTAAAGAGGGTATGGACGCCAGTGTACCAAAGGAACTTCAAGCGATCATTCAATCTGAGCTCCTCGAAGATGGAGGTAATGACACCAGCGGCTGCACTACAAATTTCGGCATCGTGTGGGCCATAGTCATCGGAATAGGCCGAAGCTCTGGGATGCGGCCGATGCAAAAGAATGAGGAAGTTGTTGTAAGTCAGATGGAGCATGGCAGACCATGGATCCATATCAGACGCTCGAAGCCGAAGATTATCAGGAAGTTTGAGAGACCAAGTTGCTAATGATCCGTCGGCTTCCTGGAGAACAGCTTTTCGCCGTTCCTCACTCGCTCGAAGCCCAAATCGATCACGAATGAGATACGAGATCATCGTACAAAGCTCAGTAAAATGAATCACATACTCTGCTTGTACGTGAGGGCCACAATTCTCAAAATCGGCAAGCGTCAGAGGGGACACATCGGAATCATCCAAGTTGCTAGATCGAGAGTCAATTAGGATACGCTGTGATCTGGCTCTTTTGCATTGACTTACATCGCTTGAGGACGTCCATATGACAGTGAAATCAAGACATCAAACTGGATCAGAATAAACCAAACTCTCCTCCACATTCGTCGGTCACGAGTCACAAAGCTACTGGACACAGGATTACGGTGCATTCCAAGCCCTGTAGCGATCCGTGCAGCCGCCCCAACCCAAAAGTGAGCATCCGCAGCGACATCATCGTCTACTCTATCAGAATGCCAGGTTAAAAGCAGCGCCGCTTGGACAAGAATATCTCGATTTCGCTCGATGCGGTTGTCGAAAAGATACTTTGTGCGGCGGAAGAAGATTTCTTTGAGAGCATCTCGCTCTACTTTTGCGCGAGAAACATGCGCACCGACCAATAAAATTGCCTGAAGGAGTAATACTGGCGGAGGATCTGCAGGGTCCCGGTTTCGATATTGCGTCATAAATAAATCCTCGTCGACGAGAGGGTACCCTGGATTGACATATGTGAAATAAGCCTGGACCAGTTCATCCGCGAGAGCCGGTTCTGGTAGTGTCAGAGCATCCATGAGGAGCTGATCATGGCCTGTCTTCATTTGGCGCCGTGGTATCTCATTGCTGGCAAAATGATATACATCGTCATCTTGTTCTCGTTGTTGCCGGATCAAAAATGACATGTTCGAAAGTTCATGTCCAACATAGAAGGCACGCACGCCTCTTTGAATCTCTCTTCTACCGGATTCCTCTTCATCTATCAATTTGACGAGATGTTGCTGCATCTCGTTGTGTGCCTCATCGGCATGCGCCATATCATGGCCATGACGGCCAAATGCCTCGGATCCCGTGCCTTGGGGAAACCCATGTTGCGATAACCCCCGGAAATTGGTGTAGCATGACCACTCGGGAATGCGGTTGGAAAGCTCGGAGGTAGCGGTGTTCCGGCTACAAGAGCAGGGGTTGAGGTGGGATCAGATATCGATAGGGGCCGAGATCGGATCGGGACGGGGTCTAGGATTGAACGGACTGCAAGTCGCTTTTTCTTCTCGTGGATGCGGCAGTCGGTCTTTCCAGAGGCACGACAGTTGGTGCAGGGTGTGCCAACGGTACGGGCATCGCACCGAACCTTGCGCCGGTGACAGTGAACGCAAGCTGCAGAGCCTAGGAGATTTCGATTCACTGGTCAGTAACCGAGATTGCGAAGAAATAACCGATAGGGCAACGCGGTCATAGGTCCGGAGCAAAAGCCATCAGGCAACACGGATTGCACAGGCGCTTACCTTGTTTGCGCTTGCTCACCCCATCCACCGGGAGCGGCGAGGGGGCGTTATCGTTGACGGAGGACATGGCAGGAGTACCATTGACATCATTCCACATGAACTAGGATTCTGCATCATTCCCCTTTCAAGACATCATCCCGAAGCGACTGCCGAGGACTAACACGAAACGAAAAAGTCGGGAAGTTGAGGGATTGCGGGATCGGGGCTGGTGGAGACTCACGCGGAGAAGATTATGTAACACAATGGGCGAAAAGGGGTTCTGATCCGCGCACCCCAAAAAGTCACGTTTTTTCACCCCATTAATAATCAATTATTTACATAAGAGAGATACTATTTGCACACCCCCAAAACCCACCTTTTCGCTATTTGCACACCTATTTAAACCCTTTTAGGTAAGGTGCCTCTTGGCAACTGATTTCCCTCTGATTTTGTATTTTACACTGTATCCGCGTAGTACTCTCTGCGCCCCATATACGATATCGACGCCCCCTAGCCACATCATATTTCATACCATATCATGATATCGCTGTTATAAAAAATGAAGCTATTCCCAGTTACTGATCCCGTACAAAAAGGGCTGATTTGATGGAGTTTTCAGGGTAGAAATGGGGGTTTTCAGTGCAGAAATAAGGCTATTCCCAGTTGCTGATCCTATACAAAAAGGGTAGAAATAGGGGTTTTCAGTGTAGAAATGAAGCTATTCCCAGTTACTGATCCTATACAAAAAGGGCTGATTTGATGGAGTTTTCAGGGTAGAAATGGGGGTTTTCAGTGTAGAAATAAGGCTATTCCCAGTTGCTGATCCTATACAAAAAGGGTAGAAATAGGGGTTTTCAGTGTAGAAATGAAGCTATTCCCAGTTACTGATCCTATATAAAAAGGGCTGATTTGATAGAGTTTTTAGGGTAGAAATGGGGATATATAGAGTTTTTATAGGGTGGTTATATAACTCTAAAATAGGTGTTGATTTTTAAAAATAGTGCTAATCGACGATTTAGCCGCTAGTTTAACACGGAGTTTTACACTAAAAATATTACATTTTTACTATACAGTATAGAAATAAGATACTATTTAATATAATACGTATAAGACTAAGATCTAATCACCCCCTTCTAGATATTACCTAGCTAATAGCGATCTTATTATCTAATAACTCTATAGTCTCCCCTTATATAGTCTAATCCTTATACCTCTATACTAGCTGCCTCGCCCTTCCTAACCGCCGGATTATCGTAGTTTCCTTAGTGTATATAGACTTAAATCGTAACGGCTCTCGGCGAGTTAACCGCTTAAAGGCTTAAGATACCCGGGATAATAGAAGCTAGGGCTAGGAGCTCGTAGATAGTCGACTACGGGGGCGTATAATATAGGGGTTTTATACTATCCGCTCTAGGGAGTACGCGTATACCCCCTAGGTCCCGGCTAGTAAAGCCCTTACTAGTTAAATCCACTACTAAGGGTAGAAATTAGTCTAGGAGAGGCTCTTACTACTCTCCTAGGCCTAGTTAATATAGTGAATATATAGTATTCCTCTTATTAATATTAACTACTAAGAGTATATTAATAGAATAGGCTTTTTACTAGTACTATATAGTAGATAGTAATTAAAAATATACTATACCCTTATAATAGCGTCTTTCGAGACTACTATTTTAATAAATATAAAGAGAAAGAGGCTACTAATAAGTCTTTAACCTCGCTACTTAGTAAGTTCCTAGGAGATCTCTATAGCCTATTACTTAATTATAGACTTAAACGTTTTAGTAAGAGCTAGTAAATCCTTAGTTAAGGCGTTAAGGTCGATCTTTAGATAGCGATACGTAGACTTAATACGAGATATAGAGGTCTAATTAAAGTGTAGGAAATACTTAGTATAGTACTATAGGAAGGCCCTACTATACCCTTAAATCTACTTAGTATCTATATACTATAGTAGTTCGGGAAAGTAGGTATATTTATCCTAGAACCGGAGCTACTAACCCTCTATTCTAGTTTTACTATTAGTATCCTAGGTATAGATAATACTATACTAGTTATCCTTTATCTCTATCTACTATATATTAATCTTAATATATACTATATCGTTAGTAAGGCGGGTTTCGGAAGGCTAACGGAGGACGTAACGATAGATATAGGGCCTAGTATAACTCTCTATATTATAGGTAATATACTAGATATAAAGTATAGTATCTATATTTAGGAAAGCTTATTAATTATTAGCCTTTTTTCTAGGAAATAGGATATATAGGAACTATATATAGTTAATTATATTTTATAAAGCTTATTCTTTATCCGTAAGGATAGTCTATAGACTAATAAGTTTAGTACTAGTAAGCTAGGTACTAGTGAGCTAGGTACTAGTAAGCTAGGTACTAATAAGCTAGGTACTAATAAGCTTAGTAGTACTTACTATACTACCTTAAGAGCGACTAATCTAATTAGTAGTAGTTAGGTCCTACGAGACCGGTAGTCTATTAGTACTAGTACGAATTAGTCTTAGGAGCTTAGTACTAGTTCGAAAGGATAAATAAATATCCTTTAGCTAACTAAGTACTAAGCGGTATAAAACCTCTTTTTCACTACTAAGGAATATCTATATAGTATAAAAAATCCTACTAATAGCGGATACACCGACGATATTTAGAAGGGGTATCTTCCACTTATTAGTCTTATACGTATAGTCTATCTATAGGATATATAGATAGGCACGTAGAAGGGTAACGCTAGTTTCGTAGATAATAAAAAGGGTACTTAGCGAGTTATTAACTATATATACTTAGTAGTAGATATACTAATTTCTATCACGGGGGAGATCCTTAAGGAGAGCTTAGATAGGCGTACGACCCTTAAGATATCGTAGCTATATTTCTACTCGTAGGTTCTTAATATCCCTACTCCGTACGTATAATATAGTATTACTATCCTCCGCTATTTAACGTAAAGCGCCGACGATATACCGAGTTAGCACCCCTTACCGGACTTAGCTAGTAATAGAAAGAAGTATCCGCTAGATTTCCGTACGTCGATATATCCCTAGCGTAGATAGGTCGGTAAGGGGATATTAATACTAAGAGTCCTTAATTACGAGCTCCTATAAACCTCCGAGAAGTGGTCGACGGCGGAGAGTACTATAGAATATATACCTAAATACTTTAGTATATCACTTCCGCTACCGATTAGTAGGGGTAAGATTATCTCTATATTTACGACTAATACTATAGTAGAAATACACTACTTTTATATTAGATCTTAACCTTATAACTTCGAATCTATTTAGTTTAGCCTACTCATTAAGTATGCTTATTCCTTAGAGAGGGCACTCGAAAGACTAGAAAGGGGGTATAGTTTAGTAGCGAGGGTGCGAAGATATATCGGTATACTCTATACTAGTAATAGTATATAAAGATATAAAGATATAAAGATATAAGGATATCGAGATAAGATACGGAGTATAGAGTACGAAGTAGGGCTAAATCGTCGATTAGCACTATTTTTGAAAATTAACACCTATTTTAGAGTTATATAACCACCCTATAAAAACTCTATATATCCCCATTTCTACCCTAAAAACTCTATTAAATCAGCCCTTTTTATACGGGATTAGTAACTAGGAATAGCTCCATTTCTACACTAAAAACCCCTATTTCTACCCTAAAAACTCTATTAAATTAGCCCTTTTTATATAGGATCAGTAACTAGGAATAGCTTCATTTCTACACTAAAAACCCCTATTTCTACCCTTTTTATATAGGATCAGTAACTAGGAATAGCCTTATTTCTACACTAAAAACCCCTATTTCTACCCTAAAAACTCTATTAAATCAGCCCTTTTTATACGGGATTAGTAACTAGGAATAGCTTCATTTTTTATAACAGCGATATCATGATATAGTATAAAATATGATATGGCTAGGGGGCGTCGATATCGTATATAGGGCGTAGAGAGTACTACGCGGATACAGCGTAAAATACAAAATCAGAGGGAAATCAGTTGCCAAGAGGCACCTTACCTAAAAGGGTTTAAATAGGTGTGCAAATAGCGAAAAGGTGGATTTTGGGGGTGTGCAAATAGTATCTCTCTTTACATAATCGGTAAGTTCGGGAAAATCAGGAGGAATATCACATAATTATCAACCTCATCTATCCATCTGATATCGATCTCTATAGCAACCCATTATTTACAAGATCTATTTAAACCCTCTCCCCCCTAAGATCTCTCTCTCTCTCTCTCTCTCTCTCTCTCTCTCCCCCCGCACCCTAGATCTTAATCTCTCTCTCTCTGCACCCCATATCTCTGATTTTTATCAATATTCTTATTAAGGTAACTATTTGTCAAGGCAGTACTTATTGACTAGGTGAATAATGATACGAGAAGGATACGTAATTAGAACGAAGGGGATTCGATTCTATATTGGTTATAAGACTAAATCTTGCCTTCCCTACCCCCCTAGGTGTCTTCCTTTTATGATTTAGTTTCCCCGCTTCTCGGAACCGGATCATCTTAGTTCTATCCCGTTATCGTAGGGTATTCGGAAGAGTCTCCTCCGTCTAAGAGAAAGGGAGCCTAAGGTAAAATAATATAATAAAGAAATACTATAATAACTATCCCCCCTTCTCTATAAAACCTATCCTAGGGTTTTAGGTTAAATAAAGGGAAGTATAAGTTATAAGATAAGAAGGGTTCCTATCGAGTTTATTTTTTTCTCTATCTTTTAGAGTCTTATTAGTATAGCTATAGTAGTAGCTAATAGGTAAGATATTAGCGATCTAATACCGGAACTAAAACTAGTCTAATACTTAGACTATCTACGTTCTAACTTAAAATCCTTTAATACTATTAATAAAGAAATTTTCTCTATCTTCTATTAATATAATATAATTATATCTATCTTTTATAAGTAATATTATATAAATAAGAAAACTTATAATATAGTACGTTTTCGGGCTTTAAATATAATAGATCTATACTTATCTTATATAGATACCTATTAGTATAATAAGGGATATTTAGGATTTTTCTACTATCTTAAAATTTTTAAAGGTTCTCTTAGATAATAATATAAAGTTATTAGAGTAGATCTATATAGAAATCGCTAAAAGTTTATATAATTTAGTATAGGTATTTAATATAGCGGTTATTAGTTACTATTTATATTAGAATTTAGTAGATATAAAGAAAATATAGGCTATAAGTATTTTATAACTATTTTATTAATAATTCGCTTTCTAATAATAGTCTAGCTATTTTAAGCGAATTATAATAAATTTATAAATAGTCGTCGAGTAGATATATAGACTATACTTAATAGTCGTAGTTTAACTTAGCTAGATTAGGGTAGACTTTTAAGTCTACTCCTTAAGGATATAAGATATACTTACTAAACTATTATAAAATAGAGGTATTTAGAGTCCGTTTCTAATACTTTTATAGCTATATTTAGGAAAGCTATAGGAACGATCCTACTTAATACTTTTAGGATAAATAAGTATATAAGGTTTATAACTTATTCTCCTCGATAAGAGGGGAAGATACTATATATATAGTTCCTTTCTTATAATAAAGGTAGTTTAAAATAAAAGAGGAGTTATTTTAATTTTCTAACTATAATCCTCCTTTCTTCGCGTTATTTAATTATTATTTATACTTAGTTCCTTAACGTATTTCCTAGGTAAGCTACGTACCCCCCCCTAAAACGCGTCTTCTAATTAATAATTAATTAAATTAACTACCTACTATACTACTAATACGCTCTTAATCTTCTCAAAATTCTATTAAATAAGAGGGTAGGATTCTACTAGCTATTAAAGCTATTAAAAATTAAGAAATTAGCGCTACTCGCGAAGTAGCTCGTCGTTTTAAAGTCCCTAAATCTACCCTCTGATCGCGTCTTCGTAGGATAACCTTTCGCTCTAAATCCCGCGCTAATAACTATCGATTAATAAAACTCGAAGAGGAATCTCTTTAAAAATAGATACTCTTAATAGATTCGCGTAGATTAGCCCCCCGCCCTATTATAGTATAAGAAATAGCGGATCTTCTTATTTAATAATATAGAATTACCTTAGTTCTTTTAGTTAGTAAAAGTTAGGTTATAGAATTTATAAAATAGTATCCTTTTCTTTCCTTCTAATTCTCGAGAAAGTATAATTACTAACGTACGAAATATAAAGACCTAAAAATTATTTAAAAGTAGTTTAATCTTATTTAAAAAACGATCCTTAAGTTTAGAATTAATCCGGATAACGTTTATAACTTCGATAAAAGTAGATTTATAATAGGAATAACTACGATTATAAAGGTTATAATAAGAAATAAATACTATAGTTAGCGATTACTTTTATAACCTAAAAATTATAAGTAGATAATAGTAATTAAATATATAAATACTTTAGGATAGGTACTTCTTCTATATATAATTTTTAAAGGAAAAGTCTTCCTTAAGGCTTAGTTTAAGGGCCTTTTAGATAATTAGCGATTTAAAATAAATCTAAATAGTTAGACTTCTAATAAGATTAGACTTCGTTAGCTTAAAAAGCTTTTTATTCCTTTAATTTCTTTATATATAAAAAAGTAGTTTTAACTTCTTATATTTAATAGCTATAGAAGTTATTTAACTTTAAAATTTAATAAAATTTATAAGGAAAATTAAGTTATACTAATCTATATACCTATTTACTTTTCTTATCTTTTATAATCTTTTAATATTAGTTATTTTATAGTTTTAAAATAATTATATAACTAGTTAGTTAAATTAAAAATATAAAATAGGATTAACTATATCGATAAGCTTAATTTCCTTAAAGCTTACCCTCTTATATAAATCGAGGCTTTTAAATTAAAGACTATTATTAATAGCTTTAAAGCTTCTAGTTTAGTCCCTTTTTACCCGGATTAAGTGATCTTAACCCTTAATATTCGTCTTTAAACTCTAACTCCTCCTCTAAGCTAGGGTAGCGAATTAAGTCGGAATTTTTCCCTAAAAACCCCTTTTACCGAGAAATAACTTCGTTAATAGACTTCGTTAATTAAATCTCTCCTTTATATAAGATCTTAAAGCCTATCTAGCCTATCTAATCGCGCGATAAATTAACTTATTAAGGGCTACTAAATTACTATATATTCCGCTATTATACTTACGTAGGAAAATAAGGAATTACGTACCGCTAATAAGAAGTAGAAGTAAAAGTGTACTAGATCTCGAAGATAGATACTCGGAGAAGAAGGTCTCTTAGTTTTAGAAGCTTCCTAATTAAATACTAGGTTAAATACTAAGGTTAGAGAGGTAGTAGAAGGCCCTCCCCCTATATAATAAGGAGCCCCTTTACCCTATCCACGTTCTATTTAACGCTATAGTGGTTATAAAGAAATTAAGTATAAAATTAATAGATATCTAGCTAGATAAATTAATTGATTTTATCCGATTTAGTCGCGCTTTAGTTAAGATAATTAAATTTAAAATTAATAAGTTAGGGGGGGGTACGTAGCTTACCCGGGTGCGTAGCTTACCTAGGAAATACGTTATATATTTCGTAGACGATCCCTTCTTATCTTATCGTCTTATCTTTTATAAGTCCTATTTATTTTTATATAAACCTTCCTTTATTATAGCGTAAGGCTATAGCTATAGTCGCGGTTATAGTTATAGTTATAGTTATAGTTATAGTATAAATCCTATTAATAACCTATTTATAGAATAGTCTATACCCTTTTCTCTTTTAACTACTTCTAAGGTAGTATCTAAGGTTCGTAACCCTTCCGATATTAATCTACTATTAACTCCTTTTTATATAGATCCTATTAGGACTATTTATTATATTTAAAACTTAGGTTCTTTTACGCGCCTAAAATAAAATTATCTTATCTAATATTATCTAAATTAGTACGTTATCTATTTATATATAGCTAAAAAGAAGTAGGTTACCGACGAACCTCTTAAGATTAAGTATAAATCCGAGGCTATTAGGTCTATCTCCTACTAATATTATATAGAGAAGCGATAGGTATATAACTTAGTATAGATTTATTTATCTTTCTTATTAATATTAGACTCTAATTATATAGGTTCTAAATAGTATTATTAGTAATACTATAAATCTAACCTTAATTATCGAATAGTCTACCTAATCTTTTAAAAAGCTAAAGGATCGTCTTAATTATATAGAGTAAAATAGAATTAATAGATCTCGATTTTTCTATAGGCCTACTATCTAAGCTACTATTAAGAATAGGATCTATAGATTAATCTCTAACTTTTTAGTATTAATCTATAGTTACTAAGCTACTTATAGTTTTCCCCTATCTTAAAAGAAGACTCTTATCGTAAATATTATCTTCTTCTTTTTAAGTATATTTCTCTAATAAATTAGTAGGATATCGCTAACGCTTATAAATAGTTTCTCTTTTCTTAGGGTCTAACCCCTTTATCTTATCTTAGTCTTTTAGCTATACTAGCCGAGCGGAAGGCCTATAATATTTCTATTTACTATTTTATCCGCTATAAGGATTCGGGTTATATCTTATAGAATACCGCTAAGTATTTATTTATTAGGGATCTAATAATAGCGATTATTATAAGTAGCTAAGATACTAATATAAGCCTTATACTTTCTCTTAGTATCTAGGCTAGTTTCCTAATCGTATTAGATACGCTATAGGTTTATTATATATTTAGTATAGTTTCCGGGGTTATTCTATTTTCTTATTTTTTAAAGGTTATTTCTTCTATAATATCTTAGAGGTATTTCGGTAATAAAATAGGCTCGTTTCGATCTAGATTTATTATCTTCTTCTTATTAATAAGGTATTAATTTTAACTATATACTTTAAGCTTTCTTCTTCTTTTTCTTAAGTTTTCTAAAGGACTTAATAGCTTCTTTTATATTTCTTATATTTTCTTCTAAGATCTATTAATTATATTTAGTAAACTAACCCTTTTATTTTACTATAATAAACTAGTAGACGGTAAAAAGGCTACTAGAAATAGCCGTAAGTAAGGCCGTTTTAAGCTATTAATCTACTAAACTTTATACTACGCACTTAGAAATCTAGCTACGCCTACCTATTCTCCCTTTAGGGCTATAGTCTATATTACTTTCTAAAGCCCTTAGTATCCGCTAAGCTTATCGTTTATATATCCTATCTCTACCTATACTAGCCCGTCTATAGCCTACGGCCTATAGCCTTAGGGAGCGGTATAATATAGGCTAATCCTAATTCCTATATCTACTCTCCTACTAGTATTTTTATTCTAGCTAAGAGATATAGTTTCCGAGAAGGATTATTTAAATAGACGTTAATTCCTTACCCTCTAATATTATCTACGCTACTTACTAACTTAAAATTTTATTCTACTTATACTTTAGATACTTCTCTATTCTACTATAATATAGCTCTCTCTCGACGATAGGCTAGGCTAGGATTATATAAGAATAATTTATAGACTAGAGAGGATAGCTCTAATAATAGTAGCGACGAGTAGTACGATACTAACCCGATAGAGCCTAATATCGACGATAATTAGCTTAAAGATATTAGTAATATTACATAACTTTTTATAGATAATAAAAATTCTCCCGAGTATTACCTATAGTAATTTATAGAGTTTAATAAGTCTATATATATAAAGAAGGATTATAGTAAAGGTATTACTATCCTTTTTAACTAGGTCGAGTCTCGTTAGAAATAGTATATCTTATTTACTCCTCCCTCTTTTAATCTTTTAGCTAAACTCTATTAGATTTTATATTTATATCTATAAAGATCCTAAATAAGAATTCCGGAAACTATCTATTATTATCTTATATATCTTTCTCGATTAGGCTTTAAATTTATAATAAGGTAAAAATAAAAAGCGGTTATCTAGAATTAAATAAAAAAGCTTATTAAAGACGTTTTAGAAGGTTTTTTAACTTATCTTTAAAAGGGTAATCTTAGAAAAGATTAAGAAAATAATAAATTAATAGATATACTAGATAAGAAATAAAGTTACCCTTTAGTCTTTAAGGCTTCCTACTCTATAGTATAGAAAGTTCTAATTAATATTATAGATAATCCGTAAGTTAGTTTAAAAATATAAACTATCTTAGAAAGACCGCGAAAAGTCTATTATATTTATAAAAGACTTAATTATAATTATAGAAATAGCTATTAGTATAATAAAGAAAAAATTTAGATATAATCGGTATCGTATTAAGCTTTATCTTTTCTATAATTAGTTAGTCTTATAGCTAATCGCCTTTAGGTAATACTAAGCTTAAGATATTACTATATTAGGGTTAGTTTATTATATAATCTATAAGGCGGCTTTTACTAAATCTTAATTAAATTTAAATTCGAATATATAAAAGGGTTTCTTAGCTCTAAGGATAAGTAAGTATATTAATCTAGAGAAATTTAATATTTCTTATTATAGCCTACTAACTATCGGATAGAAATATATATATCCTACCGGAGATTATATTTAACCTTTCGCTTATTCTTAGTCCTTATATCTTCTTACTAGGGTTACTTTTTATAGATTATACCTTTAAGAGAGTTAATAGTAAGGAGATCTTAATATCTATAAAGTAACTTCTTTATTTATATATTTAGAATAGGTATAACGAGCTTTTATTACTACTTAATCTAGCTCTAGATAATATACCGGTATTTCGGTAGACCGAGCGAATATTATAAGGAATCGGAATCTTAATTAATAAATATTTATCTTACTTAACCTTTCTTTCTTAGATTAAAAGTACTAATTCTATTACTAATTTCTAATAAGTTATCTATTTTTATAGCCTTTAATATAGGGCTAGAAAGGCGTTAGATAATAGCGGTAATTATCTTTCTACTTAATCTTTATTATATAAGTTTAAGTAACTAACTATCTATATTTAGGAACTATAAGTAACTTAATTTATAATCTAATTATATATTACGCTAATAGTTATATTTTTCTAAAGTACTATCTTAATTAATAGATTAATAAGAATCTTCTTATTATTATCTAAGGTTTAAATCTAAATAATAATATTATATATATAGTTTATTAAATAAGCCGGACTATTAACCTTAATTAACCCTAAGAATTAATAACTATCTAAGCTTTTTTAGTTAATAAGTAGTCTAAAATTTCTATCCTTATTTAGTATTATAATATACTTCGCTAATAACTAGGCTATCTACTCTTATAGTACTAAGGAAGTCTAAAATATAAAAGCTATTAAAAACTAAATTAAAAGCTTAATAATATAAAGAAATAGACTAAAAATATATTACTATTATAGATTTAGTAAAAATATAATTAAAAATAGCCTATATTAGAAGTATAATAGTAACTATCTAAAATAAAACTAACTAAGTTAATAATAATAAAACTATAATATATAAAGAAGCTATCTAAGCCTTAGAAATATTTAATTAAATATATTTTAACTCTTCTATTACTTATATTAGACTAAGAAATATATTAATATACTAAAGCTATTAATACTATTACTACTTACTATTAATTTAAAAAAGATATTATATACTATTTACTATAGAATAAAAAGATTAAAAATTATATAGCTAAGAACGGTTATATTAATAATTAGAAGCCGGAAAGCGAAATAACTAAAGTCTAGACTAAATTAGTAAGTCTACTTAAAAATACTATTTAATCTATTATAAAAGATAATTAACCCTTATTTTACTTTATTTATATAAGATAGTAAAACCTAGCCCTTAAGAAGCGTATATAACTATTCTTATTATATAGAGATATTTCTAAATATATTAAGCGAAAGTATCTATAGAACCTTTTATTAAGTACTATTATTACTTATAATATTTATAATAAAAAGTTTATAGAAGTAACGTACTTTTAGCGCTATACTAATAATTCTTACTCGACTATAACCGGGCCTCTATAGAGCGTAGCTTCTAAATAATAACTCGTTATATTAGTTTATTTTATATAGAATATATTAAAATCTTAAATTTAAATAACTAGATAGCCTAATTAGCTTTTATAAGACCGGTTTTAAATATACCGAAGTAGCTATAGTAGTAATAGTAGAAGGAAGATCTAGCTATATATACTTATTTCGAATCCTAGTATAGTTCTACGATATTCTATAGTAAAGAGAGAACTAGATCTTATTTTTTTTTAGTATATTTAACTTCGATTATCTAGATAATATTATTAGTTATAATTTTAGTAAAATAATTTAAATATACTAAAGTATTAGATAATATATTATAGTAAAGAGAGAACTAAACTACTTACTTTACTACTAAGGGAGGTGTTAAAGATATAGAGGTATGATATAGTATATAAGGTTCAACAATAGGTTCAAATGATACTAGGAATAGGATCTCTTATAGAAGTATTAAATTGTCTAAAGATCTAGATAATATCTGCCTTTTCCTACTATTTATGCCCTTTGTATGCCGAGGATCGGAGTCCTCAATTTAGCCCCTAAAGGTGAGCTTTTCGGTAGAAAAGATAAAAGAGGCGTAGCGTTACTAATCCTATAGATAGGAGAATCCTACCTTAGGTATAGTTCTTAACACACCCCCTTAACGTGCAGCCGTTATATATTATAAGATTATATTATTAGGGACTAAGATAAATAAGGTTTCTTAGTTAAAAGGTGTAGTTTTTAGACTATAGGAAGGTGTAAAACTAGTAGTTTTATACTACGAGAGATATAGTTTTTATACTACGAAAGATATAGTTTTACACTACGAAAGATATAGGGGTTTATTTTACTAAAAGTCTATATATTTTAGGGTTAAGGTTTAAACCTACGATAAACTCTATAAATTTAGGGGCCCTAAGGGGCTTTATTAGTCTATCTATAATATTTTCGGTCCCTTTTATATATATAAGCTTGATTTTCCCCCTTTTAACTTACTCGCGGATCTAGTGCTAGTATATATTGATATATTTTAAACGTCCTAAAATAGTAGGGTTCTTTATTATCGTAATCGTAGACTAGCTATTACTATATAAAGGGATAGGGGGGAGGTCTATACTCCCTTAGTAAAAGTTAAGATCTTTTAGTAGTTTTCGTAGCTAAATTACCTCTCCGCTAGTAATTAAGAGGGCTATATATTTAGCTTCGGCGCTTAATTTTACTATACTAGTCTACTTTTAAGATTTCTATAATATTAGGCCCCCTATAAGGAAGAAGATATACCTAGTCCTACTTTTACTTTCTAGGGCTAATCCGTATAAGGCGTCGATATACCCCTAGAGGTCCTAATTAGGTCTAGATTAGTATATAATTATATAATAGCTAGTACGTCCTATATAAGTAATTACTCTTTATACTAGATCCTTATATTTAGCGTTTAGGTTTATAGTAAACTATAAAAGTATATTTACTATGAGTAAGAGATCTAGATATATAACTATACTAGTATAATTAATCGAGCCTATATTAGATTAGTACTATTTTACTATCTTACTTATAGCGGTAAATATCTCTTCCTTTATTAGGATAATAGATAAAGGGATTATAGGTCTTAAAGTTATAGTTTTTAAGAACCTTTTAATATATATCTTTTATAAAATTATTATTTTTCCTATCTTTCTATTATAGACTATTTTTATTAAAAGATAGTAAGATAACTCGCTAAAGTCTAATATAGACTATTTTATCGAGATAAGGTCCTTTATAGTTTTAATAAGATCCGCTATAGAGATTATAATTAAAAAGTCGTTAATATATATAAAAATATAGATAATTATATTAGCGCCCTTTTAATTATACTATATATAAAGATATAGGTTAGAAGTAGATCGTATAAAGTCTTTTATTAATAAATAGTCCCCTAGTATATTAAATTAGTTTACTACTAACTATTTTAGATTATAAAGACTTTTTTTTAAGAGGTAGACTTTATTTTAGATCTCTAAAAAATCGGTATTATCTTTAAAATCTTTAGGGTAGTATATTAAGAGTCTCTCTTTTAGCGTAGCGTTAAGATATATAACGTTTATATTAATATAGGTTATAAAAAGCTTCTTTTATATAATTATAGCGAGGAGGATCCGTAGCGTAATATAGCTATCTATACTAGTAAAGGTCTTAGTATAGTCTAGATCTTCCTATTATTAGAAGCTTCTCGCTATCTAGCGAGCCTTAAATCTTAGGGGGTTCCTATCTATATTAAGTTTTAGTTTATATACTTACTTACTAGTAAAGATACGTATATTCTTAGCGGGTATAGGGGTAGGGATTATCTCCTAAGCTTTAATTAAACTAAGCTATTTAAACTCGATTTTTATAGCGCGGTACTACTAAGGCTAAAGAGGTAAGTTATATACTTATCGGACTAATTTAGGGTCTTCTATCTATTTAGAGTCTATATTTTTTAGGGTTATTAATAGAGGTAAGGTTAGAAGATCCTTAAATAATAAGGCTAGTCTAGCTTATATATATAAGATAGTAGTATATTATACTAGATCCTATATATATTTTTTATCTACCTAAGATATAGTAGTATAAAAAACCTTATTTTAGATCTTATAAATTAAGTTAGCGAGTTCTTCGGTAGATAGTCTTAATAGGTTAGCTAATAGGACCGAGTCGTTACTAGAACTCTTATCGATAAGTCTAAGATCTCCTTTAGAGTCTAAAAAAAGAGTACTTTCTTTAGTAGAAGAAATTATAGGGTTTATATTATTTATATAGTCTATAGGGTTCTTAGGGTCTATAAGGTTCTTAGGGTCTAGGAATAGGAACCTAGACTATTTTACTAACTATAGGGTTTCTAGTAGGACTAGGAGATTAGGATTATTATATAGGGTCTAGTCGTCTCCTTTATCGAAAATAATATCTCTCCGAGTTATAATCTCTCTCTTATTTCTATCTACGTTTAGACGCTAGATACGGTATTATATACTATAGTAGCTACTATACCCGACGAGTCTACCTATCTAGGTATAAGGCTATAAATATCTACTTATTAATATACTAACTATAGCCCTAATCTCTTTAGGGCTTCTTATAACGTAAGCCTTATTACCGGGTATCCGTAGGAATAAGATATTAGGTTTTCTACTAAGTTATATTTTATATAGTATCTAGTTTAGGAGACTATCTCTTTTTCTACCGAAATAGATAGTAAGGTTACGTATTATTATTACTATTTTTATTAGCTTAGGCTATAGTATATTTAGGAGTCTAGTATTATCGAGAATAGCTTTAGTACGTTCTTATACTATTCGTATTATTCTTTCGACTTTACTATTTTACCTATATATATATAGTACTAAGAAATATAAGCGGGTATTAGTATCCTTAGCCTATTTTTATAGGCGGAAGTTATTAAACTCTTCTCTATAATCTAACTAGAAGGCTCTAATCTCTAGTCTACTAGGCGGTAGTATTTTACTTCCTAGTACTAGTAACGGGGGGAGATTAGGGGTTATAAAAGTCTTAATTATTATCTCCTTTTTAGTAGAATATAGTTTTACTATTTTAATTATAAGATCTAGAACGAAGTCTTTATAAGAGGTAAACTATATTTCTCCCTATCCGTTAAAGTCGTTAATACTAATTATCTAGTATTAGTAACTATATTAGGACCGGCGTACTAATAGGTCCTAGTAGGTAATATAGAACTAGAGTAAAGGAATAGTAGGGTACTAGTATATTTATAAACTAATCGCTAAAGAGCTAAGTTCCCCTAGTAGTCTCTATAGGGATAACCTCTAGCGGGTTACGGGACTAGGTCACCTAACCCGGTAGGACTTAGTCTTTATAATACGCTCTCTAGCGGGGGGTTATACTACCCCTACTAGATTACGGGTCCTAGGTCGTAGGACTAGGCGGGATCTAGCCTATAAAGCACTCTCCTAGTAGAGGGTCGTAATATTTTCCCCCTCCTTAAAGAGCTACGATCTCGTAGCTAAGGGTCGGGGGTCGAGGACCTCTTATAGTCGAGGTAGGGAGGGTTCGAAAATAGCACGTATATCTAGCTATCTAAAAGGGAGTAATTTGTCTTTATAGTAGAA